ATATTATATAGTTTTAACTTCTTAAACTCTTTTATTAATTAATTAATTTATAACTATTTTATTAACTTTACTTTAATATTTTATTATTTAATCTTACTCTTATTCTTATCTAGATAGGTTCTATTAAATTTAATAAAAAATTATATATTATTTTCTTTAATTATCTTTATCTTTATTAAAGCTATTATATCTTAATCTTTCTCTAGTTTGTTATTATTAAGATAATAAAAAGTTTTAATTATTCTTATCTTATTTACTATTTTTTTATAAAAATTAGTATATTTAATAATAGATAGAGTATAATAGTCTATATTTAATTTTTAAACTATTTATTATTTAAACTTTTTTAGAAGTTCTTAAAGATATTAAACTTTTTATAAGTATTAGCTTAACTTATTTAAAGTTACTAGCGCTTTTAATATAGCTTAATATTCTTAATTATATTCTTTTAGATCCTTAGAGCTATTATATTTTATATTTTTAAACCTTTTTAGCTATTAGATATTATATTTCTTTTAGTATTTATTATAATAAATATATTTTTATTTAATTATTTTTACTAATTTTAAATAATTCTTCTCTTTATATTTAGATTAAGTATTTATTTAAAATAATACCGATAGGCTATAATAGTTTATAAATTATTTAGTTTTTTCCTTTTTTAAAAGTTAATTTACCTTATATAGCCTTTTAAAAAGCCTTAGATAATAAGTAATATTATTTTTTTTAAAATATAGTATTTTAGAATTTTTAGATATTAGTATTTATAGAGCTAATATAATCTAGATTAGCTATATTATTAGTAGTCCTATATTTTTAAATACCTGAGTTATTTATATCTTTAAACCTAGTAATATTAAAAAGCTAAGAGTTTTTCTATCTTAACTAATATTAAAAAGATTAGTATTTTTTTCTATATTTTTTTAAAAAAATAGTAATAAAAATAATAATAAGAAATTCTTCTATTTTTTAATAAATAATTCTTATTTAATAATTTCTTATTTTTTTTAAATTTTTATTTCTCTTTTATATTTGCTGAGCTCTTCTTTATATTTAATAATTTTTCTTTTCTCTTATTATTAATATATATTTTTGCCTTATATTATATTTACTATCTTTATTAATTTAAGAAATATATTTATCTCTTTTTATTTATAATAGTAATCTTCTTTAGCTATTTTATTTATTTTTTTACTATTTTTTATCCCTTTTTTTAGTTTTAGCCTTAATCTTAGTTTCTAATTCTCTTTTCTCCCTTATTTTTATTTAATATTTTAATGCCCCTTATATTTAGCTTTAATTTATTATAAGAAGATATATTAAGACTTAGTATAGAGTCTTTAAGTAAGTAGATATTAAGAAAGAAGAGAAGAGTATTTAGTTTTAGAGCTTAAAGTAGAGTTAGAGAAGAAGCTTTAGCTATAAACTAATATAATAAACTAATAATAGTCTAATATTAAACTAATATTAAACAATAATAGAAAGGAAAAACTAATTATTTTATTTTAAATAACTGAAAGATATTATCTCTCTCTTATTCTTCCTCCTCTTCTGCTTTACTTATAGACTTTTTAAAGGCTTTAAGCAAAAGCATATAACCTCTTAACTAATTACATTCTTTACACTAATTCTCCCTACTACAGTATTATTAGAATACTTTACTATAATAGAAATAATTATATAAATAATTAAATCTATTCCTTAATTCTTATAATTTATATTTATACTAGTATTAATATTATTAAAGATATTATTATTATAAATATAATTTATTAATATATAAATAGAAGAGCTAATTTAATTACCTATTTATACTAATCTTATAATTATAGATTCTCTTTATAATAATAATAATATTACCCTTATAATATAAGATAATATAGAATTACTTTTATTTATTAGAAAATATTTTCTTTTCTTATATTTTAATTTATAATTCTTCCTTATATTAGTTATTTATTATAATATTACTCTATTTAAGTAACCTATATTAGTTAATTTATAATATCTCTTTTTTATATTAATTAGTTTACTTATAAATTCTTCTAAAAATAAAGGATAAATACTTTATATTTAGCCTACTCTTAAGAAAGAAACTAATATATTATTTAGATACTTATAGGTAAATAAAAATAATATTATTATTTCCGCAAAATATATATTACTTATATTTAAAATAACTATTAAAAAAGTATAAATAGATTTAATAACTATAATTATTATAATATATTATATATACTTATAGATTATAATATTATAGTTTAAGAATAAATATAATAATTAAAAAAAAGCCTACTAGAATTAAAAATAAACACTATTTATAAATAGGCTAAATATTATTTAGCTAATAGGTATAACTATAGAATTAATTATAACTATTAAATATTTTAATACTTTTATAAATAAAGAATAGAATAATTATTTTTAGCTATAGAAGTTAAATAAGAAATATAAGAGAGTTATAATAAGGATATTAATTTAATAAAAAGGGGGGATTCTAATATAGATCTACTAATAGAGCGACTAGAGAAGGGTATAAAGGTATAAGCATCCTGTTATATAAGTATTAGCTAGATATAGTCTCCTTCTCCTACTAGGTAGGAGAAGATAAGCTTTATCCTCTAAATTTATTTAAAGTTCTGGTATTTAAGCTACAAAAACCATTATTTTATCGTTATCTGTATTACTTAAGCTTATAACTAGTTAAAAAGAATAGAGAATAAATTTAAATTACCTAGATTAATCTATAGTCTTATAAGAGCTAATATTATTTAAACTTAAATTGAAACTAATTTCACTATAGTAAGATTTCTAGATAGTTTGCTAATTGCTAATTTATAAAGTCTCTTATAGTAAGGTTCTTATATATAATAATAGCTTGCTATCTCTAGCTACAGAAGTAAGATATACAGATGTTAAAAAATTCCCTCAGCTCTCCGCCGCGAATTGCTCTATCAAAGTTATATATATATGCCGCTAGCAACCTACTTTCTATACAGAATCTAAATCCGCGCCAAAAAGAGGCCGACCGGCTAAAGAAGTCTGTATCTATTAAATCCACCAGGTTGGCCAGAGAAAGGCCCAGAAACTGCACATTATTGCGCACATTTTCTCTAAGAGCTCTAGAAGGTGGCCGATCACCTCAGGATATCCGCGAGGGTTCTCAGGAACGCCATGAGGGTGTAGAGTTGGCTATCTTGTGCGACATCAAGGAACCTAGTGTAGGGGATAGCGATGATAAGAGAGCAGGGGGTGGAACGGTCAGTAGGAAGATAAGGAGGAACGGCAACAGGTTGAAAAGGTTCTCTGTGGAAATGTTAAGGCTGGGCGCTAGGCCAATCGCAACCCAGGGGCCACCAATCTCACCATGGTGAGATTTGACTTGAAAGGGCTAGTAACCAGCAAGAAAGACTATATCGGGATTCCCCATCTCTCTCCTGCAGGTCCTCCGGCTCCCTAATTCTCTGCATCTAACTCCGCCTGCGTCTGCTTTTCCAATCCATTCGTTATTGCCGCCGTCTGCGCGGTTGTCGGCAGACCCGTATATGCCCTGGATTCCAGCTTTATGGAGATCCAACCTCTGATCAATATGGCAAGACTGGCTGGTGGAGAAGATCCACGGACTGGCTTTATGTTGAAGTAATCACCGTGACCTCTTTTCACGGACAGGTCTTTGAAGTTGAAGCTGTTTGTCCCTGGGCTATATCTAACCCCTAATACCCTCAACCAATAGCCTACCGTACTCGCAAGGGCCCCGGGGATGTTGAAGTCTGATAAAGAATCTGGTGTGCAGGCTGGGTTTCGAGGGAAGGAGCAAGGAGGATGGCGGAGGAGAGGTAGAGGAGATATAGAACTGAGCTGTCCATGGATAATCGACAGAACCGACAGAGAGAAGATGAGGAAGAAAGAGAAGAAAAGAATTTTGGTACGGTGGTCTGCTCGGGGTTTTGCACGCTCTTTCTCTTCTGGGTGGGTTGTGCGGGGTCCCGGCGAGCCCAGGTGAGAAGGCAGAGAGAGGGAGTTTTAGAAGTCAGGCTACTTGATCTCACCTGGTGAGATTTGGGTTCGACCGCTGGCAGTGAGACACGGACTCATAATGGCTTCAATCTCACCATGGTGAGAAACCAGATCGAGCCATTGCGGAACATCGGTGGTGCATTTGATTCACAATGGGAATCCCCCACGGACTCTCCTGTGGGATCTCGGCTCCAGCATACGAGATTCGTCTCCCGGTCAAGAAGATCTAAAAGACATTAGACTTACATGTACGGTTACTGTTAAAATACTGCGAGAAGATAGTTCTAATATCAACTTCCGAAACGTCAAATGGGAGACCACCGTGTAGATGTAAGCAGTATCGCGGCAATTGGCATACCAGGCAGTTTGAGGGGTTGGGAAGGAGGTGTAGATATAGACATCGTCCGTCTGCTCCATAATGGAAGCAACAGAAACAAGGGCACCAGTGCATACAGACCCTTTCCTTCTGTGTAATGCGGGTCAAAAGGTTATCTCACTCGAGGAGAAGAGACTATGCCTAGAGAAATGTGCAGACAGTGAGGCTCCGGTAAGTGTTCTGACGGCTGTCTCTTGCGTCATTGTTCTGCTAAAGGCAGGAGCGAAGATAAAGAGGCCACGATCTAACAAGTACCCGGCCTGCCCCTCGGTCTGGATTTCTCTCGTCTTCCTCTCTCCCTCATCTTTCATCGTCTCTCGCTCATCTTCCATCGTGGTCCAGCCGAGTACCGTTCGTTCCCACATTCAGCGTGCTATCGAGCAAAATTTTCAGTCTGGGTTTTATCCCCAGACAGATATTGCCGTGCCAAAGCTTTCTCTGACAATTTCAAATTCTTCTTTCATATCCTTCTACATTCATTCTCGATCCCCATTCTCCTATTTATTCTATTACTTCTTCTGTGATGCAGCTGAGCTGCATATCTTATAGTAAGCTTCTTGCTCGCCTAGTTGTATCAAATAGTCTAATATGAACAGTCGGTAATCTTGTGAGATCCTATGTTCACCTTCTCAGCAGCTACCCTTAACTTGCTCTGCTGTTGTTGTGGCACTTCTAAGTCACGCACTTCGTTGTAAGTCTCTTGTCTTGTTTGTTACTTCAAAATACTAATATGAAATGTATCCTTAGTTTCTGTACCGCCGTACCACCCGCTTCGTCGTGAGATTTGACAGACCTCTAGTTTCACCTGGTCGATCCAAACAGCTTACACGCTCGCTTCATCACAATCTACAACAGCCATGGCAGCTACGCAAGATTTCAATTCATCAGATATTGAAATTGACGAGCCGCCGGTGAATAAATTTGCACGAGCAGGTTTTGCCAGTATTCAGAAAATGCAAGAGAACCAATTTGAAGACCGAGCCCACTCCAAGAAACGACTCAAGACCCTTACTGATCAGCGAGGCGCTCCATCCACCCAGCAAATGCGCCAAATGACCATGAATCGATTCGACGCATTCAGGGCGACTTCCAGAAACCCCCCAGACGGCCCTCCTACTGGTGACGAGCTAATCCGGTTTGTCGAAACGGTGGTACGCAACATGAAATCCCGTTATGGTGAGGGCCATGCCATATCAGAATACACTATTCGCGGCTCGATTTCCTTACTTGTAGATGGTTTGTCTTTCCGATATCCGGACTATCGGATGACGAATGGCGAAGCCAAAAGACTTGATTCGTGCATTGCTCGCCTCAGACAGGAGGGTAAGCTCATAAAAGGGGCCAGGAAGCAAGGCTGCTTTGTGGGTCTTATCCTCCTTCGAAATATGGCAAGAGCGTGGATTGAAGACGGGCTCGAAAACGGCTGCCGGTCGTGGGACATACACATCTCTCGTCTCTTAAGCATTGTACTGATGCACGCATGTTGCTCTCGTGCTGGCGATATTGCACTGAGTCAGCATTATGAAGGGAAGGCATGCTTACTATACGAGCATATCGAAGTGATAGTGGAGAAACAGCCATGCCTCGAGAACGTCATCATGAGAGTCTCCCTTCATTACGCTAAGGGAGAAAAAGACCGTCCTCACGAGGCTCGTACGCATATTGTTAGACAATATGAAGCTCCAGAGCTATTCGCGATCGACGCTGTCAAGCTATTATTGATTCATGCTCTTCGTCAAGGAGCATGTGCTTCCCAGAAGGATCCCAATTCTCCGCTCACTACACTAGATGAGGTTCTGCAGCAAGCCTTTTCACGACGTGACCACAAAGTTGTTTGGCAGATCCCCCAGCGTCCTGTCATATGTGGCATCGAGCAGCATGGATTTCTCTCTGCCGACATTCCAGCACGTACCCAGCAATTACGCGCTACTATCCAGGATATGGGACTTAAAGCTGGTGTTTGCCAAAAGCTCTCATCTCATGCTGTCCGATACGGTTCTGCCCGAGATCTCGCCCACGTGCCAGCAGAAGCTTTTCCTCTTACAAGTGCTGAACATGTCGCAAGGGCTTTGGGACATAGTCGTAAAGCATTGCACGCCGGTGTAACGGAGATGTATATGGGGGGACTCGGCGTCGACACCACTACAGCCAGAGCTTCCCATCCCTTCCAGGATCCCTTCGCCCCACCTGTTGCCGACGAGTCCATGAAGAAAAAAAGAAGACGCAAGAATTCCCCAGAGCTCACTAGCTGGTGTCAAGAACGCGGTCTTGATCCTTCATCGCAGAGCAACCGTCGTAAGGCAGCGAGGGCCCTGTTCCGATCCGAGTTCGACGCATGGAAAGAGGAAGCGGTGAAGGGCCCCATACATAAATCTACTTCAAACAGGACTGGTCAAGACACACTTGGGACTACGTCTGGTATAACCCCAACTGAAGCCGAGGCATCTGGTGATAACATTAAGGTCCCAAATGTCGAGCGCAAGGAAACAACACCGTCCAATATAGATCCAGCCCTGTTGATGACCACAGAGGCTCAAACTGGAAAGATTTCTGGCTATGATCAAATCATGGTTAGTGACGATGAAGATGGAGACTCGGTAGAAGCAGGCAACGACAACGTCGACTTGCAAATGACAATGATGAGTCAATTTGAAGACTTGATTGGCTGCGGAACAGGCAGCTCTCATTATGTCCCAAAAGATGACCAGGAAATGCAATTTCTAGCGGGGACTTCCTCCAGTCCAACCCCCGGCAAGGATAATGCTTTTTCTGAACCGTTGCACCTTACCGACGCGGAAAAACTAGCTACAGCAGATATCATGTATATGGAACCTGAGTCGCAACAGTTCTGGACGCAGATGTCCGGAGAAGAATTCATCCGCTTCTTTGCCAGAATCAACATTGTCTTGTGTCAAAGAGTGGCTCTGGAGATGTTCAATGAACCACAGCGTCTATATAACTCTGTCGCCACCGGCAATAGCCGAGACCCGCCGACACTCTATGAATTTCGTTGCAAAACCAAGTTCGTCGACGGCTCCGTGTGTGATTACAAGCATCCGACACGAAGACGCATTGATTCCCACGTGTCTCGATGTGATCCTACGAAGCCGCCCGCAAAATTGCCGCCACCCGCACTTGTCTGTCCCCATGGCTGTGGAAAGGCATACTCCAAGTATAGCAGCCTGGCAACGCATATAACGAGTCACACGAAGAGCACACAAGCGTGTGAATACGGCTGCAACGGAGGAAAACCGTATGCCAATTACGGTGCCTATATAAGGCACAAAATGAGATGTCACGATCCCAGCTGGGTGCCTTCAAAATGCAAAGTTGCAGGTTGTATATCAAAGGTTTTCAATTCAGCGGATGCCCTCAAAGAGCATCTACGATTGTACCATGGCTTCAACGCGGATAAAGTCGCCGAATACGTTCCGCGTAAGCAGCCTAAGAGAAAACTGTCTCCACCAGAATCCGATGAAAGCATGACAACCCCGTCTTCTGGCTAAAAGCTAATATCAAGGGGTATACAGAGACGCTTCTCCTTCCCCGTTTATCACTGCGCCAGAGATCAGTTTGGGGCTTTTTCTGGTCTCTTGTTGATCTTGTGGCAGAACGGAACCTCCAGCCAACCCGCCTCCGCCATATTGGTGTCATCTAGCGATGATCGAATACTTTCATATTTTATACGTGGCCTGTATACCTCACATTGTGCGATCCTACAGCAATAGCACTTATCGCAGCAGATCAGCTCTGCATTTCCGAATGACAGATATCTTACCCCCCGCCCTCGCCGACAAGCAATATCGAGTTTTAAGTGACAAATTACGAAGTTACGACTGTGCAGGACGGTCTATCCGGATGATATAATCGAAATACCTCTATATGCATAGTCATATGTACAATATGTTTCGATAGTATGCAATAGATATTGTTATGTAAATTTCCTGGATTGAACAAGAGTGTCAAGGTGTGGACTCGGAAATCAGGTCAGGACGAATAGAATAAGGTAGTTGATACTAGAACTGGCTACAGGATCTCTTTCTAGCAGCTGCTGCCACATCTGCACCGACATTCCACAGACAGTGCGCTGCGTCTCTCACCGCTAAACCGGATGGCCCGATGGCCGCGGCGGGGAAGCTGGCTGAGAGACAGGGGGAGGGCAACGCAACCACGCGGGTGGCCAGCGGGGCGTCACCGATGTCGAACCCCGACCAGGGGGGGCAAAGATGGACGAGCACCGGAAGCGCGAGAACTGTTCTTTTGCTCACCATGGAGAAAAAGGTCTCGTCTGATTGTGGGCGAAGGGACGGCGTGAGGATCTGAATCGGCATTTCCTATCAAGCGCGGGAGGTTGGCCGAAGCGTGGGGATCCACCCCAACGGCGCGGCTCGGACCCACTAGGTACTCTATTCTGGGGTCACCCCAAGGCATCATCGATCTGGCGCGCCACCCGGACCACACGGGGAGACAAGACACAGTACGGCAGTCGGAGATTGTATTCAAGTATTAACAAACATCGGGAAAAATACTATTCATACATGGAAGAGGCGGATTGAAGCACAGAATTAAACCACTACCGAACTTTTAGAAAACTAAAAGAAAAAAAACCGCGCCACCATCCTAAATCACTAACCCATCTATCTTACTCCCTATTATGGGATTGCTGGGGAGGCTCACTGGCCCCTCAGCCTCTTGCGACTACTGTGATTAGAGCTAGGACTACCTAAGTTACTAACACCGCTGCTGGCACGGCAATAATAACTATAGCCTGCCCCGCTGCGCTTGAGTTTATTAAGAATAAAGCAGTTTATGCTGGGGGTCTGCGGCGGACCTATCTCTATAAAAGGGTCCACGACGATAATTAGTGCTATTATGCAGGATAGGATGTGTAAGATAATAGAAGTAAGCATGGGGGCTGTTAGGAGCACTGAGTTAATTACTATAGTTGCCTGGGGGGCTGAATTGATTTATATAGTATCTAGAGGGGCATGATTAGTAGCAGATATACTCGGGAAGAAATTGTGGGAGAAGCGGATTGTATGAAAGGGCTCGTTCGGGTTAAGGGGGTCTATATGGTTAGGCGACAATAAGTTCAGCAGCTTAGTATACCAGTGTAAGGCCTCCTTAATAATAATGCGCTAGTGCTATTGGGGATCGGTCAGCGCAGGGTAGTTCTCACCATAGTAAGAATAGGGCAAAGACTTATCTAGGTCAGGATGCCTAGCTAGTTAGATAGCCCAACAGTTGCCGTCTGAGCCCGGCTGCGATTCTCAGTCTAGATCTGCTTGAGCTGCCAGTATATAAAATGCGCCCCAAATATATTGCCCTTATGGCAGAGGTCGGTCCGGGCGGTTAACCCAAGGATAGGTATAATCCTGCGCAACTCGGGATTGGCAGTGGCCATATGGCGGACTATGACGTCTCCCTAGATGGTCCAGGGCAGACTGCAATTGACCTGCCGGCCGCGGGGTTAGTTAAGGGCACTAGGCCGCCGGAGGGGGGTACTTACGATCTGCGTGCAGTCCCAATATCCTTTAAGCCCGCCGGGAGTTAGGAACGCGCCGCCGGTAAAATCCCACGCCAGGAGCAAAAGACTATTCTACTGATGCTGGGCAAAACAGGCGTTATATATAATGGTCTGCTTATAGTTGTTGGGGCCGGCGGGGAGATCCTTAAGCTAGAGACAGATCGGTCAGCAGGGGGCTTAAGGGCAGGGGAGGGGAGGGGAGGATAGTACCTTCAGCTTGTATTTGCCCGTGTCTAGCTCCTGATAGTAAATCTTGCAGATCTGGAAGACTGCATTAATTAGAGCCTGGGCACTAGCTGTAGAGTCATGCGGGCCATTACAGAGCGGGAGGATAAATATATTATTGCGGCGATTGATAATATATTTCTTTATAATCTTGTCCCAGAACCATAAGAGCGCATTCTTATTCTTAGTGCCGGGGGTCTTTGCATTGGGATTGAACCACTAGATTATATATCCTAGGATGCGATTAGTAAGCAAGCCCGCCTTCCGGGCATTATGCACTATAACTATATCCTATTTCAGAAAGGGGGCGTTAACTATATTATTGCTAAGGAGATGGTGGTAGAGATCTATATATATAGTATTATTCAAGTTGGCCAGGAACTTTAGGCGCTAGAACGGGTATGCTTTACTATCTATATTGCGGAATGGCGTCGCTAGGCGGGGCCAGTTGGGCTTAGTATTAGGGTGCTTAAGCATCTATGCTTTATTTAGGCGGGCGGTATTCCCGGTAATCATCTGCTTGGCTTAATTAACTCTAAAATCGGACAGAATAGGGAAGAATAGTAGTCTTAGCTTAACTCCTGTAAAATAGCTAGATTTATGTATTAGTAGATCTATATCTAAGGGACTAATTTGCTCGGCCGCTAAACTAATAACAGTTTTGAACTATTTTAGGATCTTATTAATAAACCCCAGGAAGTACTGGCGCGCCCGCAGTGCCAGTTAGTATTGATCTCATTATAGTCAGAAAAAAGAAAGGGGGGGGGGGGGGGGGAGACTAAAAATTATATACGCGAGGGATATGTGCGCTGACGGCACTGGACAGGTTCCCAAGCACTATATATTCGCGCGTCTACAGAATGGAGCACAGGCGGACGCAGCAGTTATTTTACAGGCCATGTTTGATGATTGGATAGATCTTATAGTAATAACTGGGATCTGGGCCGAAAATCACTATAAGAAACTTATCAAAGTTCAGATAAGAGGACTTGACTTCTTGCCGTTGCTCGGGTGTTAAACCGCTCTACGCCTAATAGAACCAGCTGAAGAGATCTCCTCTACTAGCAGGGCAGGTAATATTAATTTTATTTCTAATAATCCAGTTCCGAACGATCGGCAACCTATCAAGGGACTTAAGCTCGTACACCTCAATGGCCCATATGGTTGACTAACCCGCCACACCGGTCAGCATAAATCTTACTATGGTGAGCAAAAAGAAGAAGAAGAAGAAGAAGCACGGCACAACATAACTATCCTGAGGAGACGGCATAATCAGCTCCGGGGACATTAGTCAATCTATCCCAGAGGGAAATATATAGGGCCCTATAACTCACCTGTTCGCAAATAGCATCCAGTTCCTATATAAAGATGCCTTCGCGGGCTATATTAGACAGGCCATTCATCCTTATAATAGCAGCCCGCCAATATTGACCAGCCTTAAGGCGTATCTAATCTCTTAAGTTCAGGTATTGTTTAAGATTGACAACAGGGTAGTCCTGGATAGTAATAGCGGCGAAGTTGTTAGCCAAGGCTCGGGTCTGCTTATCCATATTATGACAGATTGCATTCACCAGATAACTAAGTATAGCAACCTAAAGATGCGTTTCAGCATCAAAGCGCCGGATGCCTCTTTGTGTTAATATATCGATTATACTGGCCATATAGGAATCCAAAAGAGCATAATTGGCGGCCAGGCCGTATCCCCAGAAAGGGTCTAAAGGGGCAATGTCGACCAACACAATAAACCAAAACATTTTCCGCGTATCAGCCTCAATCATGTTGCTAAACTGTTGGATCTTAAATTTAGACTTTTAATACTTCTTCTTGCAGGAGGGGTTGGAATTCATTATTATATTAGGGTTGAGCCATTACAATCCCGTAATAGGATCATCTGTTATATTGGCTATTTTGGATAATGCAGATTAAGCAAAGATAGGGGAATCTAAGAATCTAACCAGGGCACTAAAAAATATAACCCAAGAAGGGTACAGCACAACAGACAAGGGGAGAGAGGAACAAGGGAGAGAGGAATAAGAAGGAGAAAGAAAGGAGGAGGGATGGGAGACGAGAAGGAGGAAAAGATGAGGAGGAGAGGAGAAAGAGGAGAAGAGAAATAAGCCTGACCAACGCGGCCAAAGGACAATAACGCGCGGGGCAACGCAGGCGTTTTTTTCACCAGAGATTGATTGTATTTAGGCCCTGGGGCTCCGCCCAGTTGATATTGATCATAGCAATCATATAGTCAGGGGGGCCCATCCGCCAACGGCGATTAGACCCACTAGATGCAGCCCTGTCAACAGCAAAGCTTATCGCGACAACATCATCATGTGATTCCACTCCCTGTCGGGATGCCGTTAGGATCGCACCCCCATGGCACAATTCTGGGGATCGATGGGGAACACGGGCCGGATCTCACCACGGTGAGAACATCGTCCGTACACACAGCATCCGGCCAGCTCGGCCTGCTCCTCCTCCCGCCCGATACTACACCTCCCTCCCAAGCTTCATGCTGATCCACGATCCTGCTTACTTATCGCTAACCCAGCAGTGGCAAAAGCGGGGTTTCAGGAGGTCTCTGTTCCTTGGCTGAAATAACATGTCAAAATCTCGTTGTACACAATGGGAACAGAGACTTACCAAATATCTGCCGTTCATAATAGAGTGATTCCTAGCTGCGAGCGTGTGGCATGACATGGAGGAAGGCAGAAGAGGTGATGCTGGATAAAGTGTTGGTGGGGCCTGCGTACCATACCGGTCCTTGATGGGGACTTTAAATGGTAAGAACTCGGTTAAAGATCGGTAACTTATGCAAAGTCGACATGTTTAACAGAAGTATCAAAAGAACATTAAAATAATTTTTTAACATTATATTTTTCTAACGTTATATATGTAAAAGGTTTGTAGATTTAAAAGGTATATGAATTATCGTAGAGTTAAAAGGTATGGAATGCGAAAGGTTAATGTAACGTTCCCAAAAGATTTTTAATGGTTGGAACCTTCAATGTTTCTCTTCTACAATGTTCGGACTAGTGTCCGAACGTTTAATCTGTTATCTTAATGGTTTGATCTCTAAACATTACTACCGCAAAATGATTGGAAAGGTGTTTAGAAGGTTAAGAAACTGTTAGAAACGTTTTGCAGTTTTAACGTTGATTTTGCTGACTGTTGAGAAAAAAAATCGATTTAATTCGTCGACATTGCTAACAGAAAACGGTATATGGTCGGAAATGCTAGACAGTTGATTACGTAGAAACCAAAGAATGTCAATAATTAAATATGCTATCCAGGTCAAACCATTGCAGGATTTTAAGTTAGCTACTGTAGTCCGGTACCGGTCGGTATGTTTCAGAATCACCTATTATGGACGGACGGATAGGGACTCACTAGCCGCGCCGCCGTAAGATCGATGGTATAAAGTTTAAGCGAAGAGTCAGGAGTAGAAGCTAGATACCCATGGCACTGGTTTAGGACGTTGCTGGGGCGGCGAACGGAGCTTCCGCTGCTGCTGAGGTTGGAGACCGTAATCGGCTGACCGTTAACTATGATTGATCCTGGTCCATCGGCGGAAGCGCGGCCGTTGTTCGAACCTGCACGAGGTCCAGGTAGAGAGTTAGGAGTGGAAGCCTAAACCCTTACTCGGGCTTGGCCCAACTATTTATGATTAGGTTGGTCAGGATGTTTATCTTGTGCTGAACGGCATCTTCCCATAACTTGCGCTTAACAATATCCTTCTTCAACTCGAGCCAGAGGTGACCGTAGGGGGATTCAAATGGGAAACCATGGGCAGAATAAGTGTTAGGCAGTTCCTCGGTACCTGGATCCTCCTGGAGGAGACCCTTGAAGATGAGACGGGCATAATACTAATAGTGAAGGGTCAACAATCAGTTTAAATGACCTCAAGAGCAATAGAAGTGGAATGAAAGTGTCGATGATGTACCACGAGAGTTTCCTATCACCGCGGTCTCACGAACTGCGCGGGAAACGCTTAGACTCAATGAAGAGAAAATTTCTGCAACCTCCCCTATCGGACGTTTTGCTCACACAGACAGTTGTCGTCTGTCTCCCTCTTCCTCTATTGCTGCGTGGAGGCCGTGTCGCTACCTTTCCTAATAAGGATGAAACATTGCTTTGCACGGGTTATTGCAATATTACAACGATTGTTATCTGTTGTAAATCCAAGGCCTGCAAAGCTATCAGAGCGACTAATAACGAGCGTATTCGATATTTGAGAGAAGGCAGACAGTTGAAGATCCGAGAGGCACCTATGAGAACCAAGAAATCAGCACGTGAAGGTTTTGGCCTAAAGGATAAGGGATCTTAGGCGATTGTAATAGAGACTCACCGTGGAGGCTAGCTATTCCAAGCAGAAGAGCGGACGGAGTACGGAGTCTCATGTAAGTCTCTGCTCTGCTGTAGATGGTTTGGCGTCTTCGGTGTGTGGTCCCGATTACTGGTCTTACCCTCATCGATGATATTGGACGAGGCACAACGGATGATGGACGGCTCATTGACAAATGGTTTCTCATTAGAGGGAAGAGGCTTATAGGTCTTGGTTCGCTGGTCGCTTGAAGTCCAACTAAAGACCGATTGAATATATCCCGTTGCCATATCCTCACTGCGCACACCACGAGATGTACGTGACCGGGGGTCACATGACCCATAAGACTGCTCCTTCAGCAGCGCACCTCACGGTGCGCCTTCAGATCTTCAGCGATTACGCAAATATTGCTACTTATCACGCTACCTTATTCTATTCCTTACAAGTATCGCGAAGTATACTGGATTCCTTCTTGGGTGCGCTGGATTGTTTTTGGGTATACTGGGTTTGTTCTTGGGTCCATGAGGAATGATGAAGAGATCATCATCATCGGTATCCAGTTCATTGTCGTCGCTATCTGAAGTTTCATCCTCACTGCCCAGGTATTTTGTTCCTAGTATATATTGATGATATTTCAGTCAAAGGAATAGCACCTACAGTATCTTAACAAAGTGCTTACCACACTAGATGGATCGGGCATTTCGTTATCTTCAATACATACCCTTCCATATCGATGCTGGGACACCACATGTCTCGTCTCGGTGTGACTACCCAGGAAGAAAATGTATGAGCTGTTCGCCAGATAGCGTTCCCTACAACGTTGCAGCAATTAGAAGCGGGGCTAACCTTCACCGATACGCACGCCATTGCGCTCGGGGGAACATTATGTTCCTAAACCTGGGGAACCACGCTGGTATCAGAAAGAATACGATGATCAAAACCAGGATCTTAAGATGCGCGGTCGGGCTAAGGTGTGGACATTACGAGTAATACACGACCACCGCCATTGGACGCTGCAACAAGGCAGCCCATGTCGAACGCAGCAATAGAACAGCCCATATTAAGCGCAGGAACGGTGGGCACAGGAACAAAACAAAGTATATTGAGTATGGGAGCTCGGGGTAAGATTATATAGAGAAGATAAAGAATAATAGTCGCGTCCAATTATATTTTGTGTCGCTGAACCAGACCATGAAGGCAGATAAGGATACTTTTCCTATGTTCGATACGATACGGGAAACCGATATGGTTTTTCCTTGAGACACTCGATTCCACGCAAGCGACTAATACAGCGTTGGATAATAGGATCGCGCAAATTTCGGAGGAGATTAAAGAAGCACTTGCCAAGGAGTGATGACAACTCTGGGGATGTTTTAAACTGGTATATCCGGGACTGGTCTTTAGGGGAGGCAGACCCTATTTCGATATATTAGGCGATTCCTCATATGCTTCTATATATTTAGCTAGCAGCCTTAGTAGCAATGAGAACCCAGACTCCTTAATACCACTTTTCCCCCATTGCTCCTAGCATTCCTCTTTGCTATTATGATCCACTTTGTTGTTTAGTTCCACGCTAGAAGCTGCCAGGTCCAATTGCTCTTGAGCCAAGCTGACCCCCAACGAATCCCCCACCGAACTTTTTCTTGGCTTCGTCCAGTTCTTTGCCCCCAATACCACCAAGTTCGAGCTTTTTCAAAGCGTCCCTTCAGCCTGGATTCCTGCGCAGCAAGCATGGGAATGGAACCTATTGCAAGCAAATCTGGCCAATCCGTTCGCTGTATGGCCGCAAGGTACGAACCCCGGCGTTGTACGGCTGTATCCTCGCCAGCACGCTATGCTTGCCTCAGAATGCGATGGCTACACGGAGATCGCGGAACATCATAATATCTATGCCTTTTTGTGATCCCAAACTGCCTTGCTTGCCAGCACGAACGATTCTTTCGGGATAGGACAGTTCTTTCCTTATTATAGTATAGCATTACTACACGGTTACCGATTGCTTATCAGTTGCTAGTTATTACACTTCGCTATTCTCTATCTCATACGCCTTAGTTTGATCGTAGCATCGTCCCTCTTGACTTCAGTGTCTTCCTTACGGCATTATATGGGCTCCAAGTCATATATAAACTCCACTATACCGCGTGTAGCGGAGCCAGCAGCTCTATATTCGTAGTCAACTTTGTCGAATGATATAACAATGCGGGAAGGTCTTGCTTCAATAAATGACTGCATGCATATATGTTAGGTACTCTTCTAATATGTGCTAGAATCCCAGCTTCTTACAAACGCTATCCCAGATGTGATGATAAGTAGGAAGTCCAATTCATACCGTTACTTCCGTGCCGAACGCTGGCCCTCGAGAAGTATAAGCAGATACAAACTTGTATCTGTTATCTCGGGGATAACAGTGCTAGGAGCAAAGAGAAAAGGTGTTGTCGAAGAGTCTGAGTTCTCATTGCTACTAAGGCTGCTAGCTAAATATATAGAAGGACGTGAGGGAGCACCTGATATGGCGAAACACGGCCATCCCTGGCCCCCGAAAAATATCTCTCACGCGGATGCGTGCCGAACACTCTCAAAGTATGAATATTGTCCTCTGGTTGAAAAGGCTTGACTATTTGTTTGACTATTATTACAGTAACCCAGCATTGTAAAACAATTTGGGATCCTGATTGTTGGCGACGATATCGCTCCATCAGCAGTTGACAATGCTCTGATATTGAGGGAGGGAATAGAACCATGACACTCAATCAGGAAAAGAGGGCCATAATCGAGCTCGTCTCCCCACACACCAGTTCCTCTTTTGGTTTTGAGTGTTCCGTATCGATCAAAGACATGGAAGGCCACATTATACATGTCCTGGCTAGGCTCTTCTATCTTTTCCCAGAATTCAGAGCGCATGCACTCTTGATGAATATACCGAGCCACGCCCATATAAGCAGAAGCACCCATGGCTTCTGTTTTCGCGCGATGCGGTTTCCGGACACCAAAATATAAGGTGAACTACCACTTTTGGTCATCTTGGAACCCTTCTGAGAGTTCTGGAGGCCGAAAGCAACAGGTAGAATTGTATGGTTTAGATTGCGATTTGCTGCGCACATAGCGTTGTTGTGCTGATATAACTTAAGGTGAGGTATAGGATATTATCTTCCCACACTATCTCTATCCAGCATGCTTTTGTTTCTAGATAACGTACTTGTTGGCAATTTTGATGTATTTCTGGTGAGTCTTTGAAGTATCCTGGTTTATACGCTAGTAATTAAGAGGCTGTAAATACTTCTAATAAAATATTGATTTGCCTGCGCTGGGATTATTGCAAAAGATAACTAAGTCGAGGGGGCTGTATTTTTTGAAGGTCACTGGTTTAGGACCACTTTCTTTTCTTCCTTGATATATATACCAGGGTCAAATACTTGCGAAACGGGCTTGGGCGGTTTCCCAAGGAAGAACTTTTGCGGTGTTTTGAATATTATCTCGATGTTTGCAGCAAAGTCCCGGTCAGAATATGAGTGGTTTCCCGGCCGTCAAGTTGCATCTCCGACAAGGAAGGGAAAAAAAGTATAATCTGAATGTTGTGAGACTCTTCAATTTGCTATAACCACCTTCAATCTCCCTCTGGAGACTGATTTTCTTCTGGTTGGAGACAACGGCGATTTGGAACCGTTCAGAGTGGGAACCGGATGCCAGCACTTCCAATCCTTGGCATCGCGAGCAAATCTGTTTCCCAAGGCCGTCGCTATAAATCAAAAGCTGCAATCTTTTGTTTTTTCTTGTACCCAATTATGTGGGTTGCTTGTCTGCAGAATCAGTGGAGTATCTCCCGATGATGATGTTGTCGAGAAGTAGAATGGAACCGGCAGGGTAAATTTGATGCCTTGAATCTCAAACGCATCTTGCTCTCAGTGCAGCGCGCTTCAATACAGAACCACGCCAAATTTTCCGCGGTGGGAACTCTTTTCGCCTCAAAACACTCCACAGCGATTTTTATAATATTCACAAAGCCCTTTCGAAGTGATTTATTAGTTTTGAGGTTATTTCGCACCTCGGGATCCAGGCGCTCGAGGTTGAAGTCGTGGTAATCCATGAATTTGCGATGAACGCATATTCCGTAGCTCATTCTATTACGCCGGTACGCAACATGTGGTTGCAGAATCCTCAGGGCAGGTCCCTGGCTGATGGCCGACCATGCATGCATTTTTGATCTCGTTAAGTTGCTAGTTCAACCTTGCTAGGATCTGTATCCTTCGCTCGAGAGGACCTACTTTGTAGAAGTCAGCATGCTTCAGGAGTCTTGAGGGTGTGGCTCAATTGATCGCCGTGTAAAACACTACTTACCTGCATAACAAGCGCAATTTTTGATATCTGTTCGACCGCTTCGAAGGTCGTTCTTCGTCACACGAGAGCTGTGGTCTGTCGAGCAGCCGATCCCCCACTTGGGTTCGAGAACTGCTGCGTTGACGATTGTAGTGAACATGAAGCTGTTCCAATGTGGGAACCTCGTTCGGACGTCGATTTGTTCGTCCCTCGGATCATCATTGTAAGGCTACCTTCGTCACATTTTTGCCCATTTGCCTATCGGTCAAAACGCACCGAATCTTCAGCTTTCGGATCGCATCACCGGACGTGATATACTTGTGCTCTTCACTCTCATTTTCAAAGCCGGCGACAAAATGGACGCGGTCTTGAGGTAACATATGCGGTTTTCCTGTACCAGCTGTACGGCACAGAAACAATCCGAACAGACATCTAGAGTGTGTATGGCGACTCCACTAACGGGTCTTTTGAGAAACGAGCTTTTTGAAATCACCTCACGAATTCTAGTAAGGTTTTTTGACAGGATACTACTGTTACTTGTTGTATATGATGATGATAGTGAGAAAGATTCTTTAGAAAGAAGTTGGAGATCAGAGATCTATCCGCTTTATATCGAGTTCTCTTAAAGCTATAATGAAAGCATAAAGAATTAATAAGAGCGATACGACTTCACATTATATAAATGTAAGAGATCCGGGCCCAATATGGCACCTTGACAACCTTATGGCATATTGAAGGAAGCAAAAGCTGAGACTTTCCCAGATGCGAGGGCCGGTTGATATATTCCTTTGAGGAGGGGTACGTGTCTGACTCATATTCATCGAATTTGACGGGAAGTAGAACCCCCGCTCTAAATTGAATACAAGAAAGGTGAGCTGAGTGGGTGAATAGACCAGTAACCAGATTGAATGATGTGGTGTGAAAGTATCAGAAGTTCCCAACAATACACCTTTGGTGCTGAGCAGGAAGGGAGAAATGTGGTGTGTAGGAGTCTAACATTTGGTGGCAGCTTTTGCGAATCAAAAAAGATATTGCAAAGCGCAATGGATGCTGAATTATGTATTAAATGGACGCTTAACAAGAACCATCATGTTGCTAACTTATGACTATTGACACGGGGAAAGCGCGGAAGTCAGGAGGGACGATGCTACGACCGGACTAGGGCATATAGAACAGGGGACGAAGTAGTACGGTAATAGGAGACTAGAAAGCAATCGATAACTGTCGTAATACTGTGCTATAGTAGCACGAAAGAGTGTGTAGTAAGTCCCTATCTGTGGAGTATATACTGACTGGCTAGGTAATCTTGAGCTGAACTGGATTGAAGCTTGATTCAGGGAGATCCTGACGCCGGAGATCAGGATCTTCTCTAGATAGTTAGTTAGTTAGTTATCTAACTAGATGACTAAGCTAGTGGCCGGGTGAGCGGCGAACATCAGCATTGCAGCAAAAATGAGCTGCTGCTGTAATACGAGCTTTTTCTTTCTTTATATATTGACTCTAACATCCTTGTCAGCGTGGACTGCGCCATGGCGGTCGTGACTTCATGAAGAGTCAATCCATCGACCGCAGTGCTATCTGAAATACTCACGGGAATCGTCGAAATGGGACCCGGCACCGTGGCCCCTCCAAAGTGCTCGGTCGCTGTCGCACAAGCTGGTCGAGTGCGAGACCGGCGCGATAAGAGCCATTTCTATTGTGATCTCTGTTGCCGTACAGGGCAAAGGTCCCAGGGCCTTGCAGGGTTGCATCGTGTATCTAGATGGACACTTCTAAGTCAAAGCTCCCACTTCCATCCCATCCCATGTTACGTTGTAGTCTCCACCACCAACAAGTCTCCTAAAGATCGTGTCCCAAAAAGATGCTACTCGAAAAAGGTGAAACGCTTCATATTTATCTATCTATCTCACGAAGGCTCGGTATTCCTTAAGGAATCATTATTAGCCAACAATGCACATTGTATTGTTGTTTTAAGAAGGTCACCGTCAATAAAAGGAGCAATATTGAAACGTTTGAAGTTGCCATAGGATATTTTTCCGCAACAGAGATAAACAACGGATACAATCTTTTTCGTCCTCTGCTGAGACGAAATTGCAGAGGAGAAAAGGTCCGATACAGCGCGCACACACACACACACCACGATTAATCTTGATGGACCCAGTGGCGGCGTGAAGCCAGAGATCCGATGTCTTGGATACCTATCCGATTATGCTAAGCTGCCCCCCTCTCTCAAGGAATGGCAATTTTAGTTCATCATAGATGCGACGATACCAATAGACGGCGTCGCTACGCTAGACCTGCTCCGCGTCTCCTTGGCTGACCTATATTGAGCTTTTATGCGCCAAAAAGCGTTTGCGAGATCCTCTAAGCAGTTCCAAATATTGTATTATTATGGCCTGTAGCCAAGCCATCTGACAAGACATTTAACAATATTCTTACCCAGTACTCGACGGACAATTGCTCAATATTATAGTGTCGAACTGTATTGTTATCCTTATCTACATCGTTCTTCGCCACAGTAGACAGCATCGAAATCCGATCGGGACCATAAAGAAACAACAAATGTTCCCAGTCGACTGGCGCATTGACAGATCTACCCTTAATGATGCGACCAGAGAGTTCCGCAGAAGAGCCCGCGACCTACTCCTAAGTACATCCTTCAGTTCTCCCACTATGTCTTGCTAGTGGAGGGGTCATTCCATACAGAACAACTCTGCATATTTCCCAGAACGCAGAGATAACATTGCTAACAAATTATTATCTTTTTTTTTCTTGCCTTTTCTACCCAGAGCCGAGTTGTGATAGTGTATAGCTCCATGACCATAGACGAAGCGCTCAGTGCATCTCTGGTCATCAATCAGTTGAGTCGGTCATGCGGAGATCAGCGTGTCGACGCGACAACCCACGCCATTGGGCAGAAAATCACCGCTACTTTGCTCGAGAGGACCTACTCTTTAGAAGTCAGCTTGCTTCACGTGTAGTGGAGGTGTGGCTCCTCACTTAATCGCCGTGTGAAACATACCTCCGGTTCGCAGATTGAGCGTAGGTTAGCCAGGTTTGCTGTAGGGACAAGTTGGGGTCGAGAACTGCTGCTGCGACGCGTCGACGATCGCAGTAAACATATTCTAACCTCGTTTAGACGTGATTTGTTGGTTCCTCAGATCATCATTGTGAGGCTGTTGTTAAGGCGTTTCTAATTATTTGGCTTGTTATTAAAAGAGCCGAATTAGAGCCACTTCTTAAATAAGGCCCTACAATTTTGACTCTATATCAATATCCCTTAACGCCGCCCATATCTGACGGCCAGAACTTGGCCATAGCAGTAGGATCTAAATATAGACTAAATAACCAGCACCTCCGTGCCCCTCCATAGTTAGTCTTTGAACTGTATTATTAAGCAAAACCTCGTGATCAGAGAAAACAACTTGCGGGTTTCAAAGCCACTTATCGCGACATACGGAAGTGGCATTATTGCCCGCTGAAATTCAACCCCGCACTTCCTCCCAATCCGGTTAATATATATTCGAGATGGCTGGAATGGTACGTACTTCTATTCCACTAACTACGCGCCTCAAGTCACTGATTCCACCAGAGCGGCAACACAACTCTGTACAGTTCTGCGATCCAATATGTCATCTTCCTGGTTACGACTGGTATCATGCTGCCACGGATTGATCGCATCGGTCGACGTCTGCTATTGCTTAGCGGTTCAGCTATCTGCATGGCGCTACATTTCGCAATTGCAGGACTAATGGCAACTGATGGCCATTTTGTCCCCGATGTGAACGGAAATAGCAATTTGCGCTGGGAGATTCATGGCGCCTCAGCAAAGGGTGTGATTGCATGCTCTTATATTTTTGTGGGTGTCTATGGCTTGACTTGGGTATGTACACTGCGCAAATGGCTCTCTTCGAGACCTTTTGAACCACGAAGATCTAACAGCAGAAACAGGCTCCTACCGGATGGATTTACTCTTCAGAGATCTTCCCGCTTAAATACCGTGCAAAGGGCGTCGGAATATCCGCCGCCACTAATTGGATTTTCAACTTTGCACTTGCATACTTCGTTGCCCCCGCTTTCCACAACATCGAATGGAAGACGTATATCATCTTCGGCGTGTTCTGTACCGTTATGACCGTGCACGTCTTCTTCACGTACCCCGAAACCGCACGTCGGTCTCTGGAGGAGATTGACATTCTCTTCGACACCGACGTCAAGCCCTGGCGGAGTGCGCAGGTGAAAGACATTTTTGCTGAGGAGATTGAACGACACGCGAAGAACAGCATCTCTGGTGATAAGGAAGTCACTGCAACCCACAAGGAAGAGGTCTAAGCTGCGGATGCGGGTATAGAAAGAAGACAGGATCTGATGTGTTTATGACATGAATCATAACGATATGATATCCCACAATGGTAGCCACTAAGCTTCCTGTTCCTTTTTCTGTGTAGAGAATTTGTTCTTTAATGCTTGCCATAAAGACCGATCCCTTCTTTCTCGGATCCTTCGCGCGTCCTCCGATTCTTCGGCACCAATAGACCGGTCCTCGGCATTGTGTTCTTGTTTGTCGTCGGAAGTAGCCTTTGTTGTTTCAGCTCCGAGGTCTTTGGAGACGGAATTGCCCTCCTCTCGTGCAGCTGCTTCCCGTAGCGCTCTCTCGCGGCCTCGCCGGGCAGCAGCCTCGATACCACCTTCACCAAGGAAGTGGCCGGTGCCACCAGGATGAGGAGACAAAGCACCAAGGTCAAGACGCATGATGAGTGAAAAGGCGTTTATCTCCTAGAAAAAGTAAATTTCTCAGTGCTTATCGAAGCGAAAGAATGCCGCAGCGCGTTGTCGTGTTATGCCAAGTGAGAAGGAATCCGGGGAGCTTATATAAGTATATATCTGTATTGTCCTTCAAAATAAATATGTAGAAGAGAACCCTAGATTTCGTCAAGTGCTTTTCGACTACTTTTGTCCCGAGGGAACTACTAGACTTTTAAGTAAAGACCACAGAAAGCATTGCAACGTTGAAAATGCTATTTCCGGAGAGATGATGTTAGCCAAGGCTGGTTTGGGTTCCACCGTGAGGCTATGTTGGAACTGCCACGCTCCTTCGTCTTTTCAACTGGCTTGTCGAAGAACACGCGGGGCAGTTTAATGAACTTATTATCTCGGCAGATTCTGATCTGGACGAACGGGAACTGTTCCTAAGGGGCGCATACAGTTAGTTCTACGTCAAAAGTATTCGACGATCCGCATTCCGGCCCCCACCAAATGAAAAGAATACCTATACCATATAATTTAAATTGAATACTACTCAACCCCCTTTAATCCGAGGATTCTTATCTAGGTCTCATCAATATCAAACGGGAAGATACTGCATTAACACGCTGTGATAACTGCCTGGTGGGAAATTATCGAGTCATCAACGGATTAACTTTCTGAGTGCGAAGTATTATATATCGGGTATTTCTTCTATTGGGAGAGTTGTATTGCTAACTGCACACATCTCTTTCCTCAATTATTGATTGCATTATCATTGTATCTTTGCCCCAAACAGCCTATCAATCATGGCATATTACGACACCATTAGAACCCCGAGGGACTTTGTCGAGGCTGCATCATCTCGAGAAGCATTGAGTTTTGTAGCTCTACATCAATCAAACTACTGGGAAACTGGTGCCAGTCATTGGGGTGTCCTGCAACCCAACGTCGACTGTGTGACGTTTCCATTAGCTACTGTGGTTGTCAGATGTAGGAAGCAGACACTGCAAGAGACGCTCTCTGAAAGTTTCGAACGGTGAGAATGGGATCATTGTATGCCGGATGGACACAATTGGCGGCACAGGACCTGGGGGGGGAAGTGCAGGAAAATCGAGTTTGTGCAGAAAAGAAGAGGATATATCTGCAGTGAACAAGTGGAGATTTTCCTTATCGTTGGCTACTAATACTTGGGACTAAATGGATACACTATTAGTATAAAATATAAGATTCACGGAGTAAGAAAACTGTACCAAGAAAGACTGATCAACCTGGTTTTCTTGCCCGCTTCGTTGCGCAAAATAACGTTGTTCGTATGCCAAGCTTATCAAGAGCGCTACAATATACGGGTCGTGCAAAGGCTCCGGAGGAATGATTTTCTTGAACTGGAGTTTGAGCAGAGAGTAGGTAGGTTTGCTATACCGTCTAGGATAACGCTTGCTAAAGGTGTCGGCGCGTAGGTGCTTGATATCGGAACGGTTGATAAATGCAGCTACGGGAGGTAAGTGCCCTTTGGCTGCGGCAACGGGGTCGTCCCCAAGAAAGAAGACAATGCAGGGTAGGGTTCTGATACGCCGTCCGTCGAAATAAAAATCAAGGTTATTTCTATAATGCTTATAAAATTAGAGGGAAGAGAACAAGGGTCTGTTGGAATTATCTGGACACTGACTCATATGTAAATGGACACCCGGGACCTGTAAGAATGCCACATATGCCGATATCCCGCCGAAAAGCTTGGCCGCGAGAACAAAGTCGCTTGACATGATCAATGACCTTTTGGTTAGGCTGTCCGTCAGTGGAGACTGTTAGTGATTCTGATGGTGATGGCGCCGGAGCGGGACTGTCAAAATGACATTGTAGGAGTGAGACATGGCGGCTAGTCCAATATAGAGGGTCGACGAGAAGTCGTTCTCTGCAATTCAATCGAGCGAGTTGGTATATAGACAAGGCTGCAAGCGGAGGTGAGGGCTCTCTTGATGGCGAAGCTGGTGATGACTTCATGGAAAAGTGCTAAAGGAGTGAATGAGATGATTATCGCCGAGTTGTTTGGGAGTCTTATCTTGTCTTGAGCTGTATCGGACTAAGATTTGGCCGCGCCGCGTTACTTAAGTATGGGTTTCCACTCCGACTCTCCCCTGGTGCATATTCTATTATTTCCATGCTTGATGTTGGGAACCATAATAGTCGATGGCAGAGAGTCCCAGCCACGATATAGGAGCTATCAGTGTCCAACATGCGTCGACGAGTTCGACACCTCGTAGTCGTCCGTACAGATCCCATAAGGTTCCCGCGTGCGATTTTTGTCGCCGTCGCAAAACTCGATGTACCAGGGACAATGTTGACAAAGAATGCCTCCCATGTCGCATGTACGGAGCACAATGTTCGACTGCAATCGACAGCCAATCCAGAAGCCATGAAACTCTGGAGTTTCATTCGGTTCCTAGGAGAAAGCGCGCTCGCACATCACCACAGGGTGACACGACGAGATGCTAATATGTCCGCGAAGGATCACCAAAAGGAAAATTCCACATCTAGTCAGACAGATGATATTCATGATGCCCCAGCCTCTGCGTCTAAAAGCACATTCGATCAATCAGGCCATATAATCGGTCCAGCCATGGCAAGAGATGCACAAATTTTGGAACAACACCTGTCGCCAACCAGAAATAGAAATACAACGAGTTTGTATGCGCGATCAACCCCTTACAGCGTTTACTCTGATGATCCTAGGAATCCGGTCGTGTATATGAAAGTTCCTCGACAACGAGGGATTCCGCCTGCGGGAAACGGTACATCCAGTTTCAGTCAGTTCGAGACTATGCAAAAGATCCTGGAGCCACTTGGACCAGAACTGTTTCATATGTAAGGAGTTCTAGATTAAAAGGGCTGTACTTTAAAGACTCACTCTTCGAAGCTACTTTGATAATATCCATCCGGCTTTCCCTATCCTCGATGAGAAGACAGTGCGCGAGGCTTACAGCAAGGATGGCCTCCCATACACACTCATCTGTGAAATATACGCTGTTTCGCTGCTTCTCTGGAACACTTCACCTATAATATCGGAGACAAGACGTCCGTCGCCAGACATCAAATACATGTGGAATCTTGCCGTCAACGCAATGAATGAAGACTTTTTGGCTCCTAATTTCTCTACGATTCTGGCATGTATACTAGACCTTCTTGGCCGGCCAATAACGTCTATAACTTACAACGCAGTCAATATTGGACGGGTAGTTTCGCTATCCTTGAGTCTAGGATTGAACCGAGACCCTGCAAACTGGAATTTGGACCATCGTCAGAAAAGTCTGCGAGTTCGAACCTGGTGGGGCGTTTTGATACATGATACCTGGTGCGGCCTCTCTCCATTAAGTACTAGTCATGAAGCACTCTAATGATCTATAGGGCGAGTCTTTCTCACGGAACCCCGCCTCATATTCATTCATCGCAATGGGATGTCTTGCTACCTGACATTGATTCACTATTGATGGGCACTGTCTCCACGGCAGATTCCTTCCCAGATGCGTGGATGCAGGGTGCTAAGTCATTCATTGCTCTGTGTGGTTTGACCGAGATTCTCGGGGACATCTTGGCCTTGGTATATACATTGAAGCCATCAAGAGAACACAATTGCTTGAAGTCATTACGGAGGCTCGAGGCAAAGATGGATGAATGGGAAGATAACCTAGATACCTGGCTGCGTCCGGGGAGCTTGGACTTCCAAAAAATAGCTCCTGGTGCCCTCAACTTACAGCTATCATCTCTAGCTGTGAAGATGTGCATTTCTCGAATTGCTCTCCAGGTAATACGCCCCATGACTCTCAGTCTGGCCCTGTTGGTGTATTATGCTGATAGTTCTCTAAGGAAACTGTTCACAGAGACGATAACGATGACTGGGAAGCTAGACGCTACTATCTTTCACAATGCAGAAAGACCGCCCAAGCAATCATAAACTTCGTGCTGTCACTCAACAGAACAGAAATTGATGCATTCTGGCTCCCTTGTAAGTATTATGCCTCCGCTATATGCAAGTGGTCATCTCCATTGCAGCACATGTCCTTCGATAATCTTGACACATGTAATCAGACAGCGCTTATCATTTCGCTTCTGCGGTGACGCTTATACTCCGCTGTGCGTTGGAGACTGAAGATGACAATACCGCGCGAGAATGTGTGACGAGCGCAAAAGATTTACTAGACTTTCTCCGGGCCGCCAAGCATAATTGGAACTGGGACTTGGGAGATATCTGCATAAACCAGAGCGAAACAATAGTCGAGAAGTTGACAGACAATGGCTACCTAGCCTCGCGCAGAAGAGATCGTCATGCGTCAACCAGTGGTCTGAACAACTCAGGTACTGAGAGGGCGGGTTTCAGCATACCAGCGGGGGCCGGTGACACAGAAGTCCAATCTGAAGACTCACAACCCTCCTTCCGGCCATTGGATTCGACTATCTATATGCCCGAGAGTTCTGAAGCAACAGCATCAATGGCCTCTGGAAGTACCATGGTATGTATGGACGACTTACTCAACAGCAGTGCAATGTTCGGATTGGGTCAGATCGTTGCACCGGAGATTCAGTACTTTCCAGACTTTTGGCCCATGCCTTACATGGATGGCTATACGTGATGCATGTCCGCCAAGACATCGGCCTGGTGGAAAGACATGATACATAGAACACGGCAAAGAAGAGCCGGTCCAGGTACAATCATATAATATAATCGATGGCAAGGCTATATATAGACTCACCCCCTTTCGTTCCGTCCGGATTTAAGAGCTAGTCTATAACCGTTTAAACTGTCAATCCCCGATCAATTGATCTTCCTTCCTTTCAGGAAATTTAAGAAAGGGGTATAGCTGTTTATGGGCTAGTGCAAAAATCTAAATAATAAATAAACAATAAAGAGTTAAGTACTATGAAAGGTTTAGCTAGGTATTAAATACGAACTCTTTATATAATTCAGGTAGAGTTAAAGGCGAATAATACAGATTACTGTCTCTACAAAATTCTTATAGAACCTCGCCGTTTTAGTGTATGTGACAACCTTCGAACGTAACTTAATTTGATCAGGAGGTTAAGTATACATGGACCGATCGATACTCGACAACTCTTCCTCGCACGGAAACAAGTTGAAAAAGTACAGCTCATTTGGAAATAATGGCGACGGGTGTCTAGGTAAGTATCGGACCCTTCGGAAAACAGAATGTTGAACGAGATGCGATAAGACAAGCTCTCGACGAGTTTGCCGACGGAAAAGATACATACCCCGCAGCGTCTTGTTGCGAAAACGACCTGGATTCACGCTGATTTTTAGGACCGGCAAGGATAGTTAGCTAGTATACGAGCGCAAATCACAGGAGGCTGTGGGAAGGATATTGATGATTCTAGTCGACATCTGACTTGGCAGGGTTTCCCGTCGGGAAAGGAACTCGGATGATACTAGACACCTACCTGTGAATATCCATTATATAAAGCCAGCCAACGCGGAAATAAACAAGGTCATCCTAGGACATCAGTTAATTAAAACAATAATAATGGACTCTCCAGTTCTTCCGGAACCTTTCGCCAGCATCCCACGGGAGTCGTTCCTGTTTGGGCAATCGCCGATCCAGCACTTGGAAAACATCAGCAAGGCCCTTGGCGGCGAAGTCGACATTTATGCTAAACGAGAGGATTGCAATTCTGGACTAGCATTTGGGGGGAACAAGACTAGAAAACTGGAGTAACGCTGCCCCTTTCGCCTCATCGGATACCACGTTCCGTTTTCAGGGGATTGCTAACCATCGCTAACTGTACAGATATCTCGCATCAGACGCTTTAGCAAAAGGATGTGACACGCTTGTCAGTATCGGAGGTTTCCAATCGAACCACACAAGGCAGGTGGCCGCTGTAGGTGCGAAGTTGGGCATGAAAGTTGCGCTGGTGCAAGAGAAATGGGTGAACTGGAATGATCCTGTATATGATAAAGCTGGTAACTTACAACTATCACGGCTTATGGGCGCTGATACGCGACTCGACCCCTCTCCGTTCGGAATCGAGCACAAGGCTAGCCTCAACAATCTGATGGCAGAGATCGAGGCTGCAGGACGAAAGCCTTACTACATCCCTGCAGGCGCATCTGATCACCCGTTGGGTGGACTGGGCTTTGCGCGCTGGGCATTTGAAGTTGAGGAACAAGAGAAAAGGCTCGGGCTGTTTTTCGACACCATCATCGTGTGCGCTGTGACCGGGTCAACAATGGCCGGTATGGTAGCCGGATTCAAGCTGGCACAGAAGGTGAACGGCTCGCGGCTTCGCAAGGTTATTGGCATTGATGCATCTGCGACGGTGCCACAGACCTTTGACCAGATCTTACGCATCGCGAAAGCTACTGGAGAGAAGATCGGATTGTCACGCGACGACATCACAGAAGCTGATATCATCCTTGATGACCGGTACCATGCGGGCACCTATGGTATCCCCGACGCCACAACTGTCGAAGCCATCAAGTTTGGCGCTTCGTCAGAGGGCTTCATTACGGATCCTGTATATGAGGGTAAAAGTCTGGCAGGTCTGATAGACCTTGTTCGTCGTGGAGAGATAGCCGCAGGCAGCAAGGTGCTGTTTGCGCACCTGGGAGGCCAGCTCGCGCTGAATGCCTATACCGAAATGTGAACAATAGTGGCCATGATAGCCCGTTAGGTTCAGATTAAATACGCCGAGTTTACAAGTTGTCCGTTATCTTCAAGATCTGTAGTGCAGCAGATATATCATATCCTAGGACTCCCTATTAGTTCGTCACTTGTCCGAGAAACCATCTGAGGGAAACGTATGAACAGTCTAGATAATCTACGACAGTTGGACCTGTCTGTCCGATTATTAGATCCAGCAATCCTTGCAAACTAGGAGCGGACTCAAGATTTCGACCCTTAGTGTCTTAGTACTTCCTCTATTGTCATGGCTGGGAATGATTTTCTAATGGAATGAAACCCGGTAGTGAACGAGAGGTCAATTTTAGACACCAGCAGAATCGCCGATACCTTGAACTTCCTGTGCTCCCACCGTTCTCGATACTCATATCATCTACCGCGGCAAGGACGGTCAAATGGCTGATATTCGTAACATGTGTATAGGCATTGGCGTCGATATGCGGTCCAAAACCACCTAGGTCCGTCAGTTTGTGCATTGTTTCGTCCTGTTGCTGTCACCATGCACCACTACCAGCGAGCTTGTAATTGATCTTCTCCTTGAACAAAAGCATCTCCTCGCCTCCCAACCGCTGGAGGATATTGAAAATCCGCTTCCCGCGCAAGAAGTCCTTGAAACTGGAGTGACTATTGGCAAAATTCTCAGTACGACCAGCGCACTTTTGCCTTGTGCATTAACTTCCTTCAGGCAGTCCATAAGTTAGTGTTATGTTACCCTTCCTGGCGGGTACCTTGTTTCTCAAAGGAGGGTATGCTCGCCTCATGGCATCCACGGAACGTCTTTATCATGGGGCAAATCGTGAACTTCCTGTGTCCATTGTTACAGTTTCTTCGTGTCTTCGGGAGAGAAGAAATCTCGAACAATGAGATAACCGTGTTGATCAAAGAATCTGATGTGCTCATCTGTCAACGGGAAGAGAGAATTGTCGATTTTGCATATGTGATACTGCTTAGGCGTGTATCGACACTGAAGTATCTATTGTAAAGTCATATAGTAAGTAAGTCAATCCCTCTGCACCCGTGCCTGAGAGGTTACACGTCTTCACATTTAACATTTCTGCGCATCCAGAATAGCCCAATAGCCCACATGCCCTTTAAAGCCATAGGACGTCATTTGTATACAGCGCCTAGTGAATCGACACCGACGCCTCGCCACTGCCGTCCCACGATTCGGTTGCCAGGATCTGATAATTAAACGTGCCCAGCGTCAGATTGGCATTCTTCCATGCATCGAAGTGGTTCTTTGTAGTAATCGTGCCATTGGTTCTCTTGGTTCGTCGCACCGACCAATACTGGTCGAAAGTCGCTGTCCCAACAATTGACGGATCGTTATCGCGACGGCTTTTGACGATATCATACGTTCCATGATCACTTTCAACTGTTCCCAGATGTTTTCCGCTGTTGATCGGGTCATATCCATCCCACGACTCGACAATGTAGTATTCTACCAATGGATCCGTAAACCATCCATACAGGGCAAAGTAGCCTGAACCATCAGGCTGATAGTTGGCAGTGTAAGTGACAGTTCTATTATCTTGTTAGTTGCAGCAATATATGAATATATATATAGGTTGGCATGAACAAAGTAACGAAAAAAAGGCACTTGCCTCTCAGATCCTGGATTCCATCCTTTCCCGGCAACAAAGTCAAAGCTCCCACTTCCATCCCATGTTACGTTGTAGTCTCCACCACCAAGATTCGTATAGGTGACTGAGTCACTGTTTGTATAGAACGAGTAATAGTAGCCGCCGTCTGTGCCAGTTGAACTGGATGTTAAGGACTGGTACTGGCGCGTGGTCAGAGCAGCGTCTGTCGTGCTGGCTAGCGCAGCAGCGCACAGGCCCAGCAGAAGAGAAGGGGAAACCATAGTTTGGGTATCTATGCAAGGTGCGCTCCCTAGAAATGAGTGATCACTAAAGGAATTCCAGTATACAAGAGAGATAATTCTTTTTGAAGAACCATCTCACCAAAATGGCTGCAGTAAAATCCGAGACTCATGCGAGCACGGCAAGGAACCACAGGCACCCAAAGTCAATCAATCCCCTTTTGAGCCAGAAAGTATGAAGTTAGAAGTTTATTTTTTTTTTTTCTCTTTCCCATTTTCTGGGATAGTTACTGTGGAGACTGCAAATGCACTGTCCAGTGTCAGCTATCGCGAGGAACAGTTCGGATACCTCAGCCGCACGAGAACCGAAACCGAACCGTTCGTCAACTGCTGGAACGATCGGGAACTTTATCTTCGCATGGCCGATATTTAGGGTTGGGCCCGGCGCAGGGCTAAGATTCTTTTAAGCATCGTCTTTGTTCACTAGTAACAATCGAACCGGGAGTCGCAGACCGCGACATATTGTATCAGATTAGGAGTGATATACACTGAAGTCAAATCAATTAGATAGCTTAAGTGGCGTCTTAGGTGTTATCCCAACGAATTTGATCCAAGTTCGCGGTGGTCAGCCAATTATCATCTGTTCTAACGATATTTCTATCGTGAGCATGAGCAAACCACAAGCGATCAAACCAGTTCAACGATACCCGACTATCATAGGTAAGTAGTCAAGCTAACGGGGGCACACCAATATAATCTTCGGTTCATATAACATGGCCCTTCTTCGAGCTTCTCAAACACATAAATATTGCCAAGTGAACCGGAAATCATAAAACTAGCCCACTATCGTAAATGAAGGGCGCTCTCAAGAGATACTGAATAGAAAAAAATTAAGTCTCCTGCTATCTTGCCAACGCCTTCTGCCCTATCCTGACCAGGTCCTCATTGAGGAGCGTCTCCTTCTCCAGTCCATTGACAGACTGATCTATGAGTGTTGCCGCAACCTCACTCACATCCACCATAGGAAGGCCGATAATGGAGCGGCCAATTGTGGACAATACATTGACTGCCATGTTCATTTTGCCCGGTGCATTAATCAACCCCGGTTTTGCGACAGCAGCTTCAACTGCGCATTTTGACTCATTGGCATAATTGAGAACGAAAGACTCGGTTGCACCCTGTGTAATAAAACGTTAGAGATATTAGAAGATATCTCCAGGCGGGAAATGAAGACAGAAGAAAGAACGGGAGACGGTGGAAGAGGGAAATCACATACCCTCATCAAACAGTAGTCACCCAGCAGCCAAGGCTTGTTACTCTGATCGCGTTCACTCATGGCCCCACTGGTGTAGATGAAGCGTAACGGCTTGCCAGCGGAGATATCTCTTGGCAATTGAGCAATAGTCTCAAGGCCTTTGACTGTATAATCGTAGCAGATCTTGCGTACCTCTTCCCAAGGCATCGTCTTCGATTTAGATGGCGTGACAGCTAAGAGCCTGCACTTGGTCAATATAAAAAATGACCATAGATAGATGGTAAAAATAGATTTTTTCTTTCATTAAAATACATACTGAAAGTTTTATAAGATGCAGTGAAGGGGTCAAAGGTGAACTAGCAGAACATGAAGAAAAGGTTCAATACCAGATGCATGCATCAGCATCAGAAAGGTCTTTTCTAGCGTCCTCTGAGTACTCCTCAAAGTTGTCAGTGACAACACATTTCAGCTTGGATATGTCAGCACCGGGGTCCATGTTCTGGGGCACAGGAGTTGTCCGTCGCGCAAGAGCGATGACAGAGGTAATTCCTGGGTTGGAGAGAGCTTGTCGGACGACCTCCGTACCGACGAAGCCAGTTGCACCAGCGACAATGAGCTTCATATTCCTGAGTAACTGATGATCAAGTAATTCTTAGCTTGAGGATGTTGGAGGAGGAGAATGATGAGATTGGGGGCCAACTTGATTCCCTCGTATTCTATTCCTTCCAAAGCAGCCAGCATGTGCACGGCTTATGTAATTGTATTCTACTTAACTAACTATGTAGCTGACATTTTAGAAAGCGTGCGATTAACAGGTGTAGAAGTAACTTGATACTTTTTTATGCAGTTTTGTGTTACAAACCAAAAGTTCACTTTCGTCCAGGGGCGTTGCCATTCAATGGTAAGTCTCTAGCCGCATTAAACCGTACATACTTACGGAATGGACAGAATCTGGCCCCGCCCGTTCTCTGAAATAATCAGTCATATACTTTCGGTGCCCCTAGGGGCTCCAGTAGTGGTCGCCCGCGCCAGCAGCCAGCTTAGTCAGCAGAGTAGTGGCCAGATAGATCAGTTCAGCTCAGCCCCTAGATAGTTGCACAATTAAGCATCTTCGTCAGCTCTAAGAGGTTATGAGCCCGGCTTATCTCTCACTATCATTAAATAGGGACTAAAACAGCTTATCTTAGAGGAGATATAGTAGTTTAAACACCCTATCTAACAGAAGAGCTCGTTAACCCATATAATCTTAATTGCAAGGAGCACCTAGAATTAAACCCCCTGAATATAAGCAATACTAAACCTCTAAAATAACGATCCTATTAACTCCTTAGTTAACCCTTTAGCTAGATTAACTAGCTCCTACGCCCTATTAAGGGATAAAGCTACTAATAACCTTGCCGGATAAAATCCCTGTAGTAGCTGAATAATTAATTAATAATAGCAATTTTAATAACTAGCTTTAGCTAGTTAAGGAAGTCCTTAGAACTATAGACTGTAAGGACTTGATTAATACCTTAATTAGGAGACTAATACTAAACAACAAACTAGACGTCTATAAAAGATAGAGAAAGCTTAGCCTAATAATAAAGAGCTAGATTAGTAGTTAGATAGACTATAGGCTAATTAAAATAATTAGGATTATGCCTAATAAGCTAATATATGCGGACGAGTATATTAAAGCAATTAAAAAGATTATTAACTATAGCTTAATTATAGGCAGACTCTTTATATTCTAGTAAGCTATTATTATAACTAGATCCTAATATAGAATAATTAAATAATATATTACTGAGTTTAAAGATCGCATAATAAAATTAAATAATATAGGCCTAATCCTCTCGCCCTTTAGTGCAGTAATATTAATGCTTAAACAGCTTAAGTCTAAAATACTAGCTTAGACTAACTCCTATTATATTAAATAGGCTTAATAAACTTTACTACTAACAGATATGCTTATAAAGGAATTCTAACAACTCTGCTTTAAAGCGATTAACTAGGGAATAGCTTATAAGAGTATATAAATAGCAATACTAGCAATAGCTTTACCCGCAGTACTAATAATATTAGACAGACTATAAATATTAAAGGAGAAGGTATATAGTAAGCCACCTCTAGAGGGGAAAGACCCCTATAAGTATGTAAATAAGCTCCGCAATAGGAAGCTTTATATAAAAGGGAGGTACTGTCAAGGTGCGGGCTCAGGAAGCAGGTCAGAACGGATAGAATAAGGTAGTTAATACTAGGACTAGCTATAGGATCTCTATCTAGCTAATTTAGATTAGAACAGGCTATTATAGGCAGGCTTAGTAAATAAGATATAATTTAAGGAACTTAAATTTAAATTAAGCTATATATTAAAAATATCTTTATAAGATTATATAACTCCTTATATAATTTAGAAGAGTATAGACCTTACTTTTTTAAATTAAATAAGTATTAGCTAGCAGGTTAGTTATTTTATCTCTTAGGCTAGCACTATAATAATATTCCCCTTTTTAAGATTAAGCTTTATTAAGACTATTTTTAGGCTTTAATTTATTTAAATAGTAATAATAGAAGTTTATAATAATCTCCTAAGTATATTATAGATAATATATAGGCTCTTTAATTAGATTATTATAACTTAACTATTTAATAATATATTATAGTTAAGGGCCTTTATACCTATAATATTCTTATTAAAAGTTTAAGATATTTTTAATAACTTATTTCTTAAAACTATTAATTTTAACAGATAGTAATAAAGATTATCTTTATTTAGGTATAAGATTTTTAGCAATAAGATAGAGTAAGCTAATATTAAATATAAGATAAATATATATTAAGATAGGCAGGTTAAGCTAGTAAATATATAAGCTAATAACCTTAATAATATAGAATAAATTAAAATTCTTTTAATTAAGTTTCTTCTAGAAGCGCTAAATATAGATATTCTAAGTATTTAATTAAATAGACTATTTTATATAATAATAATAGGCTAGGGTTTAATAATAATTAATCTACTTTTTATAATAAATTTAGGCAGTATAAATCTAAATATAGATATAATCTATAATATCTTATATTTTTTTAATAAAGGCTTTAGTATCTTTAGCAGCAAGCTAGTTTATAGGCTAAATAGGCTTAAATCCTATATATAGATAGAACCTATAATTAATAAAAAAAGGGCAATATTTTAATAGTCTTAGAATAATAGGAATTTAATATAAACTTAGCTAGAGATAGCTAATTAACCTAATTATTTTATAAATAGCTAATATAGGCGTATAAGTATTATTTTAAGATAATATTTATCTTCTTAATCTAATTATTAATCTTAAAGTAATAAATAGTAAATAATAAGTTTATAATATTTAGATATTAAATTAAGTATTTCTAAAAAGTAGTAATAAACTAGAGGCCTTAATTAAATATTATAATCTTTAATAGCCTATAAAGTTTTTATATATAATAGATATATAATTATATTATTTCTTTAATATTATAGATAGCTTAGCAGAAAATAAAATACCTTATCTTTATAAATTAATCTATAATAACTAATATAATATTATAACTTTAATAAGGTATAAGTCTAGTAATAAAATCTATTAAGATATCTTACTAAAAGTATTTAGAGATAAAGAGCTAGTATAAGACTTTTTAATAACTTTTATTTAAGAATATAGTATAATAGTAAATATAGTAATTCTAGGTCTAATAATCTATATATTAGTATATATTTAGCTAGTAATACTCTTATAAAATCAGGTTATAAAGCTTATATTTTCTAGGGTATCTAGATATATATTTATTATAATATTTTTATAATAAATAGGCTCTTAGCTTATTATAATTAAAAATATATAAGTAGTTTTTATAATATAAATATCTTTCTTTTTACTAGCAGTTAGCTAATATAATCTTAAGATAATAATTAGCTTTATAGTCTAAGGCTTATAAAATAGACTATATTAAATTATTAAATAAATAAGCTATATCTAGTAAGTCTTTAATATTAAGCAGGTATTTTAATTTATTAAGTATAGTAAGAGAACTTAATTAGTCTTATTTAATAGGCGGGGCTATTTTTTTAATAAGCTAAATAATCTCTTTAATAGGTTAAATTATCTCCTTAGCAAATTAAATAATCTTAATAGATTAATTAAGCAATAAGATAAATTAGATAGCTTTTTTAAGCTAAACAGATTAACTTCTTAGAATAAGTTAAATAGGTATTCCTATAAATTTAGTAAGATTTCTAACTTTTTAAGCTATTAGATTAATAAAATAAATATATTTTACTATTTAACTCTTAATAATAGCTTTTAATTTTAGGGATCTCTAAATCTATAGGTTAAGATTTTTCTTCTTTAAGACTATCTAGCTCTAATACTATAACTATTTATCCCCTTCCTTAAAGAGATCCTTTAACCTCCTAATTAAAATATTAGGCTTTACTCCTTATTTTTTAAGATAGTATATAATTTAAAAGTTAAACTAAGATAGAAACTTAAATTAATAGGCCTATTATTAGTTTAATAGCTTAATTAATATAAAATATTTTAAGTTATAATAATCTATAATAACTTTAATTAGTAATAATATATCTTTAAACTTAAGATATTACTCTTTAAAGCAGTAAATAATTGCTAATAGTTCTTTATTATAAATCTTATAATTATACTCTATAATAAAGAGCTTTTTTAAGAAAAATATAATAAGATATAAAATTCCTTTATTATTATATTAAGATATAACTTTAGCTAATATATAATTAGATAAGTTAGTTTTAATTATAACCTTATAGGTCTAATTAAATAGTTTTAAGATTAAGGCTTAAATAAATACTTTTTTTAGGGCTTTAAAACTAGATTAATAGGCAGGTATCTAATTAAAGGGGACTTCTTTTTAGGTTAAGTTTATAAATAATATAATTATCTTAAAAAAGTTATAAATAAACTAATAATAAAAATTACTAAACCTAATAAAGACTTATATATTAATTATATAAATTAAGGTCTTCTATTTAGTAATTGTTTTTACCTTATTTAAATTTATCTTAATATAATCTTAGCTAATAATAATACTTAAAAACTTAGTCTTAAAGATAATAAACTTATATTTCTAGATCTTTATATATAGACTTATTTTATATAATTTTTATAGGACAGTATAGATATATTAGATATATTTAAAATAGGTTATATTATATACTAAGATATTGTTAAGATATATAGTATAAAAGATATTAAGATAATCTTATAGAATATTATTAATAAACTATTAAAATATTACTAATACTTCTATTAAGCTAAATAATATTATTAATAATTTAAATAAGCTAAGTTAGATATAGAAAGTAGTTAGGTATTCTTATTCTTTCTTAATATAGAGATTATTAAATATAGAAATAATATTAATCTTTATAAAGTACTTTATTTCTTTTAAGTTATTTAGGGTCTTCTTAATTAAAGGTAGAGAATATTAGTCTTTAATAATTATTATATTTAGGGCTTAGTAATCTATATAGATCTATATTCTTCTATTAGGCTTCTTAATAAATAGAATTAAAAATATAGCAGGTAATAAATTTAGGTAAATAAATCTTTTTCTTAGGTTTTTTTTAATCTATTTCTTTAAGATCTTTAATTTATTTTAAAATATAATATATAAGGGTTTAAAGGGGAGTAATATTCCCTTTAATAGCTTAATATTATAGTTATAAAAATAATATAATAATAGGCGCTCAGCCTTCTTAAGAGAAAAAATATTAATATAATTCTTAAACTTCTTAGGCAGTAGATAAGTAGAGTCTTTTTCTTAAATTTATTTAATCCTTAAAGCAGTATTTAGGTCCTCTAGAGTAATTATAAATATTTAAATATTTCTTTAGATATAGGTAGAATAAGCAGCTAAAGAAATAAAAGCTATATTTCTCTTTTTTAGTCCTTTAAGTCTTAAAAGTAGGTATTAGGGTAAAGCCTTTAGAAGAATATTATATAGGGTAAATATCTTAATTAGCTTTAAAAATATATTATAATTCTTTTAATAATAATTATTATTAAAAGTAATATTATAGGCAATAAATTATAAATATAAGTTATAATACTTTAATTAAGAAAGTCTTAAGATAATAAAATAATGCGCTAGTTAAATAATATAGAACTTAATATCTTTCTTAAATAGTCCTTAATTCTTATATCTATCTAGATATAATATATAATCTTCTTATCCTCTAATTCTCTTCTATTAAATATATATAAGATAATTAAGCTTTTTAAAGGGATAAGCTTTAACTTTTAGTCTTTAGCCTATTCTTAATCTATAAATTTTTATTCTTTAGCTCTAATATTAAGTAGGGTATAAATTAATAAATAAATCTTCTTTTTTTTCCTTTTTAATATTATAGGCAATATTATTAATTTTAATTATTATAAATATTCTTTAAGATTAATTCTATAAATAGCAGTAGTAGAAATTTAGATAATATATAATTTTTAAGCCTAGCTATAACTTACTTTAAGCTTACTTTTTTTATTAAAGACTAGCTAGGGGATAAATTATATAAGTCTAAGAATTAGATTATTTAAGGAGTTTAAGAATAGGGTTTATATATAGCTATAGTCTAAATCTTCTAATAATTATCTAGGTATAGGCAATCTCTAATATAATATTTTAAAGAGCTATAATAAAAATAGGCATTAGTTTTATAATATAATAGGCTATACTCTCTTTTGCCTAAGCATTTAGAAATATTTAGATTTATTAGGTTATATAATTATATTAAGGCTAATTTACTCTTCTATATAAGGCTTTTCTAGGGCTAATTATTATATCTTATAATTAAGGCAGGACTTAAAATAAGTAAGAAAGATTAAATATATTAAATAAGTTTTAAAATAATAATATAAGTCTTTATAATAAAGGGCTAGTTTATAATATATTAGCAGTAATAGTTTTTAAGGTCTTATAAAAATTTAATAAACTAATAATACTTATAACTTAGGGGCTAATTATATAATAATATTTCTTAAAGTTCTTAACTAATAGTTTATTTAAATAAAGTAGATAATATTCTTTTAAGTATTTCTTTTTCTAATATTAAGCACTAGAATTTAGTAAAAAAGATTTTAAATTCCTTATTAATCTAATAGAGATTAAATAATTTATTATATATATTATTTATATAATTAGAATTATTAAATATATATTTTAAAATATCTAGAATCTCTTAATAGTTATTAAGAATATAAGTCCTATCTCTAATATATAGCAATATTTAGGTATAAAGCATATTCTTTAAATAGTTAATTATATAAGCTATATAGCTTTAGGGAGTTAAGAATTAGTCTTAATTAATTATTATCTTCTCTTAGATTTAAGCTATAAAATGCTAAAAGTCCTTTTAATTATTTTTAAATTTATTTAAATTAAGGAATCTTTTTAAAAGTCTAGGGGTAAAAGAAGGTATAATAATAAGTATTTTAGACACTTTTATTAGAGCAGCTATAGGTCTCTTAATACTAGGTTTAAATTTAAATATAAATATAGGTATATTTATAGTAAGGATAGCTATATAATAAGTTTAATCTTTTTTAAGAATAGTCTAAATATATTATTATTCTTTTTTATTAAGCTATATCTCTTAATATTATTAAATAGCCTTAAGATTAGTATTTTCTTATTTAAGCCTTTATTATATAGCCGCGAACTTTTACTAGAATTCTTAGAACTTTATCTTAGTTTATTTAATATATTAGCTAGCTTTATTTATAGATAACTTAGCCCTAGTAATATATTTATATATTAGGTAATAATAATTATATTATTCTGGCCTATAGCTAGCAGTAATATATTTAATAAATTCTCTTAAAATAGTTAGTAAGAATAAGGGAATTAGAGTAAATATTATTAATAATATTAACTCCTAAATAGGAGCTATATAGTGTTAAGATATAGGCTTAAGAAGCAGATTAGAATAGATAGAATAAGATAATTAATATTAGGACTAGCTATAAGATCTCTATTTAGCTAATTTAGACTAAAATAGGCTATTATAAGTAGGCTTAATAAATAAAACATAGCTTAAAAAACTTAAATTTAGATTAAGCTATGTGCTGAAGATATCTTTATAAGATTATATAACTCCTTATATAATCTAGAAGAGTATAAACCTCACTCTTCTAGATTAAGTAAGCATTAGCCAGCGGGTTAGTTATCCTATCCCCTAGGCTAGCACTGTAACAGGTGCGGCTATTATAGCAGACTAGGTTATAGTTTAGATACTTACTACTGCTTAATGGAGGAGATCCTATAGGGTTAGAAACTATATAAAGGTATATAATATCTGCCTAATCAGCGATAAATAGTAGGAGCAAATAAAAAGGATTACTTTAAAGGCTTCGCAGGAATTGCCTTAGCTTAGGGGAGTAACCTGTCCAGATTAGATATTAAATTAGATTAGAAACCTATTTAGATCAAGATATTAAACTAGATTATGAAGACCTGTCTAGATTAGACATTAAACAGGGCTACTATAAGCTAAAAATATTAGGATTAAGATGTTAAATAGGATCAGAGTCCGTCTAGATTAGACATTAAATTGGATTATAAATACCTTTAACAAAGCAGTTATATACGCCGAGCAGCCCGTCTAGCCTAGATGTTAAATAGGTTTAGTTTAGATTCAACAACCCGTCTAGCCTAGATGTTAAATAGGTTTAGATTAAACAACCCGTCCAGATTAGATATTAAATTAATTCAGAATATAAACAGCTATTAGGAGGAGGAATACTACACTAAAGAAACCTAACAAATTACCCAATTAGGGAATTAAACCTATCTGCCAGCGCAGTCGAAGGGGGTGTTTCGGTGCCCCTAGGGGCTCCAGTAGTGGTCGCCCGCGCCAGCAGCCAGCTTAGTCAGCAGAGTAGTGGCCAGATAGATCAGTTCAGCTCAGCCCCTAGATAGTTGCACAATCAAGCATCTTCGTCAGCTCCAAGATATACCCTTAATCCCACAAAATCGGCCGCATAAGGTTGAAACCCATGTTCTCCGCCCTCATTCCCAATCACGACTTTATTTAGACCTTCCTTCCAGCCAGAGGTCAATACCCCAAGAGTCGCCGTATCCCACCATCCACGACCAGGTCCGTATAACTCACTATGTCTACCACTCAGCGGTACCTCCAGCAGTACTGGGTCTGCGTCATTGACACCGATTGTGATGTTCCGTGAGTTTGATCCCCAGCCCCAGGATGAGTTGAACGCGATCTCGTTATTAATATAATCAATTTCCACATACTTGCGTCCATCCCCGGTGAGTGTGGCAGGGATATGCGCAGCAGCAGTGCTGTTCGGGCTCAGGTAGCCGATCTTTGCCCCTACAGGTTGGCAGAATCCCTCCCCACATGTCACAATCCTCGCTGAACCAGAAAGGGTGAAGTTGGTATCTCCAGCATAGTAAGTTGAATTCGGTTCTTGCACTTGGATGGACTTGATGGACGGGACCGAGTGGATAGTGATTGTGTTATTGGAGCCTGCAGCGAGCGTCACGAAGACAGAGACATGACACGTTGAGTTAGGAACAGCTTCTGGTACGCTGTTCACTATTATATGTGTTGTAGTGGAAAGGCAATGTGCGAATGTAATAGCGAGGTTGTAGCGTGCACTGCTGCTGCGGGCGTATATAGGAGCGAAGGTATGAGTATCCCTTCTTAATCAGTACATGACTTTTGAGTAAAATAGAGGAAAGACTCACCCCCTGGATGAGGAAAATAGTTCGCTGGGGTAAATCCCAACTGGAGAAGTGCCGCCTAATTCAACAAGCATCGTACCATGGCCTGCGATCTTTGACGTATACGATGTCCGTACTACTGTCATACTTGATCCGTCCCATATATTCCGCAATTCTCCGGCATATTGGAGGCCAATATCCGGTAAATCCAGTGTCAGCCGTCTCTCCTCACTTTTCCAGTTAATGAGAGCCGCCACCGTCCTGTTCCCGGATAACGGTCCACTCCAGACCTCGTACCCGTCATCGGACCAGCGTCTCTGCAAGCTCGCACTCGTCCCGATAATGTCTTGGTTAAAGCTAATTACATCCTTTTCCATCATGACGGCGAGGGAGTCGTTACTGATTGAGGTGAGGTCTGCCCCAATTATCAATGGAGATTTCAGTATGGCCCATAGTGAAAAATGGGTCTGCTCCTCGGGGATAGTGAAGACCTCTGTGCCAACTTCTAGCATATCCAGGTCAGGCCATTGCCCAGAACTGGCAAAGCTGACTTGAGGAGCAGCCTGGTTGAGAATGCGAAATACTGTGCGCCAGTGTGGAATAATGTCATTTCCAATGCGCCATGAGTTGCCAATAGCCGGAGCCCAGAGAGCAGGGAAGTCAATGCCCCATTCGCAAATCTGGAAGAGGATCGGTCGATTCAGTGCTTGTAGATAACGTGACATGATGGAATAGCGCGGTTCAGGTGAAACACTTGGAGAATAGTTCGCATCTGGATAGCCAGTGGCTGCATCGGAATAGCAATTGTCATCTTGTTCTCGTTAGCCATATGCATGTACTGTACATACCACATGGGAAGAGGGTGCTTCCGGCCATAATGTACAGTACATTTAAGCGAATCAATCTCCCATTCCCCGAATGTCTTCGCGTCGATATTTTCATGATCTATGCGGTGTCAGATTCGCGTTGTCTGGACGACAGGCAGGTGTAATACATAGACTACCAGCCTGATCTGGCGGACTGCCGCATAGTTTGATCCCTGAATCCCCATAGACACCAAACAGCAATCCCAGATCATGAATATAACGACCGAGAGATGGGAATCCGCTAGGGAACAAGGTCTCATTCCATGTTAGTGTACCATTAGGGAGTCTGTCAGCGACACTCCAGCCACAGTCAGTGGTAACATAGCGGTATCCAAGGTCCGCAAGGCCCAAACTGACTAGTGCCTGCGCATTAGAGTGCACAATGGTCTCATTTGGATGGCAGCTGTAAGTATTGTATGTATTCCATCTGGTTTATATCTGTTAGTTGGATTGTAGCAATAGACACGTTCTAAGAGGATTCTATACCCCATCTGTGGCGTGCGTGCCAGGCCATTCTCTAGGCGGGCATAGAGAGAAGTTGCACTCACGGACGAGTAGAAAAACAATAAAATTATAAGAAGAATCATATTGCCGTTTGTAAAGTGAGACGATGATTGTTTGATAATATCGGGACACTTTTACTCTATATACCTATCTTCGCCGCGGGGAAAAACAGGGATTTTCCCGGGACAAACAATAGATCGCGGACAATATCCTCTGGGGTTGCAGGTCAGGAGATTTAACGAAGCTTCGAACCCATGTCATCGGCTAGAATATATCCTTCAATAATGTGCTTCAATTTTTGGACTGGAAGACATTATTCCATACCCATTCCGTTTATTAATATGTCCATCACGATATGTCCGCTACCCAATCATTGAATTTACAGCCACCTTTGACATCCCGGTGGGGTTGGGAGGTTCTCCGCAAAGAGAAAAGGGCACTGGAGAAACGAATGATTTGAACGTTCTGGCTACGTAGCTCGATTGCTTGCTTGCTTAACTCTAGATCTGGGGGCGACTGATCCCATATCTATCTCTAATAGCAGACAAAGGATTTAGACGTGATCTAGTAGGTTCTATCCTCCAATTAGGATATCAAAGAGCCTGCTGCAAAACGGATGATATGACGGATCACTCGCACACTTCTTGAGACGCCAACAGTGTCGTTATTTCCCTAGGCAGCCAGAAATTTGGTACAGGTATAATACATAGCCTTTGTGACTCAGAAATCCGTATGAAGCGATCATGTTACTCATATAAATAAGCAGATTAATATAAATATGTAACGAAGGGTTTCAGTGTAAGCCATTTAGTTTGAAGGCGTGGTCTATTCAAACCAACCCAGAGGAATGCAATGAGTGGATAGCGATAGTATCCCATTAGTTGGTTCTCTTGCTGCTCAGTCCTTGGGCTCCACCACATATCATATCCATAGTGTGCGTCAGTTGTTTACATTTCGACTGGTCTGGCTTGGCGTGGAATCGAGAATGAGTCAACCGATAATCGATTAATTTACCTTGGCTCATATCGATTTCCTGACAGTCTCTACATGGGTTCGTTTTAGTCTACTGGCGTGATTTGTCGGAAGAGAACCCAAGTGGTAGCCTCTCATCTGTATCAATACCCAATATCAGAGAAGTCAAGTACCAGGAGCAGCGGCTTTCAATAAGACTCCAATAGGGAAGCGAATCCCCCAGATTCTCCTCGATTGTATTGGATGCTTCATGAATGAAGGAAGTATCCCTGTCAAAACGGTGACCGAAACACCGCCACTTAGAGCGATAGGCGCAATGGTTGTCGTCTAGTGCAATGCTATAAGCGGCCAATGCATAATGCATATGAACAAGTTTCGTAGAGATAGCGGGTTGCCTTCAAAGATAATCGTAGGCAGAAGCCCGTGTCCAATGAGACGATCAATTGTCTTGCCCATTTGATCTTCGTACGTAAGGCCCTACATAGCGCCTCCCCCCAGTCACCAGAGTCAGTGCTAGTTTGCGAACTATAACCAATCTGCTATTTCAGCCTTGTCGCCTGTTGGATGATGTTTGATTATCTTAAAGTGATATCTGAATCATGAACTCCATTTGGCATTTCCTGCAGACGGCTCTCGGGGTATCAATATGAGGAGAGTGTCCATAAGTACTACTGGATTCCCTATTACTGACGTACTGCCATGACTCCTCGTGTCTGATTTCTAACTTCACTCATTATTATTGTTATTATTGTGCTATTGCTCTTGAAATAATTTCGAGCCTCTTTTCCACTAAACTCGACATGCCGCCTCGCAAACAAAACCCGGAAAGAAGATGGTCCATGTATCGACAACTCCACGATGACGTGTCGCGACTGCTAGAAGAAGAGGGCCTCTACTTCACGTTCAACAAAAAGGATACAGACGAAGGTTGCCACAGATCTTACGATACTAATATCACGGGCCGATTTATATGTCGCAATAAAAAGTGTGGTTCTCCTGGATGGTCAAGCAAAATGGTTGCCATCACCATACGAATGTACCCCGGAGCAAGATATAATGCAAGGGTATATCATCAGAGCTGCAAGAGCTGCAACTGCCTTAGTCGCCCACTTCTAAACGACACCTACGCGGAAAGAATCGCATATCGTATCAAGAAATGGAATGGAATCGAGGTGGAGACACCTCATTACTCCGGCAATAGCGAGCTTCCACACAACGAAGATCTGTGCGAGGGATGCAAAGCTGGTCATTGTAAACGTCGGAACAATGGTTTCATTGGATACTACTGAGCAGTACGTCTTCTAGACCGCACCTGATTAGAGATCCAACTAATCGCGATTAGACTTGGCCCCGTGTTTCTGAATGAGGTCAATATACCGTATTATCACCGACTCCTCTTAACCATTCATCTGTTGGTTCCTGGATCGGCAAGTACTTCGGATTGGCCATCGTTCAAAAAGCAGAAGAGAACACCACAACTTTCTCAACATGCTCCATCTCCTGCAATGTTATCCCGAGGGGCACCCGTAACTTAGCTGTTTTCGTAAAGCCCGAATTTCGAAAAGAATCTGGTCTTGGAGTTCTCCTGGAGTTCTTCACGCCGTCCCCAGATTCGCGTTGTCGAATCATCCTTTATTTCGTGTGCTGATGATACATTATGCCGTTGTGGATTATTGATGTAGGTATGGGTGTTGAGGTTGGGACATCGCCTGGTGTTGTATGTCAATCCTGCAATCAGACGAACATGAGTATGAACACTATCATCACTCACATTAGCAGAGGGACTATGACATTGGTCGGAATCATTTCTGTAGCGTAGACAATTGAATAGCCCTGCTAGCTCGGGCCTCAAAGTTCCGTACCCTTGAGCTAAGTATGGGGCATCACGCCCGCGGTCTTTTCAGCCCCATCTGTACCAAATACTTCCCCGCATAGCCAAGGCCAAATAATTGACCATCCGACTAGATAGCCTAGAAATGGCGCGACTTGAACGTGGGAATCAATTTGGGCACAACAATTGGCTGCGGCGGACAGAGCATAGAAAATAGCTTCATGCACTTCAGCTCAGCCTCGTCTCCATCGCATGAGGGGGTGTACAAAGGTGCCGCTCTCAGCGCGGGTTGACTTTTCGTTTTTTCCTTTTGTTTTTCTTTCTGTCGGAGGCATTTAGGGAGGACCTTGTTTGCGTGGAATGGCTGGAATCGGAGAGGCGAGCGCAGTAATAGGAGTAGCGCAGGTCGGCCTCAGTCTCGCCTCGGCCCTCAATACCTACTGGACCTAATCATCCGGTGCATGGTCGCACCTGATGCACGATTTTCCCCTCCAAATTTTACTACACCGAATTTTATTTAACCACCCACCAAATTATCAAAATAGACCCTATTTTATTAGCTCTTAAAGATTTAAAGTCGCTAAAGCCTAGAGAAAAGCCTAATTATATAAAAAATTATAAAAAAATATGGTTACAACCGGTCTACCCTGTTACAAAGATATTATAGTATTATAAACTCCTAAGCAGAGCAATATAAAGATTAACACCTATTAAACAACGCCTAAAAAGCTTAGCTTATTAAAGAAATTAATAAGCTAACTAAGCAAGGTCTATCTCTATTAAATAAAATATTATAGAACTTTGCTAAAGAGATCTATAGATAAAGGCTAGGGCAAGCTTAGCCCACACAATTTTAGGCCCGCCATTGCAGCAAGCTTCGAGCTTTATATTTAACTAGTATTAATATTCCCCGCAAATAAGCTAATTCCGCCCTAAAATACTAAGACTAGTTTATTAGCCTAGGGATAAAGTTAGACAAGTATGATATTAAACCTTGCAATATATATAATATAGATAAGAAGGGGTTTATAATAGACATTATATAGAAGGGTAAGAAGATATTCTTTTACCGCTAATAAGAATAAGGATAAGTTAGGTAGAGGATCTAGCCTGAATCTTATAAATAGATTATTATAATTGCCTGTATTTATACTAATAGTACTATTTTATCCCTAGGATTGATCTATAAAGTAGTAGGCAATAATCTATATAACTACTGGCTTTAAGATTTCAATCCCGATGAATACAATTATTTCTTTGCCTCGTTACCTAGTAAATAGATAAATAATAAGTTTAGATATACCTGGCTGACTAGGATATTTGACCGCGAGACTAAACTAAAGGTGAAGAGGTCTTATAGACTCCTTATTATTAATAGCTATAGATCTTATCTTATGCTGAAGTTTATTAACTACTATAATTACAATAGAATCTTATTAGCTTGCTTTCCTTCTTATATAATATATACTCTACAGCCACTTAATGTTAGTTTATTTAATCTACTAGTAAAGGCATACAGCAATAAGTTGGAGAACTTTATATATAAATACTAGGGATTCTCTGCAATAGATAAATAGGATTTTTTTTGCCTATTCTAAAAAGCCTGGGACGTTACTTTTATAAAGAAGAATATCGACAGTAGGTTTAGATATATAGGCATTTACCTATTTAATCTTTTAATTATAATCTCCTGTTTCACTAGGGATAATAATTTAAGACCTTCCTCTAGCAAGTCTACAGCCTTTAAGCTCACATATATAAATTAGAAAAACCTCTATAAAAGGATTAATTAAGTGGTTAATACTGCTTGCAATAAGAAGTTATAGAAATTTATTAAATTTTATAATAATTATGCCACACTGGCAACAGAGAATAGTCTGCTTAAAATAGAGAACTCTGGCCTTATAAATACCCTTATATAAGAAAGAAAGAAATAGAATAATAATAGCAAACCTCTCCCTTTACCCCCTAGACCTCCAGAATATGGTAATATTGTATTTTATAGCCCTACTAAGGTTAAGAAGGCATAGATTGTTTAAAAAAAGAAGGAGGAGGCTATATAATATACTACAGTTTGTAAAGAGAAAGCTAAATAATATCATAAGGAGGCTAAAGCAGAGAAGGAATATATATTAGAAGAAAAATATTAAAATTATAAAGCAGCTCGCCTAGAAAGGATTTAAATCTAAGCTAAGAAATAGGCCGAGAGATAACGCCAAAAAAAAGATTAGATAGTGGAATAATTAGCTGCTGTATAATTTTAAGATAATATTAAACAGGCTAATAAAAGCCCTAAAAAGACTTCCTGGTCTACTACAGCAAAAAAAAAGAATTAAAATAATATTTTACTAGAGGTTAAAGCTAAAGAGGGTTCTTTTCCTACTATTAGGCGCGGACGGCAGATTCAACCCTCCTAACAATATCAGGATACTATTAAATAGCTTATATAATATTTTCAGGCGTCTAAAATACCCTATTTAAATAACTATTAATTTAATTAATTCGGCGTTGAGATATTCGCGTTTTAATTATTTAAATTCTTCGGGAAAAATCGTGCAGCAGGTGCGACCGTGCACCGGATGATTAGGTCCAGTATATTTCCGACGTCAGCAACGCCAGAGACGATATCCTCAGCTTGATCGGGGATATTGAAGCAACATCGCGACAATTGGCTGATCTCCAGCAGTTGATCACAAGGAATGAGACGACCAAGGCGTGGAATGAGAATGGCCTGCGCAACGCCCAGAAGTGCGTTACAGACTGCGAAAAGACTATTGCCAAACTACGCAAACTGTTGAGGAAGTCAAGTATCAGCAACAGCAACAGCGAACCTGTTGGCGAGGTAAATCGTGACGAGATCGATATTACCAAGTTCCAACAGGCCATGTGGCCTTGGTACAAGCCGCAGCTGGAAGTTTATCGACGAGAATTACAGGGTGCCAAGCAGGATATTCTCATTGCTTATTCTACATATATGATTAAGACCGGGTATGAGCCTCCCAACTCACAAGGCCACCTTCATATAGCTAACGTCTCCCTAGAACCTCTGCAGAACGCGAGAAGTACAAGGGCGATCTTCCTCAGCTTCATCGCGCTCGCGAATTGATCCGAGGACAACTCCGCGAAGCTAAAGCACGTCGGGTGAGACGCGAGCAAGAACTTCGAAATAGGTCTGTATCAATGAACGAACCCCGAAGGCGTACGAGGTTCCGGGAGCCTTCCAGAGATACATACTATGACGACGGGGTTTATCCTCTACCTGATGGCCAATCGGACGTAGATATCGCAGATGTCGAGAATCTTGAGGACTTGTTTGAACAATGGCAAGATGCGAAAGAAGAAGAGATTAAAATACAAGAGGAAAAGAGGAAAGAAATTGAGAACAAGGCAGTGGAAAAGTTTAAGACACAGCAATTACTTGCACTGGAAGCCCGCCGTCAGCAGGTGAAGGAGGCGCGGGCCAACCTACTCGCTGAATTGACCAAAGCACAAATGCCGCCCCAGCGAGCCAACGAGGTTGTGAACAATATCCATCCACTTGATACTATCGACAAGGAAGTGCAGATATTCAGGGAAACGCCCACTGAAGAGCGAGCAGTAAACAAGAAGCCCGCTGCAAGTGTGATGACTGAGGGAGGACAGTCAGTGCCATCGCGTCGTTGGACATTCTGGCGGAGAAGGTTCGTAACCATTGCTGAAGAAAAGCTGGATAGAGCTGACGTTAAGAACCACAGTTCGGGCCATGAGCGATCCTTCTCAGCCGCAAGCAGCACCCTGAGGCACGAACTTCAGAAGGAGGACATTCCTCCGCTTCTACAGGATCCGACGTCGGAAGGGGGGATTGCTCCTCTGGAGGCTTACTTCTTCCAACGAACCAACAAGTATTATGTGCCAAGAGTGGAAATCATCAATTTTGAGGTTCCCAACCAATGGCTTCTGCTATCCGTCATCAAGAAGCAGGACGACCTCGTAAAGAAACCCACAAAAACCCATTCTGTGTGGCGGGAGTTTTCTTTTTTACCAGCCGATTACCGCGAGCAGATTGCCGAACATCTCCATTCAATAAACACGCCGCTCGAGTCGTCAAAGTGGGTACTTCTTCATGTCGAGCCACTGTGGGAGGAACGCCGTCGGAGTATATTTCATCGACGAGCAAAGAGTGTGGATATCTCCGGAGTCTATGTAGTTTTCAAACGGAACAGACATCCAGGAGACGTACGACACGGCATTCTGAGAGAGGATGATCATGGCCTACCGCACAAGGATAGGATATCTTTTGTAGACCCACCTACACGCCGTCGTACAAGGTCTTACACCAACACGAGGGAACCCATCCTATCGAGAGCTCGGGGGTCATCATATCTCCGGTCTCGAGATCCAACCTCAAAATATGAAGAGGAAGATGATGCAATCGTCCGTCCAAAGTCACCGTCGCGATCTCAATATATACGGCGCTCGCGGCGCGACTACGACGACGATAGAACTATCGAGATAATCGACAATGCCAGAGAACAATATACAAACACATATACGGAGGTTGAACCATATGAAGAAATCGTTATACCCGACCGCCGTGACTATCGACGAAGATCTATATCACGGAGAGGAATCCAGGGAGGAGAAGATCGTATCCCTTTGACCATTCGTAGATCAGGTAAGCGACTCCAACCAAGTATTGTCCTGTATAGAATCCGTGAAACTAATCAAAGCCTTTAATCTAGACGAATCTCGAGAACGCTACCCTCGGGTATCTAGCAGGCGTCGTTATAGTCCCCTCCGTCGACAGCAACTGCTCCAGCGGAATGAACCTCCAAGCGATATTGCTGAGACCCTGAGGGAGATTTCAGACTCATCGTCAAGCAGCCTTTCCGATGACGATGAAGGAGATCTCGGACCCCTGACTCTACTAGGTGAAACGGAGGAACAACTGCAACAGAAGATTCTCAACAAATATGTTGACTTGGGGGAACCGAAGGCTGCTGACGATGCTCCTCAGCCGGCCAATGAAGATCACGATGATACGCTTTTAGCCTCACCTGAAAGCAATGGTTCAGCTAAGAAGGAGAGCAAAACTAATGAAGGAGCCAAGTATCCATCCTCTTCTGCAGTGCGTTATACAGTCAAAGCGGAGAGCGTTGTGGACGAAGGTGACATGCTTTTATCTTCTTCCGCAGGTCACCATACAGGTATGGTGGAGGAAGCGCTCGATAGAGAGGACGAGAGTTCGTCCTTCTATGCATCCTTTAGCACACCTGTTATGGAGACCACGACTAATGAAAATAAGCCTAACTCACGGGCTTAAACTATTCATTTACATGTATCCTCGAGTGAGCGTGGAGTCCATATGTGCGAGCAAAGCTAGCGTACTGGGGTGGATAATCGTATTCAACCTATAGAGTCCAGGCAGTTCCACGTAAATGAAGTCATTTCATATAAGTTAAGGACTTCATGATATATGTTCCATATTTGGCAATGTCCGCCTAACCCCAGTTGACAAAATAATAGCTATATGCGACGGCTTACTGATCCAGCACTCCACAGAATCCATCATCAGCTTAGATGTCGAGCAACGAATCGTCAATCACGACTGTAGGCTCCAGTCTCAACAGACATATTTTCTTCCATGGGTACTACAGATTTGGGGACGAAGCAAGATCATGCTACTCACCATAGTCGCCGAACGTTAACATAAGTACTTGTACATGATAGACAGTGCACAGGCAGGGTGTACAGTACAAAGAGACTAGCTATTATTACTCCGCACATGCGGATGGCGCTGAAAGGCGGGTCTCGAGTGCAAATAACACTTTTTCCTATGCGCTTGGGTCAATTGGAAGACGGCAGGGCCCTTGACTTGCGATCACTATGTTCCTCAATTGGAAACAAGACGGGGTCGCAGGTCAAGGAAGACCAATTTGACAACAGAATTCTCTGAACACGACGGGGTCAACACTCCGCATGGACGAAGTACATCGGCCCCCATGTTCCAGCAGGTTCTTTGCGCACAATGGGAGCAGTTGCCATCTCTCTATCTCCAGGCAGCTGGATTCTTTTGTCAGGGATACAGAAAGAGGGGTATTTGAACCGGAATTCCTGCGCGGGGAGCTTGTTCACAACGGGCTTATCGTCGAGTCAAAAGACGACGGGGCGTTCCTGGACTTCACCAGAAGAACCATGGCCCGCGAGCCAATCCCTGGTTGATAGTGGCTTCCAGTTCCGCCCTGAGACGTGTTGATCGTGCAGTTCCATTATTGGGAAACGGTATGAGGGTTGTTCACAGCCTCAATCTCTGCGACGACGCGCGTTGGTACTTAGCGGGACCAAGGGTTGTTCCTGGAAGGGTAAAATGTGGTTCTTGGCGAACATGTCTGTTTCCATCACATAGTCAGCGGAGGATGGTAACTGAATATACTGCGAGTGGAGTACAGTGAAGACGTTTATTATGGAGGTCGAGTTGGTATAACAATTGCTGATGGTTAACTAGTTCGTAGAGATGCAGCAGCATGCACTAAGAAGATAGTGATGGTCCGTGGGGAGTGATAGGCAAAATTAAAAACAGGTACAGGAATCTAGTTCAACCCGCTCGCTATTTTTGGAGAGAGTCGAGGGTCACTCCACCACCCGCTGCTACGCCACACTGCGGGAGAGAGCTTGTCACGGGCGCATCCAGCCTTTATCAAACCGCGTTCTCCCTCGCTCCCACGACTCGTACTGTATCCAGCCAACAGATGGAGCTTGCTGCAGTTTGATCCAAGCCTCCCACATCTCTGTTGACAAGGAAAACGGCTTCGAGTCCCGGGCACTCAAGGTAACCGTCATCTCTCTTCCAGTGACAGGCAATATGCTGGACGAGAACCTCCCAAGTAGGTGATGTCAATCGATATATGCTCCTGTGATGACCTTTGATTCCTAATTGGCACTAGCATTCTATGTCAAGTCAAATGGCGGCCAGCAAAAACACAATGCCACGATATACCTGTGCCAACATGGAAACGAACCGGAGCCCGCATACTCCCTACGTCACCTCGATCCTGCCCTTGTCGAATCCAAGAATCGCTACGCTGTTGCACTATATGACCCATATGTCCCAGACATCCTGTACGGAGAAGTGTTGCTGATTCCAGAGTGGACGCAACCGTCGTTGTCCCAGGAGGCTATTCGACAGAATGGGGGCGTTCCACCTCCGCCAGAACCAATTCTCCCGACACAGTTCACCATTCAACTCTACAACCCAGACCAGCAAGTGATTGTTCGATACAAGCATAAGACGTGGAACACCCCTGCGTCGTGGGAGTTTGAGATGCCACAGAAGACCTTTCGACAACCGTCCAGTTCCACTCTGGACCGCACGCAGAGCGACCCCGCTGTGTCTGAAGTGACACCCAAATTGAAGTTCAGCTGGCGCAAGGACGGCAAGCTGTCGAAAGACCTAGCTTGCTTCCTGGCCGGAAAGACGACGAGTCCTGATGGCACGAAGACGAAGAATAGGGAACCGGATATTACCATCTCGATCTTCAAGGCGCCCAAGGAAATCACTCTTTACGAGCCAAATCTCTACCGTGTTGACATGGAGGACTTCAAGGGTCTGGAAGTAGTTCTGATGCTGGGTGCAGTGGCCATTCGCGATGTCTTCTTCACGCCGCTGAAAGCGGCGTTCAATGTCTCAGACCCCGTCTCCGCTGCAATGAAGAGGAAGAACACGCCGCCTCTGTTGGCCATCAAACCCGTTGCTAATGGAAGGCCTACCAATGGTCAGCCTCAGGTGCCTCGGATTGCTGTACCGCAGAAGGACAGCCCAAGACCGCCGCGCCTAGACCCCCGCCGTCAATGGGAGATCGAGGCAGAAAATGCACGCTTGCGTCAACAGCAGGAAGCAGAGGTGCAAGAAAAAAAGAAGCGCGCGGAGGAAGAAGAGCGCAGGACCAAGAAGCTGCTCGAGGCCGAAGAGAAGGCGAAGCGGAAGAAGCAGGCAGAGATCGACAAAGAAACGGAGCGATTGAAAAGGCTCTACGGCCAAGAGGAGGAGCAAATCCGTCGACAGCAGCAGCAGCAGGTCCCACGGCCCTCGCTGCCGCCGCGTCCCAGCAACCAACGTCCAGCGCAACATCCGGCGCAACATCCACATGCGGCCCAGGGATACTACCCGGTCCTGGGACATGCGCCAGGTCCATATCTGAATGTTCCTGGCGGATACAGCAGGACGCAGTCATCGGTATCCTTTGCAGCGCAGCCTCGGCCACAATCGTCACTTATGTCGCCGACGCGGATACCGCAGCAACAACACCAACTGAAAGAGAAGCGGAGCAGTTTCTTTGGACTACGAAGGAAATCAGATGACAACAAGCTCGCTAAAAAGAAGAGCGCAGTGTTTTAGACACCGCTGAGGCCTTTTTTCGTTACATTGTTGATACCCCTTTTATGTCTTCTTCATGGAAAGACAACATCTTGTTTTGGTTGGTTCGTTCGGAAGTCAAGGCGTTTTTGGGCACCTCGCATGCAACAGGGATATAAAGGTGTTTGGTCATGACATGGGTTAATGGATTGTTATGTATGTACACCCGATATGCTCTTCTGTCTAGAAGATGGCGTGGTGGCATAATCAGGCGGCAGCAATGCCAACAGAATGAAAAGAAATTACGAATGAAAGTTACATATTCCACGCCACGAGGCATCTAGCCCATCTATAAAAGCGGCCTGGCAGCCACACCCTCTATCGTGAGGATCACTGGCTCGATCTCACCCTTCTCGTTGAAATACATACGATCGATGCAGACCACGCGATGATCTCGAGCGGTGTCATTGAGATACCGGCGATGATAGGAGATATAATAATCATGACCGACACGGAAGACACTGTGACTTCCAGCTCCCGTCCCAACCGAGTTGTTACCGGTGAGAATCTTCGTCGCCGTAGTGGAAAAAGGACCCTTGGGCGAGGTTCCCGTCACGTAGCTGACGCCGTAGGAATCGTCACCCCATCTGATATCAGTCAGCAAAACGATAACTCGAACATCCAAGGAAGAGGAATGGAAAAACTCACCCGCCAACACTATACATGTAGTAATAAACCCCATTTTTCTTCACCATAAACGGCGCCTCCACATAATCAGGTGGCGTAATCTCTTTAAACTCCCCCTTTGTCGTAATCATATCATCCTCCAACTCCACCACAACCCCATGACTCCAGCCTCCATAATACAAATAATTCCTCCCGTCATCATCAATAAAGATATCCGGATCAATAGGCTCCGCACCAAATTTCACATCAGGAATCAACGGTTTTCCCAGAACATCCACAAACGGTCCCCCAGGCCCAGTCACTGACTTGGCTACTCCGATCCCCGCCCCATCTCCAGCCGAGAAATACATATAGTAAGCTCCGTTCTTATACGCGACGGTAGGAGCCCACGCCGCGCGGTTCGTCGACCATGGGATATTCGCAAAGTCGAGAATCCGCGAGTGTTTCTTCCAGGATGTCAGATCGTATGAAGAAAAAGCGTCAAAGTACGTCTGGTCTTCGTATGCAGCTGAGACGCTCGGATAGATCCAATATTGGCCTTCGAAGATGCGCGCATCGGGATCGGCGTACCAGCCTGGGAATACGGGGTTTCCAGCGCGGCGTTCTCCTTGTTGTTCTGGATGTCCGACGCGGCGGATGGGGTAGTTTGGTCCGCCACCCATGGTCAGAGCAGTTGTGAATGTTGAAATGAGCAACAGGAATAATAGAGAGTGATGTGGAATTGAACCGATCAGAAGGGATCTTTGGACTCTCATCGTCGGGGAACGCTGCGGGGGTAACCGCCTCCGCTTTCCACCTGTACTTAGGAAGGATGAGAGGGAACTCTCCTTGGTCGTGGATATTTCTCCAACCTTGACACGAGAGATGCCCTTTTGCTTCCCTATCCCAGATAGTAGAAGGGCAGAAGAAAGTCTTCGCATTATCATCACAAAAGTGGGATCGTCTTAACATTAAATCATCCTAACCATCCATGCCATCCTACCCCTCTGGAATGCAGAATGCGTCGGTCGATCCTGGCCTCGACCCTCTCCATTCCACATAACGGCGCCTTTTTTTTTCATTGGGGTGATGCATTAATGCAGGTGATTATTTTGGCGAACTTACAGTATCAGTGAAAGATTGACGATGGAGCGATGATAGTAAGCTGAGCGTGCATTAGTCCTTGGAAGGTTGTTTCTTGGCCACTTGCCCTAGTCTTTAGCTATCAAGGCTCCAATAACCGGACTCTGGGGTCTGGATGCTAGTCTAAAGAGGACCTAAAAGACTAAAGGATCATGCAAATAACGGCGTATCTTGCATTAGTTATGTAAATGTAAAGTCCGGATAACTAAGTACCTAGTAGTTAATATATTTCCCCACATGTTTCTCTCTGACCGAATCGAGGAGAAAGGCTCGCATTTAACGAACGACACTTTGTACAGTATCATCTCACACGCAAGTATCCAATATATGTCCAACAGTTACCACCGCGCAGTAACCTGCCTATTCTAAACTACAGCCTGCTAATAATCTACATAAACTGACCGTCGGCTCCAAGCGACTCTTCTGTTGTCCGAGAATTCACCCAATCACGGCCGGACCCACGGGAAGATCTAGACCACACAATGAAAAAACAAACCTGGGAGAAAACATTCAATCCTCGCTCGCATGGCTTAGTGGTATAGCGCATCACTAGTAATGATGAGATCCTTGGTTCGATTCCGAGTGTGAGCAGCATCGTATGAAGTCTTACTAGGACTTCGACTTCTTTTTTGGACCATACGAGTTGGTTTTACTTTTTGACATGGTTCAATTGAGGAGCAGGGATTGTGTGTGAAATATGTGAAGCATGGTTATTGAGTTGGAGGCAATTGATGAGATTTATCATGTGTTTATCATCATAATGTTACAGTTTGTAAGATTGATATTACATCTAGCATCGATAAAGCCGGGCCTGTTGACTCTCACTTAGGTAGTTAGGATACCGCTAAGCCATCTTCCTGCTTCTTCCTCAGCTGCTTTGTTTGCCCCGGTTGGGGTAGAGCTTTCATCTGCTGCGGAAGTTCCCTGAGCGGGGATACGAACAAGCTTCACTCGATTCTGGCCAAAGCCTTTCTCCCGACCAAAGAAACAGGCTCGATGCATGACCGACACCATCTCCGTAGCCTGGTTCTCTAACACTGTCTTCTCAATGACTGGTTTTCCACGGCGGCGCCGAGTCCTCCTGCCCTCTTCCTCCGTTCCGGCTTCGTCCTCTATGCCGAGGCTCTCAAAGTCTAAGATAACCTCTTCTGGCTCAGTGATCCTTTCCCCAGGCACATAAAGCCGTACCCACGGCAGAGTAACCTGTGATCGGCGAATACTGGGAGACGTCCAGCTATCCGCACTCAGTCCGTAGTCGAGACCGTACGGTGGCCATCGAGACAGAGCTTTTCGGCGTCGGACCGGCTTCATGTCTGCAATGGGGTCGATCTCAGAACCAGACGTAGAAGGACTGGTCGATTCATCCTCAGGGGGCATGTAAATGTCCCAAAAATCAATCAGCTCCTCTTCTTCTTTCGGTTGTGCAGAAACCGGAACAGGATAGTCGGGTCCAGTCAGATACTTCGGAAACTCCAGCGGCACTTCCTTTCCCGCTGAACGCAGGAACAGAATCGGAGATGCAAATGGGTCAAAATACTTTTCCGGTTTCAGAAAGAACTTCTCCCTAGCTTCGAGAAGAGGAACAAGATCCCCAGGCGCAGCCGCGGGACGCCTCGTCCTCTGTCGCGGGGGCTTCTTAGCCGCTTCGACTCCGTTCGACCCTTTCTCTCCATTGCCCCCAACAGCAACATCCGGATCTACCTCATCCGGTACAGAGACACAATAATCGTCCAAACCGACCCAATCGCATACAGGCTCGTATGCGGCAATGGCTAGTATAGACCGCGGCTCCGTGAGCGCCAGCATCACCGCCAGAGAGCCACCGACATGTCGGCCATACACGCAGAGCTGCATAGGTCGAAGATTCTGTAGAACCCAATCGAAACCAGCCAAAGTATCATGAATAGGAGTAGGGTATTTGTAAAATTTCGCCGGCGGGGGGTCGTGACTTTGAGGTTCTCCCGGTAATGCGGTTTCTGGCCGCAAGAGCTGTTTCCCAAGGCGATAATTCACCGTTACGACCGTGGACAGAGTGGTGTAAGCCAGGATATGTTGCGGTGAAAGAACGTCAATATCCGGAGTATATTCCGACAGGTAATCGTCCCCGTTGGTTCCATTGCTGTCGGGTTCGTCCTGCTGAAACAGTGGACCAGGAGGGAGGTAGAGGATCACATTTGGGCGCACGTTCTGCGGTAGAGAAGCGGGATGAAGGATACTTGTCAATTTCAAGTGTTAGATACTTCCCGTGGAAGAACGGAATCTAGCTCACGAACCTCAATGATAAAGATCCATCACCGCCCACAGGTACATCGACGGTCTCTTCAAAGTACGCGGATGGAGATTGCGCAGCCGAGTAGAAGCGGGCTCCCGCGACACGCGAGAAGCAGCGGAGTGCAGGAGGTCTGCGCAGACAAAAGGATGCTGCCCTTTGGAGAGAACCGATCAGGGCGTGCATAGCACCATTGTTCTAGCAGACAGGCCGCGCTGTGTGCGAGGAGGCCTTGCAAGGGTAATCAATTGTTTTTCTGTGATCCTCGAACGGTGGTTCTTGGCAGAGATGCTGCGGCTTATCTTATCGAGATGGGGAAACAAACCTCTGATAACTAGAACCGAAGATAGCATCTTGAGCAAGATAGTCTTATTTCTTCAAGGAGGTCCTAAGAAGTCTAGAGTGTGCTGCATTCCTAATGGAAGGAGAATATAAAATCAGGGGCGTCCCCATTGTTTTATTGTCTTTGCAGAGGTTAAAATGTACGATATATATATGTGAAACCGCACGCTCAACAAACACAGCAGCTCAACGCAACGCTTGTCAATGCTTAATATAGGGTAATAGAATGAAGATATACGCCTGGAAAGATGATCATACTTATGTTGAGTATATCAGCCTAGTCGATGAACCATGTCCCTTTCTCGGTTGTTGCTGAGGCGGCTGGGTCGTCACAGTCGAGAGCCGCTTCAGTATCCTCTTCAGCAGGGGACCTGATAACCTGTAAGGACAGTTTTCGGTCCTTGGAATATACCTTCAATCCGACAACGCACACTGCATTCCATGGATCGCAGGATGTCTCCTCTTCGTCCAACCGGAAACCAGCTTCCGTGGGATGCTTGCTGGATTTGGCGTCTCGCGGCTCCTCAGGCGGCATATCGATGTCGGAGTCAAACTCGAATCCTTCCAGCAGTCCCCTTTCGTCATTCGCAATACCATCAATTGCGAAATGCGTGTCAACACTCGGACGCATAGGCTTTCGAGTCCCATTAATACCGTTGGCAGTGGCGGAGCCATTTGTCGAGGCGGGGGTGGTTCCATTGCTAGGCTTGGAGGATTTGACTTCATCCGCAACAGTATCGTAGGTGATTGGCGTTTCCGCGTAAGTCACCGTGGCCTGACTTATGGAGCGAGAATGCCTTGCAGCTTGTCGTTCCTGACGTGCAGCTAGTTTCTTGTTCCTGATGTATTCCTTCTTCTTCCGGGCCAAAGTCACCTCGCGTAACTTGCTCCTTTCCGCGATTCTGTGATTTTCCTCGCGCTCCTCACGCTTGCACTTTTCCTGCTCAGTCTCTATCGGCAGGCCTTTGGCGTGTGCCAGGTCGTATGAAAGACCTATCTGCACTAGCTTCTCCCGGCGCTCCGAGGCTACCTGCCGTACAACGTCCTCTGCAGTCTCTGCATTGGTGTTCCGAAAAGCAGTTACTTTCATAAGCACATAGTAACGACCGGGATCCAGCGTGATGTCAGTGTTTATGGACCGCGCCATTAGATAGTGAGTCCGACTGCGGATTATGTAGTCTTCTTCACCCTCCTTTTCCAGGCGGAACTGCAGAGAAAAGGTGTATTGGCCATTCAGACCCCTGAAGTAGCGAGTGTCCAACTATTGATGTAAGTCTGGATGTTCAGCAGCTTAGAAGGACACCTTCACTCACCTGCGAGAGGACAATGACCACCGGACTTGTCTTGGTGAGTTCGATGACAAATTTGGTGCTATGGTAGTCTGCAGACCAAGGAACATTCAGACTTGTCCATTGTTGTGTTATCGTCCACTCCGATCCGAACAGGCGAGTTCTGTCAAAATGTTGATACCTCTTCAGAAGGTCGTCGTACGAGATCCAGAATACCTGGAAGAGATATTTGAGCATCTTTCCCGTATAATTGTAAAAAGGATATTCATACCCCATCATTCCCAAATTTATGACCAAGACGCTCCATCCACTCCGGCGTCCACTGTTCTGAGCCGTCACTCCAGGGGCCACTCCATTCCTTCGTTCCCCATGGGTTCCGCAGACGAAGAAGCCGTTGGCCTTCTACCTCCCGCGCTTCCATGATCGAGTAGCAATGTCGTTCGGTGATCCCCTTTCTGTCCCTGGCGGGTCCTCTGTACTTGGGATCCAGCCAATTTGAGAATATGCCGGTGGTACAACCAAACAGAAACTCTTTGTTCACCTTCATAAGCTCTTCCTTCCAGAATTTGTCTTTATCCAGTATATTACTAGACAATATTTCAGTGCTCACTCCACCAGTCAGATCCTCGATGGCTTCCCTATGTTGCGTCAGTCCGCCCAAGATTGCATATTGGTTAATTGAACTCTTACCCTACGAAACCACCTTCTATGGCGGAATAGTCACCATGAGCCTTTGCATAAGCCTTTTCCAACAATGGCAGCCATGTTTCATTCTCATCCGCGCACTGCGCAAAGTAAAGAGCTCGCGATCCGGTCTGCCAGACCTTTCGATATTCCTCTTCAGTGTCGTTGCGATTGATATCATCCCAGACAGGACGCTCATCGATTGATTCATCGTAATCAGCCGCCCGGAGATAGAGCTTGTCATCGATGATGCACTGCTGCCATTCGCCATCTGACACTTGAATGTTAGCAGCTTATCTTTCAGCCGGATTCGGGGGCACAGTACCGCGGTAGAAAACGAAACCGTAGACGCCCACGGTCTCGTTCCTAGCCACACAGATCTTCTCAATTAGACCATGCTTATTGCCCATGGTGCAGAGCGCAGCCATGACCCAACAATCACCGTCGCGGCCTTGCCGCACGTCTCCCGCCGTGGGTCCGTTTATATAGAACCGGGGATTTTCAAAGATCTCCTGGAATTAAATTGTCAACATGGAATTCGACTCATGGTGACGAGAAATGAGATTCAGGGCTACGAACGGTGACTCTCTTGACTCCTTTCGGGCGCAGCTCGTCGTTGGTCCCATTTAGCCCATCGAGACAATCTCTCCTTCCTGACTTGAGATCGAATTCAATGTCAAAATGCGGATCTGTATACTTTTGGTTCACGCGGTTGCATTCTCTGACGATGCGGTCAACCGCACGCTGGCACTCTTTCCTGGCTTGCTCGTAGGATTTGACTTCATCCTGGCCTTGGACGACGCCCTTTGGCATCCGAGCTGCTCTCGTGCGCGCATACGGGTTGTCCGGGAGGACGGTAAACACCTTTCCGGGATATTTCGTATTAAAGCGTTCCCAGAACTGCTTGACCGTCTCCTGGGGTGGTTGATTCATCGCTCTCCGCGGGGTTCGGGTTCCACCTGAACGAGAAGATGGAGGGCCGTCGGGTGGTTCGAGATCAGAATCCATTTGTGCTTGGAGCCGTCGACGGTAGAAAACGTTTGGTTAGGTGTGCAATTGACACAATTATTATTAATGAGCTGGAGCACAATTCAACTGTGAGGCGCTATCCGAGACGGCCTTTTCAATAGTTGGTTTATCCGTCGCTAGAAGAGGACGGTGCGCATCTCCACGGGGCCCTTTGGTAGAAATAGTCGACGACAGGTCGCCTAGTCAATAATAGTCTATCTTATGAACTGGCTCTCTCTGACGTTGTAGGCTCAGCAACTGAGGCTGATCATCAATCCGCCCGACGGACATCGCCGTGCCTCATGAGGCAACGACAACGGCCGCTGTGCCAGCTGGTCGAGAGACTGTGCGCTGAACGGTCGAAGTCATAATAGTACGCAGATCGAGAGACACCGCCATAAGGCTGCAGGCCCACGCCGGGCCATTCTGAATCCCTGCAAGTCGCTACTTTAGCAGCAGCCCCAGATACCGCAAGAAAAGCCTGAAACACGATCGCGATCCCAGCTATCGGCCACCCCGCGGATTTTGGGCAAATAAGAGCTGGCATTTGGTGCTAATTACAGCCCATGTTAGCAAAAAGAACCGGCTGAAGAGCTTCTAGACAGATTGTTCTCACAGGGTAGCGTCCCATGGGCCGGGGCACCGGAGACACTAAGGATGGGGTCCAGCCGTCAAAACTGGGGGCCGCTGGCTGAAGAGAGACGGACCATGGCAGATCGAGCTGCGTCGTTGGACTGGTTTAACATTAAGGCGAAATTGTATCTTAGGCGGAGGAAGTTAATAGACTCGAGGCTTGTCTTTCATGGGAAGAAAGATAATGCGTACGGCAAGGCACCGCGTCTCACATAAGCTACTACTGGGCTATCAGATCCCAAAAGGAAGAATTGCACGCGGCCAAAGGCTTATGGAGTCTTGGTCTCGATAAGAGAGATATGTGAATTAAGATTCGAAGCAGGTCTAATTGGGACGGGTATAGGTGTCCCTAAGAACACCTGAACAGGACTTCTTGGACTTTGGACTATTCAGTAACCCAACTTTCCTCGTGCCACAGTACTCCAAGTGAACGCCATAAAACAAATGAAACAAAAAAAGAAAACCGCACAAGGAGTGGCAGAGTACTGTAGTGACCTCTGAGGACCAGATCTGATGGCAGGCAGGTTTAGCCTCCAGGAGATGGCTGTCTCTCAGGAATACAGACTGCAACCTCGGCTTTACTGCTTGTCATCCAAACATCATGATTACATGGAAAGGGCGGGGCATATCATGAGAGAACATTCAATGGTATCCGTTAACACGGTGCCGGCCGGAGTAGTGAGAGCTGCCGTGCTGGAAGTACGGGTGCATGCATGCCTGCTTGGCAGAGATACGCCGGGCTGGATCGTACTCCAACAAGGCATCAAGCAAATCCAATCCGTTCTCTTCGAGACCGGGGACCAGAGCCCGTGTCGGTTCACGCTTCCACTTGGGGAAGGACGCCTTGAAATCGGGGAAAGAAGTGACACCGGGCCAAATGGATTCGTCGGGGGTACCAAGGAGCCTGGTAGGTGTGTGGTTAGCCGGTTCTGTAATGACCAAGCACTGGCTGCATGCGTACCTGAAGATCTTAAAGATCTCATCGATCTCGGAGTCACCGGGGAACAGGGGTTTACGAGTGCACATCTCAGCAAAGATAGCGCCCACAGACCACATGTCTACACCAGTAGAGTATTGGCGTCCACCAAGTAGAATCTCAGGAGAACGGTACCATAGCGTGACAACCTAGACATCCGTCAGCCGTTTTGCAGAGCCAATGCGTCTTTCATGACTACCTCATGGGTGTATGTTCTCAGAGGGACACCAAACGCTCTCGCCAGTCCGAAATCGGCCAATTTCAGGTTACCATCCCGGTCAATGAGCAGGTTCTGTGGTTTGAGATCCCGATGAAGGACACGGTGGCTGTGGCAGTACCGAATTCCTTCCACCAACTGGGCCATGAATTTCTTGACCATAGCCTCGCCCAAGCCCATCCGGTTCATATCCATCCCTGATCCATCGGGCAGAGCTTTGCCTCGTCCACCTTCGCTGACCGGGAGAGCCTCCATGTACTTCTTCAGATCGAGGTCGAGAAACTCGAAGACCAGGTAGAGTTTGTGGCCATCTGCATGGACGATATTGAGCAGTCGTACAATGTTCGGGTCGTTCATCTCCTTGAGCAAGGAGATCTCGCGAATGGCGGTACTCGGGACACCCTCATCTTCAGCCTCTAGACGGATCTTCTTCAGAGCTACGATTCGGTTCGGGTGAGTGAGCTCACGGGCCTTGTAGACCACACCGTACGTGCCTGTAGTTGATGCACCACTTAGTCCGCTGGCCCCGAGAATGCGCCTCTAGGGGACAGCCATTTCTCCCATTGGAGGAGGTCTCGACCCCCGACTGGCGAGCTTTCGAATGGCTACTTACCTTCTCCGATTTTCTCGATCTTCTGGTAGTTCTCCATTGCGGCCACAGAGGAGGTTCTGGGGTGGTCAAACACGAAGGATAGGGGTCTGGCAGGATCGTAGTCGGGGCTGAGAACAAGCACCAATCCCTTTCGGTAGTCGTGTCGTTGAGAACGCGGGGGGGGGGATGAGCTTCTGTTGCCAAGGGGGGAAAAAGAGCGGACGCAGGAGAGCAACAAGCGGGAAGGGAGATTTAGGAGTTCGGGAGAAGGGCTGAATCTGCTGGGTTAGTTAGTATTGGACCTGGAGATGGCCAGTCTGAAGCAGAGTTCCTTCAACCTGCAGACTGATCGATCGATTGACTATGATTCTTCTCTCATGGTGCGGTTCTCTCTTGTTGATTTTTTGCTGCTGGTGGGGGAGCGAAGGCGGTAAAGGGCGTTTTGTGTACACAAACAAAAGCGCGCTTTCTCGCGGAAGCAGCTGACTGGATGCGATGGGAGTTGAGAACTTACTTAGTACAGAGTGTAAGTTAATCTACGATCAAGATATCCATATTTCCATAACTACTCCCCGTTCTTTAGTTATCTTCATCAACAGGTCTCCACTATTGTTTGACTACCGCCCGCAGGCTTCTTAAGAATTAGAGTATGGCGGAGATCAAAGGCTTGAATGCGCACGATCGTCCCCCGGAGCCAATCCGGCGCCGCTACAAGGAGTATCAGAGATTGCAGGCGTCGGAAGTGGATGCCCAGCAGGACATCATCAACTTGCAGAAGCTAGATCCAGACGATCTGCCAGATGGAATCTCTCTAGCAGGATGGAAGTCCAGCAGGGAGCTACGGCGGGCATTTGATCACTTTATCAAGCCTGGAGAAGAGCCTGCGCCCCCGCCACGAGGGCCTCTGATCGAAGATATTCCTATTCTGACGCTACGTTCTGTCTCTGGTGAGTACATAACCACCAAGTGATGCCAATTGCACTCCATGAACTAATAGTTGGTATATTAATCCTTCCTTGCCAGGCCTCCGTCTGATCCCGTCGCTGTTCCCGCCTACTGTACAGAAGGAATTGCTCTCTCGTCTGCTGCATCGGGATCTGCGGAACCACGAGCACAAGACCAACGTGCATCTACACTACCATGTGTCCTACCCCGGGCAAACAGACTCTACTACTAACCCCGAGGAAGCGGATGCCTCATCGACATCATTCTTTGAGGATGATCCCATGCGTATGCTTCGCCCAAAGGACCCAGAAACGCACAAGCCCATCACTATCGAGAGTTTCCTGAACAAGAAGCTCCGTTGGATGACACTGGGGGGCCAGTATGACTGGACTGCCAAGGTGTACCCCTCAGAGCCCCCTCCCCGTTTCCCTGATGATATCGCCCAACTGCTGCGTGCGGCATTCCCCGAAACGGAGGCGCAAGCAGCTATCGTAAATATTTACTCCGCCGGCGACACGCTGAGCGTGCATCGAGATGTCAGCGAACAGTGCGATGTCGGCCTGATCAGTATCAGCATTGGCTGCGACGGGCTATTTCTGATAAGTCACGATTCCGGCCAAGGATGCGAAGTCATCAGGCTACGCTCCGGCGACGCCGTTTACATGGATGGGAAATCGCGTTTTGCCTGGCATGGCGTGCCCAAGGTTCTGCCTTCGACCTGCCCGATGTGGCTCCAGGACTGGCCCGCCGATCAGAACGCCGCATCTCAGGACCCGCGATATCAATACTGGAAGGGTTGGATGTCGGGCAAGAGAGTCAATCTGAATGTCCGGCAGATGATACTACCGGAGGATTCCTCCTCCGCCGCCAAGGAACAATAATGGAGGGGTATGCCAAACGTAGCTGGCAGTGAAAGAATCCAACTTGATTACCTTAGCGGATAGTGCGTCCGTCTGCGCCGATAAGCACTGAATCTCAACCATCTCAGACCCAAATTCCCCTAGGATCGACATACAGCGGTCGCGTATCTCTAAACGAAGGCGAACAATAGCACTTGTTGATGCTATCAGTGTTCTTATCGCGGCGGCCGATTAAGGTCCTCTCGTGGCCCCGCAGATGCCATGACTGTTTAGCTCGGATAGGAGCTGTTAGTGACCCACGAACCCCGCGAGGGTGTCGTATTGTCCCTCGTGCATTACGCGACACGATGAGAGCGGTCCTTGCACCGGCCTTGATCTTACTCTATTCCGATGGCTAGATACCTATATGGGGCTGCGGAGATAAGGAGTAGACTGGGGGATCGCGCCGCCTGAGAACAAAAAGCAGACAGCCGCCGTCACCGTGAAGGTCTATTTCCCTCAAGATCTTATCACAGCGCAAACATGACCGTCACAAAACCAACTTGGAAGGCTGCAGCAGAAGCTAAGCGTCAAGCTGTCCTCGATCTGATTCCGGAGAAGTGGAGGATTAAGGAACCAATCCCTTCCCCGTTGGAACTTCGAGACGTGACCGCCGGTTATATTCAACAGTTCCTCAATGCTCGCGAACTCGAGATTACTGAAACTGACGCTGCTGGCATCGTGGAGCGCACAACATCAGGGCAATGGACTGCTGTTGAGGTCACTGAAGCTTTCTGCCACAGGGCTGCACTTGCTCACCAGCTCGTAAGTTATAAGATATAGTCCAGAAATATGCAGTGGCTCTAATGCATTTGGCAGGTCAATTGTCTCCATGAGATCTTCTTTGATGCAGCAATCGAAGATGCTAAGAAGCTAGACGCTTATTTTTCCGAACATAAGAAGGCGGTGGGCCCGCTACACGGCCTCCCAGTCAGCCTGAAGGACCAGTTCCACGTCAATGGCGTCGAGACCACAATGGGATATGTCGGTTGGATAGGAACCTTCCAGGGCAAGAAAGATGACTCCCGACGGGGTGCCTTCGAAAGCGAGCTTGTTAGAGAACTTCGCGCCTGTGGCGCTGTCTTGTATTGCAAGACCAGCGTGCCGACCACATTGATGGCAGGAGAGACCGCAAACCATATCATTGAGTACACTTGGAACCCGAAAAATCGCTTCTTGTCCTGTGGAGGAAGCTCTGGAGGCGAGGGTGCCCTTATTGCTTTGAAAGGATCACCCGGTGGCTTTGGCACCGACATCGGGGGAAGCGTCCGCATTCCAGCTGCTTACAATGGTCTCTATGGCTTGCGGCCTTCATCTGGAAGGGTTCCATATGAAGGTGCTGCAAATTCTATGGATGGCCAAAGCACCATCCTGTCTGTCATCGGACCACTAGCGGCAACAGCTCCCGATCTGAAATTGCTTTTCAAAGCCGTCCTGAGCCAGCAGCCGTGGTATCATGATCCTCTTGCAGTGGAGTTACCGTGGCGGGATGATGTGGAAAAGGAGACGTTGGCACTGATCAAGGAGTCTGCTACCAACCCGGAAAGACTTGCTTTTGCTATCATGCGCAATGATGGCACTGTTCGGCCACACCCACCAGTCGCAAGGGGAATCGAGATCATTGTGCAGACGCTGACCAGGCTTGGACATAAGGTAAGAGCAGAATGGGGAGCTGGTTTCCCGGCGAAGCCGTAAAAATGATTCTAACCGTACACTGTAGGTCATCGACTGGAACCCACCGTCTCATACTGAGGCCTATGATATTGCAGTAAGTCGCTCTCTTTCACACGTAGCTGTTACAAGTGACTTATTCCTTTTCTAGAGCCGGACGTATTCAATGGATGGCGGTGCCGACGTTACCGAGCATTTTGCACTATCTGGCGAAGAGCCTGTTGAGCAGATTATATTAGAGACAGGTCTGCCGCAGAAGACGGCCTCGGAAATTGCAGCCCTCAACATCGCAAAGCGGGAATGGCAGAAGAAATATATGGACTACTGGAACAGCACTGCCAAGCTGACCGGAACCGGGCGTCCTGTCGACGGCGTCTTCGTCCCGCCTGCTCCTCATGCCGCTGTGATACCCCAGAAGAGTGCACCTGTGGGCTATACGTCGTTTCTAAATGTCCTTGACTACTCAACCGTCGTGATTCCCGTTACCCGTGCGGACAAGGCAGTTGATGTGCCATACACCGGTGATGCTTTCTTCGGAGAGACCGACAAGAAGGTCCAGGCAGAGTGTAAGTACTGAGGCGACCGTCAGTGCAACTAGTTTGAACCTGCTAACCCAACTCTAGACGATGCTGAGATCTACGACGGAGCTCCTGTTTCAGTGCAATTGTTTGGAAGACGATTCCAAGAGGAAAAGATGTTGACTCTGGCAGAGTACATTGGTGCAGAGGTTGCCAAGCAGAGCAATACCAAGTGAGGCCCTTTACTTACACGTCGACACAGTCGCGACAGGATCCCTAGAGATCTCGTGTGTCCGACGCTACACGGATAAATCATAGATACTGTATAAGAGGAATACATCGAATACATCCGTATCCTGGCGCTCTTGTATTTCGAGCTTGGCAAACAAAAAGTCAAAAGGATGTACTTAGTCGCTCCCTTGTAGTACTCTTTCCCCGCCCAACTTGGAGGATCTGCATATAGAGACCATCCCCGCTGCGTGGCGGAGATAATCCCAACAGAGCTCGTCGTTGCTTAATCTCTTGCAACGAAGCAGCTTCAAGGAAGCCCCCGATGACAAACGGGCGACAGCGCCAGATCGAGGAGGTCAAGGTACCTGCGAGGTACCTGGCTGGCCGGCCAAAACTCGGCTGCGGGTCAAGTACCTGCCAGGTTCCCCTAGCGCGAGGGATCATCTCCCGCCTTGGCTTTGGCTTCGCATCTTCTCACACGATCGCCAGCGTCAGCTTCTTCCAGGCCAGCTTCCCACTCTACGTCTTGCCTCCTCGATTGCTTCTCACCGCGTGTTTTATTTTCTAGCAGCCTCCTGCCCTGCTGCTCTCTCCTTCTGCCCAATGTGTTGATTTCGCAATTCATCTGGCTGCCCTGATCGTCGGAAGGCCTCGATAGGATCGTCCATCGTCCAACTCCGCTGCTTCGCAATGGACGACACCAACAACCCCTCCCGCGCAACCGACACGCCCGAGGGTTCTGTAGGAGGTGACGATACCCAACGGCAGCAGACCCCAGCGAAGAATTCTACGATCAAGGACAAGCAATGCCAGTACTGTCACCAGGCGTTCACCTCGTCGTCCTTGGGCCGGCATCTCGATCAGTATCTGTTCAAGAAGAAGCCCGACGGCATCCACGATGTCGAGGAGATCCGGCGCATTCGAAGCGGTATCACCAGGCGCCAGGCGCGCACTTCAACGGGGAAGCGGGACAGTCCAGACCGTGCCATGGGGAAGAGTCAGCACGATCCGCATGGTGTAGTTCCTTTGGAACTGAATAGTAAGCACCAAGGGGGCGTCCGGATGATGTTCAATACGCCTACGTGGCACGCGACAGGCGTCATCAACGACATCCCCAATCCATCAAGCCCGCGAGATGGTCCCAGTGCTGCGTGGTTCACGACGTCGCAGCCGTCCGTCTCGATAGGTCCACTGGACTATGCCAGCCGTGGTGGTAGTGCGAATTCGGCGGACACGGCGAGAGCATTGGAGTTGGCATTGCGGGAGGTTCTGGATAATATCAAAGCAGCGACGTGGGTTACCTCTTTATCTATTTGGACAATCTGTTCCGCCCCCCTTGTTTAATGGTCCCCGGAGACACGGGTACTTTGAGAAACATTGCCGCTTACACCACATATGCATAGCAGTTCTAGGGTGCGACCCCGATTATCGCCTTTTGACTTCGATCTCCAGTCGCAGACATTTCCAGCTTTATGTCTGCAGATGCTTCCGCCTCCTCCAAGTCTATTCTCCGTTCATCCTTTTCCTGCTCCAGGCTCGTTTCCTCTACAACCTCCAGGCCCCGGGCATGTTGAGATTGTCCGACAAGCTCTACGAGCTCAGATTGAGCAGTGGAAATCGGACCAGCTGGCATCTGCCACCACGAGCCGGTCGACTCCCGGGAAGTCGGGCGTGAATCTCCCTAGCAATGATCCGACCATGATTACTCGAACGGCCCAGCAGCACGACGATATTAGTTCCAGACATCTAGACTTGTCGTTTCAACATTGGATGGCACTTTCTCCGGAGACTCAGCGTGAGCATTGGCACCTGGAGATCACAAGGGCTTTTGCTCGGGAAGTCGAGAAGCGTAGACATCTCGACCACCAGCTGGAACGAGTACAGCAGGAAGCGAACCAGCTACGGGCTCAAGTGGAGAAATTAGGTTCCTGCCAATGGCCTAGGGAGTTCGCGATATTCCCTCCCGACCTTCTGCCTCTTCCTCGAGATGTAACTAGGGAGTTGGATGCACAAGAAGGTCTGCTCAATCCAGCCTCTTCTAGATGGGATTACGACACGGTGGTAGCGAAATGGAAGCGTGTGGTGATGCATGACAAGAGTATGGGCCGGTATGGTGTCAGCTATGCGAACAGTGTATCGGAGGAAAACAGTCCTACCGTAAAACTGCATACTGATGATGCGCACAAGGCTGCCAATCGGTCGCAACCGATGCAGCCTCCTGCGGCTCGTAGCCCAATTCCACCTGCTGCAAGCCCTGGCCAAGCAGCGTCTACCAGCTCGCAACAGCAGACACCTCCATATCAGCCTCAGGAGAATATCCAAAGTTACAATGGGGTTCCGCAGGCTAAGCGTCAACGTCTAATGAACGGGAGTCCGGCGGCAACCGGTGCAGCAGAAGGTAGACATAGCCCATCCGCCGGTGATAGTACTAATGGTACGTCCTCATCATGGGGTCCTCACTCTGTCCAGTCGTTACTTCTATCTGGACCTGGTACGGCGTCTGCGCCAACTCCTCCTCCATCGCGCCCTAGCGTACGGTGATGTGCAGATATCGGGATCGTGTGTAACTCCTATCCGCCTGGAGAGGCGTATAGAGAGAAACTCGCACATGCGGGAAGAGCATGGTGCACTGTTACACTGGACCTGCAAAGTGATGTCTAAGTCCCAGAATCGCACAAAACCAACAGAGGACACCTATGCATGGAAGTGGGAACAACCCAAAGGACGTAGCCAGAAATGGCCGCAGTCTGGTTTTGCTTTTGAGGAGAGTAAGATCTTTTCCCCTTTATACCAGGATAAGTTTCTCGGCGGTACTGCCCGGATGGCCTCAAGCTTCGGTACTTCGGTACCTACATACCTGCGCCAGGGTCGAATTGCACAGCTGCCCACTGGGGCCGTACATAACCATTACCTGTCTTATTATATATATATTTTTAATCTCTGGATTCCTCGGGGACTTACATGAGCATGTTGCATGCGGTGGTGATGGGGGTCAACACGAGTTATCACTTGACGCTTTCGTCTTCAACACCGGTGGTTTTGAGGTATCATTGCAGGATTGACGGTGCTTGGTGTTCTATGTGCACACCATTTCTATATTTCTGCGTTAACACTGCATGGGGAGACGCAATGTCGATATTTTCCACTTTGTTTCATGTTCCTTTTTTGTTCTTTTATTTGCTGTTTCTTGAGCATCAGTGTCTTGCAAGCATTGGAGGGTGGGCGCGTGTGCGAAAATGGATAACTCTTCTGATCCTGTTCTACTTTATATATACTGCCTACCTAATTGATACTGCATATAATTGTATTTTTTTCATACTTTGCCAAAGGGAAGGAACCTCGCATCCTCGCTAGATCTTATTTCTTCAAGTTCAGGCTCCCTTCCGCAACTGAGAAACTCTTTCCCGAAAGAAGTCTTCCACCGTTGTTGGTTTTCTGCCAATTAACCATTCAAGCACATTCATGTTCCCCTTGATTCCATAAAAGTTATAATATAGTTGCAACCGCTGAATCCCATCGCGAGCCACTCGATGTGCCTTCTTCGGATCTTCCAACACCATAGTCTCCAGAAACTCAACAGAATCATAAAACTCCCTCGTTTTGATCTGGATTGACTTGCCAATCACCTTCCCTAGCGTAGCAGTAACATCCATGTAAGAGATAGGCCCGGTCGAACAAAGCATATATTCCGCAAGATAATGCTTCTCTCTTTCTTCAATGACCTTGCAAAACGCCTCAGCCAGATCCTGCAAGATAGTAAACGAGAAAGTAATCTCGGGGTTATAATTCGCATAAAACACCGGTTCATCCTGTTCCAGCAAGGGCGCCACGGGGAACATATTCAGCATATGACTCGGTTGTAGAATAGTATAGCTGAGTCCGGACTCAATGAGATATTCCTCCACATAGCGCTTGCAGTCATGATTCATCAATTTTCTCAATTGAGGATGGAGGACCGAGGAGTAGATGAAGTGTTTGAAAACACCTCCGTTTTGAACTTGATAACGACTAGCTGCGTCGATCATCAAGTATCCTATTTCCGTCTCTCGGGGGTGGAAACTTGGTCCAATGTGGACAAGAGTAGTCACTCCGGCTATGATTCGGTCGACATCGTCGGCTCGTGTCATATCGGCGCGGACGATCTCAGCGTTGGGGTATTGCGTCCGCAGACGGGTCTCTGAACTAGGACTGTGGACGATAAGTCGGATGTTTCTCCATCTGTTGTAGAGTAGTGGAATGAGCTGGGAGCATTGTTTGCCGCTAGCACAGGTGAGAGCGACGAGGTCCTTGTTGAGATCGACAGACATTGTCGCAAATCTTTCTATATGGGAGATTTATGGTATGTAGAGTAATATGGTAGGTATCTCTGCAGGGTGTGATGGAGAGAGGAAGAAGAATGGTGCTTTGACCGATACACGTGAATGGGTATATTTTGTAGCTAGGGAAAATTGGATTTAAAGAAGCTGTGCCCTTATACATACATATATAGCAGAATGCGATATGGTGGGGTGATATAGTTGCGCATCAATGACAGCATGGCCGGGACTTGGAAGATTAGTACCGCAAAACCCGAGGATCGCGCTCTTATATAGAGTAAAGTGTGCATTCTGAACATGGGACTTTTAAGTTAGTTAAACTAAAGAGCGGGAGAAACGGTACGGGCACCATATCCGTGTCGATCACGGCTGGTCAACTTCCAGGGCGAAGAAGAAGAAATTGAGGTCTGTGGAGACCGATATCGACCAAGTCGTCTAGAGTCTCTCACTGAGGTAGATGCACCTTTGGGGGACATTATTATAGAGCTTCTAGGGATGAAGTGAGCATCTCTTAAGCTCATCTATTTTCTTAACGGGGCAACTGATTAGAGTTCTAGACTGACTCAAACAAAGCAACTCTATAGCTATACGAACTTCTCCGCGGTATAATCGAAATTTAATGACCCGAGTACCGCTTCAGCATTGCCTCCGTCACTAATAGTTATCAGGGAATTTCCATGATGTGAACTACCGCCTTTGATCTATATTCGGAGAAATGAGATGGCTAATCACGAATGCTGTGATAAGACACCAGACTAATTCTATTGCTTGAATCGAGTATTGGGACTAAACAAAGATGTAAAGCATTGCCTCTTATGTTTTGTCCCCGTTGTCTATCTCTGTTACTATCATGTATTCTCAATGCATATAATGCTCTGAGTGGAGATTAGGGCACCAGCCAACTGACCGCTAGGTGCCCGGGTTCGATCTAGGTTGATTCTTCCTCCTTTGCTCCCCCAGATTGTTCCACAGACTGTTCCACAGATTGTTCCGCAGAGTTCTTGTTGCCCTTCTTCGTCTTCCGTGCGCTGAACCAGCGTTTGGCATTTCGGACACCGTGAAGATACAACCAGGAGATGACAAAGACAGCGATAAAATTGAAAATGACATAACCAAAGAATATGCCCTAGTAACCGTGTTAGTAAGAGTGTTGCATGGGTGCCTTCAAGCCTTCATCAAGTAGGATAGATCGAAAGAGCTGACTTACATAGTCGCGCCATTTGTGCGAGTAGTAGACATTAAACGAAGTAGCCTAGTTCCAGAAAGTTAGCTTCAAGTACAGAGAAAAGTAGGCGTCTCAAACACATACGAATCTATCACCTGTCGAATACTGGCAATAGTTGCACAGCCCATCAGCACCCTGTTCCACGTATCCACCTGCCTGCTGGGCAAAAGGGCCAGCATACTGCTGGCAAGTCTGTCCAGGTGGCGGTCGGAACCTAGCCTCTTCCCGGGGCACGCACTTGACTTGTTGTTTGTGCGTGACGACTCCAAGCATACCCTCCAGAAGATAATGGAAAGGTGTGAGCCAATACATCCATGACTTCCAGAAATGTGGTAGCGCTGCATAAGGCACAACGACACCGCAGAAGGCGACCACGAAGGTGAAGAAAGCAGGAACAAGCAGGGAGGCAAACAGTTCATTGGGTGACATGGCGGCGATAAACTGGCCGAATCCGACATAGAACATTTCAAAAAGCATAAGCAACATCCAGACGTAGCCGGAAGAAAACGAATCGCGGGGGAACCAGACTCCCCAGTACCTGGTATATTATTATTAGCACCTCGTTTAGCATACTGTCGTTTGCTGCGTTAACTTACCAACAATTAAAGTAGATGGAGCCAGCGACGATGGAGTAGGGAAGCTCAGGCAAAATACTGTTTGCCACAAAAGCAACCCACGAATAAATCTTTGCATTCGACTCGCGAGATTCATACATCCCACGGAAATGAAGGAAGCGTGGTTGCAGTTGTTGGATCAGGGGAGGTGCGATGGTCAGTGTCATGAATACGGAGAACAGTCGAGATTGCATGTCAATATAACTGTGGCCCAGGTGCCAGAAGGTGAACGTATTGAATAGGCCTGTCCATATGTGGAGCATGAATTTTCCCTACCGAGTGTGAGATAATGTATTACAGCCAATGGTCCACAGGACACAACTTACAATTGCATAATTTGGCGTCCGCCAGTAGGCGATAAATGAGCGCCTGCTTACTGCAATTATTTGCGTCCATAACGGCATCGCGAATTCCCTGTCATCAGTATGTTCTTTTCCGGAGCTAGCATTGCGTCTAGAGGTGGTCATCTCGTTGATCTCCTCAGCGCGGGCTTTATACTCGGGGGAGGTTGCCCAGGTATCTGCCCAATTTGGACCTTTGTAATCTGGATTGCCGGCTCCAATTACCTCAAGCATATACTGCGTCTCTGTTAGTAATAGTTCGTGGACAGACCAAATTTTTAAGAACTTACCTCGGCTGGGTTTGCGTCTGGTGGACACTTCTTACCACCATTTCGCTCCAAGTACTCAATCAACTTTCTGGAATCAGAACCAAGCTCACCATGATAGACAACCCTACCACCACTCTGTAACAGGAGGAGATCGTCAAATTCCTCGAAGAGTACAGCGGACGGCTGATGGATAGTGCAGAGCACCGCCTGACCGGCATCTGCTAATCGTCGCAGAAAACGCACGATGTTGAAGGCAGCTAGCGAATCAAGTCCCGATGTCGGTTCGTCGAGGAAAAGAAGTAGTTCTGGTTTGCTAGCGAGCTCAACTGCGATGGTAAGGCGTTTTCGTTGCTCCGGATTTAACCCAGTTCCAACAGCTCCAACAGTTGCACCTGCAAGTTGACGCATTTCCATAAGGTCGATGATCTTTTCGCAGTAGTCATATTTTTCCTGGACTGGAACTTCCTTTGGCTGTCTAAGCAAAGCTGAAAACTGGAGACACTCCCGGACTGTTGCTGTGGGCTCATGGATGTCCATTTGCTCTGCGAACCCAGTTGCTCTCTGGAAGCTTTTTGGAAGAGGCCTGCGAGGGCTACTTAGTATCGCAAGGATGGATTAGACTGGCATCACTCACTTTCCGTCCACAAGGAAATCTCCTGTGACGACGCCAAAATTGATTCGCTGGGCCAACACGTTCAGAAGTGTCGTTTTTCTGTTGGACTATGAATTAGCAACTTTGGAAAGTGAGGGGAAATAGATTTCCGACTAACCCTGCACCAGAAGCACCCATCAAGGCTGTCAGTCGACCCGGTTTGACGTATCCTTGAACATCTTGAAGCAGTCTTCTCTGGCCTCCCTTATACGGAATAGTATAGTTCACATTCTGCCATGTAAATATTGCAGTATTCTTGGCGATTCCCTGAACCTCGTCTCGGCTGTTCGGTTCAGACTCGGCCTGGGTAACTGGATTCGGTGCATCTTTCTCGCCCTTCTCCTCATCTCCAACAAGATCCTTATTCTTGACAGCATCCTCGACAGCCTTGGGAGCTTCGCCTCTCTTGAAGACAGTTACTGAGCTGCCTCCCTTATTGGGTTTCTGCAGTTCCATCCCTAGCATCGTCAAAGCCACGAACAAGACAAACCATGCGATAATGATCCCGAAATTTCTCCAAAGATGCGCCCTTGTGTATGTGAATGCGGTCTTGATATAGTCAGAACCATTGACATATGTCTGACCCGGCTGACTTCCTTGGATAGCACAGCTCTGGTATTCGGGAGATACGCCTGGCCCCTCAGGAACAATATATGGTGGCTCGCACTGTATCTTAAGTTTATAGAACTCATTTGCCATCAGCGCCTCGAAACTATACTGTACTGGATTGATCCAGATAAGCCATTTAAGCCATGGATGCATTTTCCAAGGAGGAATAAGATATCCTGTTATAGTTAACATCGATATCGTGAGTGTAAAAGGATATTCTCGAACCTGTGTAGACAACCAGTGCTTGGATGGCGACACCAGTAAGGCGAGTGGCTGTTTTAATCAGTAATTGGCCATAAGAATCTCAAGCCTTTCACAAGAATCTTACCAACATCAAGTGAGGAACAAAGTGCCCCAAGAGCTCTGAAGAACGAGTACATGGTCATCGTCAATGTGAAAATGAACAGTAGATTGATGAAGAACTGGGAGGCAGTCCTTGAGAGGTTTGACATGCTGCAAATTCTCATCAGCACGGTACATGAAGAGCCATAATGACATAGAAGCACATACAAGTATACTATCACATCGAATATAACCACCTGGATGAGGACAAGAGGAACATCAACGACCACTTGTGCTAGAGCGTAAGCTGAAGGTCGGTAGAACGAACTAATTTACGTTATGGTTCTGGTTATTCAAACTCAACAGCCTCGGAGTGGAGAGAAACTACTCACAAGCTTTTATGCTTCATCAGTATAGGCCGGCTCGCAAAGGCAGCTGTAAGCTCAGCTAGGGCCAGCAAGGCATTGAAAAGCAGGATAAAGAACATAACACCGCCGCGAGTAAAGACCCCCGAGCTGTATCAACGTTAGCCATGTAAACTTCATCTGAACCAGGGCATTTTTCTTTCTTTTACCTTGTTGGAGGCTGGTTGAAGAACAAGCTCCCAATAATGAGAGCTTGAAATGTGACGACGCCCCATTTTCCCGCCAGCGATTGCCTGTCTCCAAACATGACCAAGAATTGTCGATGTGTCAAAGTTAGGACTTGTTGATAGAAAGACAAAGTATAATTCTTCTTTTTCATCTTTGCTCTAGCAGCATCTCGTTCATGCCTTTGCTCCTCGACTTCCTTCTCAAAGTCATCGACATCACGGAGAGCGTCTCGGTATACATCGCTCTGACGGTACGCTTGCTCAAATTGCTCTGCTGACCGTGGCACACGGTCTTCCCATCCCTTCTTGACACGTCTCGCGTTAGGGTCACTGACTGATGTCAAGAAATCTGGAGTAGTCCATCGCGCCGGGCATTCAAACCCGAGATTTTGAAAGTACGCTTTGGCATCCTCAGTGCGACCGAAGTAAGCGCATTTGCCCTCCTCGATTAGGATGACCTTGTCGAAGAGGTTATAAAGATTTTCCGAGGCCTGATATAAGGCAACTAAGGTGGAGACGTGCGCTGTGTTCGTCAAGCTGCGCAAGCTTTGGACGTATTCCAGAGCAGTACTTGCGTCCAAGCCCTTGGTGGAGTTGTCCCAGCATTGTGTACTCGCCCTCGTAATCATCGCTTCCGCAATAGATACTCGTTTCTTTTCTCCGCCAGAGACTCCCCGGATGAGCTCATTGCCGACCTTGGTGCCTAGTGTATGTTCAATCCAGAACAGCTTTGCAATGGCGCTGAGGAACGTCTGCTGGTATTCCTTCCTGCTCTCTCCGGGAATGCGCGACTCCTTTCCCGGAGTCCGCGTTTTCAGCGCAAATGAGAGAGTGTCTTGAACTGTGAGAGTTGCATAGTGCAAATCGTCCTCAGGATTATATAACACTGTCCCTGTCAGCCGTGATCTGCCAGAGGATTTATAAGTTTGCATACCCTCTGAACGGTATTTCTTAGCCATGGTTACAGAGTCTGTCCCACCATAGTAGACATCGCCTTCGATGCTTTCATAACCCGCTCTTTGGTTCCCAATCATTTTCAGGAATGTTGTGCAACCAGAGCCTGGTCTCCCGAGAACAAGAAGCATCTCACCCGGTCGGACGCATCCCTGAATGGTGATAATCAGCACGGATATACGTTACATATTTTTACAACTGATACTTACGGTGAAATCATTCAATATCGTCTTTACCGGTGCTTTCGCGGTTCCTGCGCCCTTTCTACCCCGAGTTAATAGACCTTTGATCAATCTAGGAAGACCGAGAAAAATATCTCCATTGGTCGGTTGCAGCGCTGCTCCGAGCCCTAATCCCTTGACGGTGAGATTCTTCCATACGACACCCAGATGTCTTGTCTTCTCCTCCTCTGAATTCGCTTGTCTCTCTCTTCCAAACATGCGTGACATGAGCTTTTCAATCTGTGCCCAGTCTTCATCGTTCTCATGTCCAGAGGCACCACTGCGCCGTCGAGAAATAACTTGCGACAGTTCATTGTCTCGTTCTATGTCCGTTGTCGAGTCTGTCGGGCTGTCTTGATGAGCTTTCTCTGGTGATCTACTGCGAATTGGCTCGAATTCTTTATCGGAGCTCACGCTGGACACCGGACTGGAAGACCTAGCTCCTGCAGTAGGGTTTAGTGCTTCATACCCATACTGCGGCGTGATGGGCTTGTTGCTGCTACCTTCGGCGCCGTTGTCTGTAGCCATAGCATGTGAATGGTCGAGTCCGGGCCTATGCGAGGCCAACTGGCACAGGGAGTAAATGAAAGAATGTACTAGGATATATTAATCCCAAGGAGTAGCGTTGTCGAAAATGATCTGCTGTTTAGCATGAGCGGCTTTCTTTCTGTATATCTGTGCACCACAGATCAAGTCGGAGTCGGAGAACTGCATCGTCCAGGCACCGCTATTATTCACTGGTACGCAGATTGAAACGTAGAGAAGGATTACGTCAAGAGAAGCGCCCTGCTCGCGCTAGACTTGATCGCGGCTCCGAGAGCTTCTGGACTGTCGGAGTCGGAGTCGTGAGTATCATGGATAGTCATCCGTTAGCTCGGAGGTATCCACTACCTGATCCGGTTGGGTTTTGGTGGTCCACAACCGGTTGTCTGGGGAAGACCTGGAGGGAAATAATGGCCACCGATTCGCTCATGCTTCAAACCGTTAGCGAGCGTCCCGCGTCTGATATCAGATATCAGGCGTCCATCAGCAATGCAGCATTGTTGCAACGAGTCTGTTGCTGTTCTCGGTAGGATCGCCCATCGGGCTGACTGAATGCCGACCACCGATGGGAAGCTGAATGATCAGGGTTTGTTCTGTAGATGACTGCATAGTATTTCGCAATAATCGAATCCACAGGACTATGATTTCTTGTTTTGATTCTGGGTGAGCTATTTGCTGTTGGAATATGGTAGCTGCTCATCTGGACCGAGCATGATGAGGTCATTCATCCCCAGCCGCGAACAGTAACATGCAGCTCAATGCATCCCATGGAAACAACCTCAGAGACAAAATACAAGTTACCAACCCATTATAGATTAAGGTGACAGATAGTCCAGAGTCGACCTCTGGCAGAGAAGCATTGATATGAGGTTCAAAAAGGCGCCAAAAGTTATACCTGCATTTCATCCACGTTTCACGACCAGACCCAAGATCACAAGGACCATAAAGAAAACGAAAGGCGCGCCCTTCAGGTCGGGTCTCGGATGCTAACTACTCCGTAGGCAGTTCATGAAATCCGATAGAGAGTCGGCCTTCTCTGTCCCTCCTTGGCAGGCACTTCTAAGGCCAGGTCCTATCCACCCACCGATGTCTTGCCTATGGAGTTCCAGTTAGAATGCGAACGGTGAATTTCTTTCTGATCTTCTAGTATTTGGGACATAACCCCCGGGCAGTTGACCATACTTCACCATTTCCAAATATCTAGAAAAGTTACGGCTGCCTTATCCCACACTGAAAGGCCTACCGATCTGAACAGTCATTGCGACCTGGATAAAAAGTTTCATAGGTTGCCATTGAACTGGGAGTTGCCATCAAAGTCCCATGGCATATCTGGAGGAACTTCAACGTTACTTGAGGCGGTAGCCGTCCAAAATCCCTTAGCACTCACATTTAGCTGACATCACTTATGGCACACCTTGCTACCGAAGGAAATACGGAACTTACACTGCCGAAATCTAGTGGCACTTCCATCATAAATTGTACCGGGTCCATCATTGAAGCGGCGAAGAATTCTCCGGCGTTGTCAACTGCATATTCAACAGGAGGTGAGATAGCCCAAGATGGCTGTGCTGATGAAGCAGGAATCAATGACTCGTCCTCAACTGCTTTCACAGAGTCAGTAGATATAAGAAAAGGGCAGTTGCATGTATTTCACCTGTCGCCAAAGCTGGTTCTATTAGACCCTGGCCATCACGATCGGTTCTGTTCTGTGAAAGCTGCTGGTTCGAATAATGCGATTCCTGGCGGTGTTGGGACTGCACAACAGTTTTTGTCGCATTTTCAAGAACTATCCTGATGATTTTAATCCCCTCAGACACTTCACTGGGACCCAAGGATGGGCTTTGTAAAGTTTTGTATGCTTTACGAAGAGCTTGTATCTTTTGTTGCTTAGTCCATTCCAAGAGATCCCCTGGAGGACGTTCGGTTTCTCGAATTCCTCGCACGGCCCGTTCGAGATCAACGCAAACAATCATGGACGCCAATAGGAGATCATTCGTGAAAGCGGCAGGTAAACTCCACGCAAGGGGATACAGCGAGCTGTTGGGCATATCTCCGTCGTAGGACATAGATATGTCGGTCAGAATGCGCATTGCAGCATCCACGCAGGAATACCGGGAATAACGATGCTCCTCACGCATGCTGCTAATATAGTTCCGGTGTAGCACGCAGCGCGCTTTCTGGTATATCACATTGAGCATTAATCGCCGGAGGAATTGAGCTGGGTTAGTTTTCATAATCTCTTCCGAAAGTTGAAAGTGCGATCGCAGAGAAGCGTAGAAATCGGTCAAGTTCCATTATCCGCGAGTATGAAGGCTGGTTTATGCAGCTGACTTCATCGACAACATTGGCAAACAGGATCAGGATATCAGTCTTCATGGTAGCGTACGAAACTGCCCCTTCTTCTGGTCTTGAAGGAGGAAGCTCTGTCATATTCTCATCAAGGTCCTGGTCTAGGAGGTTCCGAGGTGGCCTAGTATCGGCGTGTCGGCTATCGACTAGTCTAGGAAGCCCGACCTTTTTGAAAAATGAGTACGCAAACGCAGACCTGGACAGTGGAGAACCTACCCATGAGGATACGACAATGTCCATATGTCGAATGAGTATCCAAGCTCGTCGGCGCAGCTCTCCATGAAAGATAGATATTTCTGGATAGTGAGATGGGTCACGATGGTATCCCATGCGCATGGCTGAACGGACAATGATGTCAAACAAAAGAGCGACTCTGAATGGACCCGCCTTAGCAACGGCATGTTCAATAACAAAATACAGTATAAGAGCTTCCAGAGTATACTGGCCTGGTTGAGTATAATCAGCTAATATAAGACAGTGAGCAGCTCTTTCGGTATAGAGGCTTCGATATTCTTCCAACATCGAAACAGGTTCAGGTTCGTTTCCGCAAACTATCCGAAAATGGGTGGTAAGACTAAACATAGCAAACAGGATACCTAGCCATGCTGGTCGCATAGCAGACGGATTCATCCAGAATCTAGCATACTAATGTCGATTCAGTGGTGAACTCTTGCCCCACTTATTGACTGCCTCACCTCTTTTTCGAAAGTTGGACGATGTATGGTCACTATCATTGTCAGCTTCCGAAATTGTCCACTGGGAAGGAACGTACACGTCGCCAGTTCCATTGCTTCGAAGAAGTATGATATAAGACTGTCAGCAGTCTGCTTGGGCGGAATAGACCTCAATATATCTTGTTTGCTAACGTGTCTCCTCAAACCGAGAAGCAACTCTGGTTTCGCTGAATTCGAGCCAAGGCCATCTCCAGATGTATCGCTGAAGCCTTCCAACTGATCTTTGATATCAGATATCTGGAGTGTGGACCCGTAAAGTTAGCAACTCTCAATGGCTATTGTGGCTGTTCGTACCTCGTTGACGACCTCTTGCCAATGTGCAGGTCCAACATAGCTGGTTCCTCTTTCGTTGATATTAATTCGACCAATGGAATCCGTGATATCAGCAGTGCCAGTTTCTCGGAATGAAGCAGGATTGACATCCCCAGTTGCCGGGTGTGTCGGAGGGCTTGCATCCTCTGTGGGTACGCAGAATACTGTTCGTCCTCACGACAACTTTCGGACTGATAATAATTTGCATTTGCTAAATCCTCAACGATTTGCTCCAAGCGATGGATCCTTTCCTGTAAGCCCGTAGAGCTGTCTGGCCGCACCTGGGTACCCCTTAGCACTCGATTACCGTGCCCGGGGGCCACGTAGACGCAGGATTGCTGCCTCTTGGAACAATTACTGCACGGCTGACTTCGATCACATTTGAGTCTGAAAAGTTTTAGTTGATATGTCCAAGGCGAATAGATACAGACGTACTTTCGGCTTCGACAAGACATACAGGACAGCTGAGGTTTGTCTCTCCGTCGACTTGGTGGCGGAAGTGGCCTGGGACTTGGTCGACCTGCATCTCTCAAATCATGAAACATGGTTATGAGCTTAACCATGCAAAAGTGTTGCCATGTAAGTGAACCGCAAAAGGAATTGTCGCGTTGCAGATGAACCACAGCAATACGCGCAAACCGTGAGTAGCAAAATGTGGAGCGGGAAAGCTAGTCTGCCTGCAGCAGCTGCGCAGTCTCTGCAGCTGATAGTACCTAGACAGCGTAATTGTGCGTCTAATTGCTGTTTTTTGCTGTTTCGGGGCATGGAAGCATTGCTAAAACTGTTGGCGGTCCTCTAGTGAATATTACCTCTTTAATTACTTCCGTGTTAGGTTTATTGCGATATTAAACGATTGTGCTAACCACCAGAGACAGGAAAAGAAGTGATACTTGATAGAAGTATTAGTAGAAGGGTTTGCGATACTTAATCCAGATACCCGGAGGCATCAGGCGGGAACAAGATTCATCAGTGCCGAGCAAGGTGCTAGCGACACGAACACCCCTCTACTTAAAACGCTAACTAAGTACACTATCAGCGCAGCTCCAAAGATTTGATCGTCTCGAACGTCCCACATCATAACAACAGGAACCTGCCGTACATATATGGCTTCACTCGTTACCGGCCGTCGGTCGCACCGGAAATCGAAGGCGGGCTGTTTGCAATGCAAAAAGAGGAAGATCAAGGTAATTAGTTGCACGAGCGACCAATCTATAGTACCATTATTGACAGCTTTGTTCTAGTGCGATGAAGACAAGCCAATTTGCCGCAATTGCAAAGTCCACGGTGTGACATGCTCTCTTGCGAGCGCATCAACGTACACTCAACATGGGCACGGAGTCAATTCTCAGAGATCATCGGCTTCAGCGCCTGGACCCGAATGCGCCAGCCCTGCCTCAGAGGCTACCTCATTACAACCCACGTCCAGCCAGAGCTCTCTGGCAACGTTTCAGGCGGATCTTGCTGTGTTCGACCTGGAGCTCTTACACCACTATATGACTGCAACTTGCTACACTTTGTCTCGAGCTCCAGCTGCACAGGCCGTCTGGAGAGACCAGGTTCCTCGCATCGCATTTACCATGCCAGCTGTGCTGCATACGCTGTTAGCCATTTCAGCACTGCATCTGGCACGCTCAGATCAGTCTAAACGAGCAAGCTGTATCGCGCACGCGCAGATGCATCACAACGCCGCCATCCATGCGATGGTGCCAATTGTAACCTCTCTGGCACCGGAGAATAGTCCTGGGATGTTCTTGTTTGCCTCTTTGACATGTATTTTCGCTTGTGCCAGACCACCAGAGGGAACCGATTTCCTCGTTTTGTTTGAACACGGCCAACTCTCCCAGTGGGTTCGGTTATTTAGGGGGACCAAAGCAATCATTGATTATGGTGATAGCGAATTTCATACAGGGGTTTTGGCTCCAATCTTCGCAAATGGGTCTAATTTAGCTGCTCGTCGTCGACAGGCGCACGCCCTAGAGCAGGGCCAGATGTACATATGGGAGTTGAGGAAGATGGTCTGCACGAAATGTTCTCCGGACAAATCATTACTCCAAATCTACCAGGAAGCTTTAGATGGGCTCTGCCGGACACTAGCGGTGGCCATGAAGCCAGGGGATGAACGGCGGCTGGAGACAGCTGACGTTTTCGCCTGGCTCCTTGAAGTTTCATCTGAATACCTGGAACTGCTGCGACAGGAGGAACCCATTGCCCTTGTTATTTTTGCTTATTTCTGCGTATCTGTCCGACAGATTGAGTGGATGTGGTGGATGGAAGGCCTCAGTGGGCGACTCCTGAAGGAGTTGCATTCGGCTCTGGACGAGGAGTATCGGAGCTGGCTTCAGTGGCCACAAGAACAGATTGCCTGGTCTCCTGATGGTGATTTTCGCATGTAGTTTCATACAGAAAGGCTGTGACTTCCTTTCTTTGCGCACTTACCTGTCTGCCTTTTCTTTTCGGTAATAAGGATAAAAATGAGATATACAGCGACCAATAACTACAAACGAATCGCGTAACAGGTTCGAAACTTTGAGCCAAGAAATCTCGAATAAGACAAGAATAGACTTCTCAGAAAGAGTTGCTTCGGTGAGATGACAGAATCCAGGCGCGATCAATATGCCATATCTCCCATGGGTTTTCGCATGCGAACTGCCTTGCGTTCAAGGACCAAGTATTGGGCGGTACATCTCAGGGACGACGAAGAAAAATATGACCACTGCAGCTCTACCATAATGAAGACGGAATATGGTTATCTCGTAGCAAAATACGGCTTCGAATGATCCTTATCGCTCCATCGCCACGAACACGATTCGACCAGAAACCCACCTGCAACTGGTCTAATGACCAGACTGCCATCACTCGGCCGCGTTTTTGTGCTGACGTTAGGTCCGCAATTGTGCCACTCTCACAAGTAATAGCAGGTAAGGATCATCGTAATAATTATTGCTACCTCTGAAATAATCCGCTTCTTATCTCCTGCATTCCGGCATTGGTACGGGTCATTTAACCTACATGTTGTCTATTCATCGTACATCGTAACCTCAAACCCTCCCATTTAGCTCAATATAAGTTCCCTTGCGAATAACTTCTTTACTTTTTCCCGGCAGGTACCATATCGCCCAAGCTCCCATGACGACAACCATTTGATACCCGTCAAATGCGTAAGAAGGCCACTCGTTCACACTGAGAAATTCCACACCCCCATCCATTGTCAATCGCATCACATTACGTCCAAAGGCAATAATGGATATCGATAGACCAAAAAGTTGATTCCAGTATTTCCACTTCGGAATTCGCTCTCGACTGGCTTCTGAGGGATGGCGACCTAGTCGAGATGTCATGTAGATATTCTCCGCAAACGTAAAGCCCCAGAAGAGAAGCTGGGTAATAAACATAGCAATTGAAATTTTTGCTCCCGTTGCGACAACGCTAACAGGCCCTTGCGCGACGCTCATGACTCCTCCTATGATCTGGATGATCATTAAGATCGTGTTGACGATGAGATAGGTAATCCTTTGGTACTTGATTGGCAACCAGCAGAAAGATGCCCCGTCAACTGCCTGTGCAAACATAGTTTGCGTGAGGTTCACAGAAAACATGAGCAGGGTCGGCCCCAGAAGTAAAAGGACTGATTGCACAGTGTAGGTTGCTCGATTGCACACATCCTGGGAGGAAAACAGGCGGGCTGTATAACCAGATAATTGGACTTTAATATGTGAGAAAGATCCATATACCTAATCTGACGGTTATCGATGCCACTCACCTAAACCGCCGATGACAAAGAAAACTCCGGTCCATACCCGGGCCTGCGCCATGCGAAGTATATGAAGGGCCGTCAATGCAGAAAACAGAATGATTGCTACCACGGCTAGAGGAATACTAGGAGTGTAGTAATAGAGGCTGCATTGCTGAGAGACCATGATGATATAAAGTAAGATGGTTTTAAAGGCGGAAAGGAACTAGAGAGAGAAACAATTTTTTTTACTAATTCGGTAGGCCATTTAGGTATGATTGAGAATATAAAGAACGACAGCTCGATAAGGACCGGTTTCACAGAAGGCAGCAGCGTATTGCAGAGGCCATATGAAACAATAACATCCTCGAGTTTAGAGCTGTTAATTTTCGCATTAGTGGGAAAAGTGGCTGATTGATCACGCTCGCCATTTGCTTCCAATGGACTCTAATAATAACCTTAACTGCATTTTATACCTATTTCAGAGACTACTTGGCCCATTGGAGGAGGTAAGACTCGTTGCCAAGCGAGTTTCAGCCTTCTTCTTGTTAAGATCGCCGTGGTCGAGCTATTATTTCCAGCTATGCATGCTCTTAGTTCGTATTCGTGTTCGGCTTCGTGTTCGTCTTCGGACTGTCAGTACTTATCTCTGCCAGCCAATCGATATTGGTCTAATAGTGTGATGACGATGCCCGGTAGTCTAAGTGGAATCTGACACTATTAAAGATAAAAGAATGGAGTGCATTTATTTCTTCTTGTCGGTACGCTCAGAGATAAATTATTTCCTGTGGACATTGGACCTACTTTACCCATCAACCGAGTGCTAGTCAAGTCCGTTAGGAAACGCTCTCAGTACGCGACGATGTCCACTTTCCATGGTGATTTATTTTCTTCATATAATAAAGGCCGAACAATGCTACGTACAGCACCTATCTTTTTGGATGCAGGAAGTGCACTTACTGCCGGCATTTTGACAGTCAGTCACCAACAGTCTATTTCTGACTCTTCTCCATTTCCTGACAGCGATAGGTTCTCCTGTACCTTGTTAGCAAAGCAATTTACAATGTGTTCCTCCATCCATTGAGCCGCTTCCCTGGCCCTCTGTCCCATGCCATATCTCGGATGCCATACTTATACAAAGCAACAAAAGGCACCCTTCCATTCGACATGCTAGACATGCACGCGCATTATGGAAACATCGTCCGTATCGCTCCAGATGAACTTGCCTTTTCTCATCCCGACGCATGGAAAGATATCATGGGGCACAAGAAGGAAGAGCTTGAAATGCAAAAGGCAAGATGGTTTTATCAACCATTAGAAGGTGAACCTCTGCACGTTGTCAATGCACCACAGCATGAGCATCGTCAACTGCGGCGACAACTCGCACATGGGTTCTCAGAAAGGTCGATGAGAGATCAAGAGCCTCTGATTCGCGGATACGTCGATTTCCTACTGCAGAAGCTCCATGAGCTTTCCAGAGATAAGGAACCAGTTGTTATTTCTGATTGGTATAACTATACAACATTTGACATTATCGGCGACTTGGCGTTCGGTGAGCCCTTTGGGTGTTTGAAAAGCTCGGATTATGATGGATGGATACAAGGCATTTTCCAATCCGGACGTTTAGGGACAATATTGCAAGCTTTGTCCTTCTATCCATGGTTGAAAAGAGCTCTATTATCCTTGGTCCCGAAATCAATGCAAGAAGAGCATCAAAAGCACAAGGAGTTCAGCAAGGCAAAAATACTCCGGCGCATTTCTAACAGCGAAGGACGAGCAGATCTGATCGAAGGGCTCATAAGAAGGAAGGATGAACTAGTAAGTCGTGACAAGGATCACTTTCTTCTGCACTCTAATCAATTTTTGATAGAACTTAAGTGTTGGGAAGTTGATTGCGAATGCTGAAATTCTCATTATTGGAGGTTCTGAGACAACTGCTACCTTGCTGAGCGGAGTGACATACCTGCTCTTAAAGAACCCTGATATTTACAAAAAGCTGGCACACGAAGTTCGCACAGTATTTCACAGTGCAGAGGAGATTGATCTCATCTCAGTGAATCGACTACCATACATGCTAGCATGTCTTGAGGAGGCGCTACGCATGTATCCCCCCGTAGCCAACGGTCTGCCTCGAATGTGTCCGAAAGGGGGAGCCAAGGTATTGGGGCAATATATTCCCGAGAATGTATATCTCCAGCCAGGTCACTTACAGCGTAATATGCATTGAAATTGTGCTAACAAGGACACCTATATATAGACTTACGTTTCAATCCACCAATGGGCCCTCTATCGCCGTGCAGATTATTTTACGGACCCAAACAATTACCACCCTGAACGATTTCTCGGTGATTCTCGCTTCGTAAATGACCGACTCGACGCATTACAACCATTTCACGTGGGGCCAAGGAACTGTCTAGGGCGCAAGTAAGCAACAGTCTATACCAATTGGAACAGGAGCTTCCTAACTCTGTCATAGTCTTGCCTACAGCGAAATGCGCCTTATTCTGGCACTTATCGTTTTTAATTTTGACATCAGACTTTCCGATCATTCTTGCAACTGGATCCAGCAGAAGAATTTCCTCATGTGGCAAAAGCCGCCACTGAAGGTCCATTTGACTCCGGTGCTTTGATACACGGGGCATTCATTCTACGGGCGTTTTACATGCGGATGTTTGATATTTAACCTAGAGATAAACAAGGAAATTCATAGCTTATAATGTATTTCTATTTCAGGGCAGCTCAAATAGCCGTCAACCCGCATCTCTTATCTTACCCTACGTCCTTGTGTACTTCATCTTCGAGGTGTTTCTGCCGAATTGTCTCCTTCTTCCTCCGGTCCAAAGGAAACCAGTAAAAACTAATTAGCAGATATGGATATCGGGCGTCACGTAAAACTTGCCGTATTCCCAAGGCAATCCCCGGCCGCATACGCCGTCCATCCAATGTTTCCACATAAGACAATAGAACAATCCCGAGCAAAGATCACGCAAACCGATCCCCGCGCCCAACCAGCCCCGCAGGTGATAGAAAGGCTACTTTTGACGGAACATATATTATTTCTTCCTTTCTCAAAAGGGTATCCTGCTTTATCTTTCTTATCCATGCAATTCTTGGATTCAAATATACCATCCCAGTTTATCCGAGTCCAGAAACCAGTGTATATCGAAATCCTATAATAAGCTGCACCGCATTTTGGTATACTGAAACTCCTCCTCCCTACGGTTGTATCTATCACCGCCCAGTATGTCCGTCGCGAAGGAATTCGAGGCTGCAAATGAGAAGTATGCATCTTCTTTCACGAAGGGTAGTTTGCCGCTTCCCCCGGCTCGGTATGGACCTCCCATAGTTATCCCGCCCTTTCTTTTTCTTCAATTCCTATTTCAAAATGCTGATTCTTAATCAATAGTAAGGTAGCCGTTCTGGCTTGTATGGATGCTAGACTGGGTAAGTAGACCGTAGTCCTCAACTTACTATGCGAAAAAAACCGTCCTTCGAAACAATCGCATCATTGGAAACTATATTCTACATCACAACGGGAAAACAATAACTAAATTATTTCTATCCAGACCCTGCTCGCGCCCTCGGCCTCGAAGAAGGTGACGCGCATGTTATTCGGAACGCTGGCGGGCGCGTTGCAGACGCAGTCCGGAGCCTCGTCATCTCTCAACAGCTCCTTGGAACCCGAGAAATCGTTATCGTCCATCACGTATGTCCCTTTACCTCGATCCTTTCCCTTACCATATAATACGTGACGACCTAGTTCTAACTACTTACATATAGACCGACTGCGGAATGCTCACTTTTTCGGACACTGATATTCGGAACAAGATCCGCAGTGAACTGCACCAGAATGCCGATCATATCGCGTTTCTCCCATTCTCTGATATCAAACAGAGTGTGCTGGATGATATTGAGTTGATTAAGCAGAATCCGCTCATTCTGGATGTGCCCATTACTGGATACATCTATGAAGTGGAGAGCGGCAAGATTGTGAAAGTCTGATGGCCCTTCTGAGAAGGGTTGGCATTCTATGGTTTGTGGGGAGGTTGCGAGTGATTAAGTTGTCTGTATTGAACGGGGGCATGGGGTTGGTGTTGTAGAGGGGAACTGGCTGGCGGTGCATGTATAGGGGATGAGGAGTTGATTTGAGGTAGAGGGGATACCAGTGCATGGTGGCATCTAGTATGATTTTCTGATGACGAACATTAATTGTTAGATCATGACAGTTGGGAAGCAAACAGCCATATTAAACTGTTCCAGCTGAGTAACGAGCTAGTTGCTTGAGACAAGAATCCAGGCGGGCTTTTAACGTGTCTGGATGTTTCAGAGCCTAACTTCTCTCTCGTTAAGAGTTGAGTATGGCTAGAGAGTGAGATCCAAGGATCGCATTCTGTGAAATCCATCTTGACAAACTTTGCTCCTTTACGCTGCATAAGGATTCTTTCCCTTCCCATCGAGAGCCTCTTGAAAGCACTCCCGGAACGATATTGGCTTGAGATCGGGATACAGCTCCCTTGCGTCCAGGTAACCAAGGAATTTAGCGTACCAGGGACTGTTATCTTGCCGGACATACTTGCTGTATTTGTATTGTGAAATGTAAACTGGGATGCGCTTTGCGGGATCCTCGGGATTTTCAGAAAGCGCTGCGACCGTTTCTTGCACTTGTTTCTCAATTGTCTCGGCGGACACCTGCGCAATATAGCATAAGCTTCTATTCGACCCTTTCGTAGATCGTGTCGGGGAAAAGAAGAAACAACATACATAGTTTCTGTCGATCTTCTCGCCGGAGAGCTCCTCGACGATAGAGAAGATCTCGTTCTCAGTCAGGACGTCACCCCAGGTATAAACGTACTTGTTCAAGGTCCTCTCATCAGCGATGATACGCGCGACAAAACGTCCAATATCGCGAAGATCGGTAAGGATATTCGGAGCGTTTCCACCCGCATGAATATTATTGTCTGGTATCACTGTCGCGTAGTCAACACGTCCTGATGGTACGCGAGGAAACGAGATCTGATGCCAGAATCCGACATCAATTATGGTGTGGCCAACGGCCAGTCTCTTGATCTCATTGTAAATTTCTTCTTTCTATTTTGCAAACGCGACCTAGTCAGCTTATAAAAGCTCCAGATCGCAGTCACGTCGTCTCTTGAATGAAGAACTTGCGTGAATATAGAGGACGGGAAGGAACCCATACCTCATCACGCAACACCATCACCCCTTTTGGAGGGCAAATAGTAATCCACGCGCACGGCACAAAGCGCTTGATATTCGCTTCCTTTGCTGCCTTGACCAACGTTTTCTGCTGCAGGAGATCGTGCGGTCCTATCGCACTGATCAGGATGTCGACTCCGGAGAGACTTTTGACCAGTTCATCCTCTGGGGCACTCAATTCCGCTACGCGTAGCTTGACGCCCCGAGCGGTGATATCCTTCACTGCAGGCTTTTCTACGGAGCTTGGCCTGACCAAGATCTCGACATTCTATTATCCATTAGCAGGTGTGGCCAATTTTTGTACATCGGTGGGGACGTACGAATGTGTTTGCTTCCAGAAGACCTTCTAGGATAGAACCACCCGTTGCGCCCGTTGCTCCGAGAAGCAAAACAGTTTCTTTCGAAGCCATTTCAGCGATCACAGTCCCCAAGAATTATCACCAGAGTATTTCTTGTCAACACTACGCAAGAGGAGAGAAATGATCGTGAACTGATGCTGAAAGGATTCGATTTATAATACACCCCCGCAAGAAGACATTATGAGACTCTTTATACTTACTTATGCATCGGGTGTCCGTTGTTGCCGAGCCGAGCAAAGTGGGATGCCTTGATACTAATGAACACTCTGTCTTCTACCATCTACTATTGGGGGCCGAAATAAGATATGCTGAAGGGATTCCTAGAGGTCTGGACATTGGTTAACAATGCTATATATGATTAACTGCTATAAATGTTGCAACATTCTAATTCACTATATACCGCTTTCAACTTATTGTTGACAACCAGCGTTTGGGGCAGTGCATCTCCTTTTTGTTTAGGCCTAGCTTAGCTTAGTAACCTAGAAAAATGTAAAACAACCTGGACTTATGCTGCATTTATTGTTGACAATGTTATCTACAGATTAACTAGTAAGTGCACAAGTGCAAATGAATGTTATGCCGTGTATCCGCAAACATATACAACTATAAGTACCGAGACCTTCTGTCAGCTCTCACGGCTTCAAAGGAGGCGAGCTGCCAAACGCCACTACTACCCTGTATAAAGGGCATAGAACAAACAACTTGAAGCCACCCATTTCCACCAATATAGGATCAAAGCAGACGCGCCGGAATAATTGGGAAAGGCTCGAGAGGAGTGGTGGAGGCAGTGCTCTAGGCAGCAGTAATTCAGGATAGAGTAGGCATAAATAGGTACCTAGGTAGTCGATAGACTTTGGTACCCTCTAGTTCTTCGAGCAATGTAACTCCACCCGGATAAAATACCACTCCAATAACTTTGCTTCCGTTGTCTTATATTCCCACACGTTCCAGTAAACATTTAGAAGTTCACCGAAAACCTTGTCCTCAGATACTCTCCATATCTGTAGAACGGATATGCCCCCTTGACTATGCCCCAGCCGTATGTTCAATGACAGCTTCTTCTTGGAAACGAGAAGGTTCTTGGGCTGAACGTTGTGAGACAATGATCAGAGTTCCTATCAAGTATTATTACCATAACCCATTAGACACCCGGCCAAAAAGGGGAACTCTCCGGCTTAGTCTCCCCGGGTCTGGCAAGTGTTGATACATCTAGAGTACGGTGGCTAGAATAAGAAAAGATCATTGAAGCCATTGACGCGTATAGATGGCACCGCTTGTACTTGTAATTGACTAGTACATACATAATCCTACCTACCGCCCTCTAGGACGTCTACACTGTTGGACCCATCTTCGTCTTCCACGGAAACACCTCACCCCATACGAGCCAACCCCTCTGTAACTTCGGGTCATCATGGAGGACTGTCACCTCATCGTACATTTGCATACCAAGCACACCAAGTCTGACATCATACTGAAAGAGCCGCCTAGCAATAGGGTCTGCGACAGGCGGATAATCTCTCAAGACAGCATCTTCATCGGCTTTTGATGGCTCCCGGAGACCAATTTGGAGCCTGCGCAGGACGGCATACACCTCGCCTAGCGGTTCGATCTCGCGCTCATACCCTTCGAGAATTTCAATGACGGATTCCAGAGTGCTCAGCGATAGTCCGTCATAGAGCCTCAGCTTCCTAATCCCGCCCCCGAAGTCATTGTTAACGCAAAGTTGTTGCCCCAGCGCGGCACCTAGAAGTCCTAACGCGGCATGATCTCTCCTTCTGTAGTTCTTTGAACTTTCTGTTGCCATGGAGGTGGACATTCCAGCTCCAGCGTAGAGAGTAAGAAGACGATCGCAGTGCCATGGTCCGTTATTATCGTGCACCTGGTAGAGGCCCAGCCAGACTTTTTTCCAAAGATCGAATATCCGCCGGTGAAGTTCCTGACGCCGCTTTTCTTCCAGGGTCTCGGGAGAGTCTTCTTGTTCTTGTTCTTGTTCTGCGGAATCGGCATCTGGAAAGTCACCATCACCATCCTGGCTCGTGATGGATGATAGAGTTCTTTTCGCGAAGTTGAACATTCTAGGCTATAGCAGATATTTTTCTCGGTATGGAGTTTGGATTATAATGAAGGTAGGATGGGAAATTCAAGAAGATAAGAAAGGGACGGTTGAGGCTTCCCCGCAGGGAGCAACGGGTGGTACGTTGTACAGTACTTATGATGAGCCGCAAACGTCATAATATCATGATCGTAGAGAGCCACTCAAAAAGCATTGTTTCATTAGGAGACAGATATCTTCTATTATGCATTGCCTCTGAAGCATTGATCTCGTGCTTCGAGGTCCTCGTAAACATCATTCGTAAACATAAATGTCGGTCCATCATTCCATATCCATCATATGCGGTCGTAACATCCCAAATTAACCACCCAGAAGTGCCAGAATCCTGTAATCCGTGATGGACAGATTGCTCCTCCATGGTTTCCCGTCCCAGTGATCGCTGCGTCGTAGTGTAGCGTTGAAAAGACACACATGAAAGCAAAATATCAAGGCCAAAAAACAACCGAAACTCCTACATCCGCCACATTATACGTTTCATATAAGACATTTGAGAATCGACAATTTTAAGGCGACAAGGCACGCTCGTCGACTGAGTATCGAAAACGGGGTCGCTGACGGGCCGTTCCGTGGTGGCCCAGGAATGTTCAAATATTTCGCACGGTTGGATGATCCAGTGCTTTGGACCCCAATGAACGGTACGCCACAGCTCTCCAGTCGCAGTCGTTATTCCTCTACGCTTTCCTCGTCTATCGCTCTTCGTTTGGAGAAGAAGGCGACTTGGTTCTGGCGGGAATAGATGGCGAAGCCGACAACAGCCAGAACGACAAAGAGCACGATGATGATAATCGCGATAGCATCATTCCGCTGAACCATGATGAGCTTCTTCTGTGTCAATGGAGGCAGTCCGGCTCAGATCGTCGGTGCAGAGGGCCGATGACGGCCGCTGATGCTGGGGCTTCTAATGCGCTGGACAACGATGGGCGTAATCTCCGTATGAGGACGCAGAAAGACGAAAATGGAGCCAGAACAGGCAACTCAATAATATCCTAAGAGTGTTAGGTTAGCACATCTATCCCTTTTGGTCCAATGGCGGAAGCTCTGTGCTGCCGACAACTCACCAAGCGTCAGGCAATACCCCGCAGCACAAAGAACGCTGGCTTATCTTGTCGTTATCGGACGGGGCAATGGGTCGGAAGAGGTCGACGGAGCAGCAAGACCATCCAAAAGAGCAGAATAGCCAGCAGATGGAATGCTGGGAGCGCGCATATTTGTATAAAAAAGAGGGCCATACTGGCCATGCTGCCCAGCCATGGAATTTTTCTGCTGCTGTGGCTGGGGATGTGATAACGACAGTCCAGACGATAATGCGATGGCCATAGCGCCCACTCACAGGATATTGCAGGCCGCTGCAGGGAAGAATCGACGTGGCAGGGAAGCTAACAGAGGCTAAGAAACACCAAGAGACACCAAGAGGGACACCAGTGTCGGGAAGTAAGTATAAGTGGGTAGCTATCCGAGACTCCAAGAGTCCAAGCTGACAGCGCTAACAGCAGGTACCCGGATGCCCCCCAGCCTCCTCCTTTATGACGCCTGGAGAGTGCGAAGAACCGCACCATAGACTATCTATCGCTTTAAGAGAGGATGTTACTGTTATTATTATTATCCTGCTTCCACGTGCGTTCCTTGACTTACCGTTTGTGGTGTCCTCAGTGCAATTCATATACTCTAGTATATCCAACACCCTGGGATTTCTCCACTGTAAGATCCCCCGTAGAAGACAGGATCGGAATAATAGTAGTACTTGAGGCTCTTGTCAAGCATGATCTCTTTTCTCGATTCCGACTGTCTCCACCCTGCGTGCATAGAACGGTCGGTATGCCGATGTCCTTATAAAACAGTTGGGATTTTAGCATAAACCGCCGTTAGAGAATATCCTCATACCCAAGTACAAGGACTAGAATACACCTGCAGCTCAATGTTGCCTTTATTGCCGTTCACCAGCATGAGTAGAAGCTTGGGTCTCTTCTTTGCCTCTCTTGGGCAGTTTAACTCCTAACTATGAACTGTCGCCGTTTCAACCTTGTTCGCAGCGTCTCCACTAACTGCGGAGACATTCTAGTCATGGGAACTTGCGGTCAATCAACTTGACTGTTTTCTATCGCCACAAAAGGGTCTGTGTGTGCTTGTCTGAGATAATAGGATCGCTGCTCTTTTGACGAACCCTGAAAGAACCATCAATCTTTGCTTTGTGTCCCGATAATACACCACCGAACCTCACAGTCTGCTCCGTTCCATCTCGAAGACATCGTATATACCCGTTTCGAAAAATCCTCGCTCTCACGATTTGGCTTCTTTTCACTGTACGAGCCAAGATGGCAGCTATCATTTAGCCTGTTCATGGACCCTCTAAACCATCTCGCCCCTCCTCCTTCGACACCTACATTGACAACAAGCTCCCCATCCACGATGACTCTGTTGCGTCCTTCATAGTGCAAATGACGACGTTTACATCTGTGCTCGAGGGTGGAGGAGGAATGGACTGCCAAATGCTTGCACCTCATGTCCCAGTTCTCGATTGCAGACGTCCACATGTGAATCCCGGGCATGAGGCCTTACGCAGCATGGCCCACGCGGACCGAACAGCTCCTGTGATAAACCTTCCGGCAATCGAAGGATTGCCCTGTCGACCTCCCCTAGCACGATCCTCCTCGTCGAGATCAACATTTCGACCCGAAGATGGACTTCTTCGATCGCATCTTCCATCATCACAGTTGAAGATGCCGCCACGGCCACCTTCCCCGAGACCGTGGGTTTGGATCTGTCACTTCTGTCGAAACAAGTGGCCGTTGGGTGCCACGCGTCGCTGCTTATACGATGGCCACTACTATTGTGCAGGCCAGCGAGCAGCCACGCTTGGAAAAAGAAAAAGAGGGCCCATCATGTTCAACGAGAACACCTGCACTTCAGAATTCGATTACTCCCGATGGGCCGACATGACCAAATGGCGCAGAAAGATCCGGAATGCAGACCACAAGACCCTAACAGAATACTCGTCGACGCCTGCTACAGATCGAAATTGTTGGGATCAGTGTAGCTTTCCCAGCGCGTGTCGAATTATCAGGACATGGGGAATCAGCGAGGGCCGTATCTACGAAGATAGCTCTAGTGATGAAGATGCTTGCGACGACTTGCATGACGCTAAGAGAACGAAACTTACGGATGTTATCCACCATACCTGACTTCGATTTCAATCTACGCCAGCATGAATCTTTCAGGCGAGCCTCCGACGTAGCACTATTTGCCTTCCACCGCTTCGACCGGGGCGAAAAAAACAATTCCGTTCGAGGTAGAAAACGAGTCTGCCTCACGCGTTCATCAACCCCCCAATCTCTCAAGTCCCCGGTCTGACTTCCGTGCGATATACGTACTTCGCGGGGATGCGCTGAACTGAGCGGTCGGTTGTGGTGTAGGCCAATGTGAAATTGGCCTGCAACAACGCATCTGATGGGACGAATAATAACACTTCGTTTGGGTGGATCGCAATGGAGATATTGTCAACACTTACAGCAGTCGACGAAGTAGACAATGCCTTTGCCACCAGCTTGAATGCAATACATGTGTCGAGGGCAATTGACGAGCAATCGACGATGAGCACCACGGCCGCCGACATTGTGGGTTGATTTTGATGGTCGATTTGAGGGATAAGGAGTTCTGGGTTATCAACACGGCATGAATTAACTAAGAAATGAACAAAACATGGTAAACGATAATCAGCACTAGATCAGCCTTGTCAAGGGTCATAATTGCTTACTTGTAACTGTCTGATGATAATCACGGTAGACAGTACACGTTGATCACGTTTACAACTTGCCCCCCAAAGAGTTAATAGTTGCACGGCATATGTGCACCGCAGTGTTTCCGGGCTGATATGACCATGTGGTATTCTATGCGGGTCGTCTGACATTATTCTATCAATATCTATCAAATAGCCTATCTGACAGCTACATGGATAACAGAAACAATCGATGGCCCCATAAAGTGCGAGCTATCTGACTTTCTCCAGTATAGAGAGAGAGACCTTTCCAGATTGGGACCCCGCCTGCGGCAAACAAACTTGGCAATGTCAGCATTATTTAAAGTCATCAATCCCAGCAATGACAGCGTCTTTCTTGTCACACTACAATCGCACCAGAATGACGAATGTTTCCTTGCACAAGTCTTGTTGAATGGTTCCGTCGATGTTGGCTTTAGGTGCTTACGCTGCAGTTTGAAGCAAGTTCTGTCCCCGTGGTTTCTCCCGGCTGAGAATGCCGCACGGTCGTTTGCTCGAGACCCCATCTATTTCCACTCAAATGCGTTATTATGATTACCTCCTGCCTCGTCTGAAGAACTCCAACTTCTGGCAAAATTATATTACGTACCGGCCGATCTCAGTTGCGCATTCGGGGTGACCTTATCTCGCTAAAGGTTCGGTTCGTCTTCGTCTAGACTCCCCACAGTGGATACTTGGGTCTTCAAAACGAACTTCAGAATGCTACACTCCCTAAGTACGCAGAGCCACTCTAAGTCTAAACGGTGCTGGGTCGTGACTCGGAGACACGTACCCCAATCGCAACGGGGACGGACAAGATATGCTTTGCCGGAGAGTGCGGAGTAGACTTCGCACGAAGTCGACGAGCAAGAGCCTGGAATCTTCTTTTTGAGAGCGTCGCCTAAGTACTACGCCAGCGGTCAAGTCAGGAGGATCACTGGCGCGCCGAAAACTGTCCAGCATCTCTGATGCCAGCTTGTGCTGGCGGCCAAAGATACCAGGACGGTGGCAAGCCTTGAATTGCTCAACGGGCCAACTCTAGCACGACAATTAGAGAAGCATATGACTATCAATTCATTATCCCAGTCGGAGCTCCGTTACAAGACCCGACATGTTCTGGAAGACCCCATCGAGTGGAGGAGAACTTTGGCGGTTCGCTAAATACCAAGCTTTCGACGGAGGCCGAGCTAAGATTTCTTATCTACGCCCATGTTACAATGCCAATGCGGAGATGCTAGCACCGGGGTGGCCGGCGCAAACTAAAAGGCTTGAAATGGCGCAGGGATACTGTTAGCTCAAGCATTGGTACTCGAGGTCATGTATGGACCTTCCAGATCGAGACGAGCGCTTCTATCCGAAACATCCTCGGGTCTTCTTATCATGCGCCCATGGCTTTGTGGCGAGTTCAAGGGACCGTGCCACTAGAGATGTACGGATAGACAGTAGGTAGAAGAACAATACTTTAATATGAGCTTTCGCCATTCCTTCCCACGGCTTCTGCCCCGTACAGTGCTTTGGCTTTCCAGGTCTCTCGTGTTTCTATATCCTGACAAGAATGGTTGCCAGCACACCAGGCTATGATCGCAGCATGACCGGGGGGGCGCCAGCTTCCCTCGAAGATCTGCGTACCTGTCCCAAGCCGGTGGAAGAGAAGACATTGCCCAACGAGAAGGATGTGAAAAATGAAGTGGACATCAACGCCGATAGTGTCACCTCATATGGAGAAGCTGTCGGAGAAACCGTTGAGAGCAGTGCCAAGGTACTGGAGACGGCGGACGACATCGTCACTCAGGTTCTTGCTGTCGAAGATGATCCTTCAATTAATCCCTGGACTTTCCGCATGTTCTTTCTTGGTATGGGTCAAACCATAAATACTACTTCGGGGTTTAAGCTGTACACTGAAACTGACATATCGACTAGGCATTGGTCTGTCTGTTTTTGGCTCCGTGCTTCAGGAAATCTTCTACTTCAAACCACAAACAATCTATGTCTCTCAGGTTTTCTTGACGGTCATTGCATATGTTTTGGGAGAAGGTATGGCCTACCTGATACCCCGTCGCGGGCGTATTGGGCATCTCCTGAATCCGGGGCCGTTCAATGCCAAAGAACACGCTGCGATTTCGCTCATGGCTTCAGCGGCTTCCCAGTCTGCACTCGCTACCGAGGCATTGGCTGCCCAGCAGCTTTTCTACGGTGGCTATCCGAGTCACGCTGCAGGTATCTTCATTACATTGTCCTCTCAGCTCATCGGTTACGGCATCGCTGGTTTGCTCAGGGATGTCATTGTGCGCCCGACCAAGATGCTCTGGCCGATGACTCTGCCTATTAGTAGTTTGCTCGAATCTCTCCACCGCCACAAGAGCGAGTCGAAATCCAAGATGAAGATATTTTATGTTGTTTTCTTCATCTTGTTTTTCTGGGAAATTGTGCCCGAGGTAGGCTTGATCACCCCTATGACCCCCCGGAAGTGCAAAACTAAGTTCATATCTCCAGTACATATTTCCAGTCCTTGAGGGAGTTTCGATCTTCTGTCTTGCGAACCAAAATAGCATGGTATTCACAAATCTTTTTGGCGGAGCATCAGGAAACGAGGGACTCGGGTTTCGTAAGAGGCCCCCTCTATTTTCACCTTCGGACAAGTACTGATGCCAGATACTAGTGGCTTGGTCATTTGATTGGCAATATATTGCATCGCTTGGGTCGCCTCTGTGGTTACCTTTGTACGCCTTGACGAATAGTCTCATCGGGTACATCGGATGCATTGTCCTGTTCATGGCCGTCTACTACAAAAACGTCTGGAACTCTCAGAATTTCCCATTCCTTTCCCAGCTGCTCTTCTACGGAGACTCAAATTCGACAAACTATCACACCTACAATCAAACTCTTATCATGAACGAGGACTTCACAATCAACCAAGATCTCCTTCGCCAGCAGGGACTCCCTTGGCTCACCGGAACATACGTCTGCTACCTGATTACGTCCAACATGGGCCTTACAGCTACATTCACGCACATGCTGCTGTGGAATTTGGACGATATCAAAGCCGGGTGGGAGTGGGCGTCACCTAAGAAACTGAAGAAATGGCTCCAACCGTCTTCCTGGAAGTTCTGGGCGAACCAGGAGACACCAGAAGAACGCCTGCAGCGACGACTCAACGACCCCAAGCTGGATCCCCATTACAAACTCATGCTGCGGAACTTGTATCAAGAGACACCGCACTGGTGGTGGGGGGCCATTCTCGTTGCAAGCTTCGCAGTCGGACTAGGCTGTCTCTATGCCATGAAATCAACCCTTCCGTGGTGGGGTTTCATCATCGCCAACCTGCTGACGCTGCTGTTTATGCTCTTCTTTGGTGCACAATATGGTATTACCGGATTCCAGTTCAATGTCCAGCCCATTTGCCAGATGCTTGCGGGATACATGTTCCCCGGTAAACCCCTAGCGAGTGAGTGACTCTCTTGCTTTTCATAGTTTCTTTTACAGTAGCGGTCAATCGGTCTAACACGTCCAAGATCTCTACTTCACCTGCTTCACCTACAACTCCCTCCAAATGGGACAGGTGCTTGCAAAAGACCTCCGACTGGCGCAGAACCTGCACATCTCACCTATATGCACATTCACAATCCAAGTGACAGGATGTATCGTCGGCGCGCTCTTCAACTACATCATGATGTTGACGTAAGTCATCAATATCGCCATCAAACCCATCTCAGACCTCAAGTCTCCCTCAACTAACACACACAATCCCCAGCATCGTCCAAAACCAAGGCTCGGTCCTCAAATCCATCGAAGGCACCAACATCTGGAGCGGTCAGAACATTCAGATAAGTCCCACTTGCCCCTCCTATCATCATCTCTCTCACCCCAGACTAACCCCCCCTTACCAGTTCAACACCCTCGCCATCGCCTGGAGTATAGCCAAGGACATGTTCTCCATCGGCGGCCGCTACCAATGGGTCACGATATCCTACCTGCTCGGCTTCGCCGTCCCGCTTCCCTTCTGGCTCCTCAACCGCTGGCGCCCCCACCGAATCTTCAGCTACCTCAACCTCTCCATCATCCTCTGGTACATGGGCTGGTTATTCGTGGGCATCAACGCATCCATCCTAGCGTATTTCACAATCGGCTTCTTCGCTCAATGGTGGTTGAGAAAATACCACCCGCGCTATTTCACAAAGTATAATTACATCGTCTCTGCGGCTCTCGACGGAGGCACGCAGGTGTGTGTGTTTATTTTGACCTTTGCGGTCTTTGGAGGAAGTGGGAAGAGTTATCCTTTTCCGTGAGTGAATTACCCCCTCCCGTCATTTTTTTTTTATTTTTCTCTTATCTTTTATCCTTTTGTTTTCTAAATAGGATTTCCTATACTGATATTTTTCTATTTTTGCGTACTAGGACATGGGCTGGAAATCCCGATACTTCAGTTCATAATCTCGACTATTGTAAGCTGAATACTGCGACTACCAGCTAGAGAATCCGAGGGTTAGTTGGATTTGGATTGTGTCGAGGAAAAGGAGTTTATGGATAACGATAAGCCTATGATGTAGTTGTATGAGAATGATATATACATATATAATGCTACCTGGGTTGGCAGATCTTACCGTTGCTAAACAAAGGTGTTTTTTTATTATTATTGTTGTTGGAATGTTCGAATATAGAGACATCAGAATATTAGATGGCATTTAGACATAATAGTGTATTCTATAATACGACAAAAACGCCATGTCTCAGAATCCGCTCATACCGAATACAGCAACGCACAGGCCAACCCAAGAGAGGGAAGAAGAAAATAAAAAATGATTGGCATGATACAGAAAGACTAGCATGGCATAATTCATCCCAAGATCTTAAGACCACCCTTGGTCTTGCTCTGCTTCTTCACTCCGTCGTGCTTGACCTTGGTACTGCCGGCGGACCCGCTCTGGTTTCCGCCGTGGCCACGTGCTCCGCCCTTCTTTCCGAGCTTGGCGTTCGCCACAGGCCGCACCTCCGTTGTCGCGCGACGCAGCAACACCGGATGGGAACCGATATACTTGCCCTGCATCTCTCGCGCCGCTTTCAGGTAATCGTCACCGTCACTGAAACTGACAAACCCGTATCCCTTGCTCTTCTCGGTGCGCTTGTCGCGAATGACGCGCGCTTTCTGCACGGACGGATACCTGGAGAACGCTTTGAGCAACGAGTCGTCTGTCACCTCGCCCGCAAGGTTACCAACGAAGAGTCGGAAGTGCGCTGGATCCCATTCCACCAGGGTCGGGTCCGTCCAGGTCTGACCACCGCCCGAACGAATAACAGTCTTCTGAACAGGCTCCTGACGCCCCGGACCGGGAACGGGCGTGTTGGAAGCTGTCGGACCGGCCAACGGGGTAGATGAATCAAAGCGCGACGCACCTAGGGTGCCCGTATTTGCGCCTGTCGCAGCGGCAGGACCGTCCCGACGACCTGGCCCCTTATTACCAGGGGTAGGATCAGCTTCCCTGCCCATGTACGCACTCTGCCACTGTGCGATCTGTGCTTCTGTGTCCGGGTCCACGCCGGAATCATGGCGTCCGTAATTCATTCCGCCCTTGTCTTGCCCCGGGAGCGGGAAAGGGTTCTGAATTCGGGGCACCGTGGCGCCGTAGGTGGTGTCTCCATACTGTGGTTGGCCGTAGTACGAAGGACCGGCCTGGTAGGATTGTTGTGGATATTGATAGGCGCCCGCGCTGTAGCCCGTCGTAGCGGCCGGATAGCTTGCTGCTGGTGCTGATGCGGGCGGAGCGGAAACGACAGGACTACTAGTGCGGTAGGGCTGGTTGGAAGCTACGGAGCGTGGCTGGAACGCGGTGAAGGCACTGTGGCCTGCCCCGGACGGTTTGGCACTGGCAGCATATCCGGAGGCCGAGGAAGCGTACGAGGGCGCAGCTGCATAGGCTGGTTTGAAGGAGGACGACTGGGAGCCGGCGGGTGGTGGAGGCCGCGGCGGCAAACCTGCAGGAGGCGGATACGACATGATGAATGGACGGTTCGAGCAGAAGACGGATTTGATGCGCCGTGTGAGGATGCAACTGGCAGCAAAAACACGTACCTTCAGGCCCTGACTGGGCGCAGCGAGCCTACGCCAGACGTCACACCTGAGAGAACTTCTCGACCACGAGGGAACGCCAGCCACACGAACGGTGACAAGTTGGGAGTCGATGGGGTGACAGGATAACTCCGTGCGTGTAAAAAAAAGCAAAGGCTTACGTGAAGACAGATGTCTCACTCCAGGGGTGATGGGCCCCGTGCAGGCGGGATAGGATAGGAAAGCTGATGAATGCGATCGAAATTGAGGAATCGTCCAGGTGACTTGAGGTTGAGGTTGCACGCCAAGCGGGATGAGTCAGCAGAGTCTGGGCCAAGCAGGCCTGACTAAGCAGGGTGTCAGACTTCCCCTCCACAAGCAGTGATATCACTAGGTAGTACTAGTTAGTAGTAAGTTATTGCTGGAAACTATGTCAAGAGTATTATATGATATTATTATTATTATATTATTGATTCACCGTGTAGTAAGTTAACTAAGCTAAGCTGCATCTTCTGGATAGGTAATTAAATAATAATAATAATAACTGAACTGAACTAACTAGTTATTGCTGATGGACTGCAAGATTAATTACCGGCTGGCATTACAGGCTGTGACGCTACCTTTGCTTAATTAATACAGTCTTCGATGCCGACTGCTTCACCGGGAGCTTCCCTCTTCTGCCCCGCCATCGTATGAGTTCGCATCTCGCGATTCCATTTCATATTGGCAGCGTTGAACACAGTCACCACCACGAGATAGCCCGTATGTGGCATCAATCGGTAGCGACAGCATCGCGCGACTCTGTAGATTTATAATATCAGCGTCTTTTCTTCCATTCTCCCCCGTCCAGCGGCCAGACAGCCGGACCACAGTACTCCTGCTGCCCCGCCCCAACCGGCCGTCCCACCATGACGGAACGTTCACCGTAACGCCGTACAGAGCGAAAAGAACCGTACCGGCAACGGACGAGGCTCGTCTTGCTCCGTCATCAGCCCCCCCGAGCGTTTAGTTATTCCTTTTCTTCTGCTCCCTCCTCCGCTCACTCCCTCTCTCTTTTTTTTCTTCAGGCCTTTTCTCTCCATCCTCATCATCATCCCATCTCCCATTAGACCCCCTCCGCGTTTCTGTAGAGTGACTCTGCAGCATCTGCGACTCGAACCTCCCTGTGGAAGCTTGCATCTGGATTAACATATTCTGTCGTCATGGCTGACCAAGCTACGTGAGTACTTCCCCGCCGTCCCTCGACAAATACCCCGCGGTGTGTCACATCAATCCAGCAGTGCAGAACGCCGCAAGACAAGTCCGTGCAAGCTCCCAATGCTTCTGCAACGGGTTCAGCATGAGCTGCGGTAGTCATTGTAGATGCTGTGAATGCTGTGGCTCCGGGGCAGCGTCGTCATGCTACCCGGGTCCTCCATGCTCTCGGATTTATTGACATGAGGACATACGGCTGACTATAGCGCCCGTCTTGCCGGCATCAATGTCGGCATCCCGGCGCCGTATCCCAGTGGTGATTTCGGCCTCATCGGTCTGGCCGTCATGGGTCAGAACCTGATCCTGAACGCCGCTGACCACGGCTTCACCGTCGTCGCCTACAACCGTACCGTTGCCAAGGTCGACCGCTTCCTCGAAAACGAGGCCAAGGGTAGGTGGACTGATAGCCCAGATCTCCCCCTGTCCTGCGGAGCTGACACCCCCGACAGGCAAGTCCATCATCGGTGCTCACTCCGTCGCGGACTTGTGCGCCAAGCTGAAGAAGCCTCGCCGCATCATGCTGCTGGTCATGGCTGGTAAGCCCGTCGACGACTTCATCGAGCAGATTCTGCCCCACATTGAGAAGGGAGACATCATCATCGACGGTGGTAACTCCCACTTCCCCGACTCCAACCGCCGTGCCAAGTACCTGGCTGAGAAGGGCATCCGTTTCGTCGGCACCGGTGTCTCCGGAGGTGAGGAGGGTGCCCGTTACGGTCCCTCTCTGATGCCCGGTGGTAACGAGGAGGCCTGGCCCTACATCAAGGATGTCTTCCAGAGCATTGCCGCCAAGAGTGACGGTGAGGCATGCTGTGACTGGGTCGGAGACGAGGGTGCTGGTCACTATGTCAAGATGGTCCACAACGGTATTGAGTACGGTGACATGCAGCTGATCTGTGAGGTGGGTAGACATGGGACATGTATCTGCACGAACTGCGCACTGACATATTCTGCAGGCATACGACATCCTGAAGCGTGGCCTCGGTCTGAGCAGCAAGGAGATGGGTGACGTTTTCGACAAGTGGAACAAGGGTGTCCTGGACTCGTTCTTGATCGAAATCACCCGTGATGTCCTCCGCTACAACGACGACGATGGCACTCCTCTCGTCGAGAAGATCCTTGACAAGGCCGGTCAGAAGGGTACCGGAAAGTGGACTGCCATCAACGCCCTCGACCTGGGAATGCCCGTCACTCTGATTGGCGAGGCCGTCTTTTCCCGTTGCCTCAGTTCCCTCAAGGACGAGCGTGGCCGTGCCAGCAAGATCCTCGAGGGTCCCTCTCCCAAGTTCGAGGGTGACAAGCAGGCCTTCATCGACGACCTCGAGCAGGCCCTCTATGCTTCCAAGATCATCTCCTATGCTCAGGGTTTCATGCTGATCCAGAACGTAAGTGTTGACTGTCATATTCGATCCGGATCATCTGCTGACGCTGTCTTTTTCTAAATAGGCTGCCAAGGAGTACGGCTGGAAGCTGAACAAGCCCTCCATCGCTCTCATGTGGCGTGGCGGTTGCATTATCCGCTCTGTCTTCCTGAAGGACATCACCAACGCCTACCGCAAGAACCCCGAACTCGAGAACCTGCTGTTCGACGAGTTCTTCACCAAGGCCATCCACAATGCCCAGAGCGGCTGGAGAAACGTTGTCAGCAAGGCTGCTCTCTGGGGTATCCCCGTCCCGGCCTTCGCCACCGCGCTGAGCTTCTACGACGGCTACCGCACCAAGGACCTGCCCGCCAACCTGCTGCAGGCTCAGCGTGACTACTTCGGTGCTCACACCTTCCGTATCAAGCCCGAGTTTGCCAGCGCGACCTTCCCCGAGGGCAAGGACATCCACGTCAACTGGACCGGCCGGGGTGGCAACGTGTCTGCCTCGACCTACATTGCTTAAGCGGACAGCCGCACGATGATGCGTTTCACTGGATGAGGACGCAGTCAGCGCGGTCTAACGCATACACCCCGCTCCACCTGCGATGGGTAGTGACATGATGAAAACGGAATTAATTATGGTAAAATTCGAGTACGACTGTTGCGTGTATTTAATTAGATGCAATCATATTGGGTAGCGCGTTCTGGTCTGGGACGCGTCGGATGAAGATCTTCCACGGTAAACGAGATGAACCGGGGGCCATGATGTTTGGCAGTTGTAAGAAATGGTTTCTGGAAGTAAAAAGCTAGCTGAATGAATGAAGCTCCGATTCTCTTGTAATCATGGAAGCTGATAATAATAATATTTATTATAATCATAATGTATTTTATTGCCTTTGACCCGTCGAAAGTCGGGGTGAATGAATGAATGCATCGGCGGATGCGCTAGTCTGCATCGGGACACCTGGTCCAACATCGAAACGTCCGCAGTTCCCATCATTATTACTACGTTGGTCCAACATCCTCCTGCCGACCTCACGATCCTTCGCAGCGGCACGGATATCGGTGGCCCCCGGAAGGCATCTTGTTCTTCTTCCTTTTTCTTATGTGCAGTGCTGGTTTCTATTAGCCTTCTGGTTCTTGTTTCTTTGTTGTGCCATTCAATCGTCGCTCTTTTTAGCTTAGGTGCTCATCTGATTCACTGCCCCCCCTTTTGCAGGTGCTCCAGGGACAGCAGGCAACCTCCAGTTAAGGTGCAGAGATAGGGAGCTCTGTCTACTGGAGTATTTCCAGGAGGACGCTAGACGAAGGATATACGAGGCTTGTTAGGTTTCGAAGCGGCGGCATCTCTCGTCCCAGTGCGGATCTCTATGGTGTGAGACCGACAGCTGTCATCGGGCTTTTGACCAAGTGATATTGTTTCTTTCCGGCGGATTGGCCATCTTATTGGACCTGTCCTCGCTTGTCGGTATAGAGCTGGTTCTGGAGACATTCCAATGGCGGAAAACAAGCGGCAGAGTGTCGGAGGGAAGCCGCAAGCGCAGGCACCAGCTGTGGCTGCCGCAGGCCCTGGCGTTAATGCGGCCATGGTGCCCTTAGATGTGGCATTGAGCGGTGCAATCGGTGCGCGGTAAGTCTACATCCTTGATTTCGTGGGCAGTTGACGTATCAGAAACCTCCCCGCGTGTCTCAACTTGCGCATGCGGAGAATGGGATATGCTTCGATTACTGACAAGTTGACATAGTGTCCGTATCACCACCGCGCCTCCAACGGCTTCTACCCTGGAAGGTATCCTCTTCACTACTGATCCTATCACGAACCTCGTCGCCATCAATACGTCCACGCCTCCTCCCACCCCAATCAACGCCTCAAATGCCAGCCTAGCCGGTGACTATCATATCATCCCGGTGTCTCGAATCCAGTCCTTCCAGCTCCTATCCCTGGCTCCATCTTCCACTAGCTCCGATGGACCCTCGTTCACGGATGCTTACCCTCCGCTCCATGCCCTGGACCTCCGTGCTCTGAAGACCCGTGAGGCGAACGCTGTCGCGAAGCTCCAGGAGCGGGAGGCGCGACGGGGCAAAGGAGTGAGTCGAGAGGCGCAAGATCTCTTCGATGCGTTCAGTCGGACGATGCCTGCCAGGTGGGACGGCACCAGCATAGTCGTCGCTGATGCGGTCGTGATTTCCAAGCCCTACACGGTGGATCACTGCCGGCCATTGGTAGCAGGGGATGTAGCCGCGCTGGCACGAGTTCGTAAAGTTGTATGTATACCTCGTCCCTTGCGGTACTTATATGAAGTCATGCTAATTATATGCCCCCGAACAGCTCGAGATGGAGCGTAAAAAGATTGAACTCCGCAACGCCAGTGCTGCGATTGGAAACTCGAACAACTTTCCTCGGAACGCGGGCGCAGCACGAGGTGTCCCGAACAAGGATTCACGGAATTCTATTGCTGGGGGGAACCATGCGGGCGCTGCGGCAGGATCCGGAGCTGTTGGGCAGAGAAAAGGTGGATGATCTCACAGGTATAAGATCGACAGGCACCGAAGGCTACTTTGCAGAGGTCTGGGCGCCGAAGTCAGTGGAAGGGCGATATGCAATATCAGACCAGCTTTGCTGCTGCTGAGTTTGGGGCAGCGTGAGATCCCAGACACCGTGGGGTCAATTGCAAACCTGACGCAGAACTTGAGACTAGAAATGGATGAGAGTTCTGGGACGGGAATAGCAGGTGATCATGCTTGGATCATGTCGGATCGCCATCATGAAGGAATGTCTTATGTATAAGGGAACGCCAACAGGGTTATGCAATCCATGAGGACCCGGAGAACTCAGGTGCAGGACAGGACCTTTTGTCTAGGTAACATATCAATGAAAAATATAACTAGTGAATATTTATTCGTTCGTAGATGGAGTCAACTATGCAACTCAAGTAATCCGACAGCCATAACCCATCTAGAACAAACTGACACTTGAATACACTATCACATGAACAATTATCAACCTCCTCCTTCCTATCAACCCAACCCGGTCCCAAATACAGCATATCAGACATCTACACTGTACACATCAGTAATACAAATTTAAACAAAGAAAAAGACACTATCCCACTCTCCCACGTCCCTCCCTAAGTTTTAACAATGCAGAACAATTCCCCCACGCCTCCCCCCCCCCCACGATATATAAACCTTAAATCAGAACACCACGTACGGTAAATAATATTTATTACACCACTCCACCCCCCGGCGTACTGGGAACAAAACTAGACGAAACGACGCATTACCTCTAGTGTAGTATGAAATAGAAGGAACTAGAATCAGCAAGATTCCGAATAACATTACTCGTAACTTATGGTATGATGGGTACCGGATTCGATTCGATTCGATTCAATTGCCTTGTCTGGTTGCCAAAAGGGGCGGAATTAAAAAGGGGAGGGGTGGGGGGGTAGTTAATAGCTGACAGCGTGTAAATGGTAGAGTAGAGTAGAGTATGATAAGATATGAGTATGGACATGATTTATTAATTTATGTTGATAGTGACTATGGTAGTATATCTATCTATTCAGATGTTTAATATTTGTAGGGAGTATTATGTGTAGTTAGTACAGTATTCTGAGAAAGTAGTCCAGAACTCTCTTTACTTGTTTAGTGGTAGTTATACACAGCTGATGCAAGTTAGGCTTCAGAGATCCGATGTCAGGGTGACGTGTGACCTGATGCAATGTCGCGCTTTGTCCGTGGATTGAGATGAAATGGAAGAAACTGGAACTCTTGTTCGAGGTAGATGTTTATCTCTACGATATGATATAATAGGTGATATAGAGATCCTTTTATTGCGATACTATCCTGTGAGGCAATGTCTAGTTAGCTTATTTCGCGATAAGAGAGAAGACTCCTATTGCGTCATCCCGAATTCTATCTGGCATTGTCTGCTGTCAAACCGCAATGAAGGGTTAGGTTAGCTCATTCTAGCATCTATTCTAGCAATCGGTTGTGTTTCTTTTCTTCGATATTCTCAGATGCTGAAGTTAAGGACTCGGAATGCATTAGTACGTTCTGGCCTGTAAGCTGTAGATTAGTAAACAATCAAATGGACGACACAGCATATTATAAAGACCTTTCCAAGTCGGACTACAGACATCCGGGCACGATCTTCCGAAAGATCTTAAATCGGACCGATTCTCGTCTGGTTTCCGCCCCCTGCGATGCCGTGAGCTTCCGCGACCCTCTCAGATGGCAAGCCGGTTCCATAGGTTACACTGGAATCACTTTAGATACTGGCCTGGACCGGACGGCACCGTCAGCCGGCCTTGGACGCATGCAAGAGATATCAAATGGCACAGTGGTTCGTGTCCCGCAGCATTGTCGAACAAAGAAAAAGGCTCTTGCAGCAGCCAGTAGGATCTGTGCCAACACCTAGGCGGACGCTGACATTTACTTAAGCTCACGCAAGCCACAGGTCAGTTACCTTGGTACGGGGCCTGTGTTGAGTTTTGAATAAAGGCTTGTTATAGACCTGGAAAGAGGTTAGTGTAACATGGGACGACCTCATACCTGTACAATGGTCCGCGGGAGACCCGACCAAACTCTCCTCACTAGATACCGGCTGGCGCATGGCAGATCCAGGATAACTCGAAAGCCTATCCTGGAACCGAGCCACGAGCAGTCTCCTATTCATGGGGCCGTCAAGGGACCACTATTCTTGGACATACTTATTGTTATCCAGTGGTGTTCCAAACGCTGGATCCCCTACGCCATGGAATGACGAGACTTCTGGCCAGTAGGGAAACGTTCACAAAGTATTATAGACGTCTAATAGCTTTTATAGTCCTGGAGAGAGCCATGTCGATCTAGTGAAGTACTGAAGTATGCTGGAGGGTGTGATCTGGCCCGGCAGCCATGCTCTGGTACATTATCCAAGGCCGTAGCTGAAGAACCAGAAGATGCAAACGACAAGATTGTCAAGGCTTCTAATCCTCACCGCCGCCCCTTCCTAGGTTGATTGCCGCGCTGACGCATGCTAGATGACTGAAAGCTTGGGGTGCATTTCCCATCTGTTCTCCCGAGACGGCCACTTCTTCAGAGAACATGCCCAGATGATTGGCAAAAGAGAGAACATTGTCGAAGTGTGCCAGAGCGGTCTTTTGGAGGTTTGCATAACTCGGGATACTGGAGTGGTATTTTGCGGCCTGGGATGCCAAAAGTTAGTTACGACAACTTGCAGCAGCTCCCTCGAGATTACTTACGCGGATCATGCACTCAATGGCCCAGAAAGTGATCATAATGAAGGCACCTTCTCGCCCGCCAACGCCTGTCGAGATTCACACACAAGTCAGAAGAAATACATTGTTGTAGCCAGATGCGACGAAGCTACAGCCTCGTAGGGCTGAGAAAGCCACCCATCACACGAGCTCGGTTTAGAAAGAAGCTTACCATCGTTGGCCTTAGTATGGTCATATCTGAACACCATTCTTGCACTTGTCAGACCGCCCTTCTCCGGCGGTGCCAAAATTTTCTCCAACGTGCTCAGGAAGCGGTTGTCATTAGCTGGCAGGAAGAACACGAGCGGCATGATCAAAAGCGCAGCGTCCAGGACGGCCTTGTTCTCGTAGCTCTGGCAGAAGTAGCCTTCCTCCTTGTTGTAGCCTTTCTCCATGATCTCATCGTACAGCTCATCGCGAACCCGCAGCCACTCGCCCCGGTCAGGGCAGGGAAGACTGGAGCGCTTATCAGCCAGGCGCAGTGCACGATCCAGAGCGACCCATAACAGGACCTTGGAGTAGACGAAGTTCTGTGACATACCACGAACTTCCCAGATGGACATGTCCTTCTCATGGCGGACGTCCACGACGTAGTTGACCATGCGGCGGACCGCCAACCATTGATCGTAAGAGATCGGATTTCCGTGCTTATTATACAGATAGATACTATCGAGAAGCTCGCCATAGATATCAAGCTGGGTGTGGAAAGCTGCCGCGTTACCGATTCTCACCGGCCGGCTTCCTTTGTAGCCCTCCATGTGAGTGAGCTCTTCCTCGGGGATTTCGTACTCGCCCCTGATCGTGAACATGATTGGAAGAAACGGTCGATGGCCTTCAAACAGGACCTGGGCGCTTTCTGATGGAAAGATCCGATCGAAGATGAAGGAAATATAGGACTCCGCCTCCTCATCGTAGCCCATCTTCAGGAAGACGTACAGGGTGAAAGACGTATCACGGACCCATGAATAACGATAATCCCAGTTACGGGTACCACCTATATTTTCAGGCAGTGAGAAAGTTGGTGCCGCTACGATAGCCCCTGTAGGCCTATATGTCAACAGCTTCAATACGAGCAAACTCCGCTCGACCTGTTCGCGGTAGTGACCTCTGAAGGTGCACTTCCTGGTCCAGTCGGTCCAGTAGTCAAAGGTCTCTTGCTCCAGCCTATTGAGGTAAGGGCCCACGATGTTCTCGCCCGGGATGGCCTTCTCAGGACTGTGGACGACAAACGTGATGGACTGGCCTTCGCTGATATGGAACTTGGCAGAGAGCCCGCGCCCGTTTATTCCAGGCCGGTTCTGCATCTCGAAGTGGACCTTGGGAAAACCGGACTGGCCAGGCTCCTTGCTGTCGATAAAGATCTGTACTTGCAACCTTTCCGAGGGGCTCTCAAAATGGATTGTTTGGAGACGATGGTTGGCGACGTCGTCGTTCAGGCTGCAGCGAGCGATGTGAGAGTCGCGCGCATAGTTGAACGCGGGGAACAGCTCGGCTTCCACGTCCATCGATCCTCTGCCGCATTCGACTTTGCGGATCACGCCCGAATGGCGTAGACCCGATTTGAAAAGATTGGCGCCTGCCTCTCTGCAGGGACAGTACCCCGAGAGATGTTTATCGGACTGGGGCGACTTGTGGGACGAGACGGGGAAATAGTCTAACAAGTTGATGACCCCAGTCTCGTCGATCCAACGGGTTTCGAGCATGTTGGTGTAAGGGAGATACCTCTGCTTCCCGATTGGGGTGAGCTTGGGATCCGGATTGATAGAGAACCATCCGCCTTTGTCCTTATCCAGGAGACGGCAGAAGACTGAGGGCGAATCAAAGACGGGCCAGCACATGAAATCCAGGCTGCCATTCTTGCCAACCAGAGCACATGTGTGCATGTCCCCGATAATGCCATAGTCCTCAATGGCACTGTATCCAGCTTCTTTTGCCATGGCGATCCCGACCGGTCTGGACAGATGGTGATATCATACAGTCGTGGAGGAAGAGACTAGAGAGAGTATGGAGTGATCTCAGCACTAGCAGCGATCTTGCACAGGAGTGGAGTTGGATGGAGCAGCTGGAGAAAGTCGATGCCAGGTTGGCGCGCTCTATTAAACAGAAACCAGCTGCATACGGAGTTGCAATGACCCAATTGCCATGATGACAACAATGATGATGATGATGCCGGCAGCATACCTGAGGTCATGGTGTCGATGGCCGGACAAGACGACCAGAAATGAGCCAGATCCATGGATGAGAGCGTTTAAGGGAACCGTAGACCCAAGGGCCATTGAGTTGCTCTGGAGCTGGCTGGAAGCTCTGCTATGCTGGAATCGGATAACGAACAATAATTAGATAGTAGTTAATTAGATAGAAACTGAGGGGGGTTGACGATTTCATCTGATAGATAGACAAGCGCTAAGAGCGACGGTAAGGAGACGGGTTGAAACACTCCTCACGCGCCCGTCTCTCTCTCTCTCTCTCTCTTTCTCTCTCTCTCTCCCTTTCTGCTTCCTCTCATCTCATCTCCTCAGACGGTGTAGTCCCGTCCTGTCCCTCCCTTGGAATTGATTTCCTTCTTCTCTCTTCTGCGTCTCTCCCTTGTCCACTTGTTTCTTGCCCTGGGTCGATCACTTTTGCCCTGCATCCACGGTCTTCCGCCCGGCGATCAGATCCTGTCCACCGCCTGAAGCTGCCACCCCCGGATCGTCGGCCCCTAGCGTCGCTCGTCTCTCTCTCAGCCGCACTCGAACAGAAGAGACCGGTCAGTCTTCTCTGGCCTGGGAACTCATCTCTGTTCTCTTCCGTGAGGCTGTTTCGCTGGATCCAGCTTGCTTGCTTACTTACTTACTTTCTGTGTTCGACACCTGAGGGCAGCGCTGGTGGTGACCGTGTCGTGGCCGCATCAGATCGGTGGCTGCCCGACAGACGGGACGGATTCATTCACGCGACCTTGGAGGACGGACTTCATCTCCACGAGCCAGCTGACACTCAGACTGACCGTCTCTACGGTACCTACGATTGCCCCCCGCTGTTGCCATTCCCCAATGGGGCCGTTGATGTTCTAGAGATCCAGATAGACTCAGGCAGCCAGGATGGGATTGTCCCCGTCGGGGAGTAGCCACCACAGGCGGCGGAGTTCGGTGCTGACTGGAGGGCCCTCCCAATACCGGCCAGTCAACGCGGAACCCCAGGAGGACAGTCCCAGATTCACTTACGGGGATGGAGATGCCTCCAGGATGGAGGAGCAGAAGCCGCTGACGGCGGACCGCAGAGATTCGTCGGATCTGTCGTCGATTGCGGAGAGTGAGGAATTGACGCTGTCCGATGACGATCAGGATGATGAGGAGATGGGCCTGACGGCCAAGGAACGCAGCCACAGGCGACTGAAGAGGAAAAAGCAGCGCAGGCACTTGGACGCTCGAATCGCGGGCGTGAAGGCATCAAAGCAGGAGTCGTTGGCGGACAAGAACGTCGTCAAAAGATTGCTTATCAATGCATCTCTGATCAGCTTGTGGTACCTCTTTTCGCTCTCCATATCCATTGTAAGTTGCTTCCGGTTTCCGCAGTCTTTCCAGGCATGATACTGATCTGACCAACTCTTCCCCTACAGTATAACAAATGGATGTTCTCGGAGGATAAGGTTGTCTTTCCCTTTCCTCTCTTCACCACCAGTCTGCACATGCTGGTCCAATTCACCTTTTCGTCCATTATCCTCTACTTCATACCGTCTCTACGTCCTCAACCTCAGTCCGTTGGAGATGGATCGCACGATACGAAACCGATCATGACGAAACTCTTCTACGCGACGCGACTGCTGCCGTGCGGTACTGCCACATCGCTCGATATCGGGCTAGGCAACATGTCCTTGAAATTCATCTCCCTCACCTTTCTCACGATGTGCAAATCATCCGCCCTCGCATTCGTCCTCCTATTCGCCTTTGTCTTCCGCCTTGAAAGGCCTTCCGTCAAACTGATCCTGATCATTGCGACCATGACTGCAGGTGTCGTCATGATGGTCGCCGGTGAGACAGCGTTCAATGCCCTCGGGTTTGCGTTGGTCATCGCCTCTGCCTTCTTCTCCGGGTTCCGATGGGGCCTGACTCAGATCCTCCTTCTCCGACACCCTGCGACATCAAATCCTTTCTCGACGCTGTTCTTTCTGACGCCCATTATGTTCGTTACGCTGATTCTGATTGCGTTGGCCGTAGAAGGTCCTCATGACGTTATGGGAGGCTTCGCGGCCCTCGCGGCTGCACATGGGACTGTGGGGGGTGTTTTGCTCCTCATATTCCCGGGCGTGCTCGCATTCTGCATGATCGCCTCCGAATTCGCGCTCCTCAAACGATCGTCTGTCGTTACCTTGAGTATCTGCGGTATATTCAAGGAAGTGGTCACCATTAGTGCCGCTGGTGTCATCTTCCACGACAAACTAACCCCCGTCAACGTGTCCGGTCTGATTGTGACCATTGCCAGCATCGGCTCTTACAATTACATGAAAATATCTGCGATGCGTCAAGAGGCCCAGAAGAATCTGGAACGCGGTCAGCATCGCGGTTCCGATGCCTCCGGCCGTTCAGTGCGACGCCGTATGAGTACTGGTAGTACCCTGGAGGTTGGGACAGCAAGCGGTAGATACAAGTCCATTGGTAACTCTGAGGGGCATGGCGACACCTTTTCTCCGGTCAGCGACAGCGGCAGACCAGAGCGTCACTCCTTCAGTATTCGAGCCAGTGGCACAAGCAATGTACCGAACATAATCTCTGCACCTGCGACCAGCATGGGGGATCATTTTAACCTTGGGCAATCTTTTAACAACGAAGACCCTGAGCGCCATCCGCATCGTGATCAGCATGACTCGAGCCATCGGAGTCGCTCCGCCTCTGCCTCGTCAGGCTCATCTTCGTCCTCGTCTTAGATGGGTGGGCGAATTCACTTTTTTTATACCGTTCGACTGATTATACCCCTGTCAAGATCATGAGTGTGGTAGATCCGTGCTGTTACCTGCAGTCCCCCTTTTTCCTTGTTCTTCATATCGCCCGTACCTTCTAGTAAGGGTGGGATATGATGCCCGATCTCGACCCAGGGCTCTTATTACTGCATTTGCTTATTGCTTTCTTTTTTGGCATATCCTGTCGATTCCTTTTGTTACTGTCTCCAGATGATACCTCGCGGGTTTTCTTTTACACCAAAATGTTTAGTATGTGCAGCAGTCTAGTGCACATTAGAAGAACAGATGAACTAGATACCTGGGCCGCTAGACATGCTAAGTGGCACCATTTTTCCAGACTAACTCTCCTCTCGTGCAATGTGGTATGCCACAATCATATGTATATTCCGCGTGGTACTGTCGCAAAGAGTCTGAACAGTCCCGCAGCCAGCCAATTAGGGCTTATACCGGAAAGTTGTGATGGTACCATTGGCAGACTTTTGTTCAATATACAGTTATGCAAGCGTTCTAAATTATGACAGCCGTTTACAGTTCTACGATCTCTCAAGTGTGGATGTGCGTAGATGTATGCAACCCAACTTTTATCTAACGTAGTCCAACATCCCACTGGCCAGCAGCAAGCGATGAGGATTACTGATAAGGATTACTCCTCTCCGATATCGACCGAATAAGACCTAATTATACAAATACATACAAAGGTGAGAATGAGAAAAGCCTCACTCACTACCACTTTCAGAACCCGACTTCACTTTCTTCCCTCTGGCCTTCCCCTTCGGAGCAGCTTTCATTGCCTTTCCAGCACCTTTCTTCGCATTCCCACTTCCAAACATATCCTCTAGACTCCGTTGATTCTGCTTCTCAAGTTCCTTTTTCCTCTTCTTCTCATCCGCTTCAAGCTTGCGGTCATATTGGTCCTGAAGCCTTTCTCGTTCCGCGCGTCCTTCCTCAGATAATTGGGCTTCGAGGGTCTTGAATTCGGCACTTTCGGGGTCCATTCCGATCAGAGATTCGAGGAGTTTGATCTCGCGCACCCAGACGTTGTAATCTGGGATAGTGGGTGGGCGCGCACCAACTGGGCGTTTGGACTTTTTGCCCTTTTTGGACTTGGTATCTTCTGCTTCGCTCTCTTCGGCGCAGGAATCGTGGGTTGGTTCTTCACTTGCTTCGGGGACTGCTGTGGTCTCGCCCGAGGGGAGGTATGAGGGATCGGGTCTATCGATGGGTGTTTCAAGGATCATGGGCAGTCCTTCGAAGCGTTTCTCATTCATGACGTTGTGGAAGGCTCGCAGACCGAGGAATCCTGTTCCGATGTTTGCGTGGAGATCGCGCTTGCTGCCGCGGGGAGCTTTAGAGTCGTTTAGATGCAAGGCACGAAGGTATTTGAGGCCGATGAGGTCGTCGAATTCTTTCATGAAGGCTTGGAATCCAGCGGGGGAAACCAAGTCGTAGCCTGCTGCGAAGCTGTGGCAGGTATCCACGCAGATGCCGATGCGATCATGGTATTTCTCGGGAATCAAAGCTATTAAGTCGCGGAAGTCACTGAGATTGCTTCCAATGGTCGTTCCATGTCCGCACATCGTCTCGAGGACGGGGATGACGGTCTTTGTGGCTGAGAGGGCGTTTGTGAGCGCCTCGGCGAGGCGAGAAAGTGCTGAGGAAAGGGTGCTCTGGTTTGCTGAGCCGGGACTGCATAGGGTGTCAGTTGAGAGATACTCAAGCGATGAAGAGGCTAGCGGGCTCCGTAATACTATACTAACTGGAAATTATAGAGTTTGATGCCGAGATCCTCGCAACGCTGTAGATCTTCCAGGAACGAGTCATATCCTTGTTTGGCTTTTGCCTTGTTTTCCTGAGCCAGGTTGACAAGGTAGGAACCGTGAGGTAGGACGAATCTGTCTCGGAGGTTAGTATATATTGATTGCAATTACTCTACGAAGAGGGGGATGATATGCGTGGACATACTTTGCAGGGTCGTACTTGTGCTCGACGCACAGCTGTCGAAATGCATCTCTGTGCTCATCTTGCAATGGCGGATTATCCCATTTCCTCTGAGATTTCAGAAACAGAGCGAAGGCATTTCCCCTATACTCCTGATTAGTGATCTCGCAGAGATACAACTGATAAGGACGATTTACCCTATGTGAACACTGTTTGTAACGGCATTTTGGACTCCTATAGAAACACAGCTCAGCCCATGTACATCATGATAAGCCCATATGGGCAATATATACAGATTAAGAAAAAACAGACCTTTCGCAGCACTGACATGGGCACCCACGAACATGCGCAGCCCTTGTGTGCGCGCAGCGAGTGGCATCGCTTCAGCGTCCTTTTCTTCCTTGGTCTTCCTCTTGCGTTTCACCGTTTTCTTGACGACTATCTCCTGTTCCTCTTCCTCTTCCTCCTCCTTTACTTCTTCATCGATCTCTGCGTCCACGTCTTGATCGACGTAGGAGGCCTTTGTCCGTGTTGCCCTTGCCCTCTTGTTTGACTTGACGCTCGCTGACACCTCCGCCTTCTCTGTGACCTCAGCAACAGTCTTTGTCTTTCTCTGCTTTTTCCCTCTCTGCACTGTCCCCGTATCGTCTTCCGTAGGTGTTGCACCGTTGACTTTATCAATGTCTTCGTCGGGAATGATTTCGTTCCCACTCGCTGTAGGGGCCGGAGAAGGCAAATCGGAGGCTAGCGATGTTCTCGATCTCTTGGACCTCCTCAAAGGTGATCCTACTTCTGTTGCGTCCTCGACACCTCGTTTGCTACCTTTTTTTGGTGCATTCCTCTGCATTGCATCAGTTGCGGCCGTTGAGGATTTCGAGCTTGGCGATGGCGACTCCGCGGCGAAACCTGCGCTGCGGGAGGAGCGCGCGGGCATTGCAGGAAGCAATTGTTCAACTCAACATATGGAGACGTATTAATTGTTCTCTGTCATTAGTTCGATCCTGGAAATTAGTAGTGATCTCGAAGGGTAGACAGGCTGTTGGAGTGGATCTGTGGCTGTTCTTCCCTGGTGTTGCGCCCTAGTTATTATTATTAGCTGTATCCAGCGAGTGGCGCGTCTGGCAAGTGTCGCTCGCCGGATATTCACGATTATCTATGTCGAGCAACCAACGTCAGGGCAGAACAGTACAAGTGACCATATGGAACAATTCAGCCTCTGTTTTGTTCAATTAACTAAGTCTCTGCTTTTATAACTAGTTACTAACAGCTATATTCTCCAGTAATTGTCATAGATCATAGAAGCGGCGACCAGCACGTGAGCCGTCACCAGGGCAACGACAGAATGTGTTTATCGCAAGTTTATCGCAAAGACCAACGCCCGTCAGCTTCTCGATCTTCTTCAATTTCTATTCCGACGGCACAATCGACGCTCCTGGACTGGACGACCGCACGATCATCGCAAGTATTTCGATATTCATCAATCCTTTGTTGGCCCTAGTTGTGCGTGAACACCTTTTCGGATACAGCATTGCAAGGAGTTTGTTTTCTGGTCACAGTCAGCCGCCATGTCGGCCTCCGAGGATCTCATCAATTTCGACATAATCGAGGCACAGAAAGAGAACGTTCAGTCATTACCTGGTGGTCGATCAGCTCGAGCGCTCGCACAGATTTTCTCTTCCGGAAGTAGCAGCGATAAACTTGCCTCGCCGTCGCCTAACGAAACAAAGACCCTCAACGATGCCATTCGGCAAGAATATGAAGCCGAGCTTCAAACGATCGACGAGTCGGATGATCCATTGGATATATATGATCGATATGTGAAGTGGACGATGAATGCGTACCCTTCGACACAGGCTACAGCAGAGTCGGGGCTACTCCCTCTCCTGGAACGCGCCACCAAGTCGTTTCTGACATCGTCACACTACAAAAACGACCCGCGTTACCTCCGGCTATGGCTGCATTACATCAGACTCTTTTCTGACTCCCCTCGAGAAGTCTTTGCTTTCCTTGCACGACATCATATAGGCGAGGGACTGGCGCTGTTTTATGAGGAATTCGCTGCCTGGTTGGAGGGCGCCGGAAGATGGACCCAGGCTGAAGAGGTTTACAGACTCGGCATCGAACGAGAAGCCAGGCCAACGGAACGTCTACTCCGTAAATTCAAGGAGTTCCAGATTCGATTCGAGCGTCGAGGCACAGATGGCCCATCCTCGCCGGCTCTTCCTGCTGTCCGTCCAGCGCTGGCCGCTAAGATTGACCCCTTCTCTTCCGCATCAGCTCCCAGTCCTGCTCCGCAAGCACAGCGCTCTTCATCGGGAGTTGGTAGTGCACCAAAAACCAAATCAGGGAAACCTAAGATGGCTATATTTTCGGATGGGGATTCGGCCCCAGCTGCTGCACCCGCTTTGGGCGGGCCGACAAAGGGATGGGAGAGCATCGGATCGCTCCACGAACGTAAGAAGGAGAACACAGTGGAGGCAAAGCCCTGGGCGGGAGAGACTCTGAAAGCTGGCAAGAAAGCGGCTCCGGCTCAGAAGATGACCATTTTCAGGGATCAGGTTAGTTCAGTTCAGTTCTGCCCATTTTCTGACTTCCATATATTTACGATCACAGGACTAATTGGTGGCATGCGTGTCGTTTGCATTTCTGTGTATCCAGTCAAAATCCAATGCACGAGTACAAGATTCAGTAAAGCCCGAAGAGATTCCAGAGCATCACGTAAGGGAGGCGGTCAATCCCCGTACCGGAAGAAGAGAGCGCGTCTTTGTCAACCTTGCAGCAGTATATCCCGATCGCAGAAATCCTAGTTATGAGATCAGTTTTGAAGAACTTAGAGCGATCAAACGCGGATGGATGGATAAGGATTGGAGACAAAAGAGGCCGCTGAAAGAGATATCAGGGAACGCCTCATGCAGGGAGCCGGTGATGGCAGATGATCCGGAGAACTGTCCAAATGGTGCCCTTGCGGCAGACGTCAATAAGCTGGCCATCGAAGAGGATGTTTCTCATCCGGCTACATCATATCTGGAGGGAAAGAGCGATGTAAAAGTCGCAAAGACTAAAAAGATCAAAGTTAAGGAGATAAAGGGGGAGACACAAACCAGTAAGTGAAACGCAACTGCTATCTGTAGTCCCCACCATATGGATATCGAGCTAATATATATCAGTCAAAACCAATCTGGATTCGCCCACAGGTCGGAAGTTGAAGAAGAGGAATGCTTCGGAGCCGACTATGACAATCCACACACGCGCTGCCACGGATGAGATATACAGTATCTTCAACCAGCCTTTGAAAGCCGAGACGGAAGAAAGGAATGACAGTCTCTGTGGTAGTGACTATGAAGATGATGACTATACAAGCGCCGGAGAGAGCACCGCTACTGGCCTTGTTTCTGCAGCGTCTAGTGAATTCGGTGATGATGAGACCGGCACACTGCAAAAGACACACAATGAAGAGGATGAGGGAGAAGAGGAAGAAGACTATGATTACACCCAGGCTGAAAGTGTCGCCGGCAGTGAATGGACAGAATTTTCGACAGGAAGACATGTCCCCAGGCTGTCTAACACGCACGAACACGACGCCGAGAACACTTCCCCTCACGATGCAGAGTACCTATCCTCAGGTGAAGATTCCACTGACGAGCTTCCCTCCTCACGATCAAGATTCGTGCCGCAGATGCCCGAGGACTACGCTCCCCCTTGTGGTACATATCGTGATCCTGCCATCATGGCCCAGAATCGGCTTCCTTTCATGACCCCTATTGTGGAAAGAACTGAATATTCTCTTCCCTCCATGACCGCAGCCAGAAACAACATGTACGATGCGAAGACCCCGTCGAAACCGATGCAGAGCGGTAGCCACACTTCTCCCGGCATGCCAGCTGTTGACAATCTCCTGTTGTCCAGTCCAGTTCAAGCTCTGTCGACGCCACAGAGTCGAGGTCTTGCTTCTGTCCCTGAAGATGAGTCCCCAAGCCCAGCTGCAAAGAGATTCCGACCCAGTCCGCCGAAGAAATCGAAGAAGACTGTACCAGTGGTCCCCATCATCAAAGACGCACAGTGCAATCCTACCGATCGCAACATTCGTGCCACTATTCTGAAGTCTATCGATGTACCTTTGACCAGCTTCGCTGGATATCACGACCACTCCGGAGAGGAAGGCAACCACGCTTCAGACATCCAAAAGTACATCAAAGTCCTTTCAAAGAAACACAAGAGCGGAGACAAGGCAAGCTTCACTGCACCAGTCCTCACCTTCTCTGGCGCCGAGAGAAGCTACATTATCAGGCGTGAGCTCGGAGCCGGGGCGTTTGCCCCGGTATATCTCGCTGAAAGCACTGATGATGCAGATACCTCCTCCGAAAGTGATAGCGAGATCATCAAAGAAAACAAGAAACGGGCCCTTTCGTCTCATAGGGCCAGAAAGCCGAAGCCCTCGACCTGCCGCCACGGATTTGAAGCTATCAAGATGGAGATCGGAAAACCTAACGCGTGGGAATTCTACATGATTCGAATCGCACACGAGCGTCTGAGTGAGTCAGCGGAGTATTCTCGCGCAGCCGACAGCATCGTGCGTGCTCATGAATTGCACTTGTTCAAAGACGAAAGCTTCCTGGTGGAGGACTATCGCGGACAAGGAACGCTGTTGGATCTAGTCAACACGATCCGCAACGAAACAGCCATGGCGGCAGGGACCGCAGAAGCAGGATTGGATGAAGCGCTGGCAATGTTTTTCTCCATCGAGCTCTTCAGGGTGGTTGAAGGACTCCACGCCTGTGGTATCTTGCACGGGGATATCAAGCCGGATAACTGCCTGGTGCGGTTCGATGAGAAGGCCGACCGCAGCTCGTCCACTACAGCGTCTCTTCTTGATCTGGAAGAAGATTTCTCGACGGACCCTCGCGAGATCCACTATTCTCCCAGTGGTCTGTATAACTGGCGCAACAAAGGCCTGACCCTGATCGACTTTGGGCGTGCGATTGATATGCGGGCTTTCCAGCCTTCTGTCCAGTTCATCGCGGATTGGGAGACCGGTGGCCATGAATGCAACGAGATCCGCGAGATGCGGCCTTGGACGTATCAAATCGACTTGTACGGCGTGGCTGGCACTATTCACGCAATGCTGTTTGGCAAGTACATCGAGTCAGTTGCAAACGAAGGTCGCAGGGGTTCCGGCGCGGGCAACAAAAAGTCATATCGTCTCCGGGAGCCCTTGAAACGTTACTGGGACCGCGAGCTATGGAGCGATGTCTTTGACCTTCTTCTCAACCCCGGAGCCGACCGTTGGGTCGAGATGGAGCAGGACGGAACAGAGTCGTCTTCCCAAGGCACCATGCGTCCAGTCCTCCGTTCCATGAAGTACGTCCGTGAGAAGATGGAGGCCTGGCTCCTAGCCAACGCGCACCAGAAAGATCTCGCCCTTCAGATCCGGAAGCTCGAGGCCGTCCTCAGCAAGAAGAAAGAGAAGCTTGAGAAATGATGGCAGTTATGCAACCACTTGTGTACATGTCTGCCAAGATCTCCGCCTTTCGATGACCAGACCCGATAACTAATCCCTAAAAATGATTTTAATTCACGATTCCCCTTCGCCTCAATGATGAATGACACTTAATAAATACCCCTCTTTCATGCACAAATCTCCCGGTTTTCTTCCCAAGACCCTACAAGGCTCCAACCTGGCGTTTTTTTGACTGACTTGTTTCCTTCCTGGTCTCTCTACCAATCGATTTTCACTTTACTTTTTGTCCTTTGGGATTCACAAAACGCATCAATTGCATACCATGCATGTATCACGCAGAAATGGAAATCAACCTTTTCTTTCTTTCTTGTCGTTGATCACATTTCCTGGTTCTGTCACAGGCTTCTTGTTGTGATTTTTCATTAGGGAAGGGAGGGAACACTTGCGATTGATAATTAATTTCCCTTGGCCTGCATGCCATGTTAACTAATTACTACTATACCCCCTTTCCTTTCTACATGCATGGTTTATTTCATGGTCTAGATTTCCAAGTAATGGATTTCCATTTTCCTCTCTTACTCTTAAAGAAGAAGTAAAAAAAGGTTGACATGCATACTCTAGACTCAAGTACCTAGAAAGACGCTAAGCTAATTAACCCCTTCAAGGACCTAGGACCTAATCATTACTCCAGTCCGATCCGATCCAATCCAATCCAGGTAAAAGCGCACGCGTAAATCAATTCGTCAAATGGAGCAGCAGATGCATTTAGAAGTTTCGTCATCATGTAAAAAAAGTGGCATAGATTCATCATGTCAAGAATCGAAGATGGGTTAAAGAGAGACGAGATAGAAGAATAAGAGAAAATAGAAGAAAATATGAAAACAGCGCGTAGGCGAGACAGGCTTGGTAGTGGTTAGCAAGCCGGGAAGTAGTAGTGTTTGTTTGGGGAGATGGTGGATAAGTGCCAGAAAAGCTGGTAAGAGCCATAGTTGTCTAATGAAGAGTGTGAGCTTGTCCATTTGGTTTGGGGGCCATTCATTCAATCCAGTTCATCCGCATCGTCCGTGGAGAGACAGCGTTGAAGGGTCCTCATGAGGTAATATAGCATGGCAATGAGAGCTCGGTCAGACAATGCAAAGTCATCTAGTGATGAACGGATGGAAGAACGGTAAATGGCTCTTCTTCTTTTTTTCTGGCTTTCTGGCGATATCCGCCTTGTATCTGCTGACTGGTACAGCTTGCTAGAGTAAAAAGGAAAATTCGAATGAGTGTCTGTATGTTGGGCCTGAGGCTGGATGGCGAGAGACGAGCAGGTAGACAGTGACGAAAAGACAGCGTACGCTTTGGATCTTTTCCGATTCTCCGATCCGCGCTGGGTAGCGGAGTCGCTCCAGTCAATTCGGTCAATTGTCCCTGCTCGTCTTCGCATTCGCCGAATCCACGCAGAACCGCGGAAAAAGAAAAAAGCGGAAATTTGTTAATGCTTTCGAAAATATCGTTTATATCGTTGATCTCATAATCCTTTAGGTCGTCATAGAGATATCGAGGTCAAAGTAACCGCTTCGGTAAGGATCCGCTTCGTATAAAGACGCGCAGACTTGATTGTTGGCATCTTGATTGCAGCAGCGGGTACCCTGGGATAGAAGCGGAAATGTCTCAGGTTGCGGATTAAAATCCCCTGTACATTAAGTCAAATAAATTTGACCTCCGTCAAAAAAAATCATCATCTTTTTTGTCATTCGTCGAGAAAAATCATATCATTTGATCATATCATCACCGTCGTAATCTGGGTTCCGTAATTAGTCGGAACCGGGGCTGTAAGTCGTTCAAAGTCGTACATTCAAAAAGGAAAATCGTCCGCATCAATGAGTGCCAAATGTGATCGTGGTCAGACTCAAATATTATGGCCACCTGTTCCTAAGGTCGGGCACCGTTTATTTCCGGGTAAAAGGCATGTTGAGAATCTGTCGTCGGATTCGTTCTGCATCTGAAATGCCCTCCTCGGTGGGGTCATAAGGCAATGTACCGAAACTTTTTCGTCCGTCAGACTCGGAGTCCTGGTGGGCAGGTGCACGTCTAGAAGAGAGCGCGCCACCCACGAATGGATCAGAAAGAGAAGGGGCGTGGCGAGGAGATCTGGCTGGAGTATTGATGCGCTTGAGACCATTCAACTCGAAAGGCGAGCCCAACCGTTTGATGGCCTCACCTCCTGGTTGTAACAAGCCGTTTGATTCTGTTGTTGGCTTTGGACTGTGGTCATCCGTTCCAGAGGTTGCCCACGGAGAAACTGGGGAGAATAGCTGGTCTAGTTGTCCCCTGATATTGACGGCTCCAGTCGTGTTTCCTCGGTTTCGAACGCGTACGCGGCGGTGGCCGATGTCCTTTATCTTGCCTTTGTGCAACAGGTCCTGAAGATTGTGATCGATGTCTGATCCGTCCGGAGTGATCTCCTCTTCAAGCTGATATTGAGCTCGCCGCTTTTGCACGCTCGAGAATGATTGGCGTCGCGCAGGCGACCGTAGTCTCGAACCAGTGGCATGGATCGTGTCACGCTGGTTAACGGGAGTCAAGAGACGGGCAGGATGGCGCGAGCGTTCAGGGCCCCAAGTGTGGTACTTGAAAGGCGACCCCAGACGAGGAATAGGACCGGACGGGTCCAGATTGACATTCACGGCGGGCCTAAAACTGTCACTCCTGTCTTCCACTTGAATGGTAGGGGGCACAGGCCGATTGAACACGTTCTCAGACTCGCGCGACGGGTAGCCTTCCGTGACCAGCTGAGAGAGCGGTCCAGGAAGGGAGCTTGAGACCAGAGAAATACCAAGGTCCCGCGTAGCGAATGACGTTGAATTGCCGTGAAGGCCGACCTGGGAGGACTCTCGAGAGCTCCTCGAGAACGGATCGATGAAGGGCGAGGGGCTACGGGACTGCAGCAGCCGCTGATAATGCGGTGCAATCGAGAATTTCCGTCTACATAGTAGCTTGAGCCGTCGACGGGTGGAGGCCTCGGATCTAGGCCACACAGGCTTCGCTTTAGAGGCTTTTGCCGTGGGAGTTGAACTGCCACTCCGCATCTCTGCTGCCACCGCCTGTGTCTCCGCGCAAAAGGTAGCATCATCCGTAGTTGACATCTGGGAAAGCCCTGAACGTTGTGGTCGATCAGACTTGCGCTTGACTCTGGGCCAGGTTCTCCTTGCTTCGCGGGCAACTCGATGAGATACTCCGAGCGGTGGTATGCTGCCTGGTGTCATCTTAAATGGCGTGATCGTCGGGTCTTGGAGGTATATTTGATACGTGTTCCACAGGTGGTTATCCATCTCCACCGTCCATCTCTCCTTCTTCGGGAGCTCTAGAGGCCTTGTGCGCAGAGTGCTAGGCCGGTATGGAGACTCCAAGACCGCTTTTCTGGTCATCTCATATTGGACGAAAGGATCTTCGCTCTCCACACTGGTGCAACTTCCTCCACAGGACGCTTGGGAAGCGGAAGTCTCAATGGAGGACACCGAAGAATCCGAAATGTTAGAGCATGCGGAACTCGGGCGTGCAATCGAGTCACCCAGGCTTTTCGCGTCTGGTTGCCTCCAGCTGCATGTGCTCTGCGAGTCGAGAGGTGAAGCACGGATCTGGGCCGGCGGCGTTCTTAGATCGATCCGTCCACGCGGAGGAACTAGCAGATGATCGCTGGGTACAGGATCAACCGGGGAAGAGAACATTGGCTGAGGATCCCCCGGAGTTGGAACTTCGATTGATGGCAGAGGGATATCAGGAGACTGTAGAGTGGATAGGAGAAAGTCGCGCTCCACACAAGCGAGCACATTGGTTTGTGAGCGGACGCGGGATCTGGGTAAATGGCAAGAGGCGTGGCGAGGGGGAGGGGGAACTGTAGGTTCTGATGGATTTCGTTTAGGGGTCGTTGGGTCGTCAGCCTCTACCAAAGGGAACGTGAAGTTCTTCGGTAGAGTGTGAGAAAGACCATGCGCGTGGTGCGCCATGGTGAGGAGTTGGGGGGTTATCGTAGCTGCGGTTCAGTCCAGTATGATTGATAGATCTGATTCCAAAACCAAGAGCCTAAATTCCAGGTCTCTGTTGAATTGCGTCCAGATCACCAAGATGACTTCGTTATACCGGAAACATCTTGTTGCCAATACTGGGCGATTTCAGCAGGACGATGGCGGTTTACAAGGCCATTGCGATCTAGGAATCTCTGGACTGCGCGTGATGATGTATTGGATGAATCCCGCCGATATCCCCACTGGCGCAACCTTCCGACTTCCACCAGAGGTCTTGGTGGACGGATCGTTGCAAAGACTCAACGTGTTGCGCGTTGTTATTGTCGCGATCCTTTGGAACCAAACCTCCCTTGCGACGTAGTAAGAGCTGGGAGTATCTGCGTCAAGGAAAAGACAAGACAAGACCAAAAAGAAAGAAAGAAACGAGAATAAGGAAAGTTGGAGAGCAGCGCTGAAACTGGAAATAGCTATGAGATGCCGGATTCGGTTGTCGGTAGGATTCGTTTATATCTCCCTCTTGGATCTGGGAGGAGAGAAGCTGACGCCACGGATTGATCACCGGGAGATCACTTGCATTCCTCCGACTGGGATAGATACCAGGCTGAAGATGGGCGTTCCGTTCGTGCACACAACGTCTGACCAACACAAAGGAAACGGCACGAGACTGTGAGAGATGACCTGGACAGTCCAGCAGCCGGAAATAGACGTGCGAGCGCTGCGCTCGCGGAGGATGGTTGAGGAGAGAGAGAGAGAGGGATTAGATTAGGGAGATATTTGGCGCTGTGCGGTGACACTGGTCCCACATACCGCCCGAATCACGGTCCCTGAAACACGTCGATGCTACCGACTCGATTTCGAGGAAGCTAGAAGCTAGTTAATTAGTTCGCAGACGATCGAGAGAGAGAGAGAGAGAGAGACTTGTCGAGCTTCGAACGTTGTGGCCGTGTCGAGTCTCCGCGCGGGTGCGGCTGTGAGGATTGCGATGCGCTCGAGTCTATCCGCAGCCAGCGCCGTGAAGTCCCATGAACTCTTTCAGGGATCTAGATAGATACTGTAGATAGAGTAGGTTGACTCCTGAGTGCTATCCACGGACCGCCGTTCTGAGGATCGAGGAAGCGCCACGATCATGATTAATTACTACTGGGGCCCACGCTCGGACTGGAGGGGCGATGGAGACGGTTCCTGGAAGCTTGGTCCAGCAGACTACGCCAACAACAAGCATACAATGGTATTATTCTTGATGATAATATGATAATAATATTCTACCATCATAATCACTCTTTTCCATCTTTCCTTTCTCGAGGCTGAGCCAGACAGACCAGCGGACTCGAAGACTCGAGCAGACTGCCTCGATGCGAGCTGCAAGGGTTAGGGGTCACGGCAGAGAAGCTGCAGCAGCGTTGGCCCGAGCCGCTTTTTTTTTTTTTTTGAATTTTGCCTTTTGCCTCTTTGATCAACTTGGTAGTATTGTATTGTATTAGTTATTATTATTATTATTGTACTCTATACTTTCTGCCCCGTCGGCACTTGTGCTCGCGCTGCGCCAAGTGTTGCAACGACACTGTACCCGGGACGAGTCGGAAGTTGGTCTCTCTCACCAAGGCCGGCTGTACGGTCTGTATTCCGTATCCGTATCGGACTCGTTCTGCTCTCGCGCGGGGGTGAGGGAACGAGCAGCAGATGGCAGAGCGCGCGCGAGAAACACGTCTCAGGCGTCTAAGGTGGAGCAGATCCCAAGGCGATGCGCTTCATCTGGGCCAGTCGGCGATGGACCAGTGATGCCCTGTCCGCCATGCTGGGAGACTGTAGGACGCGACTAGACGCAGCTAAGAACTAGTTAGACTGTTAGAGCAAGAAGCCGTTTGTCGAGTCGCGACAGGAGAGCGCCAATGCGCGACAGCCCGACTAGGCCGGGACAGCGTGTGGGCTTTTTATCTCCGGGAAAATCGGAGACGAAGCTGGGGATCTGAGATTATCTATGGTATTGTTCCGCAGAGACGATGGTGATGGGTGATATTATTGAGTGATAACTAGATGATAGATCATAGTTACAACAAGAATATTGATTAATTGATAAGGAGAGCTGGTAATGATAATATCTCGTCTGATCTCGCGGTTACTTGAAAAAGTTGGAAAATAATCAAGAGTCGCTCCTTCCCGGTGTCGTCATGGGGGGGGGAACAGGGGAAAGCGGAAGGCGCGATGCAGGGGATCGTGGAGTCGCGCCTTCCCTCTTTCTTTCCCCGCCGCACGCGACGCGCTCGCGTCTGGTAATATTACCGTCAGTCTAGTCTGGTAATTTATTTATTACGCCCACAGAACATGATCCATATTCATCCCCGTCAAGATCATTGTGCAGATAATCAACGAACCAATTGATTAATCAATCCAACCCCCCGGACTGCCGTGACAGAATCTTGCTCGAGAACATCGCAGAGACTCATTGGACATAGTCACTGCTTTCGTCGCGCTTTAGAGGATCTCCTGTCTGTCTGCACTCTGCATACTACGGTCCCGGGGGCTGCACCGTGGATCCCCCTTCTTCTTGCATTCTTGCTGCAATGCTGCCGGGCAAGAATGGATACGTTAGGATAGGATAGGCGGATGAGGCGCAGGGCTGCCCGGAGCGGTAAATATGGAGTATCCTTCCTCCCTAAAAAGCCTTCCAAACTCTGAGGAAGCCTCATATTCATAGATGCCCGACCACGAGCCAGCGGTGAACACGACGGTCCAAAAGCTGATATGGGCCAATTGCCAGACAATAACAATAATAACAAATGAGTCAGTCATTCTCAAACTGATGAGGGAATCCCGCGCGTCAGGAATCAAGTCGGCGCGTCTCTGTCCAGGGCGAGAGAGGGAAAACTGAACACACGCCAACCACAACGCCGTCTGCCATGGAGAGTGTGATATCAGGGTGGCGTCCATCAACAGAGGTCCAAACTGCACCGGGCCGACCGCCGTCCTGCACTGCGAGGCTGTGAGGCACAATTCGAAATTTTCTGAACGGACGCATGACCCTAGAGTAGAACACACCCCCCCCCGGGGCGCGTGGTTTTTTCACGATTGTCCTTCTGTAGCAGCAGCAGTACCATATGTACGGTGAAATCACATCGACCCCTGATCGAAGCCTCTGCTCTTCCGCGAACTTCTACGGAGTACCTTGCTCTGGCCTATCTCGACTGCATGGCCCACCCAAAGCAACCTGCCTGCGCCTGATATCGCAATGGCCCTTGTTGATCTTCTACTACGTGCCGAAACTGCGGCCGTAACATGGCGTATGGAGTACAATAGGCGAGAAGGCTCACGATCCACATTCCCCGCGGGAGCCGATACATCTGCTGCCGTCTTAAAGAAAAGAAGAAAAAAAAGGGAGCAAAACTCTTCCACTCGTTACCGAACTGGAATCACTCCGTTTAGGTAGTAGCATCCCAGCAAACGGGAGAGATAAGTTACCAGCAGTCACTATCTTTTCTTCAGGATATACTCCGTACTCGTAGGTAACATTATTGGATCCAAAACGACACGGGACATATCTATTTAGATTTCCTCCGAACCATGGATTGCCCTGGGACCTTCACCCGAGATTCAACCCCCGACTTCAGCGGATCCTCTCCACCGAACTTGGCCAGTGCAGTACCATAATAATAATAATAGCTGCCCACGGACCATGACAATGGCCACAATGAGGCTCGATCGCGACCAGGCGGTGGACGGATCACTTGGACTGATCTGATCGTTTTTTTTTCCCCCTTAACTGTAGACTCTTAGAGTAACTATGTTCTGCTTTTCTATACGAAGTAAAAAGTTGGCTTTCACCCTAAATTTTCCTGCTTGACCCAGTCACAACGCCCATATGCAGACCGCATCACTATATTTTTACCCAGTCAGATCGCTACCAGCCACCCAATTATTCTAACTGGCCAAAAAACACTCGCATCGCTTCAAACTCAATGACAAGCATAGCGTAAAAGAGGAGCTCATATTTTTTTTTCTTCTCGTATGTAGATTATTCTAAAAATAAAAATCGTACATCAGATGCAGAACAGGAATCAAGGTCCTCAATGAGTTCGTCTTAGGGAGGAGGTATTTGTGATAGATCGTCGCGCGGAGTTGGTGTTGGAGTTGGAGTTGGATTTCGGCTCCGGGGAGCTACTCTAGCGATCCGAGCTCTGGACGCAGTTTGATTGTATACTTCAAGATTTTAGAGATGCGTATTCACGCATAATTGATTTGTGCTCGTTCTAATTCTCTCTCTTCAGTGATGGGAGCTCATACACCGAGTTAGTTCCCTCTTCGCAATTTCCACGTTGATCCATGCGTAATGATCTCTACGATCGCTGCAAACAGAAATATATATTCCTATGTCTATATCCAGACTCGAGATTAAGATCCATGACTTCAAACATTAGACGACTCAATGAGAATGGCTACTAACAAGTCGTCAACAGGACTCTAATGCTATGCAGAATGTAACACCAACTGCATGCAGTGAAGAATAATTATGTACTGTACATACACCTCCATCAATCTACCCCGGATCCTCACCGCAACGTGGGCACGTGCTCCAGATCGGGTTGACCACAGAAAGGGGAATCGAGACCCCAGCTGGAGCTCGTTTCTTTTCAAGACGTCGTTACTCCAAATGGTGTTAATTTCGATACGGTGGGGACTTCACTTTCACCTGGCGGGATTGGCACTGAGAGAAAAGGCTGGAGCTCATGATTTTGGTGTTTGGGAGTTCCTTCTCTCACTCTTTGCCTCGTGCCTCCGCTAATAGGCCAGACAATAGGTTGTGCGAAAGGACTGGAAGAACAGTGCTATTCTGACTATCTACATCTACTTCCGATTCATGTCTTCAATATCATTTGTTTTACATCACTCGTCTCTAACCAAAGGTACCCCAGCATGCGGTAGGTTGGCGGCCATTGTCAAGATGCGTCCCCGCAGAGGGGGAATATCCGATCAAAAGGATTCTGCGACTGAGGATAACCTGGAGAGCTACTGATGCTGTTTTATCTTATCAAACTCATTCTGATGATAGACCCAAAGAGGGGTCATACTCCCACTGTTGTACACGGTGCGTGTCACCGGTGGCATCGACTGCCTATATCTGCATAGCGACGAGGGTCAGTGCCGAACCAGCTCTCTCCACGATCACAATGGTCCTCCTCCGCCGATAGACGTCGCAACATGTCACCTTTTCATTTGGTTCACGGTGCATCGAGCTCTTGTGGCGTCGCCGCCGCCTATCCTGGCGCGGGAGCACAGTCTTCCCCTCTTTTAGCTATCCAGAGCAGCGACTCCTCACCTGGCAGACCATCCCCCAAAGGACGCCTGTATGGATTACAAATGGAGACGAACGAGCCCATCCGAGGATATCTCCAACATTGGCGTTAGGTGAGCCAATCAGTCGGAGTCGACTGCCGAGTCGGTCTGGTTCCTTTGACCTCATCATCTGTCCTTCGCCTTCTCGTCTCTTCCCTCGTCCCTTCGTTCCGCGTGCGCCCAGACAGGATATCGCGTCTCTTATCCTTATTTTCTGAACTTCGAGATATTTATTTACTGTCTGCTCGTGATCATCGCCGTCGCATTCCCAACCGGATTCCCCGCGTCGCCGGCTTATCGCTCCTTATCGTCGGGACTAAACGTCATGGGTGACTACGGAGCGGCGTTCTCGCCGACCGCGACGGCGCTCCCCGATGGTGTCCCTGCGATCCCAACGGTCACGGAGGATATTTCAGTCTTGGTGACGGGCTTTGGCGTACGTGCATCATTTTTCCTTTTCGCGTTTCTAAAGGGATCGAGGCCGTGAGCTGTCGTGTTCCCAGCATCCGAAGAGATCCAAGATTGACCACGAGAGCAGCCGTTCAAGACCCACAATGTCAATTCCTCCTGGCTCGTCGCCTCGTCTCTGCCATCGACGCTGGTCCTCCCAGGGAAGCCATCTTCGGTGACTCCTGAGGGACGACCGGCTGCTCGCCAGATCTCCATCTACACCCATCCCTCTCCCATTCCGGTGTCGTATTCCGCCGTGAGATCGACTGTCCCTGCAATTGTCGAGGAGTTCGCTAGCGTTCACAATGGCAGACGCCCCGATCTGATCATCCATATCGGGCTGGCATCGACGAGGAACTACTGGTCAGTAGAGACGCTCGCGCGGCGGGATGACTACCGGATGGGAGATGTCAACGGGGAGCTGGGCTACGAGAGTGGTGAGAAGATCTGGAAGGAACAGGGACTGCCACCTGTGCTGCGACCGGGGCCAGCGACAGCGACGTCGACAGATGTTGCGCCTGCTGTCGAACCAACAGCACCGCTCGTGGCCCCGGTCTCGCGAGTCAGTCCGTATCCCGCGGATGATCACTTCCTCGAGGTGTGGAAGTCGTTCGCCCCGGCTGGCACGGATATTCGCATCTCCCACGATGCTGGACGGTACCTCTGTGAGTTCATCTTCTACACGAGCTTGGCGCAAGCTCTGCAGGAAGGTCGGGACCGAAGTGTCGTCTTCTTCCATGTCCCTAGCTGGCACGATGAGGCGAACATCAAGGTCGGAACCGAGACTGCGGTAGCCTTGATTAAAGCCCTCGTCACCTGCTGGATCGACGAGCGAAGGCAAACTTGAACTATGCAGGATCTGTCTAGGTTTCTGCAATCAGCTGGAATACAACTTGACGACGGTTACGAATCTGCGCTTCTTCCAGGGAGTATCTATCGTGAAAAAGTTTCCCAGTGAAGGGCATATATATATATCAATTTTTTTTCCCCAAGCACAGCAACGAACGGTGCTTGATTTTTTTTTTTTTATTTTCCATGGTTTCATATTCCAGAGGGCCCACAACCATATGACACCTAGCTAGCTGTTGGATAATCTGATCTTGAATATAATTTCGCGTGATCAGATTCAACCTTTAATCCACCCGCACAGTATTCTCCGTCCAGTTTTGCCTAATCAAAAACAAGGCCAAAATGTTAGAGAGATAAACAAGTATTTTATAAAGTATCATCTCCCAAGAGGACAGTGCACCGAAGTTCAACCACGCGCTATGCTATTCGAAAGAGTTCATCAACAGGACGTTATGCGAAATCGAGGAACCCGGTTTAACATACCATATCATATATCCCGTCATAAACCAACCAACGACCGAAACTTCGATCGACACATGTCCCGCAGACTGACGGAGTCACTTTGACCAGAAACCATAGCTGTCGGATTTTTTTAAATGCGAAGTGGGGGGGTATTTTTTAATTGACCGCAAAAGAAAAAAAAAAAAAGAAGAAGAAGAAGAAGTAAGACTAATAGCGAATTAACCTATAGTCAATAGAAGACGCCAAGTCGAAAGGCATCTTGAGCATATAAAGCAGACACGTCTCAAGGACCTGACTATTATATTCGACTGGCTTCCGAATGTACCGCTGGCGATAGAGCTCGAGAAACTTATTAAACTCATGCGCGCTATCGATGCTTTCCATGTAAGCGGCCACTTCTCGGGCGAGATCTCTGACGTTGCCCGGAAGGTATCCGGCGCTTATGAGAGAGATTGCTCGAACGAAGCAGGGTACAAAGACCGGCATCATAGTCATGATGTAGTTTCTATCATCGAGACTAGAATGACGGTCACTTCTCTCCAGGACTGAAAGCGCTCTAGAAAAGAACCTGTTACTGAAAAGTTTTGGGAAGGGGGGCGGGGCGTGATGACGCAGAATCGTAAATAAAAACCTACAGGATTTGATATGCATCTGGACAGTATATATCGGATTGAGCACTGTGTACCAGTCAGATATTTGATCAAGCCAAAGGGAAGGAAGGGGGGGAATAATTTTCTCATACAGACCTCGTGAGCTCTACCACGATCAAAGTCGGGACAGAAACGTTCTTTAGAAGAGTCTCCGTCAACTGTCGGACGGGAATAGAAGCAGATTCTTCACCCTCCACATGAGTGATTTTTCCATTTTCGAAATGATATTTCTTCGGGGAATCCACAGACTCTTTCCCGTATAACCTTTTTGATTCTCTGTTAGCTGATTTCTTCTTAGATATGATGTTGCGCGGGGGAAGAGGGGAGGGGGTTACTGGGCCTCAAAGCCCATCCAACCTACACGTTCCCGTGGGGATCAAAAACGACGACGCTTGCTTCAACGATCAATGTTTCTGGGAGAGATGGAGCACCGTGATTGCCATGAAGGAAGAAATATCGCATCGATCCCCGTCCGCCTGAGGTGTAGAGCATCTTCTCACCCAGTGAGCCGGACATCACTCAGTTATTAATCAAGGCGGTTTGGACTACCTTTGGCTGGACTCAAGAGGAGGGGAATGGCGGTATTTGCATTGCAGACGCCGCAAGCTGGCCCACGATCACGGATTCCGCTATTGGCTCCGCCGGCTAACTAGTGGCATTGATCTTCGTCCAGAGAAAGAGAGAGAGACAGAGAGAGATACGGAGTAGATACTAAGTAGAGAGAAAGAAAGAAAAGAAAAAGACGCTCCTGGGGAGAGTTAGTTACGCGACAAAGGAGAAGAATATGATGATGATCGAGTGGTGTGTTCAGATGGAATCAACCCCCTTTTCGATCGATGACGAGTGACAGACAACCCAGTGCTGATCGTCGAGTTTAACCAGCAACGGCAGACTCCAGTTTCGCACATATTATTATTTTTATTATTTTTATTTTTATTATTATTATTCAAACTGACTGTCTATCTAAGTGTTGTCTACCAGTAGTCGTATGTGGTTTCAGTCATATGTATGCAATGTTATTATAATTATTGAGACGCTAATACTCACTACTTAACCTCGGATATTAGTTTCCCTTTTCAACGTTGTCTTCACGATACTAATGATATCTAATAAATGATAATCGATGCAAAAAGAGAAAAAAAAAGCACGCTACGCTTCTCATCGGCAAGATGGCTATTAATATCTCCCGGCGCTCCGTGACTCATGGGCTCGTGCACCGTCGCCACATATATTAACACACGCCCTATCAGAAGATATCATCTAAAAAAAGGGACGATAGCTTAACTACCCATACCGACAAACCCAAGCTAGTTATCAAACTATTTGTTATTACTCCGAGTCGATATACCACACCATCCCGGAACCAGCACCGGCTGACGTCTGTCACTCCACAGATCACAATAAAACTTCAATTGGGAGGAGACAATTAGAGTAAAAAAGAAAAGAAGAAAAAAAAGATGGAATCCACAACGAGGGACCATCTCATCACTACTACTACTACTACCACCACTATCACATCCCTTCCAACCGCTCTAGCTGCGGCGATATTGCTTCTTCTGACACTTATCGCCCTGTCATATATCCTCCGCAACACAGATCACGACATCCGATCGACTCTCTTCCAACTGCTACACAAACCCCTGTCGACCAGCGAAGTTGTGTCGCTGCGCATCTACCCCATCAAATCATGTCGCGGTTTCGAGATCGACAGGACCACGGTGCAAATGCACGGACTCGATCTCGATCGCCAATGGATGTTCGTTGACGCGACCACCCGTGAATTCCTCACTATCCGCCAGATTCCCCAGATGACGCTCATCAACACCGGTCTTAGTCAGGATGGTGTCTTTCTCGAGCTTAGCATCACAGGCGCGGAGGAACCGCGGACGGTTCGCGTCCCTGCGCGCCCGTCGCCAGACTGGTTGGCCGCACACACGACCCTGGCACAGGTCAAGATATGGGATATCTACACCGACGGTCATCTGTACGGTCCCGAAGTGAATGATTTCTTTTCCCAATTCCTCAATCGCGCCGTCTGTCTGGTCTACAAGGGTCCCACGCCGCGAGTCCTCCGCGGTAATGGCTCGCCCAAGATCATCGGCCGCACGCAGGATACCTATTTCCCAGACGTCCTTCCACTACTAATCGGGTCAGAGGCATCGCTAGCAGAGCTCAATTCGCGCTTGACCGCCAAGGGTGCCGATCCCATCACCATCGAGCGGTTCCGGCCGAATATCATCGTCCGGGGCACAGTTCCATGGGAGGAAGACTCGTGGAAACTAGTGCGTTTCCGCGGATCTGACTCTGCGAGACCTCTCGATGTGGATGTCGTCGCCCGATGTGCCAGATGCCAGGTCCCCAACGTCAATCCGGATACGGCAGAGAAGCACAAGCACGAGCCGTGGAACACTCTGATGTCGTACCGAAGAGTCGACGAGGGGATCAAGTATAAACCGTGTTTTGGCATGTTGAGCGTGCCCCGCAACGAGGGGGAAATTTATGTCGGAATGAAGTTCGAGGTGCTGAACGAGACGAAGCAGCATCGGTATATTACAGGTTTCTAGTTTTGAGAGACTTTTGGGGAATTGATATTGAGGACGTCTGTATATTCCAGGTTTCCATAACAGTTCGGATGGAGGAATGTTGTTTCCCTCTATATATGAAAAGAGATCCAAAAGTAGTAGAGTGACTAATTCATTATATAGTATTGTTAGTTTAACTTGTCCAATAATTATGAGAAGACCTGAATTATATGGTACAATATCCCGTAACCACCTCCCCCAATCATGAGGAATTCATCTCAACGCGCCGCAAACTTCTTCTGAAAGTATTTCTCAAACGTCGTCTTGCGCACACTCGGAAACAGATGATTATGCGTCTGGCCCCTAGGTCTGAAAAAATTCCCCTGCCCCTGCTGGCCCTTGACCAGAAACCAAAAATCAACGGGAAACGGACTCCCTGACTGCAGTTCCTTGGGCGCTTGTTTCGGATCCGCAATTACACGATGCATCTCCTCGAGCGAAATGACATCTCTCTTGACCGGTTTCCCCGAATACTTCTCCAACAATCTCGCAATCTCCTCATGACTGATGAAATCACTGGGGAAGTTCAGAGTTGCATTTTCAGATTTCTCTGGCTCGAGCAGTGTCGCGACGAGATAATCAGCGAAGTCGTCGAGGTGTGTGAAATCCGCTTTGGCGTTGGGGTCGCCGATGATGTGGAACGTGTAGCTGTCGACGTTGGTTTGCGTCCAGGGACACCAGACCGGTTCGCGGTCCTGGTTGTAGAAGTCGCCGCAGCCGATTAATGTGTAGCTCATCTTTCCGGAGGTTATGGCTGCGTGGTGGAGGACTGCATCGTTGCTTTTTTCTTTTTGGTTCCACATCTGGAGGGTGTTAGTACTTATTTCGCAATATGTATATTAATATACAGTTCACGTTTTTGGGCAGGTCATCCAAGTCACCCGAAGCAGAACGCAGACAGATAGATACTAGGACAAGTATACTAAAAGTATACACTCCTATATCCAATTGGAGATTCACAGTTCATGCGACAAAAAAAAAAAAAGAACCAACTCACCGGATGCAACCACCCCGCTCCATCCCCTGGCTTCTGATAAATATGATGAAACCCATATTCACTCGGATAGAACCTCTCCACACCCGCATCGACCGCGGCATTCTGAATATCCACCTGACTCTCCAATGCCTTCCCATTCAGTGCGCTCACCACGACATCCACGCCCTTCAACGCAGCCGCCAACTCATCCTTCTTGATATTCGTGACGTCGAGTTCTCTAACTTTCAGATTCGGCGCTTGAGGCAGCTTTGAGGCCATTCCTGGTGCGACAAAGCCGATTACATTGAAAGATTGTTTGGAGCAGTGTAAGAGAGCGCGGAGGATACAGCTGCCGATTTGGCCGTTGGCTCCAAAGAGGGCGACGGTTTTGAATGCCATTGTTGCCGAGAGTTTACTTTTCTGTTTTTTTTTTTTTTTTTCTGCCCGAGAGAATCAGGGTCCAATTAATTAAATATAATTGATTAATAGGACCAACTGGATCGAAAGTTATATGCTAGAAGGGAACGTGGAAATATATCTATTTTATCAAGCGTATATATACGGTGTTACACATCATGGCGACGTCATTCCAATCGTGCCTTTAAGAAGCGACATTGTGGACGCGAAATTTGCCTTACATTATATTATTCATTTACGATGATTGATATATGGTATTGATGTTGTATGCGCGCTTTTCCTACTGGTGGTCTGATTGATCGGAGGTGGTGTGATTTATACAGGATAATCTTCTGGGTGTAATGACTGGAAAGGGTAAGGCTACGGAGCACGCGTGGCAACTGTCTAATCCTTCAGTTGCTTGCTCATCGAGACACACCAGTTGTTCCACTCGGTAAAGAAGGACGGCTGCACATGGCACTTCTTGCTGAGGAGCTGCTCTTTGCGCGTCGAGGCATACACATCGACAACACCCGAAATAGCTCCCTTGTCATGCGCCACCAGAACCTTAGCCAGGAGTAGACTGGCTTGGCTGCACGACGAAGCATGAGCAGGTGGGCCACTATAGCTGGCTTCTTTGTGGACGTCCTTTAGGAGCTCCCAGACAGCTTCCGTCGACTCTATGGCCGGGATGGCAGAGCCTTTGCAGAGCTTCGTGTACTCGCGGAGCACCGCATTGGCTTTCCCCGAGATCTGCTTGACCGTAGACTTCCGGCTGAGCTTCAACAGCGGAAGAAGCAAATCAAGGGCCAAGATACTGGAATGGCACTTCTTCACGTAGATTTCGAGTAGGTCCAGAACACGGTTCTTGAAGTTCACCATGTTCTCCTTGGCGTCCTTCTTGTCCTTCTTCTTGCTGGCAGCCTTATTGCGAGCACGGAACACCTTGACGATCTGGTCGTCCAAGGCTTCCATCTCCTCATCATTCATATCGGCGTCCGATCCCTCGGAGTCTTCGTTCAGGTCCTGATCGGCCCGGTGAGTGCCGAGAGCTTCAGCGAGTTTGGCGTCGAAAAGTGCCAACTCCTCATCATTCTCGCCTTCATCGGCAGACGCTTCAGAGCCGCTTTCTTCTTCCTCGCCGTCTTCGTCGGAGCTGTCTTCATCCTTTGCATCGACAACTTCTACGTCGCTATCCTCCTCGTCGTCATCATCCGCATCAAGCATCTCCTCATCCTCATCGTCGTCCTGCTGCTCAAACATCTCCTGCTGGCCAGCCAGGGTTTCTTTGACTTCCAGGACCTAATAGGTATTGTTAGTGTGAGTGTAAAAACAAACAAGCCGAAGGCAACGTACCGAGATGAGTGACTGGAGGCCGTCTGCAGTGACTTGGTTCGCAAAAGCGCCAAAGACTTGCTCGCTCATGCGACGGAATAATTGTGAAGGCTTAGATGCGAAGCTCAGAAGAATCTCGACAAGAGCATCAGAGGCATCAGAAGTGTTATCCTTCGATTTCTTGCCGATGAATTTGTCGTAGCAGAACTGAAGCTCCCCCAGCATAGACACAGCATCGCCATCACCGTAGTAGACTTGCAGAATAGTCATCGAATAGAGAAGCTTGAATGCCTGGATACCGGAGATTTCCTTCTCGCCGTGCTTTTCCTGTTCTACGTTAGACTATACACTTGGCGGCAAGAAACACAGGAACTTACTTTGCTGGCAAGTTTCTTGAGCGACTTGAATGCTCCATCAATGGCTTCTTGGACCGTGTCGTCCATTTCAATGATGAATTTACCGTACTCTGCTGACTTGGCAGCATCGCGAATTTTGCGAATCACAGTATACGGGAGATTGGCCGGGTCCTTGCGGGCTCCGACCAAACTATTAAGGCATGAGTTAATCCTGTTGCGGAAGAGCTCCTGCGTGGCCTGCGTCAGAGGCGGTTGAGTACTGTCGCCTTTGTCCACGAAGTAAGCAAAGCGGACAAAAATAGATAGAATAGCTTCGATCGCATCGTGGAAATCGTCCTCTTCAGTCTTGACAGATGCCCGGGATCGGACAATTGAGACTAGAAGATTGGCAAGGTTCTGACGGCTGGAAGCTGCAGCTTTGATATCCTCTGTCCCCGGCGCGGCAATTAGGCGCTCGAACAGAACAAGGATTTGCTTCAGTGACTCCGCGTCAGCTTCAGTGACGATCTTTTCCACAGTCTTGGTCTTCGTTATCTGGTCAAAGTTCACGGATCCCGTAGGTCCCATCAAGCCGTTAATCGCGGCTGCCGCAAAGTCAGGCTCCTTCGAGACACGACCTTGTATAGTCTTAGCAGCTTTAACAGCCATGCGATGGAGATACCGGTCCTCAACTGCAAGTTGATTCATGAGACATCTGATAAGGTTCTTGGTGAAGACGAGAGACGCAAAATTCTGAGGGGCTTCGTTGAGAGTCTTGATGAATAGGAGAAATCCCCAATATTTCCGTTCTTCTGATGAGGCTGCTGCGAAAAGCCCATCTATTATCTTGCGTTAGCTTGCTAGCTGTGCATTTTGTTAGACCAGTTGTACTCACTGTCGACAACTTCCACCCAGAAGTCGACGAAACTTGTGCGCGACGACTTGGATGTTTTATCCTTTGACTTTTCCTTCTTCTGCGGGGAAGCAAATATTCTGCTCAATACAGCATCCCAGGCGAAATGGAGCTTCGAGTTCCAGACTCCCGACTGTTTCGTTCCACTGCCCTCAGACTGGGCCTCGACATCAGAAGACTCTTTCATGATCTTGGCAAGGGTGCTCTTGTCACGAGAGTCAAGAGGGTCTTCGTATTTCCACACATTCTGTGGGAACTTGGCCTTGGGGAACGAGTCTTTGGCAGCCAACCAGATAGCAACGCCTTCAGGTGTCCGTGCAAGATCGTTCGCACAAAGCTGGTCGAGGATAGATTCCACGTACTTCGTGTCCAGCTTCTGAGCAGCTAGATCGAAAATACAGCGGTACATGATCCAGCCGCACTCTTCTCTGAGCCATGGCTTCTTCTTTGCCAGATCGAAGATCACGGTCAGGACTCTAGTCCAGTCCTGGAACGAGGCATTGGCGTGGAAGAGAACAGAAGATTTTATGACAGCCTCTGCTCCAAACAGACGCCCAAAGTGATGATCTCTCTCCTCCTGAAGGGAATATTAGCCCGACTTTCTGTATTTGTTGCAAAAGCCTACTTCACTTAGTACGTACCTGTCCGGAGGCGCTACCGGAAGCATCAGACTGTGACTCCCAGATATCCAATGCCTTCGAGACACTCCACTCAGAGGCCAATTTCTGCGATGGAGAGAAAATCTGGGACAGAATCTCTGTTAAGGCGATGGAAAAGCCGACTCTGGCAGCCTTTCGGCTACTGCACAATCCGCGGAAAAGTCTCTGCAGTGCTTTTTGGATCTGATCATCTGTCGGGCTGTTCTCTGGCAAAAACCGGGAGACCAGCTCCTGTGCTGCCTTCAATCGGATCTCATCTTTCTCGTTAGCTAGGTCTTCATAAATTTCGACCAGCTTGACATCAACATTAAAAGCTTCGCGCCGCCGTTTCTTCAACCTAGCGTGATTCTGCGCCATTCTGATTCGAAGCGTAAAAAAGCGCACACCAAGTAACTTATTCAAACAAATAAATATTATTTTAGATCTCTGCGAAGTTCTTCGTGTCAGATGTTTGATAATCTTCAGTCGCGCTCGACTATTTTCGAGCAACAGAAAATTTGGGAGCTATCTGACCGAAACAGGTTAGCGTTGTAGGATAATGCCAAGAAACCCCGTGATAGCTCAGTGAACGTGGACTTACTATTTTGGTGATCTACTAAGCCTCTTCGGGTAATTGAGCCCCGGGTCCACGGGTCAACGTGCACAGACCAACCCTATGCCCTGAGTTCCCAAATAGGCTGTCTTGCTCGTGCATAAAATAAGTCGGTCGTTCTGACTTACTCTAATTCTCCTAATCAACTACTCTAGTCATCCGTCTTCTCTCCTCCTCAAGTACATATCTCTGCTCATCAAGCCAAGAATATAGCAGAATGAATTGAACAAGCTTCGACATACACATGTACTTCGCTGGAGCTAGCCAGTTTAATAATCTCCCGAAATGACAAGTCTGCAACTTCATCTCATCCTCGGAATCACCAGTGATTATTCCTCGTTTCATAACCACTGGACCTCGGTCTAACTCCGTTTGTTGCTTTATTAATATCGTTGTCATGGCTTCTATCTTACCTCGTTCCTCTACTACTCCAGAGCTTAGCTCATCCCAGGTCCTAATCTCAGATAGCCATTACGACCCTACCTATGGACTTTTACCCAGTCATCATTTCCAGAACCATAGAAGGTTCACACGCTTTCTGGAAGACTCGTTCAAGAATTTTGAAAGAGACAATAACCAACAATATGTCATGGTAGGAGGCGTGACTGAAAAAATTATCGACTGGCTCGATGCAAACCATCGGCGACTTCCTCCAATGCGATTGTGCTATGATGATCCCACGGGAAAACTCATCATCAAGTTTGTTTCACGGCGCCATGAGAGACTCCACACGCAACTTATGTTTATCATCTGTGAGCAGTTGCGAAACATGGGACTCGAATTTAATGAGTTTGTGGTCGAAGGCGCTGGTCGTCAACAGGGCAATAATTCGCGTCAAAAAGAACCAGACAATAGTTTCTGTCCTACCAACACGCGTCCGAATAAAGATGACTGCTCGACACTTGTTATTGAGGCTGGCCTCAGTGAAGGCCTCAATAAGTTGCGTAATGATGCGCATTTCTGGCTAACTCAGACTAATGAGCGCATTAAGATTGTCATACTCATACATGGCTCTATTGATCGCAAAATAATCACCATCGAAAGATGGCAAAACGTTTCTCATCCACGGCCACAGCGGACAAGATCAGCAAATCCAGCCAAAAGACCCACCAGAATACAGCAATTGACGATTATGAAACCAAACGATAGTCCGCCAATTGTTACCAATGCTCCACTGATACTTCCGCTGAGTGAGATTTTTGATACCAAACCTCCTAGAATCATGCAAGATGAAATCTCACTTCCGGACTCGGTCCTCGAGCAATATGCCGGGGCCTTCTTTTTGACCCTGCCATAATATTTTTCTCTGTACTGACTACCACAAGAAAGTGGTCGTAGACAGAAAACAAGTGGAATTCGTCGGGCACACTTTGATATGCTGCAGGGATAGAGAGCAACGGTATATCGTCCATATGCAATGGGCGCTGAGTTCCCCATGCGTTGCGGAACGTGGTTAGAGACATAATGTTTATGGAGTCTTCCGCCAAAGTGCTTTCCAACTTGATGAACGCCGTAGGATTTCATGATGATAACGCATTTATTATGCCTGCCTTTTATTCTAGTATGGCTACTAGGCAGCTATCTACCACCTATCGCCCCCTAATGGTCCTATAGCTAGTTACCTTATAGAATAGAACCTTGGCTTTTCCCACCCTTACTTTGCCAATAAATAGTAGCATGTCTCTAGGCTATCAAGGACCTTATTATCGTCAGGATCTATCCTGAGAACCATCGTAGGCTACACTACTTGCTTATCATCTTTCTAATATGAGAGTATCCGGATCCGCGCAACTCTCTTTAGGCTAAGATAAGGTAAAGAATCTGCTCACTTAGTGACTGTCTTGTACAAGGACAATGAGTTAGTCGAAAACGATCTATTCCGATCGTAGTTTTCTATTTTCTTCCGCCCAGCACCTTTTCAATCTCTTCACATACTGCATTTGTTACTTCCAGCGTGGTACTCTTCCCACCCAAGTCTTGTGTCACAATGCCCTTTTCACAGACAGACTCGACGCAGTCCAAGAGTTGTCTCGCAGCTTCCTTTTCTCCAAGCCAAGCTAGCATCTCAGATGCCGTCCAGAACGTAGCCACGGGGTTTGCTTTCTCTTGTCAGTTCTATGCTGCACCATCAATTTCTGTTTCACTCACCTATTCCCTTTCCTGTAATGTCAAAAGCCGATCCATGTATTGGCTCGAACATGGACGGGTTCTCCCTCGTAGGGTCGAGATTGCTAGTGGGTGCTATTCCAATGGATCCTGCCAGTGCGGCAGCAAGATCGGAGAGGATATCGGCGTGCTTTGCACAGTCAGAATTTAATGCATCTTTCCATAATATGGAACATAACTCGGAGTTGTACTTACTAGATTCGTAGCAACGATAGTATCCAGACTCTCTGGCTTAAGGACCATCCTCGTAGTCATTGCATCCACAAGCATCTTGTCGCAGTGAACGTCTGGGAACTTGGCCGCTACCTGCGCTGCCACCTCGTCCCACATCACCAGACCATTGCGCTGGGCATTACTCTTCGTCACAACTGTGATATGCTTCTTTGGTCGACTGCGGGCCGTCTCGAATGCAAAATTCATTAGACGTTCAACAGCATGTCGAGTGAATATAGAAACCTCCGTCGAAACTTCCCATGGCTTCCCAACATGGCTTCGGCCACCCTGGCCTGCATACTCTCCTTCTGAATTCTCACGGATGATGACCCAGTCAAGATCGCCAACATTACATTTTCGAAGAGGTGACTCTGTGCCTTTGAATACTTTCGTGGGTCGGACATTTGCATATTGCTGAAATGGCTGGCAAATGGCCAGTCGCAAGCCCCACAGGGAGATATGATCCGGGACATCTGCAATGATGGTCAGCATGGTTATTAGCTGGAGGGACAAGAATCGCTCTACCTGGTGCGCCTACAGCCCCGAAGAGGATCGCGTCGAACTTCTTGAGAGTTTCAAGGCCTCCCTCCGGAATATACCTCCCATGTTTCTTGTAATAATCACTGCTCCAGTCAAAATGCTCGAATGTGATATCGAAGGTGCCAAGAGTGTCTGCTAGCTTCTGCAAGACGGTGATTCCGGCAGAGATCACTTCCGGACCTATCCCATCTGCTGGGATCGAAGCGATCTTGTATGAAGATCGAGAGTCAACCTTGCCTGGAGACATGATACCGGCCAATGAAGTTTTCACACGGCAACGTGTTACATAGATATTGTGATTAGTTTTAAGACGAGATCTTTAACTTATCTGATCGAATTTATATTAGATTTAGTCTACACCAAAGAATATGTAGGATTCAGCCCACGGCTGCAAGATCTCCCATCGGTTGAGCACCGGACGAAGCGGGGAGCATCGGAGCAACAGCGAAAGTGTTACCCCGCATAAACTTTCAAGCGAGTTTCCCCCAGACGGTCCAAAATAAATAGGCCTTTCTTTTAGCCATTCTTGGCTTCTACAGTCCATGTTAACCATGCTGTGGGAGCAATGCATATTAATTACAGCAGCGACCTTGGCGTGCATTATTTGCATGTCCTGTCTCATTGTATGGTTTACGTGAGGACAGTCGGGATATCCGAGACATTCCACGCAGTCATCCAGAGACTTTAATGTTTGAGATGTTAGAAAATGGAGAATATGAAGCACGGAAATTCCGAAGGCTGTATCGCGGAGAATTGTGTCCAGTTGGCTATATTACCCCTGTCATGAGGGTCCTGAAATCTATACTGGCACCCGGGCTAATTTCTGTGGCTGTCTTTTTACATGGTATATCGTTTACATCGAGGTGTAAGGATCATTTAAGGAACCAATCTTTACTTTGGAACTATAGTAGACGGAATCGTTTGTGTCTGGATATATTGTTACCATCATTCATTTGATTTACTATAGGTGCAATCATGGTAAGTTGTTGTCCTTGACTATTCATGAAAGTCCCAGCCACTAAAGCTACTTCTGCACGTTTAGTCCACTGAGGACAGGAAACTACAAATCTTAGTGGTAGGTGCTGGACTTGGTGGTTTGTCTGCTGCCTGCTCATGTGCAATGGCCGGGCATTCAGTACATGTGGTTGAATCTGCGAAAGAGCTTGTCGAGGTGAGTTGCCTTCCTCGAAACCCAAGTACTTCACTTTTGTTGAATGCTGAATTTCAGAAAGGTTGGCGCTGGACTGCAAATTACACCTAATGCATCTCGTCTTCTAAAGCATTGGGAAGTTTTTGAGTCGCTCTGGGAGACTGGTGCGGAACCAACAGCATTGACCGTACACCGGTATTCTGGCGAAAAGCTGGCAGAGGATCGCCCTTTTGACCAACATACCCGAGCAAAGTATGGAGCTTCATTCATTGACTTCCACCGCTGTGATGTGCAACAAGCTCTATACGGCCGATCCGTTGAGCTAGGTGTGACCTTCTCCTTCGGCCAGCGCGTGGAGTCTATTGATTTCTCGGGCCCGACTGTCCAGGCAGACACAGGAGCTACATTCTCCGGTGATCTCATCGTCGCAGCTGATGGCTTATGGTCTCGATGTCGCGAATCCTTCCTCGGAGGCAAGGATGAGCCCTTGCCAACCGGGGACTTAGCATACCGTATCGTCCTCACAACGGACCAAATCAAAGACTCCAAACTGAGAGCCTGGGTCGAGAATTCCGAAGTGCACTTCTGGATTGGGCCTGGAGCTCACGTCGTAGGTTATTCCTTGAGGGCTGGCAAGATGTACAACATCGTACTTCTCGTTCCGGACGATCTGCCAACGGGCGTCGCCAGACAGCCCGGCTCTGTTGATCAGATGCGTAAGCTTTTCGATGGATGGGATCCCATGTAAGTGATCCATGACGAAGATCCTCTATTATATCTCATAAAAACAGTTTTGCTAACATATACTGCAAGCCTGAATGAGTTCTTGGGCTGTGTTGACAAGGTTGACAAGTGGAAGCTGATGCATCGTAAGAGGCTCACTGCTCTGGTTTTGTCGCGATTATTCCTCTTTATGGGTTCTAACTGTACATGCATAGGTGCCGAAATGACCGACTGGGTAAATGATGCCTCAAACCTGGTTTTCCTGTGAGTAGGGGAAAAGTCTCGGGGCTAGAGTGAACAGATGCCGTACTGACGCTATGTAGCGGCGACTCTTGCCACCCGATGCTACCATATCTTGCTCAAGGAGCCAATTCTTCCATGGAAGATGGAGCTGTGCTTGGGTCGCTCCTCAGGCATTTAAAGAGGAAGTCTGATCTGCCAGGTGTCCTTCGACTGTATCAGAGTCTTCGCAAGTCGAGAGGTGAAGCAATTGCACGCGAAACGTTTAAACAGGTATCCCACTTTACACGTCTCGATATTGGCTTTTGTTTCCCCGGATTTCCTAAATTCAAGATCCATCTCACAGAGACATGATTTCCACCTTCCCGACGGAGAAAAACAACGTAAACGGGACGAGATATTCCTTTCGCAGCTCGGAAAGGAACTCAAAGGGGCCTTCCCAAGCAGATGGTATGTATCAACTCTTTACTGTAGTATTTGTCTTATTATACTTACCTGCATTGCAGGACCTGCCCTGAAGTTCAGCCTTGGATCTACGGGTATGACGCGATCAAAGAAGTGGAAAATGCTGTAGCTCGTAGTCCAGAGTTGTTCTCGGATGGCACATCTTCCCCTACATCAGTGCTATGATAACAGTACTTTTCTCTGACACGACTGATGTTTACTAGTGCGAGCGGATTATGGTACATGCCTTGTGGCGATTTGTTGCCTTCTGCAGTGTGTTGTGGATTGTCGGACTAGAAGCAGTCTCCACAGATATTATATATAATTAGAATTCAGAAAGGGTAGGTTTCCTAAGATAGGTACTTACTTAATCTGCCAAGCATCTCATCTAACAACATCCCTCTTTCTGCACCTAGAATTTATGCAGTTCTACTAATGACGCGCGGCAACAAATCCCTTCCCTAACTACTTAACTACTTACTTATCCTTGCAAGCCCCACGTGCACCTGTTGATCATGTGAAACAAGCCGGCACTTCCACGTCGCGCTCCCGGATAAGAGGAAACATCGGAGTGAGAATGCTGCTCCGGTTTCTACAGAAGTCCTGACCTGGCGCGTCTGCTCTTGCTGCACTATTAATATGGAGCATCGATCAAGTCCAGGACCTGCGGTTCGCACAGCATCAAATGAAGCCGTTCGCAAAAGACCGAAGCAGCAACGAGCCGCCCAAGCATGCGAAAGGTGTCGATTCAAAAAGTACAAATGCGACGAGCAATACCCGTGCTCACGATGTAGAAGTAAGGAACCTCATATATGCCATTGGGATGAAAGTGTAGTCCTTGCGACCTGACCTGCGTCACTGCAGAAAGCAAACGAGAATGTGTCTACGCAGGCGACTACCACCAGAGGGAGAGCAGCAGATCTGCAAGGTATTTGTCCTGAACCCTTTCCCCATCCAAGAAGATATCCAGGACCATATGCAGAAGTTACAATGTCAAAAATGATCTTCTAACGTATATACGGCAGCTACATTCGCGAACTAGAGGATAAAGTCGCTGCGTTGACGTCTCAGCTCCAGATAATCCAATCCCAGCGTGATCATCCATCCGACGGAGTGCCTACTTCTATGGAAACGGCCTCGGACCCTGATATCAATGCGATTCTGACACCTCGATCCAGCGAACGGAGAGCAGCGTACGCGTCGTCTCCATCTCCCGTGTTCAATGATGTAACGTCTGAGAGCCTTGATGAAGAGATCAGCGGCGTCAATGAGCATACGAACAGCATCGAGTTCTATGGGAATAGTTCTTCTGCTGCTTTCCTTGGCTATTTGCAGAATGCATGTCGACCACAGCTAAAGGAGTACCTGCACCATGGCAGAGCGGCTGATTCTCCCTCCTCCCTCATATCGACGCTGCACAACCCCGGATTCTCACTACGGAAGCAGACGCTGCTTCCGAGGCATCAGAACTTCTACTTCGAGCAGGCTCACGTGTTTATGGAAGGCTACTTTGAGAATCTCAATCTCTTACACCCCCTGATAGACAAGGAAGATTTCTCTGCTCGCGTCCACGACCTCTGGTTTGGCCGCGATCGAACGCCGGAGCCGAGCTTCCTTGCGCTCTATCTCAGTCTACTCTCACTTGGCGCCCTCACGAGGGTATGGGATGAATCCCAACTGTCTGGGATGACGCGATTCGAATGGAGTCGGAAACTGTTCTCAGAGGCACAAATGTGTCTGAAGGAGCTCGGCTTTTCTAATGATTTAGAAACGGTACAGTGTTTATATCTGATGGTCAGTTCGGTTGCTTCGTTGGTGATTTCTTTTCGTCAACTAACTTCGTCGCAGTCTAAAATATGCCAAAACGAGCTAAATCCAAACCGTATGCGCAGCTGGGCCAGTATTGTCCCGAGTGGCTTGCTGACATCCCACAGTTGCCTATATGTATTTGGGCCTCGCGATCCGGACTTGCTTATCTGCCGGATTCAATCGAGAGACCAGAGATCCTAAAAGCCAGCGTTCACAATCCATTTCAAAGATGTGGTGGTGAGTAATAAACATACTCCATGACCATGATATGCTTGATGTGTAAATGCTAACTTTCTGAACTTAAGGGGCCTCTACTCTCTGGAAATGTTAGCCAGTCCTGAAAAAGAAAAGCCCCCTCTTCGAGCTAATGGCTGATCTGTAATACAAGAGAAATGAGCTTCGCTCTCGGACGTCCAGACACTCTCGGGATGGACGAATACCACAACCGCATCCTACCTGAACGAGACGATTCTGAATACGCCATTGTGACCTGGATGGTTGACTTTGCCCGGATAATCCGCAGGGTCTCTGTCAAAGTCTACCACTCGAAGGCACCTCTGCAGGACAAGCTGCAGCTCTCCTCGAAGATAGAGCGACAGCTGGATGCATGGCTCTCCGGTCTTCCTCATAAAATAAGACCGGATGTGCTCGCGGAGAGGCAATCTTTTACCTCTCTGAAAGATCCAAAGTGGGCACGCAGGCAGCGGCTGGTTTTATGTGTGCGTAAGTAGACCTGGGGCCTGGATAATACTCATTCATGATCAATACTGAGTGTAATCATAGGTTATCACAATGTGAAGATGCTTTTATTTCGACCTTTCCTCGCACACGCCGCTCGGAACCCGGAGCATACGTCTGCTGAGCTCGAGGCTGCCGTATCTAAATGCCTTAGTTCAGCAGAAAAGACAATTGACATTATCCACGACACATACACGATGCATACATTTTTCCGTTGTTGGTGAGTTACACTGTCGCCAAACTGCATGATTCATGACTGAACAATACGGGACATAGGTGGTACAACGTGACTTATGTCATGTTCGCAACTGCCATTATCCTCCTGCGCATTACTACGATAGGCTCCTCTACAGAGACGGATCGTTTGGTAGGACATGTCCACAAGGCCGTGGAGATTCTAGCAGCAATGGATGAGTCCATCGTTGCGAGAAGATCGATCGAAATTATTAACCATCATCTCCGAGAGATCCGTGCCTCGGCAGCCGATTCTGTTGGCAACACCCATATCCATGACCAATCATATACCACAGTTCCTCAAACCGATCCTATCGAGATGCTATTACCTGTAAGTCTGCTATACGAACACGGACTATGCCCACTGCGATCTAATGCATATAACCTAGGAACTGCGTTACGGACTTGGACTTCCCGACTACACATTCGAAGCGATGGCCGGGCTCTTCGACAACTTGAGCGACTTTCCGATCATGAACGAACAGGGCATATAAGAGACAAGGCATTGCTTATACACCGAGTCGCTCCAGGTAGCGGCGGCAAAATACAACTATGCCGAAATTTTCTCTTGCTAGGCACTAATCGAATCCTGGGCGGCTAAAGTAATATTATTAAGGTCGAGAGCAGCAACCTCGGGTGTGATAGCTCGAATTTCTTGAGCTTTTATATCGAACATCACAAACTTTTCAGTGTCCCCTATTCTGTAGCCTGCCATGTATCGTGAAAATAGAGTCATCGAGTCTTCAAGTTCTGTGTGTGTCTTGAAGTTGTACAGTTCAGACTTCTTGATAGAAATCCCATTATCCGTCACGTGGGCCTGTAAGACCCTCCCCTGGAATGAGTTCATAAAGGAGAATATCATAACCTAACTAATAGTTCCCATGGATTAGTTGAACTGATGATTCAAGAATTAGAGATAACGACGTCCAGAGAAGCAAAGACACACACACACACTCACAGGAGTAATACAATGAGCATCAAGAGACTTGTGTTCCAGTTGTGTGGTTATTGTCATCAAGATTGTTAAAACCTCGGCGCGCGAAATCTTGTCGTTCCCGTCAAAATAGTGTTGGATCAAGACGATTACATGGGGTTGGCGTTCACGATCTGAGCCTAATGCAGCGTATCCATGGTCAACACGAAACACACTACCGTATTCGCCGGCAGCATTAAGCGCATCATAAGAATCATCACTCAGGATATCGGGAAGTGTAACGCAGTCAGTAGCACTGAGATTGTGGCGCTGAGGCTGAGGGAAGTGAATATTCTGACCTGACTTTGTACCCCATATTTGGTAACCGATACGTATCTACATATAACTATGCACTCAAATGTTGATTCAACGCCAGTATGAAGTCATGAATAAAAATACAGTTCTATCCCTACTACAATAATAACAACTTCTATTCCAAACAAAAAAACACACAGAAACAAACAACTACGGGTACTCGCCCTGTTGCCTAGGTGTTGCAGTTTACTACGTAGTCGACCGGAGAAACACAGCGCCAGCGCATCGCAAATCCAACGTCGAAATGCAGTTTGACTACCGGACTGGTGCCAATTACAGATGGACTATCAACTGCGTGTCTTTCTTTCCATGCAGAACTATTGAAAGATACAGATAAAAATAAATAGCTTACTTCTTCGCTGGTCGGTCGACTAAGACAATAACATTGATTGTTTTGTACACATAGTTCCAATCCTGTAGAGTAGTAGATGATAGATGCCCGACTGTTGTCGCGCGATAAGTACGTAGAATGCCAAGAAATCTCCCCACAGAATCTCCTCGAATACTCACGTATGTATTATTGAACCACCAAAGAAAATCCCTTCGGAAAAAGCTAAAAGCCGATATTCCTAATAAGAATCTAGCTCTTGCGATAAATCCGGCCTCTTTCTGTTTGACAACCTTTTTTTTTCCTGCTCTGTATCTGATCATCGTTGAAACATGGCCTGTACCTTGACTACTTTCTTTCCAAAAAAACACCACCCCTTGCAGGCTACTCTCACGCAAACGGGGCCCGTCTAACCTGCTCGTTTCCCAACACTTTGGGAATCTTGTCTTGATGAAAAGGAAAAAGAAGGAGCCTTTTTTCTCTTCTTGACTCTCCCTTGTCACATAGGTCCAAGGCAGGGATAGGTACTATGTACCATACAGTACCTATGGTGGTCCAATCATACCACATAGGAGCCGTCCTAGCGCCAACGTCCTCTCGTGCTAAGGAGGCTTCTTTCGCGTTAAGCTCTTCATGCATCCTGCAGATCACATAGCTTGAAGAAAACTGCGAGGTCGATCAGTACAGGATACGGCGAGGTTGAAGATGCTAGTAACGTGCTATCGACATACATGTCTCGGGTTGAAGATCTCCACTGGGAAGTAAGTATACGTTACACTGCACTTGGAATACTGCAACTTCCACTGCGCTCTTTAGCGGTGCTACACCGTTGGCTTGAGGGAAAAAAAGCTCGCAAAATGTGGGGGAAGGGTATCTGACATATTCCCCTCCCCCCTTGCTGATGCCGAAGGAAGGGTTGCGGGTTTATACCTATACGGGCATCTTCGGACTTGGCGGCCTGGCGATACTGACATAGGTGGTGACCTTATATTGTGGAGCATTGAAGACATGAAAAGCGATTAGATGGAGATGGATGGATGAATCGGATATTTTAGCCCAAGCAGGCTTGATTCTTTTTTGGACAGTCAAGACTGTCTTCAGCCATCACAAAAGCTTTTTCAAAACTGTCAGATACCTTGAGATCGACGACCCACGGCTATAGTTCCAATATTCACTGCCAAGAGATGAGCATTTGACTAGTCGGCACTGAGCACCACTGCTATCTTACCTAAAAGGAAAGGTATCGATATTACTGACTCGAGTCTCACTTGAATCGAGAGTGGAAGCACTAGAACCTGCAGCTCCGCATTCCCCTTCCTCCCCCCACTCAATGCACTAGCATATGGGACTCGATACCGCAGTATTATCGAGTGTACTAACCCTAGAATATACCATATTACTATTTCTTAAACGCCGGAATCAACCGCTCTGCCATTCACCGCTGAAGACTCCATCGCCGCTATGTCTTCAAGTGGGTTTCAATGAGCGAAGAACAACAAATCGCACTCTATCAAGCAAGGGTGAATATGGTGAACAACTTATCGGTTTCCACCAATTTGACCACACTGTTGGAGGAGACCACGCATGAGTGCGGAGATGGCTCGGAATAAGTACTGTCTCATCTAGTCAAGAGACAGATATCTGATTCTTTGATTTGAATACTCCTTAACAGTAAAGGTATAGTGGAATAGTTATTATCTTCCTGCAAGAGATACGGGTCGTCCCGAGCGTACCGCGCTAGGGGAAAGGGGGAGGTATGCGATTAGGTAGTTCTGAGTATAGTACAGTACCAGTATCTACGTATATGGTCATGAATCCAACAATCTGGATCGCTTACAGTAGGTCTCAATGAAGCGGATCGGTCCTTTCCTCGTTCCTTCCTGCTGGAATCTGACTGCAGCTTTCGTTCGTCATATGTAGATTACATAAAAATCCTCGACTCCCGATTTCCGTCTGTCGAGGTATGTGATATAATGAAGATATCTAAACTTGGCGAAGAAGTTTAACATGTCAAGGTCTTTTCTAGGCCACTTCTGCTTTGCTGTTAGATATGCCCTGTGAAATTTGAATAGTGCTTTACGTACTATGTAACTTATAAAAAGGAGCTATTTACGAATGTGGAACGATACCATGCCTTGTTCGGATTACTACACCGCTCTCTGAGATTATTATATCCAGTTAATACTGTTGGTCATCATGCTTACCATAAAGAGGCCAAGTAGTAATAGCTATCCCTTTATTGAATCCGATCGTCCGCTGCAGGATCTCTAAGATGGACGTTTACTTTACCTCCGCCAGACCAGACAGCAAGGAGCACAAAGTAAAGTGGCGGTGCTGGCGGGTCCCTCAATAGCTGTTTGGATAGATAATAGTACCGCAACACATAAAGTGCAATAGTAGGTCAAGAAGCGGGGTTTTCTTAATCGAGAAAATATCAATGTTTAGTCCTTAGGTTTCACCCCGGGGATTTGGGAGGACTGGCTTGTCTAGGAACAGTGGCGTTGCAGCGTATAGAATGGAGTAAAGAAAACAACGGAGAGATTCCGCCGTCACATTTCGGTGAAAGGTATCTACACTGCATTATACCAGATGCTGCGATCCGTCGAGGTCCTTGATTCCGTTATCCCCGCTTTAATGTTTACAGGGCTGCTCACATCTAAACATGTTTAGAGCTCGCAGCGAGACCCATGTAGGGGATGGTCACCATCGTCAACCCATATGATAGACTGACTGCATTATAGCTGAGGACACGGATAATAGGTAGAGCGCGTAGACTCTGCAGATAATACGCTCATGTCATGTATCCTCGACATGGATGGGAAAGTTTCAAGATTATCCTTTGGAAAGAGCAGCAAAGCCATCAATCTTATCCAGAGGATTATGATATTGGGGCGTACCGCTCCAGATCCCAGGTCTTGAGTGCGTACCAGCATCCGTATAAAAACTCATGGACAAACCTTGCACGAAACAGATCTAGCGAATAATGATCTGAAAGATATTCTCTTCCATTACAAGAAGCTTTCGTTTCTCAGTGATAAAGAGTGAAAAGAAGGGGGAAAGATAATACCAAGGGATATGTAAATACGTTCCAATTCGGGGTTAGGTAGAGGATCATACCCCAATACCTCATAATCCGCATTGCCGCTAATGATTTCTTTTCCATTAGAGACTTGTGTCTCCACCGGAAATTCTCCTTGCGAGGTCATCTGTCTCGCAGCTGATTCCTGTTGGTGGCTCCAGACTCGAGTAGAGGATGATAAGTCTGAGAAAACCCCTAGAGATGACGGTGTCGGTGAGGACTTGACGGCCCGACCAGATCGGCTAATTCCTCGCAACTTCAGCCTACGTAGACACGCTAGGGAAACTCCAGGCGATCGTGGGAAGCTGAGGATAACCCGCAACAGACAGGATGCAGACAAAGACCGTGGACTCTGGAGATAAACACCAGGCACATGGGGCTGAGATTCTATCCGTTAGCGCGCCGATCGTGGTGGGAGCGCGCGCAGTTCGGGACTAGGTGACCTGTTTCACAGCCCGAGGCGCAGGGCTGGACGAGAGAAGGTTTGCCAGGGAAAGCCTAAAAATGGAGTGCGCGATGATGCGATCACAGGCGTGAACTAATCTATCTACTGCTTAGAGCAAGTTAGCAGCGATCGAGTTTGAGATGGAAAAACTGGCGATGCCGGCTGAGGTCATCTGTTCGTCACGGGACTCCGCATCACGTCGCGTCGCTCCCGCCTTTGTTTACTTCTCCCCGCAACGCGAGTCTGATCAAGTTACTTACCACAGCACGCTGCCATTGCAGCACAACCAGCAATTCTACACACAAGATCTTTGATCTCGGGATAGCCGACGGTGTAAGTATCCCTCTTTGGCGCTCAGCCCAGCTGCCCGATAGCTGAAAAGGCGGGGTTATCATGCCGCTGATGATACACCTTGACGCCATGATTGGGTCGCGCTAGACTTTGGGGCTTGACAACACGATAACAAGAATAGCACGAAAGCGGGCTCCAAGGGGACCTGGGCTGCACATGGCGCACCAACTTCACATTGTCATATCGAATCACCCCACCAGGGACCCATTTCAGATCGGAGCTACCGAGCAATCGCAGCTTGAGAGTTGTCGTCGAGCCCCGACGCGTAGGAAGAGCTGCGAGCCTAACTGTCTAGCCTGCTTATCGTTGCATTGGGCTGGCTGTGAATCAATGCATCTGCGGGGAGACGCGGGAGAGGACAGCACAGGTGAGACGGGCGCGTGACGTAGACCGAGACTGGTCTTGTTAGAGACAGTGCCCACGAGCAGGATGGAAGTAGACCCTACCCCTCCATCTGGGACAAGTCCCGAATGCTCCGAAGAGGGGTGTGTCGCGCTCTGAAATCGATCGGCACCTGGGGGAGGGGAACTTCTGTGCAGCACGCGGTGAACTGGCTATCCGCATAAGAGTGGGATACAAATACGGTGGTTTGCTCTGCGCAAAGCCTCAAGGCGCATAAGGTACTTTCCAGAGCGACATCGGGAAGAACACAATTCCTCCACATTCCGCGATATCCATCGGATGAGGATAGGATAACAGGCTCGGAGTCTTGCGAGAGGCAATCTGGAGTGGAGCATCTGCTTGGAATCAAGTAAATCGCCCAGTCAATGACGTCGACCTGTGTCTTGGGCCTTGCAACGAGCTTTGAGAGAGACAATTACTACCAAGAATAGGCAATTCAACAAGGATAATCGTTCAACTTGCTTGAGAGCATGGTTCCACCTCAGTCGAGTTCAACGAAAGCTGCTGTTAAAAGCACGTTCTGAGAGAGTTGCCCTCCCGTAGGCGGTTTTAAGACCGTCACTCTAAGTCCAGGTTTCCCGAAGAGAGGGAGGGCTAGTATGGAGAATGTGGAATAGCGATTCAATTCCTTGTATGGTCCATACTTGTACCCGTAGGAACGGACCGAACCCAGGACAGTGCGCAAGTATTCCAGCGGACCTCCAGTCTTCTTGCAGAGCCTCTCAAGTCCTGTAAGCGCTTGCAGATCGATGATATCCATTGACCGCTAACCCAGCGCTTGAAGAGTAGTAGAATAGTTGTCCGTATATCAGATATGACTGCAGTTCTTTCTATCCCTGCCCGGGCGCCAAGCCGACGGTACGGACGAATCGTGATTGATATCGCTGGGTCCCTCTTAGCCAGCGGCTCAGGAGCAGTCCTGGTTGGGACATGCAGCCCAGCGGCACGAGGGAGGCTTCACTAGTCGAGTGGCCGCAGTCGGTGACAGATGTCGGGGATGAGGCGGATTGCCATCCTTGCGTGTGGACGGTTTCGTCTGGACTTTTCCTCTGTGTTGTCGAAAGATCTTCTCATAGGGAGAGTGGACCCGGTGGAGGTCGCTAAAACTGTGTGCGTTAGCTTGGATCTCGTTGCACCTGGCAATGGTAAGACGTAGTAGTTTTAGCAAGTAGTAGACACGAACGGTTCGAGACCCCGAAAACAAGAATATTCTGGAGACCAAAGACAACGAACAGAGCCAAGTAGCAGCAGTAAACGTCTGTCTGTGCTACCCGACTCCTGGAAGCGGATATATGGTACATCTTGATGTTGTTGTAGACCGTAAACACTGGTATCACATCTCCCGTCAACGGTCCCTGGGTAATCAAACTGCCAGCCGTGCAGTACCATCATTAATACAGCAAACATCATTGCCGCCCACCTGAGTCAGACCCAAGACGGGCATGATCCATGTTGGCGCTTCTCACAGGCTCTGGGTGAGTTCATGGTTGCTGAGCAGCCAGTAGTGTGTTTTATGGCGGCAAGGGGAGCACAGCAACGGCCGGGAGCTTGGGCTGACGAGCGGCCCTAGAGCGACCCTAGAAGGTCTGCTCGATACACCTAGAGAAGCCCTAGGATTGTAATAACGGGGCGAGCAAGACGAGCTCGTTCAGCAGGCCGTGCCTGGACAAAGAATCTCCGTGCTGGTCGTTCCCGAGCCTGTTCCGCCCTGGTTCTGGTCGTCGCTTAAGCTTCTCAGGACCTGGAGATCCTCCCCACTTTCGTTGCCATTGCAACAAGGGCTGCCCTTTCAGCTTCACCATTTCCAAAGTCCTTTTTCAACGCTTCTTTTCTTCTCTTTCTTCCTCATCTTCTCCTCGCCGTCCTGTCGGTTTTTACCTTCGTCGATTTCCCTTGGACGGGCTCGGTTCCGGATCTCCTCTACCTCTCCTCCGCCATCCTCCTTGCTCTTCCCCTCGAAACCCCTCCATACCGTCCGCTGCAAGCTGCACCCCAGATTCTTCTCCATTGCTGCATGCCGGCCATGTCTTTCTGAATCAGACTTCGACATCCCCGGGCCCCTTGTGAGTGCAGTGGGCCATTGGATTGAGGAGTTCGTTGATTGTGGGTGTTCGGACGGACGAACGAGGTGTCAGATACACCCCAGGTACAAGAGGAAAGAAAAGGAAAAAAAGAAAAAAGAAAAAGAAAAAGGAAAAAGAAAAAGGAAAAAAAAAAGCTGGATAATATTTACGAGCAGACACCAAGTGTGACTGCCGTTACATGAATACAAAGAATAGTTGGTGCTGGGAAGGACGGTTGCATATCCTTAGCAGGGTGCTACAGGTTCTGCAGTGCAGACATTTTGCAGTCATTCCGTGATTCCAAGGGAGACAGCTGAATCCTAGACAATTCTTCTGTCCATAATGGAGCACTCTTCACCTTTGGCTGCTATGCAGCCTCCTTCTGTGCATTTTGGACACTGCTTTCGGGCAGATGTACCAACGTCTTATGCATCCTTTGGATCCGTGAAGGGCTTTGGTCCGAATAGTTTCAACTTCAAAGACCTCTCCATGAAAAGAGGCCATGCGGATTACTTCAACATGAAGCCAGTCCGTGGATCTTCTCCGACAGCCAGCCTTGCTGCGGATCTGTCCCAAAATTTCCATATTGATCAAAGGTCAGTCCACTGTCTCCATGAAACTAAACGGCTCTTACGGACAAAGCCGTGCTAACGTCTGGGACAGTCCACAATTAGCAACACCCCGCAGGTCTTTGTTCTCATCGAACCTGTTCGGACCCGGAGGCGGACGTGGTAGGAGACGCAAGAGGAGACCAAATTGTGCTCAAGGCTAACACTGGAGTAGAAGAGAACATGACCACCCCTCCCCTGCCTGCATCCTCGCCCGCCCCTGCTATGGATATTATGGACATGATGGAGATGTCTCCCCTCCCGCACAAGGTTCCTTACTCGAGGTCAACTGAGGTGGAACTCCCTTCTCCCACTCCGGACATGGGCACTGTCGATTCCCCCATGTCTTCAGCCGCTCCCAGCCCGTTGCAGGAGTCTCCCCTTGACGCTCCAAAGCACGCCCCATATGAGTAAGCCGATTCCCCCATTAATCCAGTGCCTGATGGAAATAGTCTAACAGGCCCTGGGTTGTACAGAAGGAGACGCTCCAACATGCTCCGCCCGTCCCTGGCTCGTACCAAGGCGCACTCAGCGCATCTAGGCATCCCGAAGCCCGCACCGGAGAGCCGATCTCCTCCTTTCAAATTCTCCAGCGGGGGCAGTAAACTGTCATCCGGCAGCTCGACATCCTTAGGAGACATGTTCGATGAATCGCCCCAGCGGGAGAGGACCTTGCCCAGGAGCAACAGTGGCCTCATGGGACCTCCTCGTCTTAGGCAGCCTTTCGGATCTGGCGCTGGACATGCGCGTAGCAATGGCTCTCCAGCTCCAGGCCCAATCCGTAGGAGTGGGAATCCTTTTATGCGTCCTCGCAAGCAATGCCGCAGGTCTCTGAGCATGTTTGAGCATCCTGACGACGTGATGCGGGAAAATGATGCTGGCTATTCTACAAATGCACCCCTTCCATCTATTAATGATATCGAAGTTACCCCCAGCCTGCAGCTTCCCCACTTCGTCCCAGACGACCAGCCCGACTGCTTACCACGGATTGAAAAGAAAATCCTGGTGGACCTCATTGATGGCAAGTATAATGATCGCTTTGAGAATCTCATGATCATCGACTGTCGATTCGAGTATGAGTACGAAGGCGGCCATATCAATGGAGCTCTGAATTACAATGACAAGGAAGAGCTTGCTGATATCCTATTCGAAAAGGAACCCAAGCCGGGCACGGTGCTTGTCTTCCATTGCGAGTACTCTGCCCACCGTGCGCCCATCATGGCGAAATATATCCGCCACAAGGATCGTGCGGTCAATGTTGACGAATATCCAAAGTTGACTTACCCGGAAATGTACATTTTGGACGGGGGATACAGCGCCTTTTTTGCTGAGCATCGATCGCTGTGTTATCCTCAAAACTATGTCGAGATGGCTGACAAGAACCATGAGTATGACTGTGAACGTGGCCTTGGCAAAGTTAAGCAACGGTCCAAGTTCAGTCGAGCTCAAACCTTCGCCTTTGGACAAGACTCACCACAGATGGAGGACAGTCCTACGGGAAGATGTCGAAGCCATGGAGATCGTAGTCGCGGTCTCGGATCCCCATTCGGAGAAGAACACAGTCGCATGCCCGGTCGTCGGATGCTTTCTTACTAGAGTCGATTGCGGCTTTAGATTTGACTCTACGGCGCCACGCCTTTAATGGACTTCACGTTTGTCGCATTTTTTTAAACCCAGCGAATGGTCCACCTGGTTGATATTTCCATTCGTGTGCGCCTAGTCGACTTGCCTTCTGTCATTACACAGCCTTTCGAAGGGTTGAAATGATTGACACGGCCATTTGTCGGGCCCCAACCAGTGCTGAACCTCAGAGGGCCAGAGTCGTCGTCACTGGAGGACGATATCGACTGCTCCTGTACATCGTCACGAGCGTGACGGGCGGTATTACTCTTACGTTTGATTCCATACAACTGCTTTCACCGCGGGGTGTCTCTCTTCGCCAGTGTATGGCGTCAATTCTCATACACAATCTCGAATCCTTATGTCATCAGCGCTTTACCATACAGCTTCACCACCACATATCTTCTTTCTTATGTTACTACGCCACTTATTCCCCTTCGATGACCTTGTGAAGATCACACCATGACTAAAGTCGACCCACCATCATCCAGCATTCTACAATCCTTCTTTTCCTTTGTCACAACTACCTGATACTCGACAAGAAGATACGCTCATACCGCCCCTGCGCCTCACGCTGGAACCCCTCCGCCCGCTGGGGTTATCCTGACTGGTACCGCACCAGAGACGAATTTCCTTGACATTCATTTTTTGGCGCACTATATGCCCCTTACCGTCCTTTTAACTCTAATTCCCTTTTGTGGTTCATGTACAATTCTTTGCGGAGCATTGCTGTCACCAGCTACTCGTTCATTTCTGGATCGTCCAAACAAGGCCGTTTGACGTCGATACCAGTCCATCCCCATTTCCGCATATGAGCGAGACGATGAGGGCTAATATCGCATAATAATATGCGGTGCAGCTTGTACATAGAAACCTACGATCCCAGTGCTTTCCCAATTGTGAACAGTGAGCCTGGTGAGAGGGTACTGATAGGAACCATGTTTTCCTTGAGTGAGGAATAAAAATAGAGGAAACAAATTCAAAAAACAGAATAATCACTTCCTTTCCCTAGACAAACATTGAAACGTAAAGCTGCCAGATTGGCGGTATTATTATTAGAGTCGAGCCCGTCTGTTTCTAATCTGCAGTCCAAGTAGTTCCGAGCGGAGGCCCAATCAACGCCGCCCACCCCGCAAAACCAGGGCGTCTCAATTGCGACTCCGTTCAATAATCGATCGATCTCTCCCAATTCCTCCTGTACCGGTCCAAATGCGGCCCGGATCGCAGCATACACACAATCGCTATGGACATCGATGACATTCTCGCCTCTGTCGATCGCGACAATTACTCCTCGCCTGAATCCACCGCGCTTGATCACCAGCAACTGACGCGCTATTGGGTTGCGGAGCGCGCCGTGTCGGAACTCTTGCCATGGCCGGCACCGTTGATGGATCGGATGATGGAGAGGGTTAGGAAGCAGGTAAGTTTCTCCATAATGGCTCTGCGGTACAGGAGAGTTATTCGAATTTCTTTCTTTCCTGCTTTCCTTGTGCTCGCGCGAGGGGTACGAGGGTTGTGGTAGACATAACCTTTTTTCCCCTCAAAGGATACAAGGATACCAACGCGGAATGCGCATATCAAACTCCCAAGCGAAAGAGCAAAAAAAGAAAAAGAAGAAGAAGAAGAAACACTAACAGCCACATCTTCCCAGATCGAAATAATCGAAGACCTCGCCGCCTCATCAGCCGACCCCTCAACAAGCACAACCAACAACCCGACTCTAAACCTCAAGCTCTCAATCCTCCAAACCGACCTCTCTCGCACTCAATACCTCATCCGCTCTTTTCTCCGCCAGCGTCTCTCCAAACTCACCAAATACAGCATGCACTACCTCCTTCTCATCTCCCCACCGCGTGATTCCCAACAGCAGCAACAATCAACCCAATCCACTACTGCACAACCAGAAGATTCCATCCCCGACCCCTCAACCGCGATAGACACATCCCCTCTTTCTCGACAAGAAGCAGCTTTCATCCACGCACATCAGAACCTCCTAGCGGAGCATTACGGGTTATCATTCATGGCCTCCTTCCCGCCGCGACTACGTCGATTAGACGACAACGCAGGCGGGACGAGTATGGTCCAGGCGCCTGATACGAAGGAGATCGTATTCGTGCGATGTCTCGTGGAGGAAGTGAGCATTCTCATCCCTGCGGATGAGGCTGCGGGATTCGAGGAAGAATACGGTACGACGATGCATATGGGTGAAGTATGGGTAGTACGATGGGAAGGGATCAAAAAGAGTTGGGAGAGGGGGGAAGTGGAGGTTTTATAATCAACAATAAAATATGTGGATCGATTTTCTTATCCTGTCTAGGATGGGATCTTGTCGTGACACTGGGATTTAAGCACTCAAAAGAGGGGAAAAGCGCTCTGGTGGTGTGGTATATTATATCATTTTTGTCCATCCAGCCTTCTTTCAGTTTTTACATTTGATACCAAAAGACTTTAGATTACAAGGTTTGGAGTGGTTGCATTGGGAATGGTCTGGTGGCATTGCATGTTCAGCGGTCTTTGTGTCACTCGAGCAGCATAGGATTTGGCGTCAGGGACTAGTTATAGATATTAATATCTTATTGAAAGAAAAAAGCTAATAGAACGATAGAACGAAGCTTCGTGTATACAGAGTAACTCTTCCGAAATCATCTGGAGTGTTCTTCAGTCTTCATAGTAGAGAAAGAGGGTGATATCGATATCATTCTTTTTGAAATGAGGGAGATATAAAGCATGCCATGCACACAGTTCATCTAGATAAATGGCGCGTTTCCCTTCAAGTCTAATTTCGCATAAAACATCCAATTCATGTGCTACCGTGCCGTCCAGTCCCGTATAACCTATCTACCCATCAATCGTGACCCTGTCATATGCACTGCTAAGAAACATCTATAGCGATTATTGAGAGAACGACGAATCGAAACCACAGCCAAGAAATGCAGAAAGAACAGCCACCTTTCGCCATCGCTAATGGGGGCGTGAAATATTTACTGGTTGAACGAATAAAGAGGAAGAGTTTGCCGAGGATAATGCAAGACGCCTGGGAATCAGTGCCGGAGTTATGGCGGAATTTTGCACGGAGCAAGCATCAACATGTCAACATAGAACGCTTAAGCAATGTAGCCATACGCGGGCGGATCTGAGTCTGAGATACGTTCGAGGTATTCTCGATCAATCAGACTCTCGATACGCTTCTTGACCATGTTGACGTCGGGAACAAAGCGAGAAGCAAGCTGCGTTAGTACTTCTGTCATGAGCTGAGAGTGCGAAAGCGTTTTCCGTTGCCTAAGGAAAAGGCCACGTTAGTATCTATCGTACAGTCGAAAGGGGATCAAGGACACAACGTACTTCATGATTCGTACGATTGCAGCTTCAATGCTACCGCCTCGCTCCTCGTTCATCTTCTTCTCCGTCTCTTTTCGCTCGTTCTGACTCTCAACTTTGTTTCCTCCACCGCTGACAACGCCGATGCGAACCTTAGTGAACATGCTCTGGAAGTCTGGGTTGTAGAAGAATCGGTCTGTTGGCTTCACGTCTTTGCTCATCGGATCTTTCTTGAGGACTCGGGTTTTAGGGGCCACGGCGAGAGACTGAAGGTTCCGAATCAAGTCGTGATCTGGAATACGGGTCTGCGCTTGGATCTCTTCGTAGGTGAGAGATTCACCGTCCGGCACGTCGTTGAAGAGGAGTAATATGACCATGGCGTACGTCGAGACATTCAGCTCATGACGGGCAACTTTGCCGTTAGACCTCCGAAACGTCGCTCGGATATCTGCAGTGCCCATGTTTGACTGCCAAGAGAGCTTCCGGCCATTGTGCTTGCTTAGGTAGAAGTTCTCAAAGCTCTGCTTGAGTGAGTCGATCTCCTTAGGGAAGATGCATGGTAGCTGCACGGCACCATCTTTGGAGGCAGACATGATTTCCATGGGCCACATCGTACTGGTGAGAACGCTGATTTCCAGTTCTACCTTCTTGACATCCGGATCCGCAGACTTCGCCACGTGGTCTCTGTAGCCGGCTGTAAGGTCATCGGAGATTGCCATGTCCTTGAACATAGATTCGAGACGCTGTGTGAACTGGTTTCCAACTTCCATCTTCATCTTTGAGATCATCTGTCTCTCAGCATCCATACTTGCTGACCGCTTCATGAGCAGACGTCGAGACAGGTGCTTCTTATAGTAGGTCTCGAAGAGGTCCTTATCCTTAATGTATCGGAGAAGCGTGATACCGTTCTCAAGAAGAGCATCAACTTCACTCTCCGTCTTCCCCTTGATGCCCTTCTTAAGATTTTCATCGAAGAACAAAGACAGATGCTCTGAACTGCGGTTGTTGGAGTTGATGAAGTCTGAGAAGCTTGTGGTAATCGATGTTTGCAGACCCTGATCAGAGGCGAAAGCCTTGCGCCAGACGTCGTCGAATTTCTGCTTGAGAGCTAGAATATCGTCAACCCATTTGATTGCAGCCGCAGTCTGCTGATTTGCAGGCTTCTCCTTCTCATCAGCTTTCTTCTTGCCATTAGCGGCCTCCTCCGACTTCTGCGCCGGAGCCACTGTCGGCTGGGCGAACGCCTTGGCTGCAGCATTGATTTCATCGCCCATCTCAACAATGCGCTTTTGTACCGCTCTCGTTAATGCGGTCTTCTTCGGGTCAACTCTCGCGCTGAGTTGGTACACATTACCCAGGTCCTCCAGCTTGTCATGGTCAAGCATATACCGAACACCGCTCCCCTCTAGTGCGATGACATCTGCAATGTTCTTGAGGATCATCTCTTCGTCCAGTACACTCTTGATCTTCGGTTCTGTCAGGTCAGACAATGTCTGTCGACACCGCTGCACCTCTTCCGTGATGCGTTCAGAGGTGAGTCGGCAGAAGGTAGCTGCATCAGTTGTCGCTAGAAGTCTCTGTCCTTCGGCGTGGTAGAAAGCCTTGCTGGATTCCAGGAACGAAGGCTCAAAGACGGTCAAGTACAACTTCGACGAATCCTCCTCTGTGGCTGTCTCGTATAGACCCTCTAGCATGTACATGCAGTGTCGAATCAATGGCCTCTCTATAATATGCCCAGCTCTCTCCAGTTGTATCATGAAGAGGACTGTTGATTCAAGGACGTTATAAACAGTCATTTCCGATTCCGCAGGTATGGCCGCTCGAAGGACATGATCTCGGAATAAGCACATGGCTGCGATATATATCGACGGTTTCCTATGGTCGGAGCATGTAACACGATTCTTTACCTCGTAAGCACAAAAGTCTAAAGGATGGCATTGTAAGAGAGCGGATGTGCAGCTTACCATGTACATCAATACATCTGTGATCATGCCCATACACAGTTGATGGTCTTCCCAAGCCGCCTTTACTACTTCCAAAAACTTCTCTCCTGCAGCTCTTCTCTCGTTTGCTTGGTCCATTGCATCGGTTGGTTCTCTTGCTAGTAATAAGCTCGGAGATATGGCGGATGTGACTCGCTTGCAGACCTCCTTCTCCAACCAGTCCTGCTCTAGACGCACGACACGCTCGTACAGATCATCACCCCGGCCCATAATGACACACTGGTATGCGCTGCGGTAAAGTTCCTCGAAGGATAGGCACGAAGCATTCTTGGTGTGGATCTCGCGTAAAGATGAAGACAGGACGGACCATCTCGACTCGAAATCATCTCCTTTGCCTGTCGTTAAACCCTTTATGAGGACACTCATATTAGCAACAATCGTCAAGCACTAGGAATTAATCGACCAGATAGAGTCAAGATGTCGAGTCCAGCGTCAAAAAGCTGTTTATGTCTGCAGCAGCGGAAGTTGCCTCCCTCCGTACTGCGGGAGGATTTCTTTGAGCAATAACGAACAAAGGAAAATGAACACCCACCCTTCGAGGGGCACGAATCTTATGCCTAGCTCTCATAGCAGCCATGGTGTACGTGTCTTCCTTGGAAGGCTATATCGAAAAATGTGCTGTATTATTTATCTGTGAACAGACTCGAGGGCGGGGCAGTCAAAGCGGCCGGAGATAGTGAGGTAGATAGATGCGTTGGGAAGACAGCTGCGCAACGCAGGGAGCAGTGAAGTGAGGCTGACAGGGAGAGAGGAAACTTCTAACCAGAACTCCATTCGCCTGCACTGAAGATCTCTGACTGTTTCTCGCCGAGAATGGTCGCTGGTCTCAGTAGATGCTCTACTTGGACATGGAGATGCTCTCGCTTTCGCCGCGGAGAAAAGCCCAGGAACAACTTATCTCCGGCGGCTTTTCTGCCTCGAGCGACGCCGTTTCCGATAGTTTATCATATCATCATCGATTAACCATCAGAAACATCTCTACCGCAGCTGGAATACGCGAGAACGCCAGGTGCGTCTGTCGGTACTTACCAGAATTACTATCGCGACTGTATCTTCACTTCATATTCGAGTCATAATGCGTGCAGCACCGGCTTTGCGACACGTCCTCCGCGGCCAGAGTCGCCTCTTTCCCCGAGCCTCCGCTCCCAGCATACTATCGCGATCACAGTCGCAGTCGCCATTACTATCTGCCAGCGTTTTCAGACAGAAGCAAGCTGTGATTCCCTCTCTTTCCAGATCCTTCGCATCCTCTGAAGCGCCCAAGACTCGTGATCCTCGTCCTCTTACCGACCGCGCCACCTCCGAATCTACAGACGCAGAAAATGCCGAGCAGAACAAAGCACGTCGGGCGCAAGAGCCCATGTACCAGATCACATTTACCTGCAAACCATGCGGCGACCGTTCCTCGCATCAAATGTCCAAGCACGGCTACCATCGCGGCACAGTCTTGATCCGTTGCCCGACTTGTTCCAACCGACATGTGATCAGCGATCATCTGGGCATCTTCATGGACAAGAAGAGCACGCTGGAAGATATCCTGAAGAAAGATGGCAGGAAGCTGAAGAAGGGCTATGTGGATGGCGACATGGAGTTCTGGGATGATGGCACTTCGAACCCGAAGCAGACCCAGGAGCAGTCTGAAAAGGCTGGCGAGCAGTGATAATTGTTAACGGAACTGTCATGATCTTCAGCCCCAGGAGAAATCCTATGCGTGTCTCCTGTTGCAGTTCCACATTGCATATCTTACGATACTTTTGCAGCGAGTTCAGGAGTTGACGGGTTTTCTGAGTACCTATGGGTGAAGGAAAAGTGTCTATGCTTGTCGGTGGTAATGGGAGCCCACTGGAAAAGGATCTCGCATGAATACCTTTTCTTTTTCGTCATCTTGTATACACTATGTACATATCGACATAGACTCTATGTATCATTAGCACATAATATAACCATCTCCGTTCATGCCCAATTCTATCTAAAAAATTTTGTTTTCCTCAAACGCCAGCCCTGCTCAGCATAATTGACACATTATGTTTATGTATAAACATCTACCAACCCCTTCTCTTTCCTCTAAATTCAAGACCCTTCTCCTTTCTCTTCTCCCGCTTGCGCTCGTTCCTCCTCTTCTTTTCGCGTCCGACCTTTTCGGGGTCTGCGACAGCCTCAATACGTCTTTTGACACGACGTCCCTCACGCCGTTCTTTGATCGATTCCTGCACGCGCGCCATTTGCGCTACGTACTCCGTGGTTCCGAGCTTCTTCTGCAAGAGATCCAGGACTTCATGTGCGTTGCTGACAAGGGCCTTATACACCTCCTGGAAATCGCGGTCCGAGGAACGCGGTGCAGGGATAGATTGATCGGTAAGATGCTGCAATGGTAGCAGAATTACCGGTAGTGACGGCATGATTTGCTCCGTATCGAGATGGCGACAGAGTGCAGCAAGCAGGCCCATGGAGGCGGTCTTCGGAATCAACGACTCAGCCTTTGTCGTGAGAGTCTCGCGACGCAGGATAAGGGAAACCTGTTGGAAGATATACTGAATGGCGGACTTCGTGGATGAGCCCGTGTCGTTGACGTTGTCCTGATCCTGGTCCTCTTCGCCAGAGTCACTCTCCTCAATCGCCTCATCGGCTTCAGCTTCAGCTTCTCCAGGTCCCGCCTTGGAGAATTCGAGCTTGTTCTGGGCAAAGCAGCGACCGAGGAAGATAATGTTTCGGACTGTTTGCATGGCCAGCTCTTCGCTAATACCTGGCGTACGAAGACAACGTGTACTAGCGCGGATCAATTGCAACATCGCCTCCTTGTCAAGCTTCAGACCTGACGAACCCACTAGAGGGACTGCTCCGTAGCCAGATGCAGCGTTTGCCTTGGCCAAATCCGCCAGCCATAGGCCAACAAGATTGGCGGCGCATGTCTTGACCCACGCATGAGGGAAGAACAGCGACTCTCGCACATGAGACCAGATGGGGGCACATTCTTGCGCAAGGGCGATGGAGGGTACCGTTTTGCAAAGCTTGGTGAAAAGTTGAAGAGCAAAGTAGAGGACCTCCCAGTTTTCGCTTTCTTGGTTCTCAATCGGCTCAATGATGCTGGGAAGTACGCTGATCACAAATCGAGCTTCCTTATCCTTTTCTGTCACTTCGGGGTCGAAAAATATCCTCATTGCCTGAAGGCCAGTGCTAGTGAGCAGCATGTTGTCGGTTTGCTCGAGCCAAGAGTGCAGCGGTCTGAGAATGGCGCTCATCTGCTCTCTATCAGCCCGGCGATAAAGCTCTCCGAGTAACACTCCAGCCATTTCACGGCACTCGGGCGAGTCATCATTTGCCATAACCATGACCACGGGTAGGAAGAAGGTTCCAACAATATCTTGAGCGAGTTCGTCACCGGTCTTGGCCAGCAGCATATGCACGGCTTCCATGACGGACTGGCGCCCTTCCTGATATTGGAAATCAAAATTCTTCGCCAGAAACGCTAGCTGTTTGGCCCAGCGATTCTTGGCCTGAGGATACTCAAGCAGAAAGTGGACGTATACGCCTCGTGCGAGGTCTCGTGCGCTACGAGTCTGATTGGTTACCATCATAGTCGCAATGTTGTCCATAAGCTCGTACATCTCTGGTACGACGAACTTGCGTGCCATCACAGCCCTGATGAAATTGAAGGTGACTCCCTGACGATCAGGCTCCTCGATGTCGGATGCCAGGCGCTTGAGAAGGAACGCTAGATGACCATCCTTGAGGGTTGTCGACTTCCTCTCACGCAACATGGCCGCGATGAGCTTCAGAGAAGCCTGAGCCGCTTCCGTGTTTGTATTCGGTGCCTCCTTGATCAGTTTAACAGCCTCCGTCAGATAGACGTGCGAATTTTTGTCCAGGTCAGGAAGCGGCAGTTTGATGATGGTAGACAAGAGACGGAGGGAAGAGATTTTAACCTCCTCGTGCGCATCAACTAAGAAATCTCCGATCATTGGGAGAAAGCCAGCCACATTGCTTGCTGTTAGGAGCGAACTGTGCTTGTTGAGAATCGACCGAAGAACGTCAAGTGAAAACCGCGCCAACTTGTACACGTACGATGTTGTCGAGCCCCGTTTTTCACCCTTCTTCGCAGGGAGATTCACTAAGAAACGCAAGCGAGAGGCGGGTATAGTGGATTCGGGCGCCGTTGTTTTAGGGTCTTCGTATGACTCCTTGATGACTTCGTAACAGAAAACTAGCAGGTCGCGACTCTCGGCTTCAGGGTTTCTCAGAAGACCAACTCCAATTCGTCTCAGGAGTTCATCAACTTTTTTCATGATGTTTGAAGTAAGCTTTTCTCGTAACAAGCCCTGGAGTGGACGTATAAGGTGTGCCAGATGTCTGACAGTAGCATTTTTGGCTAGAAGCTCCATCGAGTCATAGCTCTTGCTGCTCTTGACCTCTTTCATTTTGCTGATATATTCTTCGGCCTCCTTCTCTTGACCGGTGGTACCGAAGATATCATCCATGACCACTGACACCATTTCGCCAAGACAATGGTCAAGGTCGCCCTGCTTGAAGTCATCGGTGGTAGTAACGAGAATCGAGTGGAGCGTGAATGAGAGTACGTGTAGCTGATATCCTCTAGTTAAGGCACTGCGTAACTCTCTCAAGATGTACCCAAAGTGCGAAGGCCCAAGAATGAGTGCAATGTCCGCTAGAGTCCTTCTAGCAATATCTCGGGACTCTTGCGAACGGCTGCGGAGGACATTGCATACATCCAAGAGCACCGCGGGCAGACGAATAACCTGGTCGTCCTCCGGAAGAAGCTTGATAAGCTTGACAGTAGTCACTGCAACCGGTAACCGCAAGCTGACCTCGGCCTCATCCTTGTGGTGGATATATTTAGTCAGGAAGGGGATAAAGTGCGATGTAAGTTCTGTTGCCACTTTCGCACCAGATGGCAACGCCTTAGCAAGGGTGGTCTTCGATGGTACAGAAGGATCCATATCCTCCATTTCTGCGTCGCCCACATCCTGGGATGCTCTGGCCTGGTCCATCGAATGGGATAGTGCATCCGCCATCCGTCCGAGGAGCCTAATGACATTCTTTTCTGTTTCCGATTTGCTTTCCATGTAAGCTCGATAGCGTCGGAATATAGCTCTGAATTGGACCCATTCCAGCCACTCTGCGAGTGTACCGATTGTGCTAACTGCCTCAGCGGTCAAGTTGTGTGCGTTCTCATCTTCAGCCTGGTCAAAAATATAGTGCTCGATAAGAGGCATGAAGATAGTGCTGATGTTGGACGCCTGGATTTTCCCTTTAGCCGCTTCTCCAGCTAGTCGACGCAATGCACGCGTACGACGATGCTGTTGGATATGGAGAATGTTGTTGAAGAAAGAGGCCTCCTCATCATCACTAACAAGTAGCACGTGCATATCCTGAACCGCTGGCATTGTAGGGTTCAACTTGATGAAATACCCCAGGCTGGTGACGAATTCGGCCCGAATCATCTCTGATTTGTGTTTGACTCCATTCCGCAAAGTGGGCAGTAAGACAGTCATGACAAGCGAATCGAACTCTGCATCATTGTTCTCCGATCCTAGTGCAGCTTTTTCCACGAATCGTCTCAACCCGTAAGAGGCGCTTGACCTTATCGCAAGCTCATCCTCATCTTTAATGTGAAAGAGCATGTTAAACAGCAGAGGTCGCCACTGCTTAGCATTGAAGCCATTCCACAAGTCCTCGTTGATTCTTGTGAAGGCTTGGAGACGTCGTTCGTAATCGACTTCATCAAGTCTCTGGGCGGATACAGCATTGAGATCAGAGCATAGAGAGGCGACCTCCTGTAGCTCCGAGTCATGGCTTGCAAATGCGGCAAAAACTTTAGAAAGCACTTCCCTGTTCTGATCATCCTTGAAATAATCGAACATTGATGAGATAGCTTCGAATACTTGTGTCGTAAGCGCTACATCGCCCTGAGGATCGTACAGCGGCAAGAAGTGCTGGAGTATGCGAAGAAGGCCCGATTTCGTTTTTGGAGAAACACGATCAGGCGGCTGTCGAAGGAGAAAGGTAGCAATACTGATGAGGCTCGAAGTCTCTCGTGAAGACTCAACGCATGGTGCAAGAAGTGACAACGTCTCGACGCCAGAAACCATGAGCGGGCGGGAAGGATTGTGCTTCAGAAGATTCCCAAGGTGAGACAGAGTTGAGTCAACATATGGTGCAAGGACTTCTGAACGGATTTGCTCTGGCGGCACATCTCCCATTTCTTCCTTCTCTTCAATGGACTTGCCAGTGGACAACCCGACCAGTGGTACTATAATCTGGTCCATTACGAAGATCTTCACTTCATCACGAGCGGATTCCACTCCCAAACAATCAACTATTTTGGAAAGAAGGGCGTTGTTGTACCGAACAAGGTAGAACGCAGATTTGGGGGAAGACGCCCAAGTATGGAATAGGCGAAGGAGACCGGAGACGCCTTGTGCTGTCTCAATGGCGAAGTTATCAAGTCTCGGGTTGATCACTTCGTCAAAAATGGTAGGGAGGTATTGTGACCAATCCGTGTCAGGCGATACAGAGAATATCAAGTCAAGACAACGGATAGCGAGTTGACGAATTCCACGGACCACATTAGCTAGGTTCCCAAGCTGGGAGTCAGCGACATCTGCTGTCGGGTCATCCTTGAGGGCTCGACAAGCTCGAACGAGGCAATAGACAACGACGTCCATCGATCGTTCAGTGTACGGAAGCATTCGACTCTGAAGGGTATCGAACATGGTCTCAATCATCCTCAAAAGACCCATCTGCTTCCTTGGGCTGACAAGTTCATTCGCTAGCCGTTGCTCCTGGACATGGCCTTCTTCCACGAGGTGATGCTCACCCAGAACACCGAATGCTATTTGTACGAAGAGATCAAAGTCCTTGTCAGAGAGTTGTGACAGCGTCCGCAGAATCGCTTTCCTCCGACCAGCCTGCCCACCTTGACCGCCATGCTGGGCTACTCGTGAGACCATTCGACCGTAAAGGAGCCTCAATAGGACCGGAAGCAGCTCAGCTCTGTGCTCGTCTTCGATCACACTGTCCTCCCTGCCAACGTGTACGAAGACAGCAAGCTCCTCTCTGAACCTAGACTCGTCAAGTATGTTAAGGAGATTTTCCTGGTAAGGAAGGATATGGGGAGACTTCCAGGTGAACAGGGCTTTCAGGGCAGACTTCTGTATCTCAGAGTCACCATTGGAAAGGAGGTTGCGAAGAGCGCCATGAACTTCTGACTCCTTGTACAGTACTTTGGGGTTTATAAACTTTCCAAAGAGTGCCAGAAGCGCCATTCGATCCTTGAAGCCCCAAGGAGGTTGGGTCTGACCATCAGGCGTGACGGTGGAGCCTTCTTCAGGAGTAACAGTATCCTCGTCATGAGAAGCCCATGATAGAAACATTGGGACTATCTGGCGAGAGCGTTTCTCTGCAATTTGAGGAGCGGCATTGAGGACGCGCAGAGCATGAGACCTAGGCCAGGTCGGGATGATAGCTGAAGGGTTATGTTTCTGTTCGAATTCGTGCAGTAGCATTGCTGCCGCATTTTCCGGCCGTCGGAATGTGGAAGCAATGTATTTCTCCATTTTTAAAACGTTGAAGCACTGGAACTCCGTCGCGCGGAAATAGTTGTCGTCATCTTGGTCTTCGCTGGAGAGAGGGCTGCCAGGTTCCTGCAGCCATCCGATTGCCATGTCCGCAATAATAGCCTCTCCCACGGCATGTTCACTCATAGTCTTCAAGGCTTCAGCTGAATCATCCCACAGAGGCGCAAGCTTCTTGGAGAACAAGCCGAAGCAGAAGTAGGGGATAAGCTTCGGAAGCCACCTATGAGATATCACCTGGGGGTATGCGAGTGCCAACTTTCGAATCTGCATCGAGAGGTACCTTGCCGTCTGCAGATTCAAAGGACTCTCTTCAATTTCAATTGCCATGGAGATGAGAGAGCCATCATCTTTGAGCGCCCTGGTGACCAATTCACGCAAAATTTTCAGGGACACGAGCCTCAGTTGATGCGAGGGACCAGCAAGGTTGCTGATCAAAGCATTGGCGAACGGTTCAAGCGTGGACTCATCGACGCTAATCGGGCCATTATGAGCCAACATATAGGATAGAGTGGCCTCTAGAAAGAGTGAGACGCGAGAAAACTTCGGGGCAGCTTGGCTGATAGGATCCCACAGGGCTTCGTCAACGGCACCCGACTGACTGGCGAGATCGACATAAGTCTTGAAACCTTGACCACAAGCAAAATCATCTAGTGGCTGCGAATGTGGTGACCCTGAACGGAGAGATGACAGTAGCATGTCGTGCAGACTTTGAACAAGCTGGGGTAAGATTGACGGCTCGGTAGAAAAAGATATCGCGCCAGGAAGCTTTGAATATGCATCTAGCAAGGAAACTTCCTCTGGGGAGGATTGGGGCTTATCTAACTTCTCCGTGATGTGCTTTTTCCAAGCCGGTGGGCAGGTAACGTAACCAGGCCGAGAAATTTCAGCTGTTACACAACCTGCTTCACTGAGCTGAAGCAGGGCATGGCACAATTCGCACTCGTAATCCTGCCAGAGAGAAGTCATGAACCTAGAAATAATTTATTAGTATACCGTAAAAGTAACAAGGAGTACATGCTTTCTTACTTTTGGAAATAAGGGAGAATAAAGCCACGAAACCTTTCGGAGCCCGCCTCGGCAAAGGTAGCGCAGAAGGAGAGAAAATGCTTCGACAAGCGCTCGTCAGTGATAGCATCCATTATCTGACGCAGAGAGGGAAGCATTTCATCCATAGGAGAAAGTTGCAGCGAGAATGAAGCCGCCGTCAAGAGCTCTGGGAGACAATCCTGGAAGGTTTCAGGAGTTTTCAAAGACCTCTGGAGTAGTGTGATAAGACTACGGTGAACACCCTTCCAGCTTTTCACTCTTGATCCCTTCCGAGTATTTACACACAGGAAGATCAGCCGAGTGCAGATTTGAGCGTGGAATGCGGTGTTCTCATAGTCATCGCTGGTGACATGGGTTTCTATCGTATCAAGCAGAGGCCCGAAGGTATCGCTGGACGTATGATGGATAGTGTTGATTACTATCCCACTTAACACTTGTTGTGCTAGTTCGCTCTGAAGCTCCTCTTTTGATGATAAGTTGTCGAGAATACAGCGAAGGATGTCGGCTCCGTTCGAATGAATTCCTCCTTTTACTCCTTTTATAGCGTCGGAGAACATGACCATCAATCCTTCTTTGTACGAATCTATGCATCGTGAATCCTCCACTTCCCGAAGATCCTTGAATAGGAACGAAACGGCCCGCTCAAGAGGCAGCTTGTTCTTGTAGTACACAAGGCCAGCCTTGCGAATGAGGAACGACATGGACTCGGCGGCGAACCTGGCAACGAACGGTTTTTGGCGTTCCTTCCCTAGGTATGGAGCCATGATATTCAAGACGGGTGTCAAATCTGGAACGAGGAGTCGGGATAGAAATTTGAATATCCAAGCCAGGCAGGTGAAACTCCACTCGACGACCTCGACATTAGCATGAGATGCTGCAACCGACGCCACCAGAGTAACGGCCGACGCAAAGTATTTTTCAAAGCGGACACCCAGATCTCTGGCAAACTGAGCCAGCAGACTCAGCAGCGGTTCGATAGATAATTGATCTCTCTTATCGATATATTCCACCAACAGTCCCATTATCTTCTCTTCATGATATAAAATCTGCGGAAGACTCTCAGAGAGCGAATTCACTCGACGCACGAACTGGACAAAATTATCGGTAAGATTGAGCTCTCCCCAGTGCTCGAGAGATGATCGGAAATGGGAAAACGTCTCGTCGTCGCCATCTTCTTCTCCGAAACTTGGCCGGCGCACACGGTGGATCGGGTCGATTTTGAGTCGAGCGATGCGCTGGGAGAAGGGCTCGAAACGGTGTGTTTTCGCGGTTTCAGTTCCTTTTTTCACAACTTTTGCGGGCTTTCCCCGCGACCCAGAAGAAGCTGCCACCATCCTGGCACACCTGGGAACAAGTTGCACCGCTTGAGACGTGAGATCCAAGCCGCTCGAGAAATCCCCGAATCTTCAAAAAAGTTCATCGGTCGCGGGTGTAGTTTTCTCCGTGCGGAGATAGCGCCGGGCTTAATTTGTGCACGTACTAACCCTTTTTGGATATGATTTGTTCACGTGACGCTTGTGGCCCAAGCTCCTTACGTTTTATCCAAAGGCGGATGATGGCAACGAATAACTATCAAATGACAGCCATCTGAGTGGGATCTGAAGCATTTTCTGTGGCTCACAAACTACTAGTACTAACGCGAGTGTTAGCACTCTAGAAGTAGTTTCTATGGTGTTGCTGGTTTGACATCTCAAGGAAGTTACTTGTATGCTACTCGATCTACGGACATTGGCATTCACAGCATGCTTGCTTCGCAATAATCTACCCCATTGAAATCAGCAGAGTGGCTAGATAGACACCCAAGCGTCAGTTATGGCTTCCAAAATGTAAGTAAAACCCACTGCGCTTGTACTTGAAGTGTAAGTGACGCTCACACTTTTCTTTAGCGTCGTTGTTGGGAACGTGAATTGTGCCCTGCGAGAGGTCTTCACCAAGCTCGCTAAGCTGCAGGTGAAGCAGAATTTTTCGTTTGCTATTGTTGTTGGGGATCTCTTTGGGGATTGCTCCAGTGAGCAAGAGTTGGATGAAATCTCCGGCCTTCTACAGGGGAACATCGCCGTCCCCTTGCCAACTTACTTTACTATCGGCAGTCGTCCTCTTCCAACAAGAGTGATCGAAAAGATTGAATCGGACGATGAAGTCTGCCCGAATCTATATTATTTAGGAAAGCGCGGCACTTTAAAAACTTCTGAAGGTATTCGACTGGCGGCTCTTGGAGGAGAGCTACAGAGCAATCCAACTTCGGATCTTAAGAATACCGGCAAGTACGATCCTCACTATACAGAAGCTGATGCTCGAGCTCTCTTTGGCGTCCACAATGCCGACGTCTTGATTACCAACCAATGGCCCAAGGGTATCACGACCGGGTCCAAGGTATCTCTGCCAGAAGGCACAGCTGTTCCGGAGAGCGTGCAGTGCGTTGCTGATGTCTGCTCTACGCTGAAACCTCGTTATCATTTCTCGTCATCAGCCGACTTCTTTTTCGAGAGAGAGCCTTTCTTTCATATGCCTACTGAGGATGCACCTGATGAGAAACCTCTTACGCGCTTCATCAACCTAGCATCTTACAGCAAGACCACCAAGCAAAAATGGATGTATGCCTTTACATTGGATCCGAAGGCTCCTGTTCCGACCTCTGTCCCTGTAGGGGCTACAGCTACTCCCTTTTCAGCCGTCGCATCGAAGCGTGGGGCCTTGCAGAGTCAAACCGAATCATATCAGCGGTTTGCTCGTGAGGATAACCACCAACGACCGCGCAAACGTGCCAGGGGGCCTCCTCCCGGTCCTGGTGAATGCTTTTTCTGCTTATCAAACCCCAATATCGCGACACACCTCATAACGTCTATTGGGAATGAGTCTTATCTCACAACAGCAAAAGGACCTTTACCAACGCCACAGACATTCTCTCACCTTGGATTTCCCGGGCATATATTGATAATTCCATTTACACACTCTCCAACTTTCAGCTCCATATCCGACTCGGATTCCCGGCTGGGCACCTACAATGAAATGCAACGGTATAGATCATCCTTACATGCGATGCTTCGCACACGCGCAAAGGGCGAGTTGGGTGCTGTCACATGGGAAGTTAGCCGCGGAAATGGCATCCACATCCATTGGCAATTTCTGCCGGTGCCCTCAGACATGGTCAAGAATGGCCTGGTAGAAGCAGCGTTCAAAGTCGAAGCAGAAAATCTGAAATACCCGAAATTCGAAACAACGTCCAATGATGAGATCACTCCACCTGGAGACTCTTTCCGTGTCTGGATATGGACGCCTTCAGAAACGGGTACAGACACAGACGCGGAGGCGGGGGCTAGCGGTGAAAAGAAGGGCTCAGAGAAGAGCTTACTGCTTCCACTTAGTCCCGATTTCCGCTTCGACCTCCAGTTTGGGCGGAGGGTCATGGCCAAGCTTCTGCAGTTGGAGAAGCGGATAAACTGGAAGGACGACATTCAGTCCAAGGAAGAAGAGACAACTGACGCAGAGAGTTTCAAGCAGGCCTTCAAGGAGTTTGACTTTTCCCTTGAGGAATGAACCAGGACCCAGTTCATTGCCTTGATCATGTATAGTACTATATTCATTTGGTGTTGATAGAAGATCTATGTCTTTCATATCCTTGTCTCTCTGAGCTTCAAAACAGCGGCATGAGAAAGGAATCAAAACATCATAAAATACGTCATGCATTCTGCTCGTTCTACTACCAATTCAACAATCTCGCCCCATCTACAGTAAAGCCTCTATTTATGATAGGCAGCAGAATTGAAATAACCATAGAAATAATACCATGAGAGGGACAATCGCAAGGTGGTTCCCTACCGCTGCATTCCGGGAACAGAATTGTTGTCTCTTGTGTAAGTGAGCCCCTTTGTCACGCAATCGTCGTGTTGGTAATTTGAGCACAAAACGTCAAGTTAAGAACCTTGGAGGTTCGCGTGACCACTTCCCAACTAACTTTCCAGGTTAAAATCCCTAGTATTATTTTATACCTATCTTCTCGTCTACCTGTTCTTCATTCGATCATCATCTTGTCAAGCTAATCCCTGGTACCGAGTCCTGAGCAGTTCTACTTCATCCCGGAAACACATTCCTCTTAAGTACCTACCTATCCACTCAGAAGAAACAAACGGTATACCCCATATTCAATTCCTCATATTCGACCACTTCCAACTAACAAGCACAACCTGAAGAAAGAAACCAGACAGACACAAGTCTAAACTTTACAACATGGCAGAACCAAACGATCCCCTTCCCCAGGGATCTCCAGATTCCGAACCCTCGCCCCTGGCAGCCCAGAATATATCTATCCTGGACTCCGCCTCGAGCACCATTCGCCCCCGTCGCAACACGCCAATCACCAGCACCGCGGCGTACGCTTGGCTCAACGTACAGAGTCATCTGGAATATTATCAAATGTCAGCCACGCAGAATGCTGTAGCGGATCTTAAGCTTGCGCCGTCGAAAGATGTCGTCGGTCAGGTGAAGATAGAAGCTGTGAAGGAAGTAGCGGGAGATGGTATGACGAAGATCGCTTGATATGAGAGCTACGCGAAGCTTTGTGTGGGGTCCAGAATGATCTTTCGCGCAGATAGTCTGCTATCATGGTTACGGGCCTGTCAGTGATGGGATTCAAGACTGACTGTTGCTCGACTGGGTAATAGTTATGGAAGAAGGACCTCACGGAACACACAAAGGTATCTATGGGATTAGGCCAGTCATCAGTTCTCACGGAGTTTTATTACCTGTTTGGTATTGACATTATACGAAGTCATGAAATAGCAGCGGGAAATGCTATCAAAGGCAGAAACTTTATGGTTTCTTATTCGTGTCCATCATACATACATGTACTGTATTTCACTAAGAAGTTGTCATGAAAAGAAAAACAAAAAAAGCCATTCGATACTCATTCCTTCCTCCTTTCGGCCCGATCCTTACCCAATTTGACTCTTACTCTTTTGAAGGAGATTCAAGAAAAAGCAGAATTGAACGCATCAGCAGCAGCCTGACCAGAAACACCCGAGGCCGTCGCAGCCGTCTTACCAGCATTGCACTGGTCAACGACATCCTGACTAGCCTTGCACTTGCTGCTCAGTTGGCCGCAGATAAAGTCAGCGATGATAGCGATGTTATCTGCTGAGCCATGGTTGAAAGTAGCTTCATCTTCGGGCTCGAAGGAGTCCTCCGTACGACCATCGAAGCCAGGTCCGAAGACAATGAGCGGAGAGCCGCCAGCACATGAGCCCAGATCACCCGACACGGTACCTGTAGGGACAGCAGCAGCCACATTTTCAGTAGCAGTAGAAGTAGCTGTGTTTACTGCAGCGGTCGTGGCAGCCGTGGCTGTCGCGGGAGCAGCGCTTGCGGATGAAACAGCAGCATTGATCTCGTCTGCCGTAACGTCAGGCACCAGGAGATCCTGTGTGAAGATACATCCTTGAGCGTCATTCTGGTCGTCACCTGGAGTATGCGTTAGAATATCTGGGGAAGAAGAGAAAAAAAAAAAATCGCTGCCATGGTGACTTACAGGTGTTACCGGCTGCAGTAGGGTCACCGATCTGACCAGGGGCAAAAGTGCCACTGTCAATGGCCTGTTGAGGGTTACCTCCAATCGAGGCAATCTGCACAGCCAAATTCAAAGCAATCTGCTTATTCGTAGCAGCGGCGCCATCGGAGGCAGGGTCCTGATGCTGGGAGAGAGCAGCAATCTCAGGATTCGTAGCAGTCTCGTTGCAGAGGACACTCTTGAGACCCACGGAACCAGTGTTTCTCTCGAGAGTCCGGAAGATAAGAGCATTGGTCATTCCATCGACGTCACCAGCAGCCTTGGCGTTGGTGAAGGCCTGGTCAGCGACATCTTGCTGAAGGCAGTCGAGATTAGTGATGGAGCCAGCACCGGCCGCAGCAGCCTAGCTCGAGTTGTCAATATGTTACTACTCTCAGTCCAGAAGGGGGTCAAACATACTGCGTTTCCCAGCAGCGCAAAGACAGGGTCCTTAATGCCAGCAGGGTTGTTCAGGTTCAAAGAACTCGCAACAGAAGTAAGGATCTTTTCGTGCGAGTGTTCCTGTGGGACCTCGCGGTTCACAAGGTTGCTGATATGGCGTGAATCCAGCGGTCGAGCAGTAGACAGGGCCGCGAAGGCGAGAAACTCGAGAATCTGAACAGACTTCATGTTGTTTTTGACAATTCTCTTCGGTATGTAGGAGAACAGTTCGTAGCACGTCGTGAGGTTGTGTATATATATACAATGAAAAGAGGGCCGAACAATAAATTGATATCAGAGACCAGCTCTGAGACGATGTGAATATATCCCAAGTATACTTGTTGCTGAGCTCGTAGGCAGATTTCAACGGAGACAGAATGTCCAACGAGTGGCCGATAACTGGGTAAAGAACGGACGAAAAAAGCAAACAAACGAAAGTATAAGCGACTCTGTCAACCTGCTGGAGGATGATCAAGAGAAATCAAAGCGAGACCCCACGGCCATTATATACAAGATAGGGCTTCCCCAAGACCGCAAGCTAAATAGCCTCACATACAACTCAAACTGGTAAAGGGACAGAGACCCTGCGCTTGGACTGACTCCAAGGACATGGTCGTCTCTACCTGAGGCAATGATGCGGCCTACTCTGGCGCCGGTCATATTCTATAGTGGCCAATCGCCAAAGCCTCTCATCATTCGATGCTCTTTTCCTATAGCATTGAGGCTCCTAGCAGCTGTATGGTGTGCATAGGAGAGCCTCCTGGTTGAAAGATGAGGCAAAGTGAAGACGCCAGGAACCATCACGGACCATGTTAGCTCTATTCTATGGAGCCAACCGAGCTCGATTCATGCGAAACAGGCAGACTGGACTCTCGAATAAGAACACTGAAGGAGTCGAGGTTCGCTAAAACGTGATTCCAGACTTTCCTGCGACGTCGGGTGTATCGCGCTCGTCCCAGTTCGCCCGGACCGGCTGGTCTCACTGTCGATCCGGGCTAGGCTCTTCACAACCCTATCGAAGTCGCGCGACGAGTTCGTTAGCAAAATGCCAGAGTCATTTCCCCATTGGGGATAAAACCACGGATTCTGACCATATTATTCAGCAAGTGGTGTTTCCATTCATGGTGTTCCATGGTTGTTTCGGGCAGAAACTGGTGATTGTTGATCTCAAACAGGAGATCCTCTGAACAACTTCGGCACTGTTAGTTTCCGAATGGATGTCTGGGAGTGATTTTCGAAACAACACCAAAGCTGAAGATTCTGAATTCATTCAAATTATGGAATGGTCGTCATCCGATTCAGTTAGCCATTCTTTCTTTCATCTAGTTCCCAGTTTGGGACATTGTATAGTGCTCTCAAGTTTCGCAACTCAGCCAGACCCAAATAGCTATGGCGATGACATACGATAAAAAATGGACTTGTTTCAACCCCCATACAAGCAGTATATTTTCCCTGGTTAGTTAGTAAGTTATCTCCTATCTCCGTCTATTTACCGCTCGGCGCTGATCCTTTTCCATAAGTAAAACAAGGCAAGAATCAGACTCGGGTATTCCTGCGGCATATGAGGACAGTCTTCTATTCAATCTGCCGAGTTGAAGAGCTACATGCGCCCTGGACTCAACTAACGCTAACGGAAATTCTTATTTCGATCCATGCTGATAAATATTGAGAAAGCTGCTACAAGGACAGCGCCTGGTAAGTTAACTACTAGTCCGCTACCAGATCATCCGAATGGGGTTTCGTATTTTGCCCCATGTACGAGTGCCTACATTGGAGAACAAGCAGCAAGGCAGAGAACAGAGAATCTTTAATTCAATTCAATTCATGGATCTTCCAGGTCCCAATCATGCCTTCTGAAACAAAATACGTAAAAGCCGAATCGCACATCTGATGCGAATCGACAAAAAAGAGGCACTGGATATCAATCAACGATGAAGAAGGCGTCTTCAAAGGCTTCCTCGACTTCCACGGAGAAAAAGTAGTAGTAGTAAGACGCAGAAGTTAGTTCATGGTGCAGAAGAAGATAAAGCTCCAGAACTGGGCTCCCAAGGTGTATGTGCACTGGAATTCACGTTTTCGAGTCCCTGACTCCGACAATAAGTCCCAACATGAATAAGTAACCCAAGATGCGAGACCCAGATGCAGATGCAGAAAGGTCACGAGGGACCGACCATGGATCCAAAAGAAGAAGAAAAGATGAGCCATTGTCAATCCAATCCAAGACAAAGACGAAGTTGGGGGAATCGAACTGAAGCGATGAAAAACGTGATGAAGAAAAGCACGCAAACATGTCAAATGTCAGCAGGAAAGAAAGAACACCAAATATGAACCGCATACGGGCATCGAGTATAAACGCATCTTGCCATCATGCGATGATTCCACTTCAAGGGCAGGGTATCAAGACGGTTTCGTGTTTGTTTTGTTCCTTTTCACGTCATGGATATATAGTTCAAGACTCGTTGCTCTCTCGCTCAGACATTTCTCCACACGTTAATAGCGGGTTTGGGCCCCAGGTCTGGGTCCCGCCTGGAGCAGACTTGGGGGCCTGCCCGAGTCATATTCTTCATCTGAATGGGCCATTCCGATATTCGGGGGCGGTGATGAAGGTGCAGGTGGGGAGTATGCGGCGTAGGCTTGTTGGGGTTGTTGATATGTTGCGTAGGTGGGCTGCCGCTGGGGCTGCTCAGTTGCATAAGAAGGTGTATTCTGGTAAGGTGCCTGTTGAACAACGGGGAGAGATGGCTGACGCTGCTCAGGAGTGAACGCATGCGGAACAGGACCAGGAGCAAAGCCCTGCTGTGGTGGCTCAGTAGTATAGGATGGAGGCGCAGTGTCAGATGCATATGTTGGCCGTCTCTGCATTCCTCCATATGGAGGCTGCGCTCTGGGCGGCGAGACTGGCGACATATTCTGTCCATATGGTTGTGGACGATGGAAACTGGGAGCTCTCTGACGCCGATTCTGGTAAGGCGCGTCCCCTCTGAGCTCGGGCTGGGGGATGTAGGAATCCACAGGTGTTCCGTATGGCCTGCCAGGCCCAGGAGAGCGCGATTGCTGCGGTGGATATGCTACGCCGACGCTCGTATCCAGAGGTGGTCCATATGGCCTGCCAGGTCCAGGAGAGCCCGACTGTTGCGGCGGATATGGTCTGCCAGGCCCAGGAGAGCGTGACTGCTGGGGATATTGCTGTGGCGGATATGGCTGGACCTGTTCCATTGCTCGCTGCGGGGGATGATACCCAGGCTGAGGCGACGTCGGGTGTGAGGGAACCTGGTTATATCCTCCTGGGACCTGTCGTCCCGGACCATGTACCATATCAGTTGGTTGGGTAGACGGCCTGAGCTGGTCCATCTCAACATCCTCTTGAGGACTGGTGTCCTCGATCTTCCGCGTCAGCGCAGTCTCCCAGCTGGGCATTGGAGGCAATGCATCATCGTCCACTTTCTTGGATGGTGTTTCAAACGTAGCGAATTGAGCGACATTGGGAGCGGCTTGAGCACCGCGATAAGTAGGCGCAGCCGGTGCCTGATAACCCTGGGATGGAGGCGGCGGAGGTCGATGATACGAAGGATCATCCGCATATTGCGATCTCTTTCCTCCTCCTCCCCCTCCACCTCCTCCCCCTGATGGACAACAACAACTGCAGCAACGCAGACATCCCGTACAACACTTAACACCACAGCATATACAGCTAATCAGACACCACGCTATAGCAATAAGAATCGCTGCACCGACAACTATACCAACAATGACCGGCCATCTAGGTGATAACAGTCAGTTTCCATTACACGTCAAAATACAACGGGACATAGTCTGGGGAGATCTCATGAACATACTTGCAATAAGCCTTTTGCATACACTTATCCCAACTGGAAAACGTCGATGGTGCGCTCTCAACATCAGACGCGATGTTCCGCACCAACAGCAGCGGCATTGCGCCCACCGGACCCATGACTGTGGAGAGTCGGTAACCTTTCTGTTCCTGAATCCAAGATCCTAAAGCCAAGATGACCCCGAATAAAAAAAAAAGCTTCGGCTCGATCTTCTAAATCGACCCCTAGGCAATAATGCAGATCCTACTCCTCAAATTCTACAGCGTATTGTTTCCCTTATGCTGGGCCTCCTCTTCAGCGGGACCGATCGAGATGTGATATGATCGGGCAGATCTCCACCGGAAATGTGAGCTGTGTAGAAGCTATCCACACCGATCGCGACGCCGATAGGGTACCAATTGAGTAGATCGCCGATTTGAACCTTTTGAGATCTCCCTGCGATCGAACGAATCGCTAGTATCTCTATCACCGGGATCGGTTCATAACGAATTAAGCGCCGTGGGGAAAGAATAAAAAAAAAACCAAACAGAGAGACGGAGACGCAGAGCCAGGGTTGATTGCGCAGTTCGGCTTGTGAAGGGAGAGGTCAACAAACCCGCGCGCGGGTGAAGGGACTTGTGTTTCAGATGGTACCAGATCGAAAGGAAATGAGAGCTTTCAAATAGAAACAAGGCGCAGCAGTGCCAGCAACACTTGTGTTAAGTTCGAAGACGACGCAGATGATTGCGAGTTGTAAGTGAACGACTAACACGAGCTCTTTTCTCAAGAGAGCTGATGGTGTTTTTTTTTTCCGGGGAAGCACAGCCTCCTTGGTGTTTGTAACGCAGGAATGTCGCCAAGCAGTTTCGCAAAGGAGGGTCAGTCAGTTAGCTGGGAGGAATGGCTTCCAGCATCAGAAATACGAAGAGAGAGTGAAGAATAACAACAGCAACAACACAGTCGCATCAACGACGGGAAAATCAATTCATGAACAAGAGAGAGAGAGAGAGAGATACTAAGGGGGAAATTGAAAAAGTCACGTCAAGCAGGAAGATCATCACGACCAGCTGCCGTGTGAAATCGCTCACCTTGCTTTTCTTGCCAGGGGTAACTAATGAAGATTTCCCCTCTTCTGCCTCGGCGAGGGTTTTGGGGCCGCAATCAGCAACTACTAATTACTTAGTGACCGCTACTAAGATACGATAGGGATCGAAACGCCAATTGATTAATCCCCGCGCCCTTTATTTTTTTCTTCTTGTGTGGCTTTTCGACTGGGCTTAGCAATCGAACCATGGCTTGAAAGTTGAAGACTCTACGTGCATCAATCAATGAGAAGCTCAAGCCAAGCCACATTATTCGCGCCTTTCAGAGCGTATCCATCATTATTCCTTCTCTGGGCGCGCCATGATTTAAACTAGCGGTCCTGGCGCGATGCATACACGGAACGCCACTCTGCCTTTTTCGCTGATCGCTAACTCTGCCGGTCTTCTCTGTCCCACAAGCCAGTTCCAGCAATTGGGCGCTCGGGGTCCGTTTTGGCGCCAAAGATCTAGTAAGCGCGCGCGGTCTGTGGGGAATTTGGACTTGGAGTAATACATATCGCATTGAGATCGTCCATGGGAGAAAAGTTTGCGTTTGAATTTGGAGAGGAGATGACTAGTCTGGTGTCTGTCTGGAAGGTTGCAGTGGGTGAGAGTTGTGGGTGTCCGGTGAGTTTGCGGGTTACAGCGCTTCAGTGTTGAGACGAGTGTCGTCGATTGTATTATATATACATGCTGGAGGATATTCTTACGGGCCATGGACCTCAATGAATCCAAGTATGCAGATGTGGCGTTGGCGATATGTGATTTCGTAGACTTGATTCCCTAGACACAAGACACAAACACAATAAAAGTGATCAAACGGAGCCAGAAGGGATCGACGATAGAAACATTGATCCTAACTCATGGATATCGAAGGATTATGAACATGAACCGGAGATGTGCAGTCTTTTTATTTGAAACAGAACGCGAATTGATCATAAAGCCAAACCTCAAATGTAACACCGACCGAACCCGAAGATATGCTGAGAGGACAGAATGCCGCCAGACCGTATGCCATGGACTCGTAATAATATATAGGAGAAGGAATGTCGTGAACGTAAATGGGTGTTTTTGGAAGGAGTGCAGGTCGAAATCCTCTCGACCGTGATATTTTTCATAGTTTTCATTTTTTCATCTGCAAAAGATGCCAGGCCACTGCAGGAATTTCACTCCTTTGGCGGAGGAGGTCCCGGAGGAGGTGGATATACCGGGTCCCCAGCATGGTAGACATTCGGCGGCGGTTGCAGCTCAATGCCACTCTGCTGCTGTCCACCAAAGTATCCCTGTTGCGGTGGAGGTGCGTAGTACGACGGAGCAGGTGGAGGGTTCGGCGAATACTGCGGTGGCGGGGGATAGTTTGGATCCGGATAATACTGTGCTGGAGGAGGCCCTGGAGGAGGTGCCATCCATGCCGTGCCTGGTAGAGGATTCTGTCCGTGTCTGCGGCGACGACGGGCGTTGACGCATCTGTCACGCGAGGGTCAGTATGAGTTCCTGTCTACTGGAAATATAGACCATCAAAGGATCGAGTCACACATACGTGATAACGAAGAAGACGATAAAACCAAACGCAACGATGACCGCGAGGACAACCCATCGGCCCCAGTTCGACCACGGTGAAGAGCAGTTGCCGCTGTCATAAAAACCGCCGTCACTGTGAAGGTGTATGCGTTAGCAAGATGTGATCATCTCTAGCTCCGATCTGCTCCAAGAGAAGGATAATAGATTCGCCATCGGAGGGTCAGTGGCTGGAACATACCAATAATATTGACGAGGTAATAGGACGCCCATCGTGGATGCTCGTGAGGCTGTACGGAATAGCAGAGGTGCCGTCGACGATGCCTAGGCAGAAGGCAGAAGAAGCGTTGTCGATTGAAAAGCGAGAGAGATAAAGAGAGATAAAGACACCAGAGCTAGGGTGGAAAACTGATGATCCCACGCTCTCCACCAACGAATCGAAATCGCAATTCAGGCGATCGATCAGGCGACAGTGATTGTTCTCAGAAGCGCTGCGCTCTCAAGCGAGGGAATGTGAAGGTATTATTAGTTAAAGGCTGAGGCGTTGACTGTGGCGGAGCCTGACTTTCCCAGCCCTTTGACTTCCGGATGCGTGGAGTTTATTAATCACCCCCGACATCCGGTTTGCTCTTCCGCGCGTATCTGTTTGTTGGAACCAAGTTATTCTTATTGCCAGGAACCGAAGTCTGGGTAATATTATTATTAAATAACTAATTGTTTGGGGGCCTTTCGATCTACTATGTATCATATCATATGCGATACACCGCACTTTTCACTTTCGGTCTAGCAGTTCCGAGAAAGGGCTACTCGATGGTATGTCGATTAGCAAGCTCCAGCTGGGTCTACTCTAAAGTACTAGACTATGCGCCCACAGTGCCTTTTGAGGCTTTGACTATCGATGGGGGAATGGGGAATGGACGATCACAGATATTCTAAAAGAATCACATTGTCTCTCCTCGTATTGTCGGGTCAGGTTGGTGAAGAGTGCAAAGGCCATCCATCACTCTGTGTAAGTACAGAGAAATTAGTCAATCCATCGCTGAGAAACATCTGTCTAATTATATCATCCCTCCCAGGTCGTGCTCGAAACCCTCCGAACGTTCCGTCGCCAACATGATATCACGATGCTGGTCAGTGTGTCTCTTACGGCCCCAGTCCTGCTGGATACCCGCGAGACACCGTCGCGAGACCGTCTGCTTTAGTAGCATGCAAGGATCACTGATCCCCAAGGTTGCCGCCACACCCACCAGCCCATCTCTGGAAGGCTCATGGAATTCCACTTCTGCCGCGGAGGCTTTTGGTGGATGAAGCCCAGCCACAACTGTCCTCAGCGCCGTAACAGGAGGGGCTCATGACCGCATATTATTACTCTAGACTAGCATCTAGATGGACGAACGCGACAGAGACAGCACGGGTGAGAGTGATCGCCCCAGACTGCAAGCAGAGTGCCCCGAATGGCCGAGTTCTGGCCCCCCAGGGATCGCGTGTGCAACAACCAGCCAGTGCTGGCCAGAGTCTGGTACGCAGGGCTTAGTTCCCGTCTTTCCATATGCAATGCCAACGCATCACTTGGTCTGTGTGGCCTCATGGTTGCTCGCGATTCAGCCGTATATATTGAGAACTGGCGCTGTTGTCGCTCCCTTTTTCTATCAATCCAGATCTTTGGCGGTGATATCTCACCTGCTTGAAGTACTGATGAAGCCTGGCGCAGTATTCTGGTCTACACTATTCTATACTGCCCGGTCGCGTTGTCGATCGTCTCCCGATGGGGGCTCCCTTCGGCAAAAAACTCCTGGGTTGATACGAGCAGCGCCCCGGCACGAATGCGTGAATGGTTCATAATAATAGTAATGAGAACAACCGCGTCTTGGTTTTAAAGCAACGTCCCCCAGGATTTCTTTTACTAATTGAACAGTCAAAAGCCCCGAACTCGTACATACTGACTTGGATCATTATCTGACTGAGCCAGTCATACTAACCTACAATCTGTCCCGAACACTCTTCTTCGAATCATTCGCCTGGAGAAGACTGAAAACAAAAAAAAGCTAACTTGCTTACAAGGTCAAAACGAGCGATCAAATAACAGAAATAAACAGGAAAACGTTTGCCGTGAATCCGAGAGCCATACCCAAAGGTGGACCACCATCGCTGGTGGGCTGTTGCCACCCCATGCGTCTTTGAACATGATCGTCAACGTCATTAAAACCGGGGCGGAAGCAGACATAAATAGAGAGATACAGGAAAGAAACAAGGTCGGAGCCATCTACGAGACATCAGCCCCAAACAAAGAGGCAACGCTCCCCCTGTGGCCGCCGCGGTGTTGATACGCGCACGTGATTCCCAGCTCATCTGTTCGCTCGGGCGATCAACCAATGCAGGACCGCGTCGAGATTCGTTTCCTCTTTGGCGCTGATTCCATAGCAGCTGACCTCACGATGAGTGATCGATTTTAGATCCATGGCGTCAATCAGTTCGTCGACAGACAGCTTGTCCGGCAGATCAGACTTGTTTCCAAGAACCAACAGCGGGATGCCATCAAGACTGGGTTTGCTCAAGAGCTCATGCAGCTCTTCGGTCGCGACCGGCAAAGCGGCCTTGTCGGCAGCGTCGACAATATATCTGTTGTGAGACCGTCAGCACAGGGAGTTTTGATCAGTACGGAAAAGAATGTTCATACACGATGGCGTTGACTCCACGGCAATATCGTTCCCACATTGGCCGAAAGCGTGGTTGACCACCGAGATCCCAACTAGGAAACCGTCAGATGGAGGGTGCTCGCAAGGCGTCGAAGAAACCAACCATTTCAGAGTGACATGACCCTTTTGGACTCGTTTGGTATTGAAACCGATCGTTGGAATGGAACTACAGGAACTATAGTTAGGTCTGAAGATTGAAGACGCAGGCAAACATACTCCACCGTGAACTCGCCGCCCTGTTGCGCTTTTCGTTAGTCTCGCTCGAGGACTCCGCAGATCAGATCGCTCGAGAACTCACCGCCAGAACTCGCAGCAGGGAGGATTTCCCGGCGTTCTGGAGTCCTATCATGGTCACATCCATCTCTGTCGCCCTGTCGGCCCCAAAACGGCGTTCTCAGCAAGCCGAACTTTCTTTCTGCGGGGACGGGCCGCGACGGAAGCCCACTTACCAAAACATCCTCAGGAGCCAGTCATAGATGCTCCGAAAGATTCCTGCCATTATGAGTGATGTCCGGACGGTCTGACGCAGACCGCGCGAGAAGCCAGTGGAAGGGAGCAAGAAAAGAAAAAGCGAAAGGAGAAAAGTCTGTGTGCGCGAACCGGTCTCGCTATCAGAACAGTAACACCCCGGGTGGACTGGGCTTGGGGTAAGGGCTGGTGCACAGATGCTGGAAAAGAGGGTGAGGATCTAAGGCTATTTCAAGCGGGGGTAGGGCGATGGAGGCCACCGCCGCATGTACAAGTACAGAACGTGCGTAGAGAAAGGCAGACCGGACGAGAAACGGCAGCCTGGAGGTGAAGCGGGCTGAGGACGAGGAAAAAAGGCGGCGTAGAAATAATGGATGGAAAAATAAACCTAGGATCAGCAACAAGATAGGCGGAGATTGCAAGACGTTTCGCGACCAGCGCCAGCGGACATCCGCTCTGCTTGGACGGGCCCTCTTTCTAATTGACCGTTCTTCTGTTCTGCGATGAAACTGAACACTGCGATCTATGTGCACACATGACCGACGACTTGCGCCGTCCTGGAGGGGAGAGCGCTTAGCTTCTCCCGGGGGGTTGGACTTTCGGCCGTCTCTGTGTGATCCTGATCCTGGCTGGCTTCAGCTGCTCAGCGAATATGAATTCTTTCTTTTCTGTTTCTTTTCTTTTCTTCACCCGTGCAACGGGCGCGTAACAGTTGGTAGTAGCCGGAGTTCTCCAGAAGAGCCTCTGCAAATCCGTGAGAACCTGCTGGATGGCAGCGCGAGTGTTGTTCTCCGTAGGCTTCTTCCTGGGCCGTGAGCTGCACTTCTCGTCTGGCTGGCCAAAGAGAAGGGCGTTTGATCCCTCTCGAGGTCTGAGGGGCTTGCGGGCGCTGGCGCTGCGACGGGCTCAGGCGCTAGATCTAGCAGACGGCGAGACGCCCGAGGTCAACGGCGCTAATTAATATAGCTAGACAATAATTCGATAGATGATTGTTCCTACGACATTGTCGCCGGTCTCTGGGGGCGACTTGGCTAGCCGTCGTTGGCCTGAGCCGATGGCCTTACCGCCTCAGGCATACAATGTTATATTATGTAATACAGCCTATCAGCACGTGATGATAGTATCCCGGCTCCACCGAAAAATTTCCCCGGTCTTCAATTTGAATTAGAGAAGAACTGGCACTTGCTCCAGCAGACACCACCGCCAGAGCCTGTGTCGTCTGTCCTGTTCCCGTACGGTCGGGACTGAAGACAATTTATTGTTTGATTGCATTGACCAGGTTCTGGAACGGACTGCTGGGAGGTGTTACTCACAACTGGTGCCGCAACCAGTGCTTTGCGATATCGCGACTCGTTTTTCTTTTCTCTTTCGAACCCTATATTCAACCGACACCATAGACCACCAGCATGGCTCCCTCTGCCACAGACACAGAGTGGACCGTCGGGTTCGATACTCTGCGTCGTGAGCGCCTCTTCAGACACCCCCCAAAGGACAAGACGGCATTTCCTTCTCTGGCCGCAGCCATCCGACCGCATGTCGATTCTTTCAATGCGCTCTTCGAAGGCACCAAGACCCTGGAGGCTGCATTGAAGGATATTGGCACAAAAACCTTCCTAGACGGCTTCCCGGAGACCGCTGAGCAGCGAAAGGTCCGGCTGGCAGAGGGCAGAAAGGCCCCAAAGCGGAACCGTCTCAATGTTCGCGTCAAGGAAGTGTTTTTGGAAAAGGCTGTGCTGCCTCCCTCGAACAAATTCACGACCCGTAACCGAAACATCTATCCAGCGGAATGCCGTGAGAGACATGCTACCTATCGAGGCAAGCTGCGCGCAAGGCTCGAATACCAGGTCAACAATGGCGACTGGCAGGAGAGCATCCGGGAATTGGGTCAGGTTCCCATCATGCTGAGGGTAAGGAGCCATCGCAATATTCCTTTTGGCGCCAGTGATCTATTCGATGCTGACCGTAACAGAGCAATCGCTGCCACCTCGAGAATGCGACTCCGCAAGAATTGGTTGATCATAAGGAAGAATCGGAAGAACTGGGCGGTTATTTCATCGTCAATGGTAACGAAAAGCTGATTCGAATGCTGATCGTCTCCAAACGCAACTACCCCCTGGCTATCATCAGAAACTCGTTCGTGAAGCGTGGTCACACATACACCAAATTCGGTATTCAGATCCGATCGGTCAGACCCGACCAGACCTCGCAGACCAACGTCCTCCACTATCTGAGCGACGGAAACGTAACCTTCCGTTTCTCGTGGCGCAAAAATGAGTACCTCGTGCCGGTCATGATGATTCTAAAGGCTCTTGTCGAGACCAACGATCGCGAGATTTTTGAGGGTATCGTCGGAGGCTCCAATTCCAAGGGCATCAACAACACCTTCGTGACGGACCGTGTGGAATTGCTGCTGAGAACGTATAAGGGATACAATCTGCACAGCCGATCGGCTGTCCGTTCTTACTTGGGTGAGAAGTTCAGACCAGTCCTTGGTGTCCCAGAAGATATATCGAATGAGGACGTCGGAACTGAATTCTTGCGCAAGGTTGTCCTGCCCCATCTGGGTAACCAGAATGTCACCGAGGCCCAGGACCACGACAAATTCAAGATGGTTATGTTCATGATCCGGAAACTCTACGCGCTGGTTGCTGGTGACTGTGCCATGGACAACCCCGATGCCATCTCCAACCAGGAAATCTTGCTGGGAGGATTCTTGTACGGAATGATCCTCAAGGAGAGAATCGAGGAGTGGCTCAGGTCTCTCGGTCCTATTGCAAGAGATTGGTGTATGCGGAACAACGGCGCAAAGTTCACTGACCCGGCGTTCGAGAGGGATTTCCTCTCAAAGATTGTGAAACGCTCCAACGAGAACATTGGAGGCGCTCTGGAGTATTTCCTGTCGACGGGTAACCTCGTGAGTCCGACTGGTCTGGATATGCAACAGGCTTCGGGTTATACGGTTATGGCAGAGAAGATCAACTTCTACCGTTTCATCAGTCATTTCCGCATGATCCACAGAGGTAGTTTCTTCGCACAGCTCAAGACTACAACCGTCAGAAAGCTATTGCCCGAGAGTTGGGGTTTCTTGTGCCCTGTTCATACCCCCGATGGTTCGCCCTGTGGTCTGTTGAATCATCTTGCGCACAAGTGCCTTGTCGCAACCGATAATCTTGAGGTGTCACACTTGCCCAGAGTACTCGTCCAGCTTGGTGTGCGTTCTCATTCATCTGTCGCAGTCGATGAAAGTGTCGTCGTGCAGTTGGACGGACGCATTATCGGTTACTGTTCGCCAGAGCAGGCTAAGATGATCGCCGATACCCTGAGGTACTGGAAGGTGGAGGGTTCGCACAATATTCCCCGCGAGCTGGAAATCGGTTATGTTCCCAACTCGAACGGCGGTCAATATCCGGGTATCTACATGTTCTCCCAGGCGGCAAGAATGTTCCGTGAGGTCAAGTATCTGCCCCTGGAGAAGCTCGACTATGTCGGACCCTTTGAACAGCCATTCATGGAGATTGCATGCCTCAAGGAAGATATCATTTCCGGTCTTTCCACTCATATCGAATTCACTCCTACCAACATCCTCTCTATCGTGGCCAACATGACGCCCTTCTCCGATTACAACCAGTCTCCTCGAAACATGTACCAGTGCCAGATGAGCAAGCAGACTATGGGTACTCCTGGAACTTCCATTGCATACCGCACAGACAACAAGCTCTACCGACTACAGACAGGTCAGACGCCTATCGTGCGTCCCCCGCTCTACAATGCCTACGGACTGGACAACTTCCCCAACGGCACAAACGCTGTTGTTGCTATCATTTCATACACCGGTTACGACATGGACGACGCAATGATCATCAACAAGTCCTCTCACGAGCGTGGGTTCGGTTACGGTACGGTATACAAGACCAAGATCCATTCTCTGGATGAGAAGGACTCTCGACGAGGAAAGTCAAGACGCGAAGTAACCAAGCTATTTGGCTTCGCTCCTGGCGACCTGATCAAAGCGGAGTGGCGAAAGACCCTCGATGAAGACGGTTTCCCACACATTGGTGCTCACGTCAAGGAGGGCGATTATATTGCGGCGTGGCATAACGTCCGGTATGATGCTGCATCAGACTCGTACATAAATGTTGACGGTCAGACGCACTTCATGAAGTTCAAGGACGCCGAAGCGGGCTACATTGACAGCGTCCGCATCATGGGTGCCGAAAGTGGAACTGAGCCTTGCCAGTCCATCAGTGTGAAGTACCGCATTCCCAGAAAGCCTATTATCGGTGACAAGTTCTCCTCCCGTCACGGACAGAAGGGTGTCTGCTCTCAACTGTGGCCCGCTATCGATATGCCTTTCTCTGAGAGCGGTATCCAGCCTGATCTCATCATCAACCCTCACGCTTTCCCATCTCGTAAGTTGATCATCCCCAGGAAACCCCGTGAGAGGACATTCTACTAACGCTCAACAGGTATGACAATCGCCCAGATGATCGAGTCCATGGCTGGCAAGGCCGGCGCCCTGCACGGTCATCCCCAGGACTCGACACCTTTCCAGTTCTCCGAAGAGAACACGGCGGCCGACTACTTCGGCCACCAGCTCCGCAAAGCAGGTTACAACTACCACGGAAACGAGCCCATGTACAGTGGAATCACAGGTCGCGAATTCGCCGCGGACATCTACCTGGGTGTCGTCCACTACCAGCGTCTGCGACACATGGTGAACGACAAGTTCCAAGTCCGTACCACCGGTCCCGTCAACGGCATCACCGGCCAGCCCGTCAAGGGTCGTGCCAAGGGAGGTGGTATCCGTGTCGGAGAGATGGAGCGTGACTCCCTCCTCGCCCACGGCGCTGCATTCCTTCTTCAAGACCGTCTGATGAACTGCTCTGACACTCAACGCGCCTGGATCTGTCGCTCTTGCGGCTCTTTCCTCTCCGCCCAAGTCGCCGTCGCTAACGTCGGCTCCAACAAGGGCCGCAACCCCGGCGCCGCCGCTGCGGCCGTCAACGCTGCTCCCAACCAGCCCACTTCCACCGCGGGTGTCGGTGCCGTTGGCGGCGTGGCCGGCATCGTCCGCTGCAGACGCTGTGCGCGCGAAGCAGTCTTTGAGGACTCCCGCGCCGATATCTGGGAGGATGGCAACGGCAAACGCTTCGTTGGCGGAGATAACGTTACGGTGGTCGCGGTTCCCGGTGTTCTTCGCTACTTGGACGTCGAGCTGGCTGCTATGGGCATTCGGATGAAGTTCTGGGTGGAGAATTAACCTTAAAATAAAAAGAGAAAAGGCCAGGAGGCCACATAGAAGAAGAAAGGGAAAAAAAAGATTATATTCAATCACGCATGATAAGATAAGATGGTCCCCCAAAAGAGCATATTGGAAAGGTGTTTTGCAAGTCCTGATTTTTTCTGTCTTGCGTCCTGTGTGTAAGGAAAGTGTTTATTTGTATCTAGATATCTATTCGATCTTGCCAGAGCAGCAAAATCCCTCTATTCTAGTTTAAGAAAGATCTCTCAAACGCAGTAAGCACACACGAATGTGTTAGGTATTATAACATCAAGTGGACACCGGACAGCCTTTCGCTGGTCCCATCTCTACGTAGAACTAATACAACAACACAGGAACAATCCTCCGAACATTAGTCTCCCCGTCCAATGCAAGATGCCGTATTTCATAGCCATCACTTAAAATTTCATCAATCTCATCCCCCTTCCCCGAAGCATGAAGGATCCTCGCAATACTCGCATGAGTCTCTAACAATACCCGACTAGGAAGCTCGCAATCACTATACTGTTTGAAGGTAATAAACCGATCACCATTTGCATCCGGGACAGGTAGATCTCTTGCATACCTGCCCGGCAATTCCAAGGTACACGATGATCTTATACGTATGATCATCAGCCTAGAAAGTGAATAAGTAAGTAAATATTATCTCTTAATTCATGTCAGGAGACTGAATGCACACATACCGTTGGCTCCAAGGCCATATGTAGCTTCCCGAACTGCGTGCTAAAGATCTCCCATAGCGTCATGATGTTTCTTGTTTCGTTTGTCTGGTATGGGTCCATAATACCTGCGAGGGATGGAAAGAAGAGAAATAGAGAAGCCCATAGCTTGGACAGTCGATCTTTCTGTGAATTAATTTTAGAAGATGTTAGAGATCCAGGCAGACCAACAAGGAGTTCTCCTTTTTGGTCGACTGGCAGAAAGCCATCAGAAGATAAAAACCAAAGTGAAGTAAACGAACAAGAACAATACCAACCCGTTGACGATTTGAGCAGTGCCCTAACGCATATGGGATGATGTGGCACGCGCGAGTTTCTATGAAGTCCTCCTTCTGGAAGGTGATGTCGGGAAATCTGTTTTTAGCCTCAACATCAGGTAAGCGAGTAAGCATGCATCGATATTCGTCTCTTTCAGAACAGCGTTTTTCAACATCATCATCAGGCCGGGTTCCCTCCCTACTAAGAGGAGAGGGCTCTACCACAGGTGTCTTTGCTCCACAGGCTTTAACTATTAGATTAGGTCAAAATCAGCTAATTGGCAGGTAGATATAAGAATACTTTTTTTTATCAGAACAGAACTTACACGGAGCCAAAAGAGTCGTATACAGATAATCTGCAAGAGAACGAAGAGCACCAGCATCCTCAGATCCAGCAATATACCTGACTAAAACCTCTCTACCTTGATCACGGGGCAAATGATCAAGAAAACTCTTCAATATTAAACCCGTATCATCTGTACGTGAGCTGGGTTTAAACTGAGATAGTTTCTGCTCAGCTTGTTCTTCCAAGCCGGCTTCTGGAGAGAATGTTTTCGTTTCGATAATACCGGCCGTAAGCCCTGTCTCTTGTATTGTTTCGTCTATCTGCTTCACTTTTGCTAGAGCGTCAGAAGCAAGGAAGGGACGAGTACTAAATATATTGGTAGGGTTAGGAGGTGTTTTAGATAACTCGGTGTTTAGAGACTGTAACCGTGCGACCAGATCGGCGTCGTCGAAGTCAGACATAGCGAACGTGGATAGTGGTATATTTGAAGAGGAAAGGGGAGCTTTGAAGTATATTCCACTTGCAAGATCACTGCGTAAGCAAAGCTGAAGGTGACTCAAAGGATAATAATGGCTTTCTGCCAGTCGACCAAAAAGGAGAACTCCTAGTTGATCTGCCTGGATCTCTAGCAGATAAAATAACCCAAAAGCATGACGAAAAGGATGAAGAGAAAGAAATAGCGAGGGAAGTAACATGCAAGAAAAATGCAAAAGTCCCCTTAAAGGAGAATGTCACATAGTCACTGTGATAGATGAATGTCTCGCGTCGAACCAGGGAGGTACATACCGGGTAGGAGTAGTAGTATTCATTCACGTCCGCGGGGCATACCTGGTTGACCTCCCATAGGGTATAGCGATGTGCTAAGCTATGGAATTACGTACATAAGTGCAACCTTAGAAAGCAATTCTGGGTTAAGCTCTGCGACATGTACCTAGGTAGGTTAAGTTAGCTTAGTTGGTGCTGGTGGGAGCCTGGAGGCTAGATAGGAGAAGGAAATGGATTTTCTTCTATCTTCATCTCTCGCCTTTCGTGATCAAAGGCGGAATCTACGAATTCGCGTCTAATAAGACTTGCTATGCTCTCCCGTACGGTCATGTCATTCGTGTTGCAACAGCATGTGACACGGTATATATAAACATTCGTTTTCTACTAAGAATTGCGTTCTTATTAAGAAAAATAGCTGTATAGATTATACAGCATTGGTCATTCCTCTCATCTAACTATCCTGCGACATAACTAGAAAGAAACGGCAGGGAGGGAAATTTATAGCTCCGCCGTGACATTAGAGAATTCACCCTTCTCCAACTTCGTCTTCCAGAAGATGGGGTTGGTGTCGTCAAAGCCGTGGTGGACCCATCCTTCCTCCTTGACGTGGTACAGGTTAATGAAACCACCGGAGTACGCATCTCTGTGCGTAGCAGCCAGGATACTTCTCCTTCCGAGCTCCAGAGCCTCTTCGGTCGTCAGGTCGTAGCGGTACTCAGCGTCCAGCACACCGTAGGCGAAGGTCTGACCGGACCCGACACAGAACAGGTTGCCTGGCATCCGTGTTCCGTCGGAGTCGATGTAGTAGAGGGCAGGTCCTTCTTGCGGCGTCATCTGCAATGGATGTCAGTATCGACGGTGTGGAGACACGGAAAGCGGTTTGACATACGCCTGCCAACATGGTTCCCATGCTCAGTCCCATTCCCTTGTACGAGTAGGTGAGGTTTGCGAGGATCTTGGAAGCGGCAGCGACAGTGATACGGCGCTTGTGTCGCAGCTCTGTTGTCCCGTTAGGTTATCTGATATCTGGAAAAAAACGATAGAATATACTGACCATGAAGCGTGCACTGCTGACCCAAATATCGCAGCCAGTACTGGCAGTCCTAGTAACAAGCATACCCATCAGCGTCCCACAACCCACAATATCTTATATTGGAAGGTTGAAAATCGGAGTCCAAACAACATACCGCCGCACCACCAGCCATAGTGCCCAGAAGACCCGGGACAGGCTCGTCCTTCGGCCTGTCACTGTCCAACGCCAGACTCAACCGCGACACGGGAATGACCTTCTTCACTGTCTGACTGGCAATCCAGTTTCCTGCCGTAGCTCTCGAATCCGTAGCAACAATCTAACCGCGATCCATCAGTATTATATAACCGGTAGGGTAGCGGGGCCTAAAACGTACGATTCCATGCTGGAATCGGAACGCCAGTGTCGTCGTTCCGTGAGCGAGTTTTATGGGACAGCTTGGATTCGAGTGGTCATCTGTCATAGCACGAAGAAAGGCAGAGGACTAGATAGATGTCAATAACTGTCAGTCTATGTTTCCGTAATTGTGCCTTCCAACTGAGAGTAGCAGCCACGTCTGCAGGTTGGAAGAGTTGAGTCTGGGCGACCTACATTATCAACAGGAGGAAGATCGAACTTTAGAGATAGCGGTGGGAGGCTCTCTGTGAGGTTGCGCTGCTCTTCCTCTGAATAAGACTCATGCTGGAAGGGCGAGCGAGTGTACTGGGCGACTATCGTATCCATGACGGGAGGGACAAGCGCGGCGAGGATGGCAGGGAGAGGTGTAAAGACGTAGCAAAGAAGATGATGTACAGGCGACACGATGTAGTGTCTGGATTCGTGAAAGGAGACTGAATTGAAGCTCTAGCGGAGCTCCTGGTGATGCTGGAGCTCCGAGCTTCGCGTCACAGCTGGCGCCTGCCACGTCACGTGAACGAATTGCTTATCTAACCATGTCGATAACACTCGATTTCAGACGCTAAAAACGAGGAGAGCTCATCTCTATTCTGTAACTACTCAGTGTCTTCAAATGAATATTGACGAAGAATTGTAATCCACTAGGTCAATTAAATGATAGCCTCTAGCCTGGAAGAGGAGAAATCGTTACTTATAACACGAAAGCTAACTTTGCAAACCTCAACGCATCGCGTCCTCCACTAGTTACCATTATGAACGATTACTACTAATGCAATACAGAACCTAAACAGACAGGACGATAATACAACGTTAGACTGTGGGCTCTAGTCTTGAGCCGCTTGGCCTTTCTGTTGTCGTGCTAGCCGTCGTTGACTGGGTCTCCTCCCTTTGATGGGTAACTCTCTCCGCTGCTCCATCAACGTCCGCGACAGGAGCAGGAGTACCTAGGATCGTATCTTCTGCCTGCTCCCCTTGCTGATTAGCAGATCCGGGCATCAAATTCGATGCTAACTCTCCTCCGCGTTCGACTGGCTCGACATGGGGCTCCCAAGCACGCAGCTCATTGTCCGCATCCTCGAGAATCTGGCGTGCGTCATTTCCGCGTTCATATGGCTGCCGCGGGTCCCCAGGAACCACAGGGGTATCATCCAGCAGATTCAGCAGTCGACGGCCTTGGCGGGCAAGAATGATCTGCTTCTCAGCTCGTTCGATTGTGGCGGCCAGATGTAAATCGTAGGCCTCCTTCAGCTTTTGTCTTGTCTATCACGCAGGGAAATCAGTCGATTGCCGCAGGATGAGCACACTATCAGAGAAAACATACCACATTGGTCAACTGAGCCTCAGCGACCAGATTCTGGGCCTCTGCCCTGACAAGTTCCTGTTCCAGCGAAACCAACTTGGTGTTCGTAGGATCCCTATATTTCAGCTTCTGAATCTCATCCTGGATCTTCGCTCTATTGTCGCGGGAAGGCTGGACAGAGCTCTCCGTATTCCGGATCTGCTTCAGGATACTACGGTAATCCTCCAGGTTCTGCGCAAAGTAGTCTTCCTGCTCTCCAATTTCTGCAAGCAGGACGCCCAGCTTGTCTGAGATATCCGAGACAGCGTCATCTCCCGTGGTTTCACCCCAGTCCGACAGCTGAGCTGCGATGGCGACACGCTCGCGCCCGGCGGATTCGTAGCCTCCGATGACCACATTCTCGTTCTTGATGATCTTGTATAGCTTTTTGCTAAGCTCAGGCTGCTGCATACCTCGCAGAGTTGCCATGGAGAAGCGATGCCGACCAGGTCCTCTCTCGGACTGGTTCCTGGTTCGGACAGACAGTGATCGATTCCTAGGAAGAAATCATCAGCAGGTATTCTCCTGGATAATTCTCGCAGACAACAGAATCTTCACTTACATGTTGAAACTCTTCGAAACTTCAACTTCAAACAGTAGACCAACAGGAAACCGTGACTAAACCGACACTTCAGCTTTGGCTGCAATATTGAATCTTCCTCTCTTTGCTATAAGACAACACCCGGAAATAATCTCCGCCACTCTGCAGCAAATTCCACTCTTTAGGTAGTTACCTAGTAGTCGCTGAGCTCGATCGATCACCCCGTAGTTAGGTAGTTAGGTAGCACCTTCCTCACGATCAGGATCGATCTCGGATAACTCAACAGAAACGTCCACAAAACAAGAAGAGAATAAAGAAAAACTAAAAGTCCCTTCAGTTAATATCCAGCAAGGATTTCAGATCTCAGCAGAATCTTGGTAATAAAAACCCCGCTGTATCCGAGGGCGTTGTTCTAGTCTCATGACGTCATGCGGGATCGGCGGCACGCTTGCAGTAAGTAATTACGCGCATTCGGTTCATCAGGGACAAATATACTTCTACAACCACTTGATGGATATTATAATAAAGCGAAGGATAGGGCGCGTGGTAAGTCTGCTAGCATTAAGCATTAAGTGAATTAGTCGATCGATGATCATCGGTGGGGAAAGAGTTGATCACTCTAGGGTATTATGTCTAGGTACTGTACAGAGTATGGTACTTGTGGAGGAAGTGTCGGGGTATGGTGATTGGTTAATGTAGTATTCGGAGCAGCGTCTGCGTTTATGCAAGTATGCTGTATGTATATAATTTACTAGGTTCTACCCTGTCGATTGGGGAAACAGAAAAGGTAATGAGCGACAGTGGTATATATATATATATACCTAGGGAGGTATAAAACGTAGAGACCTCTGATCAAAATACATACATGTCGACTAGGGAGGTATCATAAACTCATGAAACAAGGACGGTGGTGTGTGGTATGTAGAGATCAAGAAAATGTGCTGGTACATCATACAACGACATAGGAAAAGTCCAGTCATCAAGGGAATGTGTATGGGGACGTAAATAGAGACTCAACCTTCGTATAAAGATCCAGAATGAAAATACATACACATAGGGAATCGAGAACTTCAAACCACGCATCTCTCAAATAAACATATTATGAAACGTGAGTGCGCATAGACATGAAAGACTAGATCCACCCTATGTCAGCCAGAAAATAAATACCTTAAATGCTGCAACAAGATACAAGCAGAAATGAAACCCGAGCACATTTACAAAACAGACTTACTCTACAACACAACATAGATCCACTCATTACATCCAATCAAAACCACAAAACTCCACACTCCAATCTAAAATATATTGTTGAAGTCCATGACCATCTAGCAGTATCGCCAATAACTCGGCTTCCGGATCTCGATAAGACGACCGCTCGGTGAGCGACTGAGGATGCGCCTTAGGCCGACGGAGGCACCTCCCTCTTCACAAGCGGTGGCCGTGGTGTAGGACCTGTCGATAGAGACGTACGAGCAAGATCGTCGAGGACGCGTGTAGATCACCCTCGGTGGATATCGCGAGACTGGGATCCTTTCTGTGCGATAGAAGTCATATCTGCGGCGGATGATTCGCACCGGTTCATCCGAGTCATCGTAGCATTCGATAAAGCACATAGCCAGGCTGGATGGTGTTCTGGCGAATAAGGAACTACTCTCAGAGAGACCGGATGAGGCAAGTAGAAAGAAGCCCGCAAAATCTTGCGTGGATCAAAATATCCAGCAAAACAATAGATGTTCACAGACGCCCTTTGTCCTGGAAGTGCTGAACAACAGCTTCCTTTGGACGTGGGCGTCTTGCCCGATGAATTGTGTGGTTTTCACCAATGAAGCGGTAGGCAAAGAAGTATGACAGTAGTCGAACGACTTCACAGGTAAAGAGGGGGAATAGTTCGCCGTGCAGGAAGAACGTTGGAAACAAGAACTGCAATTCCATGTGCTGATATTTCTGTCTTATTCAGTTAAGTACTTCTCAGCGAGTTGGGTACAAAATATGCAAGTAGTTAACTAACGGCTAGATACTAATACGAGAGTAGTATCCGTATTCGAACCCCTGTACACAGTTCAAGTTGGAGGGCGAAAAGAAAAAAAGCAATAAAGAACTACATCCCAGAGGGATATAGAAAGCCAAAGAAAACAGAGCATGAATGGAAAAGGCGAAATGCGCCGCAAACAGTGCCTGATGCCTATGGAGGATCGCATGGAACATCCATGAAGTCACGGAGAGCCTCGTATTGAGAACTATAGTATACCTAGTCAGTACTGATTCTCGCATGCCACCCAGTTGATTGCTGCGCCATCCTCAGCAGGCCCCCAGTGGTCAAGGAAGGATGAGAACGTATCAGGTGTCAAGGCCGGCGCTTCTCTTACGGCGCTTGCGATCAATACATGTGGTCTGTGCACCTGCGCTGCTGTTGCACGAGATCTGCCCGTGAAGTGGTGGATGTAGAGGATTCGAGAATTCTACCTGTTGCGTCTACAGACTTGATGAAGCAAGTAGAATAGAATTATGCGTGTGAGGTTTGAATAATAGAGTGATCGCGTTCGGCCTTGTGTTTCTCTAGTTGATAACGGTGAGGAGATAGTTACGTACCCCTCTTCCGCGCGAGATATATTTCTGCTATATTCTCCCGAGTCTCACGTCAGTCGAGAAGAGATCACATATCGAGAAAATGGTTAAAAGAACGATCTTGGGGAGGTCATGACGACAAGTCTGCAGGGCTATTAAGACCTCCCGCGTTCTCAGATCGCATGGCTCTCGGCTGAGATGCTCTTGTTTCCTACGGGCAAACAACCGCATCCAATGAGGGCTGCTTGCACTGCCATACATATGTTGATTTCCAACACAGGTATTATTTGGCTCTAGGCAATGGAAACAGAGCCGCATGAAAGCAATCGAACTAGACTCGGTCATGACGTCGGGGTATACTCTGAGCAGATAGATAACGAGCTAGCCCGCAGGATCAATGTGGCATGGACGAGTGTGGCCGGGTCAGCAGCACAGCCTCAGCTCGTGGGCGTTGCAGCATGCCATCTTCTAGTCCACGGGTACCTGCTGCGACGGTCAGATGCCGGTCAGCATGAACCTGCCATCGCGCATCTCATGAGAGCGGGCTGTGCCTGTGGTATAAGGAATCAAATGACGAAAATTGCCTCTCATTTACTTTTACACTAATACTGCTATACCGGCCAGACCCCCGGATCCGGGTCGATGTCCATCCACCAGATCAAAAAAACAGAGCACCTATAGATCGTACTAAGAACCCACCAGCGCCGCCGCAATCCAGGCGTAGAGAAGCCCAAAATCATCCGAGAAAAAGAAAGAAGAAGAAAAGAAGAAAAAAACGAAACGCTTAGGATAAGTCGTCCACATCGTGGTGGTGATTGTGCTCATTGTCCGATGCGTGGAACGCGTCGCCAAAGGCTGAGTTCTCTAGATCAGGAAGATCTAAACCGTCGTGTTGTTCGCTGTAGGCAGCAAGTGCATCACCCGCGGAGTCGATGTTGGTGAAGTCAGCAGCGTCATCGAAATTGCTTGTCTCAAGACCAGTGTTGCCTGGCGTAAAGCCCTGAGATGCGCTCCCAGGGGCACCTTGACCGGCGGACCTGTCATCTTTCTTGGTGTCATCATTGACCATGACCCAGTCGCCAGTTTCGCCGTCCGCTGTGGGCGCTTGCTGCTCATTCGAAGTTCCAGCCATTTCTATGTCCACATCCAAGTCGGGGATGGAAGGAAGGCCACCTTGAGATGTGCCTGTCGTAGACGCTTGAGCATTGGCCGTATTGGGGACATTACTCGAGGCGTTGCCACCGGCCTGTGTGGCTGCTCCTTGGCCAGGTGCTGAACCACCTGGCGTGCCAAACTGGTCCATGACATGGCTACCTGTGTTCTCCATGGAGACATCTCCTTCAGGCTCAGGCTGCTGTTTATGCTCGATCTTATCAAGAAGACCGCCCTTCTCAACGCAAGCCACCTTGGTTTCCGGTACTATCTTCTTACCCCATGAAGTCTCCACCTCGCGGAGAATGTCATCAACCTTGTATTTAGGCTTGGCCTGCGGATAGTCCACTGGAGACGCGCCTTCTTCGGCAGGTATATCGATGCGACCCTCCAGTCTCCAGAGCTCAGAGCCTGTAGCGTCAGGGTCCGCTGCAGCTTCACGGAGCCGTAATTCGGCATCTTTAAGCAGTGAGGTGCGTTTGAACTTCTCCATCCGTCGCGCATGTCTCTTTTTCAGCTTTTCAATCTCCTCTGTCATATCCGCCACCTTCTTAGAAACGCGATCCGCGAATTCTTCGGCCTTGCCAGGTTCCATCTTTCCTGCTTCCTTGGATTCCTTGGTTGCGGAAGGACCCGTTGGCGCGTCAAAGAAGCCCGCTGTCAAGGACTCAAGCTCGCCCTTACGACCCAGTCCGAGGTCAACGGGCGTGATTTGGTTCGTGGCATAGGGAGACGCAAAGATCTCTTCCATCCATTCATGATGTTGCTGATATCTCATCTTCGCGATCTCCCGAGGTGTCAAGAGGTCCAGCATATCGCCGGTAGAAACTTCTTCGTCCTCCAACGAAAAATCAACGTTGGCCGCAGATAACGCTGCAGTTGACCCCCGATGGCCCCGCGGCGCTTTGGCTTGAGCTGGAGCCATAGCACCAGGAATGCCGGCGGCTTGCTGTGGAGGGTAGAATGCGCCAGGCTGTCGAGCCATCATGGCATTGGGGAACGCCCCTGGCGGCTGCGCGAACCCTTGAGGGCCCATCTGCGGCGGGAAATTGATTGTTGGCCAGTTGTTGCGGTCGTGCAACATGAAGTCCTTACGGACCAGCTGGCCCTGGCCCTGTAGAAAGCGGCGTTGCGCGAGCATACTTTGCGTTTGTGGCAGAATCGGGATTCTGTTAGCAGGAATATGATCGGTCGGCGGAGCTTTCGAGTAGTGGACGATCCATAGTGATGGATCCGGCGGAGGAAGATTGGGATTGGGAGCCTTCGCAGCAACCAGACGGAAACGACGACGGCAATGCGTAGCTAGATTCTCATTCGGAGGATGGTAACCGCTTCTATGAAGCCACATTTCAACAGTCTAACCTGAAAGTCAGTCGAGTAATTATTTTGAAAGGCTCTCATGTGGACGTACGTAGCCCTTGGCTTCGAAAGTAAACGCCTGTTCCGCATCCGCCCAGACGTAACCATCGCTGGCAAAATTTGTTCCGAGGTGGTTTAATGGCTGCCAGGTGAGCATGATAGTGCCATCAGGGGGACCATCGAGAAATGTCCAGTGCATCGGTTGCAATTCGCGGACAATCTTTGGCGCAGACAGGAGATAATCGACTGCTGTCTCGGTGGGCAGCACGCTCATCATCGGGTATCGATACCGCGAGACAAGGTGCATATGGGGCAACTAATAAGATATTGCATCAGTTCCAAGCTCATTCAACCAAGTAGATATCGATAGCTGGCGACGTACAAGCTGCCCAGGGAGCCCGCTGGCTGGGTCATTCATTTTGGCGACCGTGTGCTAGCGCTCCGATATTTCAAAGATGTGGTCGCAAAATGATTTCAAGGCAGATCAAAGGAAAGGGAGACACGCATATAGGCTGCGACGGCGGGCAAGAGAGGTCGGCCTTGACGACTTAAAGCTCCTGGACGCGACGCGGAATTTGAGATCAGCAGTTCGGGATGCGGCGCAACGGCGGGCTGAAGCGTCCACTGGCGCAGTAAGTATTTATTGATGCCTGAGGCAACAAATGTTGTTTCCTGCACCTGCCTAATTGGTCACTCGAGACCTACTCAACAAAGGCATCACTGTCAGGGAGATAATAATAATATGCCACTTATGCTATCAATTTGTCTCTTAGGTGTTCGTGTGGATTACTTATCAGAGTTTAATGCCACTATGGAAGGCAGAACTCTTCAAAAAGTAGTCGAATCTACAGTACCAATTCGCTTGGATAAACCACAACCCTTACTCTAGGAGAATATAAGAGTCCAAATAACACGAGTGAACTGAAATTTCGAAAGAAAAGAAAAAAGAACACAGTTCAAACGAAGCTCTCGTTGACACGGATTAATAACAGTGATTGCCCAAATGCTGTCACGGCTTGCTCTATCAAGCGTCTGGGCCTTCTTCCCACCAATAGAACACTTCTAATTCGTGCACCGCAGAATTCAAGCTTCCTTGGGGACAATAAGATGCAGAACGGTATTGTTCTGCAAATTCACATATGTTGGGGAGTGGAGAGCATGGGTAGCTATGTGGAATTGTCGGCGCACCGAGAATGCACATGGGCGACCCGTTACATCGCCGTTTGCGGTGCGGCGGGTTGCTCGATATCCTATGGAACTCCTAGGATGTAGCGGAGATAAGTAATAAGCTTAACCTTCCTCATTGCCTTTCAGGCCTAGAATCAAGAAAGCAATTAACTGTTAGCGGGTGTGTTTAGGATTCGACAGTAACTAGCAGCTAAGTATGTAGTCAAATTGTTCAATTCCTTGCCATATAGCGAGCAGCCTCTTCATGAATCCGAAACCATACATTGGTGCCCACATTAGTGATAATCGGAGGCTCTGACTTATTATTGTTGTAGAAGTAACCGATGTCGCAGACCGACCTCGAAAGAACTTGTGTGATTTTAAGTTTGATACTCCGTGGACAGAGGGACAATCGCCATGAGTAAAAGGCTACCTAGGTAGTTAGCCGGTGTCCACTTACCATCATAATACATCCGTGCGGAGCTGAGCTCTTTGACCGCAGAGAGGGATATTTTGCTGCAGTGGTACTTAAGTACTGCAAAGCATAGCGAGTCTTATGCCCCCCGCATCCTGCCCTTTGCTTACGAGAGATCAGAGACCACGAATACGACTGTCGTGGATATGGAGATGAGGATGGATCGGTTGCAGTACTACCTACTAGTGAGTAAAACCCAGTAAAGAACCATTTCCACCTGACATTGCTTAGCTGGTGTGACTATCCAATTGCCTTCTTGATTATATCGCCGGTGCAAAACTACCCCGCATCCCCAGTCGAGGACATGGAAGTAGGAAATTGTCCGACCTTGACGGAAGTTCTCCGTCTGTGCTTTGGTAAAATGTCTAGCATTTTAGCCGGCTAAGTATGGTAAACTTAAGCGTTTGTGTTTCACGACATCCGAGATTAGACGCGATCGCTTCTACTCCAGAGGAATTCTAGAGCACACGTTCCCGGATGGCTCATTCCGGGGAAAGGAACGTCTGGTCCATGGCTCTTTTGAATCATCCCGCAAGTTACCCTGTGGCTCAACAGGAGGTGATCCGTAGAGCAGAATGGATGGCTTGTTGTCCTAATAGTCGGTCTCTACCTGAGAAAACCTACTTCTGGTGATAGCCGACTTTTTGCGGGGTTCATCCATCCCATTTGTGGGAATTTGGAGTTAGGCCGCCACTCCGCAATATTTTGGGAGTCGGCTGGAAGCTAATTTACCTATCTATCACTGGTTTGGAAAGCTCCTGCTGGTCACGCCGGCAAACAGAGATTTCAATGTGCTTCAAGCCTTCAACATACCTACTTAGTCCTCTCGTTAGTCGCGCGTGCCCCCGCAAAGATGGCCTGTGGAGAGAGACGATAAGCTTCTGGCCGGTGAAACTTTGAGGCCCCCTGCGGACGCTAAGTACTTAGGTACTGTAGCCGGGCTGGCTGAGCCCATTCCATCAAGGCGATCTTCTCTGCCCTGGTCAGCGCTGCGTTGAGCTTGACTGGTCACTTAGCCATCCGATACTAATTGGTTCATGATGAAACCGGAGAACCACTGGAATGACTGCCACGCAGGTCTGTGTCGTCACGGCTGAACCCATACACCGATAACTCGAGTACACAGTATAAGTCCTGGCGGTGTGCCACCATGGCTTCGATCTCACTCTTCCACCGGGAGGAAAGCGTGCCATCATGGAGCTCCCAGAGTACCCGGGCGTCTCGCCAGCAGCGCAAGATGATACTATCCGCCCAGCTGCTATTCACGAGGACAAACCAGAAGTGAGTCGTCTGGAAGCGGCGTACTCAAACCCTTCTACGGCAGGACCCGCAATCGATCCTCTTGTAGAGAAACGCTACCTGAGGAAGTTGGATCTGAGACTGCCAGTACTCCTTGGAGCTCTCTGTATGTTCTTCTGGTCCAAGTAACGCTATTGGAAAATGATCTTTTGCTGACATGACTACCAGATCTCCTCGCCTTTTTGGATAGATCGAACATTGGGTGAGTGGACGTGCTGGATATAAACGGGCTCTTGACATCTAATGAGCGAACGATGCCAGAAATGCGAAGATAGCTGGCATGCAGGAGGACCTGAAACTATCTGGAAACCGCTACCCGTGGCTGCTCACCATCTTCTACATCTCATACGACCTCTTCGAGTTTCAGGCGTTTATGTGGAAGATTGTGCCCCCGCATCGATGGGCGGCGCTGGTTGTATTTGCATGGTATGTTCTGACATTCTAATGCAATCTGGTTCGGAGATACTCATGCAGACTTCCCAGGGGTATTTTTGCGACATGCCAGGCAGCTATACAGAACTGGAATGGGGCAATGGCCCTCCGCTTTCTCCTTGGTGCCGCAGAGGCTGATTTCGGGCCAGGCGTCCCATATCTGATGTCTTTCTTTTATCGTCGCCATGAGCTTGGTCTCCGCTGCGGTCTGTTCCTGTCTGCTGCTCCTTTGGCCAATACCTTTGCAGGAGCACTTGCTTATGGTATCACGTCTGGCCATTCGAAGCTGGCGAACTGGCGCCTTCTCTTCTTGGTTGAGGGAATCCCCACACTGCTGATGACCCCAGTTGCCTGGTTTTACGTGCCTGACTCTGCGCAAGACGCAAAGTTCCTTACCGCGGAGGAGAAGGAGATTGCGAATGCCAGAGGGCTCAGGCAAAGTGGCACCCTCGAACGGGAGAAAGGCATTGTATGGAAAGATATTTTTCTGACTTTACTAGATGCTAAGCCCTGGTTAACAGCGGTAGGTGTCCACCATCTAATTTTCTGGTGGGAGCAGCAGGGATACTGACTGAGAAAAGTTCATGTACTTCAGCTGCAATGTCAGCTTCTCTTCGCTTCCTGTTTTCCTTCCGACCATCCTGAACGACATGGGCTTCACGGCCGTCAATGCCCAGGGATTGACCGCGCCTCCTTATTTCCTTTCCTTCCTCATCACTATCTTGACCACATGGATCGCGGATAAGTCCCAGCAGCGTGGTCTCATGATTGCTTTCCTGTCATTACTTGGAGCGGTTGGATATGTTCTTCTTGCTACTTGCACCTCGGTCGGAGTTCGCTACTTCGGTGTGTTCTTGGCTGCAAGCGGCGTCTTCCCAGCAATTGCCAATATCCTTCCTTGGGTTCTGAGTATGTGGTCCCGTGCTAATTTCAAATCGGATTAAGCTAACCTGACTGCACAGACAACCAAGGTTCTGATACACGCCGTGGTATGGGCATGGTCCTTCTCAATCTGATCGGCCAATGTGGACCGTTCCTCGGAACGAACGTCTTCCCAGAAACGGATGCTCCTCGTTACGTCAAAGGCCAGTCTATCTGTGCTGCATTCATGTTCTTCACCGCATTTCTGGCTCTCTTGCTGCGGACGCTTCTCGTCTGGGAGAACAAAAAGCTTGACCGGACATACGGAACCAGGGAAGAAAGGGCAGCCCGGGCAGGGGAGGATGACAAGGATGCTCAGAACTATGCAGAGGCCAACTATGGACCCGCATATAGATATGTCCTTTGATGCAGTGTAATGGTCTATGGTATATTTATGTTATTGTTATGAATACGAAAATCCAATGATGATGTTATCAATGAGACGAATCCTCCAACGGCAGTTTTTCGCCCACCATCCATAACAATTCTGCATCAATATCCTGTCAAACGACCCGTGTAACGAGGAATGAGAAGATGTCGGTGTAGCACAACAGAGCGACCACTGGGATGATCAGACGCGTCTGAATGGAGTTTCAAAACCAATCATCCTCCCGTCGATGGGCCTGATGTTTCAACTAGGCCGGAGTCCTAGTATCGAGTATTATCTGCAGGCAAGGCACATATAGATTGTGATGGTAGTAGGGGTGGTGAATTTCAGACATTTTCTTTTTTATTACTGAAATACTGAAATTCAACCCTTTTTTTTCGTTTCGAAATTCAAAACGCACAGACCATAAATGGGGCGCGCTAAATACGGATTAGGAAATTAAGCGAAGAGAATAACCAATAGTAGGTACGACTATTAATAAGTAAAAGCGCAAAATCTCGGTCACGTGCCTATTTGAAATTCAAAAATTTTTCGTGAAATTAAAATCTTTTTTATTACTGAAATTCATGACATTTTGAATTTCAAATCGCCATCCCTAGATGGTAGTAGCAGGGACCAGACTCCACGTCTTCATAGTGGCTGTTCGTACCAACCCTGTCCCTGCTGAACAGGCTGCCACATCGCCATGCAGAAATGGGAAATCAGACCATGGATCATAATTTGCTTAAATGCCATGAAAACCGACCTTCCCAACTATTCGTTGTGGCTGAGGTGTGTGATTCATCGACAGAAGGTTTCGCTTCGACAGACCGGCTTGTGGAACGGGAATCCACGTGCGAGATTTGTTTGTTCCCGCGTCGCTCGCCGTAAGTACTTACAGTACTTACTGTCGAACCAAAAGCGATGTTCTATCTAATGGAGTTGCTTCGATCTACTGACCTAAAATTGTCGATATATGCAGCCGTTACCAATAGTTCAATTCTCCTTTGTGGTCTTGGATTAAGACCATAACCATGCATGCAGCCGCTGACATCACATTCTGACCCTGGATTTGGCATCCTTACTTAGTGTTTGACGCTAGGATCTGCGATAGTGATAGTAGTTCTATCTGCGACTCACAGCTTCTCCAACCATTTTGCTCCCGATAGGTATATTTCTTCCTTTACTCTTTGCAATGGCTACCCCCAGAAAAGAAAACAAGAATCTCCACGCGGTGGTGGATATGGGAAGGTAAGAGAAATCTATCTATCTCTGCAAGATTTCCTCATCTCGCTCTATGTCACCACTCCACGTAATCGAATACTTCCATAAAATCTCACTAACAAAAATCAAGCAATGGAATCCGATTCTCCATAACTGACCTATCTCAGCAAACAGCGCGCATCATGCCCAGTGTCTTCCATGAGCGGGCAGGCATTTCTCTCTATGATGCGCAGTTCTCAAATCCAGACGGGATCCGTGGGCCTATCCCAGAAGACGTAGTAGATGCTGTCGTGACAAGGCTACGTCGGTTCAAAGCCACATGTGAGGATTTTGGCGTGCCTTCGGAAAACATCCATGTTTTGGCCACGGAAGCTACGAGAACAGCACCAAATTCTGTCGAATTTCGGGCTAGGATCAAGGAGTCGACGGGTTGGGATGTTTCGCTTCTTTCGAAAGAGGATGAAGGGCGCATTGGCGCACTGGGAGTTGCCAGCAGCTTTGCCTCCGTTGAAGGTCTGGTAATGGATCTAGGAGGAGGGAGTACTCAAATTACGTGGATGATCGCAAAGAATGGAACCGTGACGACCAGTCCAAGGGGATCGGTCAGCTTTCCTTACGGAGCGGCTGCGCTGACTAGACGGCTGGCAGAGGCGCGGAAGAATGGCTCGAAGGCCGAGAAGGAATTGAAGGAAGAGATGCGGACGAATTTCCAGAATGCGTACAAAGAATTACAGGTCCCAGAGAGTCTCTTGCGATCAGCTGAAGCTGGGGGTGGGTTTGACTTGTATCTGTGTGGCGGAGGCTTCAGAGGCTGGGGATACCTTCTCATGAGTGAATCGAGAGTTGACCCTTATCCAATCCCTATCATCAATGGGTTCAGGGTCAGCCGGTCTGACTTTTACGATACGCTCTCGGTTCTGGATACCATCCAGAAATCAGAACAGAAGATCTTCCGCGTTTCGAAGCGACGAGCTTCCCAGGTCCCTGCGGTTGCGTTGTTGGTCAACGTCCTTGCAGAAGCCCTGCCAGTCATCAAGGGTATCCAGTTCTGCCAGGGAGGAGTGTGTGAGGGTTTCCTGTTTGACAGGTTGCCGCAAGAGATACGCACACACGATCCCCTTGTAGTGGCCACGGCTCCATATGCATCTGCATCTGCAAAAGCAATCGCCAAGCTCCTCACTGATGCTCTGCCGCCTACGCATTCTCCTATATCATCACTACGCGCACCCGGTTCATTCACTGCCGGTCTTATTACTGCTCTAGCAAATATCCTCTTCGTCCACTCTTCCATCCCCAAGGAGTCGAGACCCGCAGCGGCACTATATAGCACAACAACTGGAATCCTCGCCTCGGCAAATAACCTAGCCCATGTCGACCGCGCTATGCTTGCTTTGATACTCTGCGAGCGCTGGAATGGCGATCTCTCTCCCGCAGAACAATCCCTACGTGAGCGTTTCTGCCAATTAATCACCCCACAGGAGGCTTGGTGGTGTCAGTACCTAGGACGAGTGGCTACTTTGATCGGAGACGTGTATCCCGCAGGCGTGGTTTCTGACACAAATTGGCGGATTCGGATCACAAATACCTGGCAGCATGTCGATAAGAAGAAAGGCAGAGAGGACCTATTATCTCTAGCCATCGCTGTCAATCCGTCCGCCGGCGCCGTGGTTTCCAAAGACGTCTTTGAGGATACGATCGAGAGGATCGAGAAGGCCGGGAAAAAGAAGAACTGGGCCCATGCCACGAGCAAGAAAGAGGAAGACTATGGTGTTCGTGTTGCAGTCGAATTTGGGAAATGAAACAGACTCGACAGAGATAAAGAACAATTGACTGGCTATCCATTGTCCATCCGTTATGACTTGTGGATTCCGGATATCGTTTCCGCCTCGTTCCTTACTCGCAATTCCTCGAATTCATCATAGCATATTGGGTTCAACTATAGATATGATGAATCCAGACCGAGGGTACATAAGGATTTCTGGGTATCTCAACGAACCATTGTCTGCATGATTCGTCGGATTGATATTCGGTCCATACAACGTAACTACCCCACAAGTATGACTAGAATTCGCTATCCGAGGACACTGAGTTAACTAATTCAGAGTATGCCACAAGTGAGGAAGACGAACAACTCATTCCCTGCGCGAATTACTATCCATGGACCAACAACGCACTACGAGGCTGCGAGCGATGGTGGGCAGCCGAACACGCAAACCCCGGCTCTGCGCAAATCTCTATCCAGCAAATTAGATTTTAAACAGCGCAGCCCGAACGACCGATAAACTTGTCGCAATCCTGACAGCTTCCAGAGGGCGGTCCACCGGATCCAGCACAGCTCGCACGAATAAGCGCACGGCCGATGAATCACTCACCGGGAGAGCTAGAAAGCCACTTGGATCACTGCGGAAATTGCCTGGACGAGTAGTAATTGTACGTAGCGATTTGTTGTCCTGCCGGATGGCTCTGCTCCGCCAAAATGGAATAGCGAAAACTGAAACTGGATTAGGTTTATCGTTAGGAGGGGAATCATAATGGATTATTATTCGACTTGTAGAGTAAGCGGGGTCTTGGACGAGCGAGGCCGGAGATGCTGGACTTCTCGGCGGAGCGGGGGTTTTTCTCTGGGTAAGTATAAAGTTGCGCACATTACCCCTCCATCGCCAGCTTTCTTCCTCTCTCTCTCTCGCCCACTACGAACAATTGCCCGACTGTTTCTATAACAAAATCATCAAGAGTACCACCTGCGGCCCCTCTCTTTTCTGTGTATGTCTTGGCTGACCGTTCGAATAGGTTTCTCGCCAGTACAGTACTGTATATCTCTCCGGTCGTTATGTGAACCGTGAAGATGGAAGCCATGGCCTCATGGCTGGGCTTATCCAATGATGATCAAGGTATCTCAGGTAAATATCTGTGCATGAACCGGTGTTCGTTCCCATCTGCTGGACTTGGATGGCGGCATCCACCTTTCTCGATGGCGGGAGGGGAGATCGATGTTGTTTTCTCTCTCTGCTCGAGAGAGAGATGCCGTCTGCCAGCAGCTCTGGGTTCGTTCTGAAATTATACGGTCACAACTTGATCTGGATAATACCAGCGAAAGGATCATGCTTCCCTCTTCCCCTAACCGTAGGTTGGAATAGCTAACAATGATACCAGTCACTATTACTTAAACAAACAAAAGAACAGCCAACATGTCCCCCCCTGCTGCCATCTTCGAGGCTGTCTCTGCCCCTGCCAGCTCTATCAAGAGCAAGGTGGTCGTCCCTGAGACGGTCGCCCCGGCCGGCGAGGCGTCTCAGACCAAGCTGCTGGACCAGTTTGCCAGCAAGTGGGAGCAGTTCAAGTTCGCTCCGATCCGTGAGAGCCAGGTCTCTCGTGCCATGACTCGTCGCTACTTCCAGGACCTGGACAAGTACGCTGAGAGTGATGTTGTTATCATCGGTGCCGGTTCTTGCGGTCTCAGCACTGCCTACGTCCTGGCCAAGGCTCGTCCTGACCTGAAGATTGCCATCATCGAGGCCAACGTCTCTCCTGGTAAGACCTTCCCTGACTGCACTATGCCTTAAGCCTTGATCTGACAGTCAATAGGTGGTGGTGCCTGGCTCGGTGGTCAGCTCTTCTCCGCCATGGTTATGCGTCGCCCGGCTGAGGTCTTCCTGGAGGACCTCGGAGTCCCGTACGAGGAGGACGCCAACCCCAACTACGTTGTGGTCAAGCACGCTGCTCTGTTCACCTCCACTCTTCTGTCGAAGGTCCTCCAGTTCCCGAACGTCAAGCTCTTCAATGCCACCACCGTTGAGGACCTTATCACTCGCCCTGACCCCAACAACAACCCAGAGAGCGTCCGCATTGCCGGTGTGGTCACCAACTGGACCCTGGTCAGCATGCACCACGACGACCAGTCCTGCATGGACCCCAACACCATCAACGCTCCTCTGGTGATCTCCACCACTGGCCACGACGGCCCCTTCGGCGCCTTCTCCGCCAAGCGTCTGGTCTCCATGACCGCCATCGAGAAGCTCGGCGGCATGCGCGGCCTGGACATGAACTCCGCCGAGGACGCCATCGTCAAGAACACCCGTGAGGTCAGCAAGGGTCTGATCATGGGCGGTATGGAGCTGGCTGAGATCGACGGCTCCAACCGCATGGGTCCCACCTTTGGTGCCATGGTTCTCAGCGGTGTCAAGGCCGCTGAGGAGGCTCTCAAGATCATCGACGAGCGTAAGCGCGAGTGTGCTGAGTAAATTCGTCACTTGTCGCGCGCTTGTCCGTAGGGATTTATTCTCCTCGATGATTCCTGTCTCTCTGTCTGTCTGTCATTTCCGAGAAATCGCAAATGAATTTCACGAATACGATGTTATTATTGACCTGATTGGCGATGGCCTTCCTTTGGTGGTGGAATGAATTGAAATCAAGTACGTACCTATGTACTGTACAAGAGGGCAAGAGCCCTGGGGTACACTCTCTCGCTAGTTAGCTTCTAGTGAAATGAAATGAAATGAAACGCAACGCTCATTGAAGTGGTCACTTATATATCATCAAAGTCGGATCTATAAGTATTCTATTCTTTCCTTCCTTTCTATCATAGGAGTAATTAGTAAATATAATAACCGTTGAAAAGAAAAAAAAAATCGAGGACAACCCTCATTATTATTATAGACATTATAATGCCATACTTGTCTTTTTCTATGTTCTGATCAGACAAGATAGACTTGGTTGGTCTCGGGCTATTATTATTATTACCCGATTCATTCACAATTCATATCTTCCACTCCTCCGTCTCATCTCCCACACTCCCACCTAGTGCTAGCCTCTTCGCATTTCTCACCTCCCACTCAAACTCCTTCAGAGCTCTGAGCTCACTCGACACAAATAATCCCCCAATCAACCCGTCCAACACACCAGCTGCGAAACTCAGTGTGCTGACGAATGTGAGGATGAACGCGACGTAGATGATCCCTCCTGTCCACCAGACAGCGACGAAGCAGCCAATGGAGACGATAAGGGCAACAAGGAAATGAGCCAGACGCCAGCGACGCTGGGAGCGTTCACGCCGGACGTATTTGGCGATCATGGCGAGGATAGCGTCGTAGGTTTCGGGGGCGAGGAAGAGATTGGGGCGCTGCGTAGTAGACGATGGGGTTGGGCTGAGGTGATACGGTTCTGTTTCTGGGGCGGTGGATGAGGGAGGTGGCTGCGTGGTTGTTTCTGCTGTGGCATCTCGTGTGATGACGGCCTCGACGGCGAAGTGGTCGCTCAGCGAGCACTTCAGAGTCGGATGACGCTCTGTCATGGAGAGTTTGACGGATTCGACCTTCCATCTGGATGGTGGGAAGGAGGGAGGATACCCGCCGTCTCCGACGAAGATATAGTCCAGTCTCTTTGCTTTGGGATCCTCGACCTGAGGGTCTACCGTGTAATCTTCTCCCTTTTCCAGCCGTTTCCTCCTATCCTTGGGCCATCGCCAGGTGTTGAATGCTCCGTCGCACGTTGCTCCGTTCTCGAGTAGGTTGTATTCCGCAGTGGGAATTGGGCGGTTCCGTTTCCTCTCCTCCATGTCTATGGCAGCTCCAACTGAAGAATCCGGATGCAGGACCTGCCATGCATCCTTAACGGGGGCGTGAGTCGTGATCAGTCGATGCGCAAAGGATGCTGGCACCATGTTGAAATCTCCCAGTCCGATAACGAGATGACCCCGCTCCGCCGCTCCCCGCATCAACTTCGCGATCTCCCACGCCTGCGCTGTCCGATGGCAGATATACGAATCATTTGGTTCTCTCTCATACGGCGCATGGAGATGAGTACAGAACACCTCCGCAACGTCTTCATTACCCGGCCCGAAGCGTACACGCGCACACGCGACGCCCTTCCCGACGAACCAGTCGCCACGGAAAAAGGCCGTCGGACGACCATTCAGTGGATAAGCGTACATGGTGCTGTCCTCGATGGGCCATTTCGACAGAATGGCTAACCCACCGCCGAAGATGCCGCTGAAGTAGAACTTGCCGTACGGGAGGATGTGTTTTGTCTGTTTGCGAATGCTCTTGTAGTCTTCTTGCGTCCAGCACTCCTGAAGGCCAACGATTTCGGGAGGGTCTTCTGCGATGGCTAGTTGGCGGCCAATTTCTGAGAGACGCTCATTACGATATTTGGCGAGATACTTCAGACCCCAGCAGTTGAGGGTGAGGATGCGGATGCGGGCTGGGGGTGACTCGCCCGTGGTGGTCATTGTTGCCAGCGGGTCTAATATTGCAGGCTATGGAAGTGTAGATGACGGGAAATAAATTCAGAATATCATCTATGCTTCGTAGAATAAATGGACGACAGAACGACGATGCGATCTTGTTGATTCTCCTTGAAGTTGAACTCCGGCCGATCAGGGAAGATCCGGGGGTCTCACCGCCTTGAGGTTGCAACTTCCCGATTGGCCAACGCGAAATTTCACCAGGGCCGGCGGGCATCGCGTCCATCTGGGAAAGCCTTCGCATGCGTCCAGGATAGTCACTGATTCTCTCGTCTGTGGCCTCGAGTGACCGCGTGGAAGGGCCCGGATATTCCCAATGGAGGTGCGTATCTATACCTCGAAGCGCCGTCGCACCGATAATGGCTACGTCGACCCGGTGAACGATTCCTCATCCGACGAGCTGGCCGCCGTCTCCGATCACGAGATGGACCGCCGAAGGGCCAGCTGGTCCGCTCAGAAGGCTTATAAGTCGAGACGGTCATATCAGCGATCGCCTCGTCTGAGTGATTCCGGGAGTTCAGACGAGCTCGCCGTCGATGCTGGTACATACTGGAGGGAGAGCAAGAGACGGCGCTCCAGAAGCCGCAGCGGTTCCCGCAGCCGCAGTCGCGGGCGCAGTCCATCGCATGATGACAGGGCAGGAGGTTCAGGACCGCCAGAAGAAAAGTCAGAGCAGCAATCGGAGGAATACGACGAGCGACAGGAGGAACCTGGAGCAGAAGATCGAAACATACAGCCCGCCGTGCGGACACCGTCGCCATTACCTCCCCCACCTCCGCCAAAACCTGAGCGCCTGAATTACCGGGTGAGATCCATACTGAAGGGGCACCTGCGCGGAGTCTCAGCGGCCAAATTCTCACCAGATGGATCGATGATTGCAAGCGGCGGTAAGACATTAATCGCTTTTCTTATGTCGCAGGGTTGTGTCTAATATCATTCATTACAGGCGCCGATGCGGCGGTTAAGGTTTGGGATACACTGTCTGGAAAGCTCATACATACATTCGAAGGCCACCTGGCAGGAATTTCCACCATTTCCTGGAGTCCAGATGGAGAGATTATTGCTTCGGGATCAGATGACAAGACCATCCGTCTATGGAATGTGCTGACGGTAAGTCGCGCTGAGGGTAGTGTCCGCACATATGCTGATTGAGTTGCGCAGGGGAAAGCACATCCGATCCCTTTTGTCGGCCACCACAACTACGTCTATGCCATTGCCTTCTCTCCCAAGGGTAACATGCTAGTCAGCGGCTCCTACGATGAAGCGGTTTTTCTCTGGGATGTCCGGTCCGCCAGTGTGATGCGGTCGCTCCCTGCGCATTCGGATCCCGTTGGCGGAATCGACGTCGTCCGCGATGGCACGCTGATCGCATCCTGTGCGAGTGATGGATTGATCCGAATATGGGATACGGCTACGGGGCAGTGTCTTCGCACGATCGTCCACGAGGATAATCCACCGGTCATGTCGGTAAAGTTTTCGCCTAACGGGAAGTTCGTGCTAGCCTGGACTCTGGACAACTGTGTACGACTGTGGAACTACGTGGAGGGCAGGTGCATCAAGACATATCAAGGCCATGTCAACCTGAAATATGGTCTCTGCGGCGGATTCGGGATCTACGGTGCGCCGGGCGGCAAGCCAGAGGCATTTGCCGTCAGTGGAAGCGAGGACGGTGCCATCCTCTGCTGGGACGTCGTGAGCAAAAAGGTTCTACAACGGATTGAGGCACACACCGACGTGGTCCTGGGCGTGGACACTTGCTGCATCGGGGACAAGAGACTCATGGTGAGCTGCGGGCTGGACCGGACCGTGAGGATCTGGGAGGAATTCCCCGAAGACGAAGGAGAGAATGAAAATGAGGCTCCGGAAGCCAAAATAAACGGTGTGGGAGAAGAAGAAAACAACAGCAGCAGCATGCCCGCCAGTGTGGCGGAGCCGGATAAGGGCGCAGAAACTAATGGAGATGGGATGATTGAATGATTCTTTTTTTCTCTTTCTCTTTTTTATTAATAGTTGCATTGCATGTAGGTCAGGGACCTCGTCAGATCATCCTAGTGGATACCCAATATAATGATATGCATACATTCAGTCAGTCAGTCCATGTGCCATCCATTTCGGGGTAATAGTAGCGCGTGCATGCAGCTGCGCTCGATGTACGATAGAACACGATAATAAACCTCTAAACTGCGCATCCATGCAAATACCATCTGCCTATTCATGAGTAGATAAAAATATATGACCGATTTAATCTATAAGGTAAATTCAAGCCTATTTCCAGCGTAATCCCTCGCGAAGAACCTCGTCGGGTACTCTACTCCCTGTGCGCCTACATTTCCCTCATATTAATAAAATCCTCCTATAAGTAGCTACTGCAAATAAGGCATGTAGAAAAGAGACAGAGAGGGAAGGGAGAGAACAAACCTGAATTCTTCTCCCCAGGCTTATCAACCGCCAAAGGAGCCGCTGATCCACCACGAACATGATGCTCCCAAACTCTCTTCTGCAACTGCTGCAAAGCCTCTAATGAACCGACTCGAAAGCATGGATGGCGCGAAGAATTGGGCTCGTTGGTCCCGAACGCGATGTGGACTTGTTGGCTGCCGTCGGGAACGATGTTGAACCTGGTGTGGATTAGTTGATACTGTGTTTTCATGTATAACTAATTGTAGATAGATGCATTGAATATTGGATGTATGTATATATGTACATACCACGCCAAAGTGCCCTTCTGCAACTGCGGAACCGGAGTGGAGATGAGGCCCAGCGTCCCCGCATAGAACTCGTTCGCCTGGTCGAGTGTCCCCGGCGGAACGAGGAGGTTAACGTGTGCGAGGGCAGTGATCATGTTGATGAAACAGTGAATATATCGTCAGATAAGTTTGTTCCCAATTAAAAAAAAAAGGAGAAAAATGGGAAGTTTATGTGTTCATAGAACGGTTATATCAGAGTAGACTCAGTACTTAGAGATAAAAAGGGTTCCCCGCACTTTCGCAATTTCAATAGCCGTTGTCGGCAATTGGCTCGAGGGTCTGGGGAAGGAAACTGTTCTCCGATCTATATTTCCATCGTGGCATATACTGGAAAGTGAATCTCAACGCAGAGTGCGGCCTGAATAGTACCGTGGCTTTTTTACCAAGATGAAAGTTACCTAAACTATGTGACTGACATCACTTCTCTTCTAATATTCAATTCAGCACAGTCACCGTACTTACTATCGATGAATCTCTTTACACAGACAACTGGATCTTTCGTTCGATACACATTATGTCGAATCCTTTACTTAGCACGGAAGCAAGGTCTGACCTAAACGACTTGAATTATTTGCTTACTTCTAGGTCTAGAGGGGGATTTGACCCTTTTTTGTCTCTAGCATACAAAGAATCTAGATCCTAGTAATCTAGTGATCACTTATAATCAGGATTCAAAGAATCCCGCAAACGGATTTCCAGACAGATCGATCACCTGGCGTTCGCTTTGTACGCCGACACATTACCTAGGGTCACTGGGGCACCAATAGTCTTTTGAACCAACAGGAGGCTCTCTTACTTGCTGAAGGATCTGGCACTAGTATATTCCCTTCTCCAACTTACTGAAGCTTACGCACTAATAATACGTTCTAGAGGTTGAAAATTTTACAGGGATCTATGCCGGTTCCGCCAAAGAACCAGATTGGTTTATGCGTCCCGACTCAGCTCAATTCCCTAGAGTTGTGATTGAATCTGGATGGAGCGAACCGCATCCGAACTTACTTAGAGATAAGAATCTCTGGATGAATAGAAACACGGAGTCCAAATTGTGATTCTCGAAATTCTTAGCCATATCCGACATGCCATGAAATTGCAGGTCGTGAATAGGTCGCAAACTAAGTTCGTATGGTACGGTGACTCTGATATCCATGTGATATTTCCGGTTTATTCATCTCTCCCTATTGACCTAGTCAAAAAGGAAATACTAACATAATCTAGTTATTTCATGCTTTCAGGCCATCGAGACCGGGTGTACCTCACGATAGCAACGGTCAGTGAGGGCTATCCCGCATACATCCGAGAAGGAGTAGTTGACGACGAGACGAAATGCTTTCTCAAATTGAGATGTTACGGGCCATTCGACGTGTTTAACAAAAGACATGTCATAGAGCTCGGAAGAGTGGCACTTGGACTAAGTATCGAATGCAGCAAGGCCTGAAAAGTAAAAGAGGAGAGTTCTATGGATGTATCCTGAATGGTCTTTTCTCTTCTCACCGAAGAATCAGAGAATCAGTAATAATAATATTATGCCACGCCTCTTGAGCAAGAATAAGTAGTGTTTTTAACTCAAATGCCGCCCGCTGTACTATAGAAGTGAATCTCAATGCTATTTAACTCAAAGTGGAGAGTGCCGTACTGCCTGAATGGTACCGTGGTTCTTGTACCAGGCTGCAAGTCAACCAACCCGTACCAGTTCAACTCTCGACCTCCAGCATTTCGTATTCTCCAACACATCCATTTCATTTCTTTCTCAATCTCTTCACACGGACAATCTGTCTTCCATAATATTCTTCACTTACCATCACCGCTGAACTCCCTACTTCTTACCACAAAATACCGCTCACAATGCCCAAAGTACCCCTGAACCCACAAACTGCAGAAGAAAAGCTCTATACGAAATGGATTGTTGCGCTGAGAAAAAAAGTCATTTATCTTGCTGAGCGTACCGAAAACATCTACAAACTTTCCCACTATCTCAACCAAAAAGACTTAGACGCGCTGGGAATTGAGCTATCTCAGATGGATTTCAGGACTGGTGTTCCCTCGGGCGCCCCGCAGTTTTTCAAACCTACCCAGAACAGTAACTGGACGTTGAAGGACACCAAAGAGCCCCCGGTTAGCCTGAACGATGAACTCGATAAGATCGGTTTCGACCCTTTATTTGAGAGTCCAGGCAGTGATGGTTATCAGACTGAACGGGCGGCTGCAGTTTTGAGCGTTCTCGAGAAACGTTTGCACCCACTGCGTGAGAAGAACCACAATGTATGCCAATGGGAGCCTGTGCAGTAAGTTTTGAAGATGGCCTGTCCTTTGTTGTTATTTTTTTCCACTATAAATAGCAAAAGACGCTAATATCGTATTCCCATCCAGGAAGGACTGTTTTATGAAGCGAGTGGGCCTCCATTATAAGCATGATCTCTGGGAAAACACGATAGCTCACCAAGTTGTGGGAAAGAAAAAGCCACATCTTATGCTGTTCATGAATACTTCTTGCAGTGCACAAGAAGGAAAGCTTGCAGCAACAGAGGCCTTTCAGATCCTCCGATATATGCTGTCGGAAATGACACGACAGCTCTTTGCTGATATTGAATCCCTCAACAAAGTCAAATGGCCTGATAGCTCTGCTTTGCAGCTAATATTCCCTGTTCGTTAACCTTTATCTTCATATTTCAGCTATTTTTCAGAGTCCTAACCAGAAGTGTAATAGGTACTAGCTTTCTCAGTTGTTGAGCCAGCCCATTGTCGATTCATACAGTGTTATTTTGATGGAAAAGTGAAGATACAATTAAGCAACTTCGAGAATTTGGATGGGCGCCAATTTCCAGATCTTTTCGAAACGGTCATCAGATTGTGTAACCCAGTGCCGTGTGGAGATACAATGTCAGTTACTGCCGCTGGAGAAGAGAATGTGAACCCCGAACACCTTGTAAAGCATATGGGCGCTCTACATGTTAGGCGAAATGAGGTAGCCACAGTGGAACCGGTGCCTTCTGCACTGCGATCCGAAAGAGCACCGATAAAGAAGTGTACGAGCATTTCATAGAGGGCTGATTGCTACCTTTACCGGAAGGTGAATTTATTGGGACATCTAATAGCTGTTTGATGATCTTGATTACTCTGGTTACAGGAGAGAACCTACTCAGTTCCCTAGGGAGCCAATGTTCCCTGATGAAGCAGTGCGGTAGACGCTGCATTGTCAAAAGTCTTGCAGCCTCCTACCGTAATTTCCCTCGAGGATTCCCAGCACAAGCAGATTATCGATTTCCGGATGACGAAATGCTCTTTTCAGGGGAAGAAAATCAACCCCCATTTTTGTAATCGCTATTAGGATATATACTGTACTGTGGACTGACGTACTTCCGGGATAGCTAAGTATCAAAGACATGATCACAGTCTGCTCAGACTCAAAATCTGCGCAAGCAACGAGCCATCTTCGACATCATTCAATATGACTGTTCGCCTATATACCTTGAGGATTTGATATTTCATTCCTGTGTCCTTTGTCATAGAAGCCAATAATCACATATGAGTTTACTGAAAGAAACAGCTACCGATGCTCAACTCTCTAATTGTAAAGTATAACTACGTATTGACCCTGTACGATAAAGAAGTATAGTATGCGATTACTGCTAGTCGATAATAATAATCGATAACAATAATAACATGTTAAAGTACGATTAAAAGACACGTTCATTTTTCTCTCTCAGTTTGAGACAAGTAAGGAAGGAACGCGTCGATGAGGGTAGGTGAGGAAGGTGCGAATCCGTTAGCGAGTACGAATCGCCTCGCCCTCCTCGCCATCAACACAACCCACTCCCTGATTTTCAGTCCTTCGAGTCTCTCTAGTCACCATTGTTGATCATTGTCGAGAACGTTTCTTTTCTCTTCGTGATCCTGGTTTCTCAAGACTCATTGCCCCCTCTGTTCTCTTCCCCTCTGCACTCTTCCTGAGTTCCCTTGGGACTTGGGGCCTCTCCTCATCTCCATATCCTCCTCCTTCTCTCCTCTTCTCTTCCTGAGTTCCTTTGGGACTCGGGGCTTCTCCTCATCTCCATCTCCTCCTCCTCTCATCCACTCTTCTTGAGTTCCTTTTGGGACTTAGGGCCTCTTCTTCTCCTTTCCTCTCTTCCTGAGTTCCTTTTGGGACTTGGGGCCTCTCCTTCTCTTCTCCTCTCCTCTTCTCTTTTCCTCCTCTTTTCCTGAGTTCCTTTTGGGACTTAGGGCCTCTCCTTCTCTCCTCCTCTCTTCCTGAGTTCCTTTTGGGACTTGGGGCCTCTTCTCCTCTCCTCCTCTCTTCCTGAGTTCCTTTTGGGACTTGGGGCCTCTTTTTCTCCTTTCCCCTCTTCCTGAGTTCCTTTTGGGACTTGGGGTTACCGAAAGGTTAGTTTCTCTATACTGGAACTGATACTGACAGTCTCTCGGTAGGCAACCTTTATCTCGCATCCTTCGTCACCAAAGTCAAAAAGCGCAATTCGGACAATATGGACTCCCGTCGTCAAAACGCCCTGGCCTGCGGTCTTCCAAAAACCCCCGCTGAATGGAGGCAGAAAGCCGCGAGAGAAGTCATACAAGCGCCTCCACCCTCAGACCAATATGACAGAAGGCAGCCTGTCGACGCTCCTAGCCTTCACGTGGGAGAAAAGGCCATTGATGTGCCGCTTGTGAATCTCAGCGGCTGGAATCCAGGATCAAAGATACAATTCTCCCATTTCCTGACGACAAGAACACTGGTAGAGATGGCGAATGATCCAAGAGATATCAAGGCCCCAGAAAACTACACAGACTTCCATCTGACGCAGGAAATTTGTAGGGAAGCCAATCGTTGGCTTATCGGATATGGGGATTGGAATGTATATCTTCGTGATATAAAGGACACTGAGGATAGGATCCCCGAACCAGGGGAATCTCGCGAATTAGGGGAATTTGGGAACGTACGGTATCGCCAACTACTAGCACAACTGCTCCCGAATGATGAGCAAGATTCAGCGCCAGCAGAACGTGAATCCAACAGAGTCCCATATTTCTCAAGAATAATCCCTGCTGGTGACGAAGGAATTGTTGACATTGGTCTGGTTAATTTCGTTGTGGCCTTGACGAAAAGCTGTCAGCACGTTGGTCTTGACTGGCGTTGTGCACGGGGGCTTGTCCATATCCAGGTTGGACACGCACACCTTACGGCACAAAACGATGGACGGCTGCATCCAAGAGAGCATAACGATACCTATGCCTTGTTGAAAGTCAAGCCATTCAGGTTGGCCGATAAGCCAGATTCGACACTGATGGAGATAGCCATTCAACTATTATGTTGGATGATTAGGGAAGATTTCCGCGAGGATCACCCGTAAGTTGCAGCAAACTTTATCTGCTAAACTGTCCTCGGACGCTAAATACTAACAATTCTTAGATACTTCACAATTTCGGGACACCGCGAGCACACGTATTTGACCGTTGCGACTTTCGGCCAAGGATATCCGAAGTATATATCGGAGGGAGTCGTTGACAATCAGGAAGACTGCTTCTTGAAGCTCAAGTCCTATGGACCATTCAACATGTATTCGAGCAAACATGTAAAGTTCTTCGGACAATTGGTGTTGAGCTTGGCGATAGTGTGCAGTGAAGCTTGGAAGGCCAAACAGGCATCTTCTTCCGTCGGAGCCCAGCCAACTATTTCGACTTGATGTTCCAATAAGGCTATGCCAGATCAAGGGCGACCAAGCTGAGATTTTGAGTTGTCTAGAGAGTCCGATAGGTTATGTCCACGGACGACTGAGGGATGAGTGTATCTTGTATTCACGTGTACCTAATACAAGACCGAGGCCTGTTTAACTGAGAGAATCTCCTATTGATCAACATGTACATTCTGATATATGTACAGTTCATTACTTTTGCGTTTTCGGGGCTTTATACTGGAGAAACAATGACATATTCGACTGGATATCACTTTGAAAATGCCAAACAATCTGATCTTCTCTGCATTATATAAAAGTCAGAGGTTACTGATTACTGGAAACTAGTTGCACCTTACGGGTTAGTTCCAAACGTTTGTCGTGTAATTGTATAATCCGAAGATCACTTCCTAGACCAAGGAAAAGAAAGAACGCGCAGGTTTAGAAAAATGTCTCTTTCATTACTATGGATGGGAAGTTCTCTAGTGTTCTCGAGACAAGCTATATAGAAGTGAACACTTTTTGCGCCTCAAGGCATCTTATATAGTATTTACCTCTTGCACGAGGGTAGCCTCAATGAGAACATACTGATATGAATGAGAAAATGAATATGTCGAATCTAAAGGGCGCGGATGCAACAGGATGAATATGAACCTGCTAGCCAGTAGCTAGGTTGCTTGCTTGCTTGACTCTAGATCTAGGAGGAAACTTGATCCCATATTTATCTCCTGAAGTCCTGACCGCGCCGTGGCTGAGCTTAAGGCTCTTTTAGTAGCTAAGTTATAGTTAAGCATTATATTTGAAAAGCTAAATTTACAGAACGCCGTTTCTGAAGGCCCTTTGCAGTCGCGCCTCTAACCAGGATAAAGTCGGCTGGAAAAGACTTCTGTAGCGCGCGGACACATTCTAGGATCTTGTCGAATTTTTCCGAGTCAATAACGTCGTAGGAGTATTGAGTGTCATGCCAGCAAAAAATAAATAAATAAATATAAATATAAATAAGAGCATAGAACACGTTAAACGATAGGGTAGACGCGGGGGAAGGTCAAGATTCGGTGACGAAATGTGAAACATGCTCAAAGAGCTGTTTACTCTCGAAGCGATCCCAGTGTCGGTAAACTCAAGCTGCCCAGTGTATTAGTATGTAATGTGAAAGTGGTTCCCAAATGAAACCAGAACGAGTCCCGACGAAGATAGTCCTGCAGTTAGAAAAGAGGAATATTCCCTAAAAGGAATCCCATTCGGCAAGTAGATCATTGTCTCGTTCCTCATCAAACGCTCTCAGCAGTGTCTCCCCACTCAGGTGTGTCTTGTTGTAATAGTCCTTAACAGGACTAATGAAGCGAACCAGCGTAAAGAAATCGTTCACAGAGTTGTAAAAAGGGGTGGCGGTTGGAAGGAGATAAAACTTTGGCATGAGCCACATGACGGTTTGGCTAGTGCTTGAGCTCACATTGCGTATGATATGGGCTTCGTCAACGACAAAAGTATCGAAGAGTCCGGCAGGGTTTGCCGGCCATTTCGGGTCCGGACAAGACAGCATTCCAGCTGCGTCTTGCGAGACTTGATCCATCGGCCGCTTTTATAACCCACGCACCCACACAACCCCCGCGCTTACGATTTATCTCGAGAGGCTCAACACATACATGATGAGGGTTAAAACACCCGTGGTTATGGCACAGGTGTGACATCTCATGTGTTGCGTTCTGGTCGGAAGTTAACAGCAAATTTTGACCATAACCGGAGGCAACAACAGCTAGCTGATAGCGAAACGGCTGTACATTAATCTTCTCAGTGCGGTTATCCGGGTAATATATATTTCGCAGATTGACTTTAGTATATCCGTACTCATGAGCTCGGTTGTCGGATGTTAGCCAGTAACCTAGAAGTTGGCCCCCTTGGTTGGCATTTTCAGCCGCTGTAGAGCGCGCTCGGCTGAGAAATTAGATAGCATTCCAGGTTTGCGGAAACAGCAGAACGGTCTTGTCAGTACTAGGTTCAGTGTGTAAAGCAGGGCGAGGAAAAGAAATCAACTGCCAGGAATGATCCGGTCGGACACAAACATTCAGTAGATACACGAGAGGATCTAACTGGATTGCTTGTTGGAAGAAACTGTGCTTTTGATCGAAATGAAGTGCATTCAGCAACTGAGGTCCCTCGACAAAGTGATATCGGTACGCTGCAGCAACCTTGTCTATCCTGGTATCTCTCCGAGAAAGAACGGAAACTCTCCAGGAACCTTTTAGTCAAAAAGCCATCTTCGTCGAAATGAAGATGTTGTAGCTGGTTCGGTGATGCGAGGGTTGTAACCCTTGCACGACTAGGGGCACCACCGAATATCGCATTCTTGCGTACATGGTAAGGAAGTTCACAGCAGTCGGGACTGGGAGGCGGGCTCCGCAGAAGGGGATTCATCGTGAATAACGACAGGATCTGGACAATATAGAGTCAGCAGTATCCCAACTTACAGGAAGCTCTACTTACTGTCGGGAGACCCAGCAGGAGGGACGGGCTCGCGCTTGACAGGAGTAACAGGATCACGTTCTCCTAGGACGTCAGCAGCAACACCACAACCGTAACTAAGAGAAGACTTACCAGACATAGTTGCCGTGCGGGAGGGGGTGGGCCGTTGTAATGAAATTGCAGTACCTCCGCTCAGTGGAGACTGCACAAATTAATAAAAAAAGACATCCCATCCTCTCAGTTCTTAGAATCCCTTGTCCTCATTATGACACGGGTGGAATGCGTCGAAGAAGACAATATAAATAGGAATAGATCGAGTAAGGATGGTCTAAAGGTTCGGTAGGAAGCTAAGATTTAAGAAAGGCGACTCGCTTAAGATACGTACCAAGTCACGGTGCGAATATACAGTACGATTTAGAGACTGTAGAGGACTCCAGATAATGATAATTAAAGCCTTGATCCAACAACCGCATTGATATCGAAGACAGACAAATGGAGGACCGGTAATGGTCAAGGTGAAGATGGTCAAAATAAAGTGAGGTTTATAGACCGAGGTTGGGAGCTAGTTAAACGGTACGTAGCATTCAGACCGGGTGATGGGACAGGGGTTTCTAGAGTTTCTGTAATATCGACTTGTATGCCGTTTTATTTCAACCAGAAAGTCTGTCCACGGAGAAATCTGGTCTTCGGACAGTTTGTAACGGCTACGGGCTGGCCCAGTGCCATACCCGTCTCGGACTTTCAGGTCAGGCATTGGGGCCCATATGTCGGTGCAGTCTGCATATAACCGTGCAAGGCGCCGTAGAAGAGTAATTTGATTACTCTACCTTGAGCAGCATCAGATCGAGCGCGGGCCTACTGTATGTTAGATGGTCCCGAAAGCGTCTAAAAATATAAAATAAGGAGCTGAGTCCCAAGAAGACTCGAGATGGCGAATACACAGTTCTAGAAGATCTCAATGGACTGAGTAAAGAATCTCCAATATACCCCAGTGTCGATAAGTATAATGGATTCCACAGAGGGTCATATCTTGATACGAGACAGTGGGAACCGATGTACCGGTATCGTGAAGGAATTCGAAACGAGACCATAGAGCCTCCCCCAAAAACCATCCCGATCCATTTGACGCCATTATTTCATTTCGATAAGTATTCTCGCCGTCATGAAATGGGAGCGTTGCAGTTTGGACGCCGAATTTCAACCAACAAGCTCCCCGAGTGGAACACTGATTGGACATACCGAATGTGAAGGTTCGCATCAGTTGATTCTTCCTTGTTTCAAGAACCTGCTGTAAATGGATTATATGATAGATGACCTGCACACGTCTTTTTGTGCCGACAGAATGGTAAATGTAGACTGGTCTATTAATATGACCACCTTATCTACGTCTTTCCGGTCTGTTCCTGTCACAGCTTCTCCTGCTCCGTTCCGGCAAATTCTAGTTCTTCTCGCAGTAACTGGTATGTCAAGTCCTCAGTCCTCGTTATCGCCATAGTATGCCTTCTCTGTGACTCAAGCATCCCTGTCCGCAGTTCATAAGTAGAGCCGGCCGTCTCCCAGAGTCTTCCGTTCAGACCCCCTGGAATAGGAGCTATAACGGTCGACGGAAGGAAGGGGACTGCGAGAACGAGGATGACCGCCATGGGCTCCGGGCGCGAGATTTATAGTCCACTGTACCGGAAGGACTAGGAGACCGAGTGCTAGCCGCTGAACGGCTCGCTCGCGACACCTGTAAGCCCTGTTTGGCGGTAGACGAACGAACGGCCTCTTGGGCGAGACTACCGTAGCGGTCCGCGTAAAACATGGTATCGAGGCACTCCCGATTCATATCTGGTCTTGAGTAGAGGCTGTGTCGCTCAAAGATATAGATAGACGTGGTGACGAAGTTCTTGTATAGGTGTAGCGCATTCCCGCGATTTTCTGTGATAGCCTTGTAAAGAGGTCGTTCGGGTCCTCAACTCCCATGTTGAAGGTGCAGTTTTCGATGTTGAAGGTCAATTGAGCATAAGGATGTTAAGGAGTATTCTTGCATTCTGGAAAACCCCAAGATTAGGCGGACGTTGCACTCGATGTAGCAATCGCTTTAAGAACGAGGGACGGGCACACGGCAGGGCCTCCGGTTTGAAGCTTTTTTGTCCAATACTTCAGGCCCATAGGAACAATGAGGACTGCTAAACTATCTCAACATTCATCTTCTTGTTCATGCCATCCACGCAGCGTCTCGCGCAGTGTGAGGAGGTGGGCTTCGACTAGCTGAAGCATGCTCTGGGGTGTCGAGAATGCATTGATCGGGTTTTCTTTTGGGCCGATCTCAACGCTTAAAGAGGACTAAAGATGATAAATTATAACTTTTTGTGCTGAAGAATATCGAAATTAGTAAAGTATTGGATAAGAAAGCGAGGAACTTCAATGCTCATTCTTTCTATCTGAATGTTTTTTGGCACTAACTCAATATCATAGGCATCCACATTTGCTGACCAGTGGATGAGAGCTAATCGACCATGTGAACGACAATTGGACGATGAAGATGAAAAGCTCCTAGACAATTCCCATGTATGAAATGGGCGGGGCCAATCAGCGCTCTGCACGGCTCACTGCGACGTTCATCCGCTGCTTATGGACGAGGAATCCCGTGTTCTAATCGGCACTATCAGATTACTTGGTCATGGGGTATTTAGATGACAAGATTCGCCTCAGAGCCCTGCCAGGAATCTACCGTAAGATTGTCACAACGGTCATGGTCATGAGAGTGATAGCTGTCGATCTGTCTCGGTGACTGTTGGCACACCATACCAGCCCAAGGTATGGCCCTTTGCCGACACATCGCGCAGCAGGGACATCAGGAAAGCGTTCTTCGATTTTTCACCGATGTTTATCGACATCCTGTTCCAGACGTCAAAGTTACCGACGATAACCTGGACCTTTCTCGCGCAGTCTAACGCAACATTCATTCGTTGCTTATCCACCAGGAACTCCGTGCTCATTCCCTCATGATCCGATGGCCTGGTCATCAGGTAGATCACAAGGTTTGCCTCAGAGCCCTGGCAAGAATCCACCGTAAGATTGTTACGACAACCAACGTTCGACTCGCTGAGCACGTAGTCCATAAGATGGTTCTGGTCTTTAAGCGGGCTGATTATCATGATATCTGCTCGCTTGATCTGATCCTCACTGCTTGACCGGAACGAGTAGAGCTCTTTCAAGAGGTCCCTTGCAAGATATGCCTGGGCATTATTCTTCCACTGCCGGCTGTTGCTGAAGTGTCTTGCCAGGGAGATCACACTGATGAAGACACTGGAAACTCCTGCAAGGTTCTGCTCCTGAAAGTAATAACAGAATTGAGTAAACTTATCCCAAGCGTTACCCACTGGGTCCAGTGCCAAGTTAGTGGAGTCGCTTGGAGTTGCTTATTATATACCTGACAGTTGTACTGGTCCAGAATTTGAGGATGGCTCTTATAATCAGTCGTGAGGGTAATTAGAGTGTACCCTGTCTTGTACAGCCTCTCCATCAGGGAGCGCTTAAGGAAAAGAGCACTCTCATTGGCTCCATTTGGGAGATTATAACAGGAGGAAGCCGCTCTGGGTCCCCAAGCAGAATGACCACTCTGATCGAGGGCATTATCATTGCGATTATATGGTCTCTTTTGAGATTCGCCCTGATTTGCCGTATATAAGAATCTGAGGTTCGAACACCCTTGGGAACCACAGAATATCTTGAGAGGCATTGTTTAACGTCGTTGCAACTATCTTGGCTTTCTCAAGTTTAGGACGATATAGCTGCTCAAGGCAATTCTTCAGTTCCTTTGTCCTCTCTTGCGTTAACCCGGGATGGCTGGTCCGTTTTGAGGAGTTGCATGAATCTGCCACTTTTATCAGAAACAGTTCCTCCTTGAGGACTAACGATTTCATCTGGACATCGTGCAGATCCACCTCATCTTGACCCAACTTGTCAGACTGTCTTTTGACAACTGCAGAGGAGGCGCTCTTGGCTCGCAAGACAGACAATTGGTCGCGAGAGATCGAAATCGAATCAATTGGCCGCACCATCCCAGGAGCCTATCATCGTTTTTGAGAGCTCTGGTCACAGCACCTGTCAAGTTATCGACTCCCTTGTTGGAGCCAGCAGCGATCATCACACGGACGTTGAGGCATGCGAACGCTAGGACTACCAGTACGGCCGTATGAGTCTTTCCAGTTCCAGGCGGGTCTTAAATCAGATAGATTCCAGCACAAATACGGCTGATTGACCGGTTAAATACCTCGCGCTGCATATCGTCTAAAGGGAATTTCTGCAGAATATACGCCAGGCGTTGTTTCTGCAGAGATTGCTCCACATTGGATATCTGGTTGACACTGAGCTCGAAATAATCCGGGCCGTCCGGATGAAACTCTACTCCACGACCCATGATCGTCTTCTGGAGAGAGTATCCTTGCCGAGGTTCAGCGTCACCGTGGACCCGGATATTGCCAGCTTCCCGCAGTGCGCGTATTTGGCGATCAGTGGCCTCAAGATCTGGCTTGATCACCACGACAATTGAGTATCCCTCATAGCTTTTCCCTGGGAGAAATGGCACGAACAGGACAAAGTCGGCGGTAGTCTGCCGATCAACCACGAGACCAGAGCTGAGATTAGCCTTGGTAATCTCTGCTATACTCTGGTTCTCGACAAAAGTAAACCTCGCCTTTGTGGGCGGGCGGATCTCTGGTACTGGCACCTGCTCCTCGTCACTAGTGTTCTGCACCTTGACGTGGACGAAGCAGTGCTTTGATTCCGGAAGACGTTCGACCCAGAACTTATGGCGATTCGCGGTAGAGAATAGGGTCGTAATCACCCTATGTTGGATCGTTCGCTCAATTCGAGATCCCTCGATGAGTCGCGATTTTCTCTCCGTCTCGCTGCAAAAGTAGGGCTCTGACGGGTTCCACTTGGCATATTCCCCATTTGCACCCTTAAGCCAGGGTAATTCGACGTGTATCTCGTCAGAGCCGTCAGCGGGCTGCAATTGATTTATGATGTTGTAGGCCCAGAAGATGCCCCCTTTTGTAGGATCCGCTATCTTCTCCAATTGGAGGACGTTGAACCAGGATTGAATAGGCTCAGGGTCCTTGTGGTTTTCGGCCCAGTTCTTCCAGATGAGTACACAGGAAGACTGACGAAGCCGGTCCCGCAGGGAGCACCACTCTTCTCGGGCCTTTTGGTCGAGTTTCCAGCTAAAGCCAGTCTCTATTGGGTCCTCGCCCGCGGTCTTCTTGATGACCCAGAGGGTCACTTTCTCAAAATCCTTAAACCAGTGAGGGTTTTCTGCCCTGAGTTCCTTGATGGTTTGGAAGAGATCGTCGCCCTCCTTTTCCATGCCCATGCTGATGAAGCACTTCTCGAGGGTGAAGATGAACTGAGGGCAAGGGAAGCTCTTCGTATCTCTCATGGTTAAGATGACTCGGGGATCTTGAGAGTCCAAGATCAGTCTGATTTGGCATGCAGCGTAGTCAGTGCATGGGTCTCCGTAGAAAGCCACTCGGCATCTCCTTTTCACGGCAGCTTCTTTTCCTAGTCCGGCTGGAGCGTCGCATCCATGGGCAGCGTCGAACCACTCAGGGCCGGGGAGGCTCTGACTAGACATCCTAAAGGGGTGTGAGTATTGTGTAAAGGATGTGGTCATGGAAACAGGGCTCTTTTCTTACTTTGTTGGTGGACGACAGTAGGTCTTTACCAAGTTTAGTATTCAAAAAGAAAAACCGGCTATACAGGGAAGCCAGGAGATTTCGAAATAAAATGTTGCCAGCTATACAAGGTATATAAAATAAGCCATAAATGTTAAAATAAAAGGTCGCCGGCTATGCAACGTAAGCAAGGAAGTTTCGAAAACATATAGACTTTCAGTTAGAGTCAACAAAGCCAGCAAAGATCTGGCTATCATGGCGAGCCGATCGAGCAAAAGCGAGATGGCCGTGGTAAATGGTCGAATCCATTCAATTTAATCTACACACAACTCATCAGCCAAAACCATTCGGTGATGTATCGTTTTGAATACTGAATACCAGATGAGCAAGGAGACGCACCTGAACTTCCGGAGTCCGCCGACACTGAGAACCGTTCTTCGGATATGGCAGTCCGAGAGCCATCGGACATTGCATTGAATGTAACAATTTGTGCATGAGTATGAGCCATCGGCAAAAGTCACCCAGCACATCGTTTTAAATACAGCTTCTTGACCAGTCTTTGTGGAGCATTCCGGCCCGGGCTATACAGCTATCTAATAAACAATATGTAGCTACAGATCTGAGTTTGTCTCTGATGGTGTGTGACGTTGAAACGCGGTATATATATGAAAGAAATACTATCATTTATTGTATAATACCAATCGAGGATTATGAGAGAGGCAGGTTTTCTAGACAGTAGGATTCTGTTGGGGGTTGAAAGGAAAGAGGAATATAGACAGATAACGAGGGATTTATATACCAGGAACTCTAACTGTGAATCGATCAGAAAGAGGGGTATTGGAAAGTACCTACTGGTTGCGTATAGTTAATACATTTCGATGGAAGAGAGGCTCATTTCACTTGCGTTTGGGAATTCCGGCATCGTTGCATTCATCGCAGGACTGCGTATTGACCGGGCTTCCCACCCAAAAAAAAAAAAAAAAAAAAAAAAAAAAAAAAAAAAAAAGCGGACAAACAAGGGTAAAACCGAGGGGTATGTATGATCACTCAGATACAACCTATCCTTCTTCAGCGACATCGTCGAGATCCGGGTCTTTTATTATTTATTCATGGTATGTTCTCACACTACCCGTTTCGCCACCCTTGATTCATCCTGGTCCTGGTCTCGGTCCTGATGTTGGGCTCTTGCTGTGTCGCCTCCCTCGCGGAACATCAAGAATAGACGATCTGTGGGGGCAGCAGAAGAAATCAACGTCGTGTTCATCAGATTCCTAGTTTTATCGTGTTATTGTCACTCTGATACCCTCCTCAAGCTCACTATACAGTGCTGATATCGGATTCTGAACAGGAGAGAAACATGTGGGGGTCACAGAGAAGGCTTAGATGGCGGATATCGACTTCGAATTATACAAGACAGGATTAGCATAGAAGAAAGCGGCAATCGACCAGAACAAAAAGTAGGGACGGGCCGGAAAGATGAAGCTAAGATTATCATAGTAATGCAGACTAATATAATTTCTAATGATGTGGAGTAATAAGTATCCAGTAGTTATTTCCAATGGATGGTCATGATGGTAGGAAAACTAGAATACCCACTCCCCTGTATTTGACAAACGGATCTTCACCTAGTCAACAGGTTCGAAGTAGGTGTCTTTTGAGGAGGGCGCGCCTTACCGACGACGGTTCCATATCGCGGGAGACTAGTATCTGTGAGTATTTGAAGTTATATAGCTTGGAGAGGACTGACGCTTGCTTACTTTGTTTCTCACGCGTGCTCTGCCTGTTTCTTCACTGGAGAACCGGGAGAGATAAAGCGGATAAGTCCGGTGAGAGCAAGAAGAAGAAGGAGAAGAAGAAGGAGGAGATAATGATGATAGTAGTGGTGATAAAGATAGAAAGAAAAGGGGGAACACCGGTCTTCGCTGAAAGGCAGAAAACGAGAAAGGATTGAAAGATAGTGAACACTAACCTGAAGAGAAATAGAGACCTTCAAAGGCGACCAGCGAGCTATGGTTGTAAGCGCCCATTCTCGTAGAACGCCGAAAAGTATTTTTAAAAAACGCCGGGTATCCAACGGAACCCAGGAAGTATCGTCTGCGAAGTCGAGTCCAGCTTCTAGGTAGAACTAGGAAGCGAAGTATTTGGTATTTGAAAAAACGCCGGGTATCCAACGGAACCCAGGAAGTATCGTGTGTGAAGTCCAGTCCAGCTTCCAGGTAGAACTAGGAAGTGAAGTATTTGGTATTTGAGAAAAAACGCCGGTCTTCAACGAAGTCCAGGATATGAAAAGGCCTGCTGATCTGCCCGTCAGCAAACAAGGTAGGGGAAATGCGGAAACTCACCTGTGTGTAAGAGATAATTATGATCCTCAGATAGGACCAGGACGAAAAGTATGTGTAGACCCTGTAGCTCAATATTAGCACGGATACGTCAAATATTTACGAAATCTGGAACATGCAAAATGTGCAAATGGTCTCTTAGAAAGAGTCGACAAAAGGGATCAGATGCGCTGACTCTGATAGAGAGCCAGTGTGGGCAAGGGAAGAAGCGGTGGTTGATGAGGGAGAGAGAAGAGGATGAAATAAAAAGCAGAGAAATAAAATAAAAAGGACGGAGCTGGGGGGTCTTTGTGCGTCAGGTGCTCACAAGGGGGGTTGGTGTTTGTGTTTTTGAGGGAGGTGCCCTCCTCAGGCTCACCTTGGTTGTTGGTTCTACCAAGGAGACGTATAGCAGGTTAATGCACCATCTTGGACAATGACGAGCGTAGTATTTGAACTCTCTGCGGTTCTCAGGGCAAGAGTAGCAGATAGATTTTGATAGATTCCGTTACTTAAGCAATCTGAAGGATCCTATCCTTGACGCGTGCTCAGCTTCATCTTTGCTTCTATATTTCGACAGGATGTTGCATATATTATAGCAGAAAATCATAGAGAAATAGAAGAATATCAATTGACTATATGAAGATTTCTATTAGATGAACAGTAGTACACTTGATGATTTCAAAATTTCAAATAGCCCCCCAAAGCATATTATTATCTCGTATTCTGTATTACTTCTAATGAGCTACCCTGTAAATTCGGATAAAGATACAATCTTTTGTACAATATGTTGAACAATATAGCCAATGACGGAAGCAGAATTTCAGCAAAACGTTTAGCTGTAGACAACTACACGGCCACCACATGAGGAAGGCGTCATACTAATTTCTAAGTTTACTATAGGAAAGCAATATTGCTATCCTTTGATATTAAAAAGAATTATTAATTGAGCTTAAGCCCTTATTATCGACTGTTACATTTGATCTATGTACCCAGCATTTGTCTCTAACTTTATCGTTGTAAGGATATATCGCTCTCTTCATGCCTGCTTTCACCGGCGACAAATACAAGCGGATCGTGGACCTGAACTGTCAAAGAAAAGACAATACGTAGCTCGTAGCCATAATTCAGTGGCAGCTAGCCAAGGTCATTTTCACCCCATCCACTGTCCATCTTCATCCACCGAATCGCGTGCTCTCTCTTAGCGTCTTTCGAGTCGCCTCCTTGCTGCTGCGAGTTCAATTTCAGCGATCCGTCGGTCGATCAGGGCCAGATTTCTCTCCTTCTCCAATACATCATTCTCTAAGTCATAGCCCGATGCCTGGTCATTCACATCACTTTGCCGGATAGTCTCAGGACGGTCGCGATAACCCCTGGGGCGTCGAGTAGGACTGTTTGAACGGCGGCGGTAAAACGAGCCCGCCCCACGAGATCCATGGCTGCGAGGATCGTGCTCGGACCTCGGAGGCCAGACCCCACGACCCAGAACAGGAGAGCGACTGCGAGAACGTTTCATAGCTAATGGGGGCCTTTGCTCTTCACGCTTATACGCTCCAAGTGGCGCTAGGTGAACTGCCTGTCTATCAGGAGCAGTTTGCAATGGCGATCTGGACAGCGGAATGACTGGACGAGACGGGTCGGATATAGCTGATGTCGCGGTAGTGAACCAGGAATGGATATCCCGAGTGTATTTGTATGTGGGCATCCATCTTTCGCAGATGACCATTTGACGGCATTGACTTGCTCGTCTACACAACGCATCCCATCTCTCCCTTTCCTGACTTTCGAGTCTCCAGTACTCTCCGGTCTGGAGAGGAGGACCGCGTAACTCAACTAGATACACCCAGGCAGTGACGATACCCTCAAATAGCCGCGGGATCCTTTCGCGAGTCTCCTGAATGGCTTCGCAAAGAGCGTCGTTGGGCGCTTCGACCCCCATCTTGATGGTGCTGTTGTCAACGGTGAACGTCAACCGTGCACGGGGACTAGCATCAGTCTGAAGACCAACACTGAGTATTATGTTAGGATTCTGAGGATCCAAAGTGAGGCGAACTTTGCAGTTGATATAGTTCCCGGACTCGGAATCTTCGAAAGTCACGCGGCAGTTCCTGCGTGCAGCTGCTTGCTTTGACAATTCCTTGGGGGGAGCAGGAACATGAGTAGCGCTGAACTGTCCAGGGTCAACAGATCTCTGAGGCTCCATCCTAAATTGGTGAGTATACTGGAGAATATATGCTGCAAGTGGAATGAGTTCTTACTTGTGAAATAGAGTTCCTTCAACCAACCAAACAATCCGAAGAGAATAGACCTAACAGGGGAAAAAAACTGATCAGCCACTGGCAAAGTATCACAGGAGTAACCGAGTAATTGGACTTAGCTTTCGAAGGAGAGTCGGCAAGTTGTGAGAGAGGTCAAGCCTGGCAGATAGAAACCCAGGAGAGAAAATTCCACGCTCAGATACAATCGAAAGTAGAAAACCGCCGGCTACGCAAAGCAAGCCAGGAAATGTCAAAACGGTCGACTCTTTCGGTGAGATTCAGGGGGCCCGCGAAACTGTAGCTCTCACAGACAGCTGAAAGAGGCAAATTCGAGGCAGTGAAGAGACGCTCTCTGTGCAAGGGGAAATGCACCGGAATGGGATTTGTGGGAGAGAAGGAAGTTCAAGGAGAAAAATAAAAATTCAAAGGAGAGGGTTGGGGCTTCTTTGTGCGTCATGTGCCCAGAAGGGGGGTTGTGTTTGTGTTCCAAGTTGAGGTAGGTGCCCTCTCAGCCTCACCTTCGTGGCCCTTCAAGCCAGCAGATGGAGCGGATGGTACTGGTATATTGGCACTCGACACTGCTCCTCTCATTCAGCAACCCTCTTTTCTCGATATCTCGTTCGAAGAAGACTGGATACTAATATCATGTACTCTGATGTACGTGGACTCGACAATAAAGGAAAAGAAAACTCTTGAGCAAGTCACGACTATTCTACTATACATAGTGTGGTCCATTGGGATACTAACTTCGATAGAAACCCATTATAGAAAGCGTAAAGCCTGGGAGTATGGAACATACAGACAAGACTCAAGGGGTATCTCTTTCCAACGAACAGAGTCTTGTCAATCGGTCACAGCAACGGGCTGTTTTACAGATGCATAGAACCAGAAACATGAAGCTTTTGCTCAAGCATAATACACAACAAGGTTACATGATCTCTATATATTGCTCATGAGTATTTAGCATAAGACGCCATCTCTTACGACTTACATATCTCCGGCATTACAGCAGCAGAACTGTCCTTACTGTAAGACGGAGATGCGCTATCATACTGCATAATGGATATGTAGTTTCAATATCCTATTATATCATAAGGACCAGACAAAGAGGGCACTCGGGCTCAGAAGTGAAATCTCAGAATGAATTTTTACATGTATGATAATAAGTTCTGTCCTTGCTGATAAGCACACAGGTACTTCTTTATCTGAATACATCTTCCTATAGATTATGAATAAGAATATTCAATATTCTAGAGCCTATATAAACCCAGAAGAAGGTACAGCGTAGTAAAGCAGCATTTATACATACCACAGAGAAGGTAATTCTCTGTGAAATAAGATAGCTTCCTGACGAATAGTTCAACGAACCGATGTCTACCGAATTCATTGTCACAGTCATCTGATAATAACACAACACAACCTAGCATATGAGAAAAGATTTTCTTTGTCTTCTAATCCTCCCACATATGATTTTCTTCAATTCGTCTTCTCTTCTCTTGTCTTCTTACCACCTACCTACCACTTCGTCCTTGACCACCACACATCCGTGCTCTTGACTGCCAGAGAGAGAACAAACAGATATCTAAAGGAAATTCAGTCCATATTAACAAAGTAAGTTTAATCTCCTTGCATTGCATATTCTCCAGGATATTCACAGATATTAGGAATGGACCATGACACCCAGCCTCCGCAGACCGAGGATCCTCGCAGCCGTTCGCGCAGTCCCACTTCACACAAGAGCCAGTATCGCCACCGATCCCCAGACACTAGACGGGATGATACAGAAGAGAACGCAGCACGCCGTGACCGAGAGGATAGGTTCCTGGAGGAGAAGGCTCTGGAACTCGCTGAAGACGCCGTATGCCTCTCTAAACTGGCGGTACTCCAAGCCAAAGAGAAGGGTGCTTATCACGAATGGCAGATGCTGAAGGCAGAGCAAGACAGGAGATCAGCTGAACACCGCCGGAGGGTTGCAGAACAAGAACTGCAAATGCTACGTGCGGAGTTAGAGAGGAGACGAGCTCGGAGAGAGCAAAACTCGTGATGCATATGCATCATACTACACAAGGCAGAGACAGGTGTGAAGGGCGGATAAAGGACTCCAAATTGTACTAGAGTATTATCATAATGGCAGCAATCTCATTTCTAAGCCGACTGGAGAAACACGACATTATTATGCTCCGCGTAGGTTTTCCCCACGGAAGCAATATTAGATAGAAATAAAAATCAAATCGAATTGTAGAGACAGACTCGTACATTTACGGTCAACCAAGACGTTTATTTCGTCTAGATCTAGTCGCGAGACTTAAGGGACTGTGCTCCTATTTAGCCCCAGTTCCATCCATAAGAAGTACATGTATCAAGATCCTGATGATTTAGGATCTCATTTGCCATCGCACCTTTCATTCGGAACACCAATTATATTCTACTCCTCCTCGTGGACTGGAAATTTTGCGCACTCTTGGCGCCCAGAAGGTTTCCTACCTCTTTGGTCTGGAACGTTTGGCGCTGATGAGAGTTCTGCTGGACCCATGGTTTAGTGAGAGTGTTGCCGCTGAGGTTGCGACTTAGTTGGGGGTTTAGGGTACACGACGGTGTGTGCAAAAGGCAGGTCAAGAACTACTTTGCGGGCTAGCTGATAGTCTACTGTGATGAAAAGTCTACTCTGAATAGATGCACATTCCGCAGTTTTTGAATTTTGGCTCGCTATCGTATATATCATAGCTCGTTGCTCCTGGCCGAGCATGGTCCTAAGTATATGCAAGGCTGCAAGCATACAAGTCCCGAAAAAGACAACTTTTTATTCACAAAAATCATCTCCGTCCTTGTCGGACCAAAAAAAGGATCCAGCAAAGGCCATGAGAAGAGAAAAAGAAAAGGATAGAGACCCAGGTCCCAAGAAGTGAAGAGAAAGAAAAAAAAAAAAAAAAGAAGTGGTTTGTATCAAAAGGCCACTGCTAACAAAAAATGCGCAGTGGAGTAGAAGAATCGAAGAATATCCATACAAATCATGGCTTCAATGGTAATGGAAAGTTGCCGAAGTCAAGCGGTGATTGATGTGGATATTTAAAAAAGGGACATGTAAGCCTGACCAATTTGGCTGAGGACGTTGGCAGCAGTCAGGAGGACCGAGTTGGAGCACATGAAGTAGGAGTAGCGGCCAACACCCGCCTGAGAGTCGAGCCAAGGGAGAATCTCAGTGAGGAACTGGACCTGAGAGGCATCGTCACCGGTGGCCTGGAACTCGGTGATCCAAACCTCCTGGATGTTGTTCTGGTTGGCGAGTTCGATGGCCTGGTTGACGAACTGCTTGAAGTAGTCGGTGAGGGACGCATCGGCGTACCAGTGGACAGCAAGAGCGCTGATCTGGCAGTCAGTGCACTCGCTGAGGAAGCTCTTCATCCAGTCCAGTCCCTGACCGGCGGAGCCAGAGTTGCTAACAGCCGGGCTGACGAGGGTGGCATTGCCGGCGTAGGGGGTCATGTACTGCTTGTAGTCGGAGGCAGCCTGGGACGGCGACATGTTGGCCTGGCTGGCGACGTCGGGCTCGTTGAAGCCCAACAGGTACTTGCTGCCAGAGGAAAGGGCCGAGTCGGCAGCGGCAGACCAGCCACTGTACATCTTGGGGCCCCAGAGCATGGGGACGTACTCCACGCCGGGGGGAAGGGTACCATCGGGCTCCATGTTCCAGTTGTAGGCCCAGGAGACACCAGTCAATGCAGCGACGAGGGAGGCCTCGTTGTAAGCAGCACCCTTCTTGGCGGAAGTAGCGTTACGCTTGGCGTGGAGGTGCTGATGCGCCTGGTGAGGAGCAGCCAGAGCAACGGTAGCCATGAGGCCGGACACGAAAAGAGCGCTGAAAGAAACCATCTTGATGACCTGGTGAAACTGCTTCTTCGATATGTTCTTGTATAGTCAAGAAGATGAAGGAGAGAACTTCTCAACCAGTATCAAACCCGAGTATTTTTGGGTCGAAAGGAGGGTGGATGAGCTGATAGGAGCTCTTTTAAAGGAATGAACTTTCTGCAAGAGAAAAGGAGTGTTGGTGTTGGTCGTGCCCGGCACGGCGTGGCTTGCACGCAAGACGTATGTACGCTGAAGTTTGGAAAGGGAAGGACAAGGTGGTGAACAAGAAAGGATTCCCTGGGGGGCTTGCAAGATATAGGATTTTATAACCTATGCATGCAGCATTTGCCCCCACCGGTAACAAAATGCAGCATCGGTCTAGAAAGGGCCTCTGAACTATTGGTGCCCGATAGCTGGGACGAGGCGCGCAGTCAAAGCATCTCCGCAGGCGCTAAGTGCTGTCAGTTTCTAGCGGGACGAACAGACACAGACCAACCATGATGGCTATCCGATTCACTGGTCAACGGCGTACTTGGATAAAGTGGTGGCCACGTCTGGGTCATTATTATTTCGCTCTCGAGATGAAACGCCAGTGGAGAGGCCCCTAGATGATGGTTGACATTGCCCGATTGGAACCATCGGATCGCCGTCCACGCCCCTCAAGGCTCAGACACCTGATTAGCTCGACATCGACATGTCAGGGCTGGTGGAGGAAGAACCGCCGTGGATGCGATGAGGAGACAGACCAACTGGATGTCTGGGCGCGTCCACCGACCCTTGGTGCCTGAGCGTGGCCAACCAGCCTGTTCCTGAATCTCCTGCAGGGACGAACTCTCCTCGCTTCTCCCCGTCGATGGCGTCTCGCCCTATCACTAGACCGGTTTGGCGCTCTCGCCACTGGGCTGCTAGCGGTGAGGATATCACCCCCGAGAAGAACCATCGAAGACGGTGCTAAATGATCGGACGGGATCGACACAAAGCCTTTCTGGACATCATAGAGAAAGTAGAGTACAACCCACAGAGTAGATAGATAGATCAGGAATCTGACCATTGCCATGTGAACAGCCCTAGAAGTTGATGCCAGAGGCGTTCCCCTGGATGCAGGAACAACGCACCATGGATTATGAGATTAACCCTAATTTCGCCATCCAGTGAATGACTGCGTATGTTCTGGTCTCCGCTGAGCAACCGTGGCGCTCGGTCGATGGGGAATCGGGAATTGAATTTGCATGCTATCGATGCGATAGTTACTGTAGGCATCGTTGAACGGGCCGTCGCGACAACTCGATTTCCCCGTCTCTTTCCAGCACAGCAGTTGGTCTCGACTGACAGCAAGGCATCCGGTTATTGGATCGTACTGAAGAACTGTCTCCATGCGGTTTGATTATCCCCTCTCGGGTCTGCTTGCTTGTCCTGCCTCATCATTCGCGCCCACCGCCGCTATGACAGTCTGAGATCCGTCGTTATTATTTTCCCATTGTTGTCGCGCTGCTGTAGCTATATAGACTGTGCCAGGATGATGGTCCTATGCGAGTAATCGACTCGTCTGACGATGGATCGATCGAGAGATAACTAGCGCCGGTCCCGGCTGGACGGCGCGTCGTGAAACCGGTCTCTCTCTTTTTGCAGTGTTTCTTCAACAAGCGCCGACCGGGCGTTTCAGAGACAAAGCTTGTCTCTTGTTCGACAGGGCGTAGAACAGGCCTGGACTGCGACACGTCCAATGCCGCTCTGGATGAACAAGTCCATCGTCCACATGGCTTCGTTGCCAGCCCTGCTTGCTGACGTGGGAGCATACGCGGTCGCCAGGCGCACGGAAGAATGTGAAATGCTTAGAATAGAATAATAATACTTAAGGCTTCGCTATCTCGCTTTCCCTTTTTCCGCATAGTGCTGCGGTCTGACTTGGGACAAATTCGAAGTCCGAGGGAGACAGGCGGCATCGTGGGACGGGAAATTCGGCTCGGTAGAAAGGTCATTCCTGCTGTCGTCCTGGCGAGACCGACTCGATGGACCTTCAGGGAAACCATTTCATTATTGCTCCTAAGCTTTGTCCGTCGTTTGATCTCATATGAGTGCAGCTCCAATTTCAATCTCCCTTGTGCTCCACCATCTTCGCTTGTGGACGGATCGATCTGGAGTATGTCATGATCGTGACCACGCCATGTCGGGGTATTTGACAAAGACCACAATGAAAGAAAGAAACAAGTTCAATATAAAGCCTGTTCTCGTGGTGTTGAGGTATGATATGAGCTCTCCGTCTACTCAGGACAGGTCATACCTACATAGTCTCATCGATGATAATCAGTATTGGCGTCGATCACGATACCTGTAACAACTTCCCTTTTCGTGAAGCTGTGTCACCAGCAACTTCCACCAATCCAATGCTTCCGACTGTAGAGTAAAAAGCGATTATGGTACTATTTCGGGATTTCAATGAGCATAGATCTGAATGACCTTGTTGCTTATGCGTGTACTCCTAGATTACCCTACACGGTCTCCTATGACCATAATCATGATAGAGACAGCACGCACATTCTATTACATTAAGCTACAGCAGACTCTGCAGAGCCGTTGGCCTTGCTGTAATAGCTGCATACATGCTCACGCTACGGGAAATTCTCCTTGCTATGCATTCTTTACCGATAGTTAGCTGCTAATCGACGTGCTCCCCGGATATACGGCATACCTCGTGCTTCCCCGCGCTTCCATTCCAGTCTCTACTAGTATGGAATTGGATAAGATATACGACAATTTCTAAGTAGACGCTCTTCAAGCTTGGGCCATCGTGATTTACCTCACTCTTCTTGAGTGTGAAAAGAGTGACAGAACGGTGAACGTTCCCGGACTATACGCTCTGCAAGCACTCCCAGATATCAGACTCGCACCTCTGAGGTGCCCCATGATCATTCGATCGATATCGCCACAGCTTCCAATCTCTCTACTTGGTGGCCTCACCGTATCTTAGTCTATGGCTCTTGGGCTTTTCAGGAGGGAAGGGTAGATACAAGCAAAGAAAAAAGTATCCATGGCATATTATTAGACTATCTATTATGGGCTATCTATCTATTTCCCCGCCCGCCTTGCCTCTTTCTTTGTTGTTGTCTGCTGAAATTCACCCGCTGCTCTCGCGCTCTCTCTCCCGGTCTTGCTCGAGCTCCCTCCTTGCCATCCTGAGTTGGAGATCAACGAGCCTCCTCCGCGCTTGGGCCAGGTCTACGTCTTTCTGGGCCAGGTCTACGTCGTTCTGGGCCTGCTCCATTTCTAACATTGCGACCTTTTCCTCTTTCTCTCTGGTTGAAGTCATGGCTCCGTCTCTCAAGTCATCAGACCGGTTGCGATAGTCTGTCGAGGACCCAGTAGGGCTACCTGAACGGCGGCGGACAATTGAGCTCTCTGCACGGCGGCGAGACGGGTCTATGACCGGTGGCTTTGGAGGCAGTGGCTGAGGGGCTCGACGGTTCTGGTCGTGCGCTCGAACGCCGCCGAAGTTGACCGGCTGCTCAACTGTCCGGGCCTTCTTATGGTACCCTTCACGATTTCTGAGGTCCAGGCTCTGTACATGGCTTCCGTAGTCAGTTGACAACACAGTGCAGGGGTATCCGGCTGCGTATAGCCTCTCCATGAGCGAACGTTTCAGATATAGAGCACATTCATTCCTTCCATGTTCAGAGATAAGTGGAGGTGGTCGCAGATCCGGGTCACCGAGGAATATCACTGCTCTGATGGACGGTATGGTCATCGCGATCATGTGGTCACCTTCAAGACATTGGCTGGATTCGTCGCAGACAAGCACATCTGGTTGGAAAGAGTCAGGATGCTGCAATATCTCCTGATATGCGTTGGTTAGTGTTGTGGCGACGATTCTACTACGACTAAGCTCAGCAATGGAGAGTTTGTCAAGGCAGTCGCTTAGTTGCTCTGAGCTCTTCTGAGTTAAACCCCGAGTCTCGTCAAAGCTCAGAAGCTTGAGAAGCTGGGAATGAAGCTCTGACTCTGGATCCCCTTCGGCATGAGCGAGCACCAGTGAATCCATTTGCACGCGAAGCAGGTCCTCCTCGTCCTTGCTTAAATTGTCGCGATGCTCTTTGCTGACAGTGTGCAAAGCGCTCTTGGCTCGCAAAGAAGATATCTGATAACTTGGTGATCGAAGACGCACGAGCTGGCCATCGCACCAGTCACTGAGAGTGGGATCATTGTCCAATTCACGCAGCACGGCAGCTGCCAGATTATCTACCCCTTTATTGGATCCCGCAGCAAGCAACACACGCACATGAAGACATGCGAGCGCAAGAATGATCACTGAGGCTGTGCGGGTTTTGCCGGTTCCCGGCGGACCTTGGATCAGATGTACTCCGGCACAGATGTGGTAGATTGACCGGTCGAATGCTCGACGCTGAGACTCGCTCAGAGGGAATTTCTGGAGGATATACGCTAAGCGCATTTCTTGCGTCGGTCGATCGAGACTTGACAGCTGATGAATGCTCAGTTCGAAATAGCCTGCACTGTGTGGATTGAGCTCTTCTCCCCGAGCCATAATCGTGTTATGGAGGGAGTACCCTTGACCCAATTGGGATTCCATGTCGCCATAGACCATGGTGGTTCCAGCTTCTTTCAATGCATCGATTTGGCGATCAATGGATTGGAGATTGGGCTCGGAATCGGGGTCGGCGACCACAACTATGAAACGCCCTTGCGGGCTGATCTCCGGGGGCTCTGACATGGCTATGACAAAATCACAGGTTGTTTGTCTCTGCACAAAGATTCCCGAATACTGGAGATCGGTGTCCTGAACTTCTTTGGTATCTGAATCCACAAATGCCAACTTCGCGGTTATCGATGGTTTGATACAAGGAATCATAAACTGATGTTCCCCGTCAACAGCGCGCTGAACTTTGACGTGGACAAAGCAGCTGGAAGGCTCATGATGCTCCATCATGAAACGGTGGTGTCTCTTGAGGGAAAAGGTTCTGGTTATCGACCAATATTGGGCGTCTCTTTCAATACGAGTGCCTTCGACCAGCCTCCATTGTCTTTCAAGCTCATTGCAGAAGAACGGATCTGATGGTATCCACTTGCAGTACTCCTCCCTCGACTCGCGATTATCTCCAGTCATCCGAAGCCAAGTCAACTCGGGGCGTCGTCCCTCAGAGCCATCCGGGAGCTGAGCCGGTTTTGTGGCCGTGTAGGCCCAAAATGCTGCTCGGCCACCTGGGACCGCGGCCACCTTGGACTGGAGGACCGAAAACCAAGAGTTAATCTGTTCAAAGTTCTTGTGGGATGGAAGCCATTTTTTCCAAACAAGCATGTTGCGATGCTGGTTAGCCCATTGGGACAACTTCTCCCAGTTGCTCCGTGCTTCTCCCTCGAGTCTCCAACTCTGGCCAGTCTGGATTGGGGCGCCATGCAATTTCACAAGATACAGTGACGTCGTGGGGAATCCCTCAAACAGTCGTGGCATCCTCTTCCGGGCGTCCTTGATAGTCTGATAAAGTGTATCGCCTGGCTTTTCGACTCCCAGTGTGAAAGTGTTACTTTCAACAGTAAAAACCAACTGCGCGCCTGGACTTCCGTCACCCTGTGGCCCAACACTGATCACAAGTCTTGGATTCTGGGAATCTAGGAGCAGTCGAACTCTACATTCGACATAGTCATCGGATTCGCATTCGTAAAAATTCACCCGGCACGGTCTCCGTATGGAAGCTTCTCTGGCCAACCCTTTTGGGGCATCCGAACCTTGGGGGGTTGTGAACCACTCAGGGCCAGGAAGTTTCTGCGACGCCATCCTACTGGTTCTGAGCACTTGTGATAATTATGGTATAAGGAGAGTGAGGAGGTCTTACCTTTTTGACAGGGCTGCAGGCTTTCTTGCTGTATTTATCGCTTCTCTAGGAGAGCGAAAAACGCGTATATTCTGGAGTAAAGCTCTAGAATAAACGAAACACGGCTCTCAATAGAAAATCGGTGTGAGTGAACAAGCGTTGATCCACAAAGAGGACCGGAAATGGGAAGAACTTTCCAATGCGACGGAATGAAACCTCAAAGAGAGCAGACAAAGCAAGAGAGGCAAACTTCAGAGGAAGCTGAAAAGTGGAGCAAACTTTGTATTTCCAAAGAAGGATGAAGATATCTGGAAGCGAAGCTCGCGCGAACTTGAATTCTCTAGCAACTAGCTGGGCCTATTTATCTCTCTGGGTGGAGCTAGAAAGGCGCGGGAGAAACCCGACAAAACGGAGGCTTGCATGTAGGCAGGCTCCGACAAGATAGGACGGAGGTATGTGAATTCTTGGAGAGAAGACAAAGAAGAACACACGATTCTGAGATGATATTGAAGGTCTAGCCTAATATGGAGGTCGAAGGTTTAGATATTGTACTCACTTCCTGCACAGCCTTATATTAGAAATAGAAGTTTGCAGATGCCATAATTCATTCTTTCTTTCCCTAGGGTTCCTCAGAGAGAAAAACAATATAGGTAACTAGAGTTTACGTGCAGAGCCGTAATCGAACCTACGCAGAGGGAGAGGGCGCAAGAGCTGATATAGTATGACCACATGGGACTGGGTCTAATCACTTTATTACTATTTTGAATAAATCTATGCAATCTGGGGTTCTGAAATCCTGCATCTTCTTGTACCGTATGCGGAGCTTCCCATCGAAATAGCATTGTAGAAATCAACCATGGACTGGAACAAGCACTGAGAAAAGAAGTGCCTATTGTGTCCACTTTGGGCGGCATTATGAAACGAGATTTCAGCAGTGACGCTCAGGAATATATAACTATCGATCAGAAGATCGGTTGTCTGTGTAAAGATATCGATCGATAGTTCGACAGTAAGTAAGGTGATTGTATAGTAAGAGCAGAATGCGTACCACGCTAACAAAATCTAAGTATCTCTCCCATGTTTTGCGTGCGATCTACCCACCTTGTTACGAACAAAAGTCTTCCGACTTCGTGTTTGCCACGTAACCCCCTGACAAGGGAGTGTGTGGTCTTTCCTTAACTAGCCTTAGGCACAGGCATCTCTTGACAGCAAGTGTTCGGAGGATTAAGCATCCTTTGATGCGCCTACACTGGGCAACATCTGCCAGGTCTCGAAGGACATCGCGGCTGCGACCGCTGTTGAGCACACGGATCTTTTTTAACCTGACCATTCTCTCTGAATTGTCCACGCGGAGTTATATTAACATCTCTCTGGCGAAATCTCGGAGGTGTTGGAGCTCATGTCTGAGAGTTGTATTTGGAATTTGGCCGGTAACCAACTGCTGCCTGAAAAGTTGAGCCTTTTCCAATATCGATAAAGTCGGTCAAGGCAGAACCGGGCGCACGCGTGGGGAAGATTGGCTAAAATCTTGATATTAGCTTTAGTTTGACTTGAAATAAAGCCTACTAACCATAGGTATTGGGGAGGGGTGATAACACCACCCGGTCCACGCTCCCACTTTTCTGCAGAGCCCTTGACTCTGCCACGACTGAGTTTATCATAGATCCTGTCATGCTTGACGACTAGCTTCGTCCTTCCCTATAGTCGAACGCGTCAGCAAGGTCTTGGTTTGCGATCCGATTAAAGTTATACCAGGTACCGGTTAAGTTGTAACTGATGGTACCTAATGTTTCCAAATTCGCCAAGTTTGGAATTTCTCGTTCACGGTATGGTGTTCCAGAACGAATACATAAAGGGGATATTGGCTTTCTGCCAGTCGACCAAAAAGGAGAACTCCTTGTTAGACTGCCTGGATCTCTAACAGGGCATATTGATATAAAGGTATTATACGATATGAATCGAGGTTTATACGAGAGGCTTTATTCTGAAGGGGTTGGGAGGTAATAAGAATACAGAGCGACAGTCGGGTTCTATATACCAGTGATTCTAATAGTGAATCAACCAGCAAGAGGGGTTTTTGGAAATTACCCACGGCGAGTATACGGTTAATGTATAGTTAATGCATTTTGGTTGAAGCAAAGTCCATTTCACTGTTGTCTGGGAATTCCGACATCACGGACCTGGGTATCGATAGAGTTCCCGCCCAAACAAGATAAGGACCAACAATAGTAAAACAGAAAGGTGTTCAGGCTATTCAATCGGCCTCGCACTACCCTTGTCGACGCAGTTGGTCCTTCCTGATCGTGGTGTATGGCCTTGCAAGGCCTTGCTGTATCGCCTCCTATGCGGCTCTATCCGTCAGCCTTGGTGCTCCTTCAAGGCTGGAGATCCATCTGATCGTCGTCTCTATACTGCCTTGTTGACAGGAAGTATCTCTTTGAGATCAACCCCTAGTGGAAGATCAACTTATAGTAGGGATATATATCAAGCGAAAGAAAGTTTTGATCAATGAGTGATACTCCATTCGTCTCGTCGAAGGATTCTGCTGCTATAATACTATACTATATATTAAAGAACCATTAATTGCTTGCATGTTGCACCTCCTCACTCCCTTCCCCTCCCTAACCACTTCAGTGTCCCTCCACTCTATTGACCTGTCATCCGCATCGCATCGAATTGTATCGTTTCGTATCGGATAATCGAATAAAGAGGACGGGACTCGACCTAAAAGAAATCTAGAGACAATCGTCCCTCTCAGCACAAGGTACTGGTAAGATCTTCCACCCATCAAGCAGACTCCCCACAAGAAACCCGAAGACTTGCTCAGGTGCAGGTGCAGGTGCAGGTGCAGGAGGAAAGAAAGTTTTATAAGATAGTATAGACAGCTTCGACGGGAGGAGGGGGAGGGCCCTATACACGCGACGGATAGAAAAATGGAAAAGGCAAGAGACAAGGCCTCTCTGGACTGCAGCGTAGAGTCTGCAAATCCAGTGTCGCAAGGGGGTACATCCTAGGGTTCTTACCTGTATGTATATTTCGTAGATAAGTGACATGCGATGTCACCATATCCTGTGCCTGATCAGACAGTACAGAGATCGAACTCGTAGAACCTGTAGAACCTGGAGACAACCGTCTCCGTCAGCACAAAGGTACTGGTAAGGTCTTCCACCCCATCTTCGAACTCCCAAGCTTCGAGTGGCCAGTTCTACACCAGGGTAGATTCTAGGGATCCCAAGGGTACTTTCTCAGGTTTCTTACCTCTTTTCCTGATCAAGTTCCCACAGCAAATGTCATCAAGTCGTTAAATGGCTGAGCGATCGATCGTATCATAGAATTTCGAACCTAGAAAGTCTGGAAATATCCAGAAGAGGAGGCCTCCTCCTCAGCACAAATGCACTGGCAAGCTCTTCCACCCGTCATCGAACTCCGGCAAAGAAACAAGAGGTGTCTGCTCGCGGCTACGAGCGTGTGCTTGGGGGATAAGTGGCAATATATAATATAGATCTGAAGGGGCAAGAAAGGGAACGAACAGTCCTCTGTCGCGATGGGTACATTCTAAGGTTCTTACCTGTGTGCAAGAGAAGAATCTGGCATGTTATGCCCATAATTCAAAGGTGTCATTGTGTTCCTTCGATGAACACGTCGATGGGAAAGGTGTATCAAGTGGAAGAACAAGAGGACTGATGCGGCTATGCAAGGTCACATCGCACCATGAAGTAGTCTTCGGGATCAAGTCCATGTCCACACACATGAACTTGATCCCGGGTGAAGTGCATAGAACGAAAGTGAAGTAGTAAGGAGAAGATTTGGTGGGCAGAGGGGGGTATTTATCTTCAGGAGATTCGCGCTAGTCCACGCGATTCGCTAAGAGGACGACTGGCGAGCGGTCTTGGGCGAGGACTATTCCTTTGTTGTAAAGTCTTCTTTGTTCGATCAGATACATGACCAGGAAGAGCGCGTTTCGCGTTGTTGTGATGTCTGGGGAGGGTGGGGAAGTGGTTGTGTTGATGGAGGAGGCGGCTGGGGTTGAAGCGGAGGATCGATGGGATATAAGAGCCAGGCACAGTATTGCAGCCTAGCAAGCCATTCCATGATGTAATAAGTGCTGCCTAATCTCCCTCTCCGCAAGAATCGTTGTTGATAAATGATTAATTATTTCATTGCAGATATTCGATGCTTGTCTGATATATAGATCGAAAATGATACGCCAAGGATCCCACTCCGCTCCGCTACGGACATTTTGCTGTTTCACCGTCGTGGCGACTGCACGATGTGGCTGGGGAGTCTCAATATCCAGAAATACTGTGGTCTGATGTGAAACAGCTTCTAAATTGGTATATGGCTTATTACTACTGGGTCAAAATAGGGATATAAGACCCGCCTCGCCTTCAGTGTTGGCAGTCCACCGTCGTTCGACACGGGAGCACCAATCCGCCATTCTCTCGCCATAGCACTCAAGCAAATAACAGGTCGAAATGAGATCAAAGCACTGTTTCTTTCGTGTTTCTAAACAGTGATCATGACCGGTTCAGAATTGGGTCCGTACTGGCGAGGACTCTACGGCTAGAATTCGCAGGACCCAACTAGATACACTACTGTGGTTTGTCGAGTAGAAATTTGCATTATGAGGTCGGTCCAAAGAGCAACAATGATGCTTCACGACCTCTGGTATCATATTGGGAAGGTTAACCATGACTATACTGTGTCTACTCCTTGCCCTTGTCCCCTTTGCTTCTCGCATCGAGGACCCTTAAAACATCAGCAGCACTATCCTTATTACCCTTGCGCTTCTTTGGACCCCGTTTGCGCTTATTGCCACCTCTCTCCTCCCAGGTCGGCCCTTCTTCGTCTTCCTCATCTTCGATACGACTACTGCCGAATCCATAGTCCATATCCATCGCATCTTGAGCCTCACGCCGCTTCGCTTCTTCCAGGAACTTCTTCCGTCGCGCGAGGGTCTCCGCGTCAGCGTCTTCTTCACCGGCCACTTCCTCAGATTCCGCTGCTTGTCGGAGCTGAGCCGCCCTCTTCAAAGCCGCCATGATCGTCGGATCCGTGGCAAATGGATTGGCACGGGAGGATTCCGCTGTCTCTGCAGTAGTAGGTGTCGAGAAATAATTGCGAGGTTTCGCCGGAGCCGCAGTTGCTTTCTCAGCTGTCTCAGTGGAAGCAGGTTCCGGTGGTGGTGGAGCCGTGGATGCTACAGCATCCTTTTCAACGGCGGCAGCCTCATCTTCGGATTCAGAAGAACTTTCCTCGTCACCAAGATCACCCAGAGGGTTGTAGTCTGCGCCAACACCCTCGAAAATGTCTCCGTCCTCTTCTGCCTCCGGTGTCGCAGCTATCTTCGCCGCGATTTCAGCAGGAACCTCCATTCCTAGAGGTTTTGCGCTCTTATCAGGAGCCAGCAGGCCACCATTCTGTTCTCCAGGTTTGTCCAGATATCTAACCTTCTTCTTTGTCCTTCCCTCGGCATCTTTCGTAATCAGAACCTCCCTCCGTCTTCCAGTCTCGTCTTGTTCAATCCAGCGCTGCTTGTTGTCTCCAATCTTCTTGAATTTCGAACCCAACGCAGGACCAGTCTGCTGAGGAGCGGGTTGAACAGGAGCCGCAGCTGCCGCTGCTCTGCTTGCCTTAAGCTGCTTTAGAATCTCGTCTCTTGACCTCTTCTGCCCTGTGCTAGCAGGCGGAGGCGGAGGAGCCATATTTCCTTTCTTAACCTTTTCTTCCTTGGGAGCAACAGGTCGGACATCCTTCTCCTTCTCATCCAGTATACGGTCAAACTCATCATCAACATCCTCAACTGCTTCGGGGGCCTCAGCCTCGGGAGTTTCTTCTTCTACAGGCTTCGTAATATCCTCCCCCGCCTTGACACGCTTCAGCAGATTCCAATCTAGTCCCTTGACCAGATGCGTACTGCTCACATCACCACCGACCCCAATCTCCGCCCGCAGTTTCTCGAACGTAGCCTGGTCGATCTGACCCAGTTTCACCAACTCCTCCAACGCCTTGACGCGCTTCTCTTTATCCTCAGCCTCTGCTTCCTCCTCATCCTGTTTCCTTCGCAATATCGAGCGGTCCTGATAGCCCGCTGCAAGCTTGGTTCCCTTCGGGGCGGCGGAAGATTTGAACTTCTTCGTAGGCGGCTGTTGCGACTCGCGACGATGCTCAGCGAGCTGACGGGCGAAGTCAACACCTTTCACAGAGCGACTAGATCATAAGAAGTACTCATTAGCTAAAAATAATCCCAACAAAACATCGTGATGACAAGAGAACAATCCACATACGGCGTCATCGGGATGCTCGATCGCATTCTCGACCCAAGCACACCGGGAGTCGCGCCCCCGACCGCAGACTTCCCTTGTTGTCGCGGAGAAGATCCATTTGGACTTTGATCCTTATCTCTAGCCGGCGTCTGGTCAAGTATAAGACGGCGGAATTGCTCGTTATTCATGTTTGTTGCTTTTCCTCGAAAGATCCAGTTTCATCGAGGATATCGAAACTGGCCGAGGGGGGAAAAAACAGAACGTGGCGCGCTGACCGCCGGAGGAACTTGCAGCCTCTACCACTTCGCAGCGACGTGGACTCCGCAATATAACTCTGCTGAAAGCAGCAACACTTGTAGTTCTGATAAGATGTTTCTCGTTTAACTGGTGACATGCGCGAAAGTTGTCGCTGAGCGAATGACGGCATGTGCTAGGGGTCCCGCAAGGCTTGGCGGTCAAGCATGATGGTGGCAAGTAAGCTAACTTATGTACTTCGGCTTGAAGACAACTCTTTTATCTTCTGCAGTATGGAACTATTTTGAGTCAACGGATCGTCAGAGCTTATTGAAGTCTATTCTTTTATGAGTTTTCCTTCGACGTATCTTTCAGGATACAATATGCACTCTACCACAACGAGTAGTGGTCATTAATGGTTTCGACCCGAATGTTTATTTAAAACATCACACTAGATGATCGGACAAAAAGTTGATTGTGTTCTATTTTTTCCTCTGGGCCCAGAGCATCTGAATATGTGTAGAATATTTACTGACACCTAGTTGCAAACGTCCAAAGCTATCTGAAATTTAAAATCCGCCAATGAGCATATGATGGTAAAGTGGTTGCGTCAGGACTTCAAGACATAGTAGAAGAACCACCAATGTAAGTAAAAAATGAAATAGAGCGGATATTATGCAAAAGGAAATTTGACTTCCAAAGAGTATGACATTTCGCCTTCCATGGCCAAAATATCATAATTCCACCAAACTCTTCATTCTTACATAGAGCTGTCCATCTCAAATAGTTTCCCAACCTCCGTTGTTGATATCTGCTTCTAGCTTCCTGCTGATGGTAGCTGGGATTTGGTGCGATAGCCAGACGTCACGCAGAAGTCTGTCGTAGCGCTTCTGATTCAGAATGAGCTGACGGTTGCGCCGCAGACCAGGATCAACCTCTCCATGGCGGTCTAGATAAGGCGCGAAATGCCACGAACCGTTGTGGTTGTGGAGATAGAGCACGGTGCATTTGCGGATGTTGATAAATAAGCCCACGTTCTTGCCGCACCTGTAAAAAACGCCTCGTTAGTCACGATCCAGAAAACGAAGAAACGGGAGCAGTGTCTACTACTTACTTCTTAAGATGCTGGTTGCATCCGCCCAACTTCTTGTCCATGCAGCAGACAGCTTGAGAGCAGAAAATATCACCGCAGAATAGACAGATACTCGGATCCATCAATTCTTTCTTGGAGTTCGGGCATCGCTTTTTGTTTGCCTCCTCGATCAAGATATCATAATACTTGGGAAGACCCACCAACTCAAAGATAGCAGGGTGCGAGAGGCTTGGCCAAAGCCTGTGGTCATCGAAGCGGATTCCAGAACGAGATGCATTCCAGTGGAAGATCCATCCTGAAACGACGCTGTCAAATGGTTTCTTTGTATTCCTAGCTGGCGAGAAAGTTGAGAATAGCTGGTCCAGCGTCGGTAATTGAAGAAGCTTGGTAAGGCGATCCAACTCAGATGTGCCTACATCGGCAAATCCAGTGTTGGGGAATTCGACTCCATGTTGCACGTGCAGAAGGATCACTGTCTTGCGGAGGAAGGCCAGGGCATAGCTAGATATCAGTCGCCTCAAGGCTATGATGATGCCTGGCGTCGCAGACCCCTCGCCTTCTTTCACGTAGCCGCTCTCGGCGGGAAAAGATGATCCTTCTGCACGCCCAACAGAGTTAGATCTTAGCTCGGTGACGACCGAATCAAAGAAATGCCTGGTAATGGCATAGCGTTCATCAGACAACTCCACTTCGAGCAGATAAGACGCATCGCCATGCTCTGCCAATTCCGCCTTCAAGCCCAGAGGCCAGAGAATAAAAGTGACTGCCACTTTGATAATCTCCGCCACATAACACATCTGAATTAGATGGCGGATGTCGATGTTCAGGATCTGGAGCAGAGACAGCGAAGATTCTGCCATGAAAATGAAAATATCCGTTGCCAGCAAAGGTTCGATATTTCGGACGTCGTTTAGTAGAGATGTACCAGTCATGCAAGGATGACCAACAAACAACTGGCAGAGTTTCTGACGCTGTATTTCCTGGAATTCTTGAGCGGACCGACTCTTACCATTGGCACCATTTTGAAGTCCACCGACTGCGACATATGACAGAGCTGTCTCAGCAAGGACACGGAGGTGGGTGAGCGTCAACTGCGGGATCTTGTCTAGTAGAGTTGAGCCAGGCTCAGATTCGACGCCACGTTGAGCGATCTCCAAGGCAGAGATGCTGAACCCAAAACTTCGTATGAGGGAATCAGTGTGAAGTAATTCATCGGAGTTGATCGCATCTGCAGGATGACTAAATGAGGACTGGATGTTGTTCAATCGGATAGTCTTCTTCAGTCTCTTGTATATTTGCATGAGCTCTGACATGGGGCTGTGACCGGGTGTAGAGACTTGCTGAAGTGGACTCGATGCCGTGAGGTCTTCTGCAGTTGGGAAGACGCCCGGCATTTGAATCCGTGTCGCCTGTACGTATTGAGCAGGAATTGGCGGCATGGACGGCGGCGAGGAAGCTATGAGTTGGCCAATCTTTCCAGTTAGTGGCGGTACCATCGTCTTCGACAGATAGTCAGCATAGATATCATGATATGCAGGTAACTGCAGCTTATCACCCTCCACCAGAAGAGCGTAAGTGCGAGGTTGTTCTAGAGCGGATTTCACACCGGTGTTGATGAAGTCTTCGAAAGATCCGCTGGTCCTGAGAGCGCCGGGGTACGATTCCTCCTTGCCCTTCCAAATAATTGGCAGGAACGCATTTCCAAGAGCCTTACATAGAGGACAGACGAATTCCTTCAGGGACAGACGCTCGGGATGGTTGCGAGCCACTTGTTGACTGTGCCGCCTCTGCGTCGCGGCATAGTAAACCTCAAAACAAGAGTAGTGCATTATATGACCGCAACCTGTCGTTACCGGTCCCCGAATGGTGTTCTCTGGGTTAAAGCCCTTGCTCACACCAATCTTCTCGGTGATCACTTCGTCACCTTTTGAGTCTAATCTCTTCACTGTAACCCGATTTTCGCCTGCAACGCCAAAAGGACGGATGTGGTCGGCAGACTTGTCCAAGCTTGACGGTGTCCGCAGAACTTCCCTGATATAGTCGGGGTCCTTGATATCTGTCTGCCTCAGAATGCCACTGTCCTGGATCAACGCAAAAGTACCATACAGTCTAGAGTCGTTTGTCTCCTCTTGGCAGAGGATACATGTTCCGCTCGGATACTTCCAGATCTTGGCTTCAGAGGGGGCTTCGGCTTCGGCTTCAGATTCCATGTCGCTGAAGTCCTCTTCTCCCCAATCTATTGCACCCTGACTATTCAGGAAATTCTGTTGCTGTTGCTGAAATTGGGCCATTACCCTTGCCTGCCTCTCAAGAGCCTGCTTCTTTTTCATCTCTTGTTCGCTCTCTGTATTGGTGGCAGGGGAACCGGCATCAACCCTATCATAAGGGAATTTCAAGTTTGCCGTTGCCGCGGAATACGCCTTCGGCCGTTTCTGCCACATTCTTCTTAGAATGTGTCGAATCTTGGGACCACATGCGTCAAACTCATTCATGGTTGAGATCTTCTGCAGCAGGCCTATAATCGTCAGATTTCCGGCCCGAGTCTCCCTTGAGCGCGATAGCGCATGCAAGACGAAGGAAGAGCGCGATTCCGTAGAGTCGTCTTCGTCGCTAGGATCTTCAAGCGTAGCGAGCAGTGTCAGATGAAGAACAATCTGAAGGAAAGTATCCACGCGGGTGGAAGGGATGTTCGGAGTGCTCTCTTTCGAGGACATCGCATAATCAAGACAGTGGTGTACCAGCTGAGCAAAGATCAAAGTCCTGGTAAAGTGCGGTAACTTGGAGAATGCCCCAGTACTGATGTGCCGCAGGTTGGGTTCAAAGACTATATCAGCTGGTTTCTTTCCAGATTTCTTGGCCATCCACTCTTTGTAGATATTTTCCGCCTCATCGCGCTGGTTCTTAGTGTAGTGCGCACTGTACGGGTCTACCAAGGCGATGTACTCTTGCTTCAACTCGAATGTTCCAGTATCATTTAAGCCCTCCGGAGGTCGGAAGACAGCAATCTCGTCTAGGACGTCCTGGAACAAGTCCGTCTCGAGCAGCTTATCGCTTAAACGAGTCGATAGATCCGAGAAGGATAGGGGCTTGAAGCAAAGGACATGTGCGATGTCGCGGCTGATGTTCTCCCTGCTGAAAGTGACAGAATCGTCGATGGCCGTCAAAGAAGTACGATCGGTAAGGAGGATAATCAGAAGATGAACGAATTCTTCCGCCACGTCGACTATCTGAGAGTCTTCGTATCCCTGCCTGGGAACATAGCCTCGCGTCATCCAATCTACCATCCCGAAACGGTCTGCAATCGATGCAAGCACCCTGCTTGAGTCGCATGTAACTAGTGCTGTTTGGAGTAGGAAGATGTCACGATAATAGGCGAAATCTCGGGATGACACTCCTCGATACTGTGACATTTGATGGCGCAAGCTGAGGCCATTGCGCACCCACATACCAGCCTTCATCTGTGCCAGCCAAGCACACACCCGGAGTGGAAAGTCGAACATTGTCAGAAGAAGATCCTCCGGGGTAAGCTGTGTATCGTGGATATACATTTCGTTGGCCACCCGAGCGGCCTCTAACAGGACGTTGTGCATCAAAGCACTGCTCATGCCCCGGCCGCATTCTAGCAACCAGGAGAGTATGTAATGCAAAGGATGGTGGAAGCTGATAGAGCCCTTTTCGACTATGAAATCCACGACCCTGTGTCGGGGTATCTGACCCGACGGATCGACTTCGAAATCGAAGCAAGGTAGCGATTTGAAGCGCACATATTCTTTTATTTCAGCTTGGTCGAAGCGCTTGCGTTCAATGCCGGTTGAGTGTACGATCGCGGAGATAGCAGCGGCCTTGACTGCTCTTAATAAATTCTTTCCATTGTCAACTTCGGGGTTCCTGAATGCCTCGCAGAATTGACGGCAGAGACGGTTAATCTCCCTCATGAGGATTGACGCGCTAATCCAGGCGTCTGTCTCATATTCGACGTGTTCTCCGACTGCGCGTACATTGGGACAGATACCCTGCGGAAGTTTGACTAGATCAAGGAATTGCAATAGGTATTGTTCCTCTGTACGGACACGGTGCTGGACGTATTCAGACTGGAGAAGGTAACGCAAATCCAAAAAGAAGTGGTACAGACGTCTATTCGTCACGGACCCGGCATCGAAAGCTAGTGTTGCAGTTGGGTTGACTTCATGAGGTTCACCCACCTGGCGGGTAGTCAGGAACGTGTAGAGAATGGCCATGACCTTCGTAAGGAAGTTTCCACGCTGAACAATCTCCTCTGTGATCGATGGAGTAGTCAATAGTTGTAGAGAGAGATTCACGATCGAATGGTCTGGTTCTCTGTCTGCAATCAAGTACAACTGCGCCAAAGCAGTGTATAAGGCAGCTAAGCGCAGACCCATGACCCTCTTGAACTCAGGGACGTTGACCACAGTGCTGATGTAGAGATCGCGAAGATCAGTTCTTGCTTTCTTCCATAGTCTCAGGTCAAAGAGGACCATCCAATCAAGACGAGTCCGCTGCCAGAGATCCTCATGCGGAGGCACCTCGCCTGTCGCAGGACCAGGTGGTTTTACCTGCCAGTGGCTTGGAGTCCTGGCAGGTGTAGGCTTAACCGAGGTAGTTGGAGTCCTTGGAATATGCACACTGGACGCCGTGGTAGGAACTCTGTTCTCATCCGTAGTAGACTCCGTAGCAGACTGCTGCGTAGCATCTTGGGTCTGTGATCGCGGTGGTGGTGGCGGTGGAGGAGGGGGCGGATATCCAGCTAATGTAGCTTCCGCGACCTCAAGTTCGTCATCAGCGTTACCCATTTCCATATCTTCATCTTCGTCTACCTCTTCGCGCATTCTGTTGAGATCCAGTTCCATATCTTCGTACTCTTCGTCATCTTCTTCCCGGGTATCGTCGTAGCCCTCGTCGTCCTCCCCATCTTCTCCTTCGTCTTCTTCGTTTTGTGCCTCTTGCTCATCGCCGTTCTCCTCCATGTCATCTTCATCAGAGGCTGCCAATACAACTTGACCCTGGGGCGAGACTGTCAGGGTTATCGCACGGTATGGTGCGCTTTCATTCCTTTCATGGTCATCAATTCCCTTCATGCCAATATCCGCGTTGTACGCGCCACTGCCTCGTCGCCATGGCCGTAGCAGCTCTTCACAGATGACACGCCGCAAAATTTCATTGTCTTCCTTGACGCTGGCGCCTGCAATATCGGCCAGCCACTCTATTATGGTTCCACACATTTGCTCTCGGAATGTGTCTCGAGAGGAGCGCACGGTCACTGTGACTTTGATCTGTTCGATGACTTTCGATACCGCTAACAGTCTCTGCAGATCTTTGGAATACTTGATGACGCTTCTACCTATATCGTTGGTTTCGTGGGCCTTTGCATTACCGAAGCTGTCTCTCTCACGGCACGCCCTGGTAACCTGATGGGAGACGTCTCTGATCGTGTGCTTCTCGTCATTCCAGAGAGCCAGTGCGAATTCAGGTTCGTCCTCAGCAGCGTCACCTTCACCATACCAACCAGGGCGCAATCTCGATGCCTCCTCATCATGCCTAATTCCGTCTTCCGTCTTGGGAAGCCTGAGTTGCTCAGGTGAGCAGGAGATAACATCACAGAAATAGTCCAGAGCTCTTGAGATCGTAGTCTTTATGCTATCCACCCAATCCTGAGACAGTTGGTTTCGAGCTCGCTCTTTACCCTTCGCATCACCCGTGTCTGTGTGAATAGCGCAGAAGAGGGGCACCTTCCAAGCTTCGTCATCACCACAGTCGCAGCAACCACAATTACCAGATGACAAACTGATCTGATACTGATGGCCTGTATGATCCGAAGAGTCGAAGCACCGACTGCATAGTACGCAGGTATCATCAGAGGCGCAAGTGAGACATCGATATGTCGCCTCATTCGGCCTGAAGATATGCCCACATCTCTTGCCCCTCGCAGCCTCAGTATATTCCGCACCATCCTTCGCGCCTTGCGCTTCCGTCAACTTCCACGGACCGCTAGGAAGTCTCTCTGGGAAAAGCTCTCGCAGGTGCTCCTCATTAAACCCTGAAAGTGAACGGAAGAGAAGCTCGAGAAGATCTCGTTCGGCTTGCGGCCCATACCGGTAGTTGTGCTTCGCCGGGAGGCGCAGAAGGCCTTCACCAAGCTTCCTCTCACATTCTGTGAGCATATCTTAGGATCGTATTGTTGCAACAAAGTCACCCATGCAGTAGTCGTCGACAAGATGAGATAGATGGTGTGGCGGGGTGGACGTGCTCGATGCGAACGTTATCGTGAATCGCAAGTGAAGATGTTCAGGAGAATAGTGACCAGGCAATTACATAAACCCCGCACCTCAGTGTTTTCGCAAATTGTAACCAGACTGGCTATGTGAACCAGAGAATAGTGTCAATGTTGTAGAAGAATTGGTAATCCCGATCGATTCGACAAAGAGTGAGGTAGCCGTGCAGGGTCATGCAATCTTGTGCGCGTAAGAACAAGCTAGTAAGAATCGTCGATGCGGAATTTACAGATCATTAAATCATAAGACTGTCAGTATTGTCCGGTAAAGGTCGTTTGATGCATGGATGTTGACCCCGCCGGTCTGAGAAAGTGAGTTGTGGTTGATGCAGTCTTCTCGGTATGACATCGGGCGGCCGAAAGACTGTCAAAGAAGCTTCTTAGCGCCACTGTATCCCGCCTACGGTCGCCATACGGTTAAGGCATTCGCAACTCCCCGCCACATTGCTCATGGCCAATAATCTTATGGAATCAGTTATATGGGAGTTTGATTTTCCTATGTTATTTTCTACGCTAGATTAAACACTGGGTGCCCTCAGGTGTTACATATGAAGAACAAAGAACTCTATTTCCAGTCCGCTACCATTTCCCAATCAGTATGATAACAAGTTACATTGGTATTTTCGCTCTGTGCTGAGGTGAAAAGGGGACTGCATCACAGTCCCATCCTCTACTCATCATCCTCCTCTTGGGCTGCCTGGATGTACTTGTGACGGATGTCCTTCCATTGGCGCTGTCGACCGAGTTAGCCATAAACGATGTTTCGATTCAAAGAGGTCTCCGGGGTCACATACGCCCTTGTTGAGGCAGTCCCAGACCTTGTTCGAGGCGGTGTCAAAGGCACTGTAAGGGAGTCCCATCCGTCAGTATTCCGTACTTTCCGGGCGATAGCAGCAATAGCTGGGCAGCATCAAACATACATCTCGAAGGCGAAGGCACCGACGAAGATAGAAGACAGGAACACAGCGTTCCTCCGGAAGAGGGTCCTGAGAAAGGAGTCGTCACGTCAGCAAAGGCAATCCGAGGTTTTGCGGCATTGACGGGGGTACTTGCTGGTAGATGACGGAAGAGATCTGTGACAGCGTGAGCAAGGTTAGCCATTGGATTGCACAACCAAAACTAAGGAAAGGCAGACTTACTCCTCCAGACATTGTGATAGATGTGTCGGTGATGAGACCGGTGAGAAGAGAGGAGTCGTGAGGGGAACGCTGTACAGTCTTGTAGAGTGTCGAGGGTGGAAGTTTGGAGTTGCTCTCCCGGCCCAGCGCGAAAAGCATCGGTCGCGGGAATCCCCGGAGCGATGATTGGCTGGCTAGCAGCCGTGACCACCGGCAACCTGGAACGCCCGAAGAGCCTCAAGCTTTCCGCCTTTGGAAGAACTGGAACAACACTTGGGAGCTTCACGTTCTCTCTTTCGCTGCCGTCAATTATCGTATCGCGCTACACTTGCGTTTCAGGGCGCGATACGCTGGCCACTCAGAAAAAATCAGTCTGGTGGCCATCGAACTCACCAGAATTACCAGTCACCGATTACATCGGTTACGCACATTGTCCCGAGACGGACCAAGAAATGGCCTCTCCGAATCCTCCTGCTCCCACAGCTGCGGGCATCACCGTGGATGCCGTCACTGGTGAACGTGTTATACCCTCTTCTGTCCGTGCGGATGGGACCAAGCGCCGCGAGATTCGCATCCGGCCCGGCTATCGCCCTCCCGAAGATGTCGAGCTGTACAAGAATCGGTCCGCAGAAGCCTGGAAGAACAGAGGTAAAGCAGGTGTCCCTGGTGCGGAAGGATTAGGTAGCAGCGACAAAGCTGCAGAAAAGAGCACTAGCGCTGTTAGCAACAAGAACGCAAAGAAGAGAGAGGCGAAGAAACGGGCAAAAGCAGCTACGGGCGATGCAGTACCCAGCGACAACGCTGCAAATGGAGACCAGTCGAAGCAGGAAGGCCAACAGCACAAGGCCGAAGAGGAGCCTCTGGACCCAGAGGCAGAGAAGGAAAAGAAAGCACGTGCTTTGAGGAAGAAGCTTCGTCAGGCTCGAGACCTGCGTGACAAGAAGGACAAGGGCGAATCTCTGCTCCCAGAGCAGTTGGAGAAAGTGATCAAGATTCAGGAATTGATCCGCCAGTTGAATGCGCTGGGATTCGATGCGGATGGCGAGAAAAAGTTGGCAGCTGAAGGAAAGGAACAAGTTTGAGACTACTCAAGCACGAGTGGTTTTTCGATATCACCGATTTCCCAACAAGATATGTCGCTCTACGCCGATCGATCATATATGTCTGAGTTCGCATCTACATGTTGCTGGTTAGTTGTTGCCGCAGGAGCTGCCCGCTGCCCGACGACCCACGCGACAACAATCACCCACCAGCATGAATCCCACAGACTGGGACCACCGAGGCAAGACACATCCGATTTTGACTGCATATTGAGACTTGTCACGCGAACGATAAGCTCAGTGCTGCTGACTCCGTGAACGCGCACGGATTCGTCGTCCTCGAGATATGATGCTATATGATCACCAGAGTCTGCCCGACGTGGCTAGGATTCTGTGCTAAAGCAGAATCTTTCAACTTAAAGGCATCTTAATATCCTAGACCAAAGGACTGAGCTCTGATCATAAGCTCTTCTGTCTATACTGTCTGCTAGTTGCAAAAATATTCCTGTAGCATTCACTACTCGGGTGCCTGATAGACTTGAATGGTACAAGCCAGATTATTGTACACACGCTCAGACCTGATTATCTAGGTGTGAAACAACACACTGCTGCTTAATTTACATTCCTACTGCGTAGGTTATCTTCTGAGGCCTGTGATTTGTACAGTTAGTGGGAACGAAAACACAACGTAAGAAAGAATATATGGCAGCCGTGTCAAAACTTACTAGCAAAATAAGTACTTTACATCATCTACATTTGCCTTGAACCACCGTTGTGGAGATGATACGATGCCACCTTCCAAGTCCCAGTCTTTGTACCCCATCCTCGACCACGGTCGTTCTCCGTTCATATCATCCAGTCGTCGAGCATCAACGCCGTACGATGCGGATAGATAGGCCTGACGTATGCAATCTGTGACGCCAACTCCACTGTACCAGCTGCCTGCTAATGTAAGGCGATGGTTGAACTCGTCCCGTACGGCGCGAGAAAGCTCCTGCATCCGCGACATATGACCAACGGTGTACTGAGGAATAGCATTGCGATGTAGACGCGCCTTTGCAACTGCAGGCGACTCTTTTATATGTAAATGACGCTCCAACAAGGAACGAGCCATGGAAACAGCGGTCTCGGGGTCTGGGTAGTCAGATTCCTGCCAACCGTCCCACCAGTGACCGCCCATCATGACTGTTAGCTTGGTGCCCGGGGCAGTGTCCTGTCCCACGCTGGAATCAGAACCGAATATGACACCAAGAGCACGTTCAGGGTTCTGATCGAGTGAGATTGAGCGCGGAATAAGGTATCCGAATCCCTTGTAGGGGATCAGCTGCGGGTTGTCGTAATACAGATTCACCACCATCACTGAGACCGCATAGTTATGTTCTTCCAGGTTCCTGACACTCCCTTGAGGGACTGGCTGGTCACCCTTAACACCTGAACGCAGACTCTTGGCCAGTACGGGTGCCGGGATAGTGGCAACGACACGATTATGTGTACGTGATCCGTTTTCGCCAATTTGGATCTGGATAGGAAATGTGTTAATAACCAAAATCAACTCCCAAGTACGTAGAAGCAGCACTTACCGCTAAATCAGAGGTCTGCTGGTCCTTACTAATAGCCTTGACCTCGGTATTTGTCAAGATCTCAACCTTAGCAGTCTCCCTGAGAGCAGTTTCTAGACTCTGTACAAGCTGGCCTAGTCCCCTTTTCAGTGTCAGGACACTTGCTCCCCTTACTAGGCTCGTAAGACGCTGCCAGTGCCCATGCGGTCTCTCATGCTCAACTGAGTGAAGAGCCAAGAGGTCATCCGTCAACAGAATCCTTCGCTCAGTCTGCGCGATATTCAACAGCGATCCAAAAACCCTGCGATCTGTCTTCTCTAAATCCCTATATACCCCAAGCAAGGTCTGAGCACTCAATCGATCTATATCCCCGGCGTATATTCCATGGAACAATGCTGACGCCAGGTTGTCCGCAATCTGTGGTGACATCCGTCGAGAGACGAAGTCCGCAACCGACTCATCCTGACCCGCAAGTTTGTCTGATCTGGGTTCCTTCAATGGCTCCGTGAAAACGGAAGACAGTAGACCCGCGAGTACTGGTTCTGTTAAAAGGACCTTTCCGTTTGCTATCAGGTTGGTGATGGTGCCGGCGTTCGGGATGGGTGCTGGCATGCGCACGAGGTGATCGGGGTAGTAGATGTAGCGGTTGCGCGCGGCTGGTGAATTCTTGCTCGTAATGAGAATCTCATCCTCCAATTCAAGCTCGAAAAGCTGTTCCGAATGTGTCAGGATCTAGCTCGCAGCCCCAGCGGATGTATTTTCTTGTCTGTCTTACCAAGTCTAGCAGAGGGAGGCACGAAGGCGACGCAGTTCGCAGTGTTCGCGGTCCGTATTCGAACACCACTTCTCCGCCGTCAACGTTGATGGTTTCTGATTGTAACCATCCTCCAAGTCGATTTGACTGCTCGTAAAGTGTGACCTTCGCGCAATTGGGGTCTCGCGACAGCCTGAAGGCTGTTGTGAGACCTGTAATACCGCCACCTATGACCGCGGCATCATAAGATTTGGACGGGGCACTGAGGAACCGTCTCTGGCCATGGAAACGAAATGTCAATGACCTTGAAATTGTGTCCAGTGCATACCTATGCTGGCATAATCGCCACATCTCAGAGATTAATGTAGAAATGGAGAAGTATGAAATTGCGAGGGCATCAATGGAATCGGACCGCCGGTAGACAAAGCTTTGGTTCGAGGTCGTAACTTACAATATCCGGTATTCGCCTTACACTACCTGCTTGGCAGATGTTCAGTAAAGAATATTTCTTTGCAACGTCTATGACGGCCATGATGATATTACAGTGCTATTTACAGGTTGATGTCAAATCTTTTGGATAGAATTCTGACAAATCCAACGCCCTTCCCATCAGTCATTCACCCTCTCATCACAGACAGAATGTCCCGGTATAAAGCCTAGTATAAACCCCAAAATATCATAACACGCATACATCTGAACAAGGCGCCACTGCCATTAAACACGCGCCTTGATTACAAAAATTTCCTAGGTCATCACTTCCTGGTTATGAGAGCCATCTGCCACAGATGCACCAGGTTTGATGAGCTCTTCCTCCGCGCTCTCGTCGATAAATTTCCTCTCACTGACATGTTCCTTCTTTTGAGCCGAATCAGCGGTCCATACCTTGTCGGCAAATGATCCTTTCTGACCTTCAGCATGCTTGTAGGGGCAATTTGGATTAAGACAAGGATTGAATTTGCATGGTGTCTGCAAATGAGTGAACTTGCATCCGGTAACGGTACAGTCAGCACCATTACGGCAAAGCGGCATCGTCGGATGTTTGAACGGGCAGCTTGGATTAGTGCAGTGAGGGAAGAATCGACAAGGCTCATCCGCCTGGTGCACTGCCTTGACCGCGGGTGACGGATGACGTCCAGTGCATTTCTTATTTTTGCAGGCGGCGCCGTATGGACAACGATCCGTAACATCGACAGGCGTGCCTTCGGGGGCAGCTGGCGACTGATGTGCAAAGGGACAGTCTTTCTTGGTACAGCGAAGGTTCCAATGGCAGACATTGTCCGTATTGACCTCTCCCTGCTCGTTTCCTTTCGAGGCATTGTCGGGGTTCGTATCCATATCGCCATCCGTGGCCGTAGCATCCTGGCTGCGGTTTCCATGCCGCTGACCCCTTTGTGGCTGGCGCTCGATTCGCTCGAACAGCGACCGTCCTTGTCGAGGTCGGCCACCTTGCTGAAAAGCTGGGTTTATAGCAGGAGGCACCATTCCAGGCATCAGCTGTGCCATCATTCTTGCTTGCTCCTCCAGGAGGGCCATCAGCTGCATCTGATTCTCGGGGTTCATCTGCATGACATTGGCAGCAGCAGAGCCACCTGACATCAGGCCTCCAGCCATTCCCATTCCCATTCCACCCGTCTGTCTACCGTTGCCCATGCCTCTACCATTCTGAAAAGATCTCGGTCCCTTGTGCTGGTCTCGTCCATGGCTGTTGACCCGTCCAGACCCCGATCCTCCTCTGACCCGATGGAGCATTGAATCATTACCTCGATCCAGCGTCTTGTTGATTTGGCCCAACATCCGACCGCGACCACCTTGTCGACCATTCCGCATAGCCTTGGGTCCTGTAGGTCTGTACATACGAGCGTTAGCATCTTCCCGTAATGAAGGCAGCGTACAAGATTGGGGAATTACATACACTGACTCTGCTTGGGGAGATGTCTCGCCCATCTGAGTGTCCTGCGTGCCAGCACTCAGTCCACCGGGCTGAGCACCTGATGTCTCTTGGTCGTTGAAGGAAGGTATGGCCTGAGTAGATTGCTGATCCGGATTTCCGCCTCCGTTGAACTGCCGATCCAACATTTCAACTTGCTCGAAAAGCCACCTTGAGAACTCGAGGGCTTGCGTGTCATCCTCCCCGAGGCCAAGCAGATCATTTGAGAGTTCATTTGAAATCTGTTCTTGCGTCTTTCCATTCACCAACATCAAGATTATGTATTCTGTCAAAGCAGAGTCCTCGCCGCCCCCAGTGCTCCAGCCCATCTCCGCCACCTTAGATGGAATGGTGTTGCTGAGAGCTTCCGCCAAAGGCGTTCCCAGCGCCACTGCCGTCGTCATGTTGAGGGGTAAGTCTTGTCGTAAGAGGCACGATCACAGCGATGCGATGAATATGAAAGAGTGGCTAGGCGGTTGAGGAAGGCTTGATCTATCCTTCTCACGCCACCTGTAGATTCCAGGCGCACGCTTTCGGGACAGCGAGGATACAACCACAAGAGGCGAGGCTGATTGAAATGAAATGAATATGTAAGGTTGTCCCCTCGAGTACGTTCTGAGAGTACGAAGGAGGTGAGAGGGGCCGAAAGAACTCGCTATCTGGAGATGATGAAGCTTGAACGCAGCGCCTGGGGCGGGTGGATAAACGAGTCCCCGAAGTGTCAAGCCACAGCGTCACGTGGTGATCACTAGTTTCATATGTTGTTCAGAAGAAGAAAGTTGATTACTAAGAGATATCTGTGCCTAAGGCTATATAATAGAGAATGACTAAGCTAGATAACATAAGAAAAGACCATATTTTCCCCTCTCTAAATAAGCTAATTAGGTTCAGTATAGCTGAGCTAGCGCGCTAGCTTAAGATATGAAATTATATAAGGCTATAAACTTCACTATATAATTTTTTTATATGCCTATTACTCCCTTTTATAGATAATAAATTAATTATTTTATTATTTCTTTATAGCAGTTTTAAATATAAATATATTTTATAGTTTTATAATTCTATAATACTTTATTATAGAGATATTACTATTTTAGACTTAAATCTTATACTGTTATGGGAAGATATATTAAGACTTAGCATAGAGTCTTTAAGCAAGTAGGTATTAAGAAGGAAGAGAAAGGTATTTAGCTTTAGAGCTTAGAGTAGAGCTAGAAAAAAAGCTTTAACTATAAACTAATATAGTAAACTAATAATAATCTAATATTAAACTAATACTAAATAATAATAGAAAAAAAAAGCTAATTATTTTATTTTAAATAACTAAAAGGTATTATCTCCTTATTATTTTCTTTCTCTCTTGCTTTATTTATAGACTTTTTAAAAATTTTAAGTAAAAATATATAATCTCTTAACTAATTATATTCTTTATACTAATTCTTCCTATTATATAGCCTCCCCTTCTTTAAAAATAGATATCTTTATCTGCCTTCTTTAATTATTATAGTCTATATTATCTCCTTCTTTTAATATTATAAATTATTCCTAAAGCAAGAATACTCTAGTTTTTAATATTATATATATCTTAAAACCCCTAATTTATAAAGCTAAATTCCTTTCTTTTATAGATAATCTTAAACTAATAATATATTTTATTTTAATATAAAGTATAGCTCTGCTTTAACTTCTAAATAATCTTAGTTTAATTAATTAAATATTATTTTGCCTATAGCTATAATTTTATTTATTTAAATATTAAAAGGCCTAGATTCTTCTTAATTAAATCTTATCTTATTTTATTCTCTATAATTAAAATAGTAAATACTATTAAGATTTATTCTTTAATTTTTTAATATTAGCTAATATAGATTATTAATAAAGGTTATTTCTCCCTATCTAAGTATAATATCTCTTAAATTTATAATTTTTTTAGATTTATTTCTAATAATTAGTCTAATTTTTAAGGTTATAAAGCTCTAGCCTATTTCTCCCTTATAGAGTGGTTACAGTAAACCGAAAAAACCGAACCGAACCGAACCGAACCGCCCATGGTTCGGTTTAGTTCGCTTCCTAGTAAACCGCGGTGCGAGTCTACCAGAACCGAACCGAACTGGTGGTTTTTGGTTTAAACCATTTGAACCATAATTTTAACCTCGTATTTAAATTACACTATATAATTTATCGATACTTATATCAGAGGTATAAAATTACTATAGTATTTAGTATATATAATAAAAATATATTAGAAATCGGTAAATTACGGTATTGTAATTTTCGCTTATTTATCCTAATATAGCTAGAGCATAGTTATATAACCAGATCTAACTTAGGTTAGTAACTAATTATGCTGATCTGGTTTTTTTAGTTTTAAACTAAACTACTAGTATATAGTTTAGTTTAGGTATAGTTTATCTGCCCTAAACCGAAAACCGCTACGGGCGGTTTAACCTCCCCCCTAAACCGAACTAAACCGCCTATATAACTACTCTACTCCCTTAAGGATTATAGACTCTATATTTAATACTCTTAGTTTATATTTCTTAAAATATTAGACTTATAATTTATATTTACTATAACTATATAACACTAACTAAATTAAATAAATCTAGATATCTTATATAATAACCTTCTAGAGAATATTCCTAAATAAGTTTTTAAGCCTTATTAATTTTTTATTCTCCTTTTTATAATAAAGGGCTGTTTTTATTTTTATAATAGTATATTATAATATCTCTTCTACTAATTTCTTTTTAAAAAATATAATCTAAAAAACCCTATTTATTTCTTAATAATTAAAGTTCTCTTTTATTATAATATCTAATTAAATATATTAATCCTATATCTTATTTAGGGTAAAATCTTCTTTATTTAGATTAAAATATTTTTTATTCCTATATTTAGATTTAAGATATTTTTTAGCTCTATATAGATTATCTTAGGCTTTATAATATAAGCTATTAAGTATATTATTAGAAGTATTTATATTAATTAATTTAAAATCTCTAAATAGTTAAACTATCCCTAATATTAGAGATTTCTTAGGGAGAAAGTCTTTAAATAAAGATTCTTTAACTTTTATATTATCTCTATCTTTTATATTTTTAAGACTTCTTAAAATAGAATTCTTTATTCTTCTTTTAACCTAGCTATTACTAGATATACCTAATATTTATTTAGCCTCTATATTATTTTTAAATTATATAGTTCTAATATTTTATATATTTTTTAAATACCCAGTTTTTTTTTAATAAAGGGGTCTTCTAGGTTTACCGCAGAAAAGGAGGGCTTTATATTAGTTTTTAAGGCTTTATTAGGAGATTTTATTGCCTATTTATTTTTAAAGGTTTTATTTATAAATTATTTAATTTTTTTAAGTAAATTTTTATAAAGATAGGTTATTATTTTAAATAATCCCTTTTTCTATTATTTTATTATTACTAGCTTTATATTTTTAACTACTTTTAATACTCCTTTAGCTTCTTTTATAGATATATTCTCCTTTATACTAATTATATTAGCTAATAGTTATATATATAGCTTATAAATTAATTTAATCTTCTTTAAATTAACCTATTATAAGACTTTTCTAATCTTCTTAATACTTATATTTAGTCTACTTAGCTAAGATTATATTTTAGTTTTCTTCTTATTTAGGCAGTAATAATCCTTAAAGTTAGTATTAAATCTTTATCCCCCTTAAAACTATTTCTAGTAGTCTATATTAGTATTTTAGTATTTAAGATTATTATTACTATTTATAAGCATTTTTAATCTTTTTTTAAAGATATTATCTTCTGCACTTCTTAATTTTATTATATTTTATATTTTTTTAATATAAATTTAGTATATAATAGTAAGTTTAATCTTTTTTTTTCTTAAAAATTTTAATACTTCTTTATCTTCTAAATTAGTAATAGCCTTTTTTATTAATATAGATATATTAATCTTATATTTATATCTTTTTTCTAGCTATTTCTTTTTATTTTAAGTTTTAAACTTCTTTTCTCCTTTTAACTTTTTAAGACTCTTAATCCTTTTTTTTTTCTCCTTCTTTATATTTTTTTTGTCTAATATTAAATCTACTAATAAGCTTTTACCTAAATCTTTTATTTAATATTTTTTCTTTTTTCCTATAATTTTCTTTAAAAGATTATTTTCTCCTATTTTTATTTTAACCTTTTATAATTCTTTATTAATAGGCTTTTAAAAAATTAGTCTTTCTCTATTAAGGGCTTTTTTTAAGATATCTTTTATTTTTCTAATATTAATTAGTTAAAGGCTCTTTTTAGTTAGTATTTTTTATCTCCTAATATTATAAAGTCTATTAACTTATATTTTTATTAGATATATAGCTATTATTTTTTAATCTTTAATATTAGATATTAATCTTCTTATAATTATTAAGGTTTAGTATAACTATCTAATAATTAATAAGACTTAGTTTATAATTTTTTAACCTTATTTCTCTATAGCTTTATAATAACCTTTATTAATATATTTATAATTTTTTTCTACTTATATTTTTAATTCTTTTAGCTTATTAATAGCTAATATTTTTTTTTCTTACTTTTTTTAATAGCTCTTATTAATTTAAGAAATTATAAAAATTATTAGCTATTTTATTATACTTACTTTAAAAATTTAAAATAATTATTATTATATTGTTTATAAACTAGACCTTTTTTAAGTTTTTTTTTTTATTATTAGCCTTATTTATTATCTCCTTTATAAGTTTATAAATTTTACTAACTATAGTATATATATATATTCTAAGTTAAAGAGCTTTATCCTAATAGATAATATTTTATATTTTTAATATATTTTCTTCTATTTTTAATATATATCTTTATAGAGTAATTCTTTAAAATAGTTTTTAAATAAAAAGATATATTTAAAAGATAAGATAAGGTTAAGTTTAGCTTAATTTAGTCTCCAGTTATTTCTGCTATAATATTATATAATATAAAAAATAAGGTTTTTATAATAAGGTAAGAATTCTTTATTTATTACTTATATTCTTTATTTAATATTTTTTATTTTTAGCTTTATTTATAGACTTTTTTAAGATATTTAAGCTAATATTATATATTTTTTAATTATCTCTCTTTTTTTTCTTTTTTAATTATTATTAGGCATTTTTAAATCTTTTCTCTTCCCTAAAAAAGACGCCCTTATCTTAAGTTTACCCTCTTTCTCTTTTTATTATAGTATTAGTACTTATTTTACTATTATTTTTTTATTTCTTCTCCTTTTAAATTAATTTTTTACTTAGTATTAAACTTATTTTATTATTAGCTTTTTACTTCCCTTCTTCTAAGCTAATATTTTTAAAAAGAGAGTATTAGAATTATAACTATATATTCTAATCTAGATAGTATTTAGTCTATATTATTATTATTATTATTACTTAATTATTAATTTTCTTATTTAGATATTATATTATTATTTGCAGTTAATATTTTATTTTAGTTCTCTTATAAATAATAGCCTTTTAAATAATTTTTATAAATTAGGTCTCTAAAAGATATATTATTTAATTTCTTAAGCTTATAGAATTCTTTCTTAAGGACTTTTTTAATCTTATATAGTCTAAGCTAGTAATATACTAGTTTTATAGAGTAAGATATCTTAAACTTTATATTATAAAGCAGAATAAGCTATTTTT